CCAACTCTTTCATGCACGCTACATTCTTTCACATGCTTAGTTATGTGAACACTTATTATGAGGAAAATAATCCATACACCAGCTCTATATAAAATTTTCTACTTGATAGTCACCCCAAGTGCACTGACATTCTGTATTTTTGTGTTAGTTTGGTTCTCTTGTATTTCTGATTTCTAGAGTCTTGTTTCTTGACTTGAGTGTATTTTAATGTGTTTGGTCAATTGGTGGATATTTTCAAAAAGCCCTAAGGCACCCAGGCCCAAAATGAGACCTTTAGAAATCAAAGATGAAAAAGTCTCAAACCCAACGAATTCATAATTGATAGTCATCAATCTCTACCTGAATAATTACTTTGGTTATATAGATCTCATGAGTTAATTCATCATGATTAAAAGATAATATTAGAATTCGTTTTCTTTTGGTCATACTACATACTGTTATTACCCTACCTTAATTATTTAACTAAAAGTTAGGAATTGAATAGTAGAATTTGATATTTCCATTGTTTGGCTACTTTAGCACGAAAGTTAATCCCTAAAAAATTCTGAATTTAATTTCAATCAAAAGAGACATCATTTCAGAATTTCTATTGTGTGAAGGAATTCGTTATTCCCTGAAATTTCATTTGCAAAATTTGATATACATAAATCCGAACACTGAAATTATTAATTGCCATAACTTAAAATGAAGGAGTTCTAAATTCCATCATTTTAGAATTCTATGCAATTTTCAATATTCCTTCTTTCAAAAGAAGGGCAAGAAAGAAAAAATATACATAAAATTCTATAAAACTCAATGAAAGTTTGCCATCATCTTAACTCTATAAAGTCATTAAAAGTAATGAAAATGATCATCATGAGCAGCTTCATTTGTTCATGCCAGTGGCATTCTTGACTGCATCAGCAGCTCCTTGAGCCTTCGCCTGCACATTCTGACCAACATCTTGCATTGTCTCCTTGGTAGATTGGGCTGCATTGTTAGCCTTATCCATCATCCCACTGGCCTTCTCCTGTTAAATCCAAAATGATCCAATACAAAACATCCCACATCAATCTAAAAGAAAATAGAAGAAAGAAGCAAAAACAAATGGAGAATTACAATTTATAGGTGAGCTAATTACCTGAGCTTGGCCCTTGGCCTCTCCAGCGTGGTAGCTCATCTTCTGAGAGTTGTCAGCCATTTTCTTCTTGCTTTGTTTTCTTGAAAACACTTGAAATTCAGATGAAGTTGTTATAACTCAAATTTGATTTCCGGATGATGAATATCTCACAATTGGGTATGGTTTATATTCAATTTTAAACCAGCTAAATGCTTGACATGTGTGATGCCTTGCACATATTACATCTTAGTCATGGTTTTGGACCATGACACTTGTCGCCCTATAACTTAGGGTGAGCCTTTTGACTAGGAAGGCTATTAAGTCTTAAAAGTTGCTATTCTTTGGGTGGCTTAGAGAGTTTTGTGAATGGAAATTACTTTTTCAGCATTATGGAATTCTTGTAATATTGAATTATATTATCAATTAATTACAATTCACAAGACTGTTCCAAAATCCACAAGATATTGTTATTTGATTGAAAGGCCTAAACATCTTATGAATAAATGCTAATAAACTTGTTGGGTTATCCGCCACATGAGTTAAAAGCGATATTGTCCTTCAGTGTTTGGACAAGTGTGCATTTTATCTTTAACCGCAAAAAATCTTACGTGTAATGAGTTTTATACATCATCATGCACGTTATATTCTTTCACGTGCTTAGTTATGTGACCACTTATTACGAGAAAAATAATGCATGCACCAGCTCTTTCATGTACGTTACATTCTTTCACATGCTTAGTTATGTGAACACTTATTTCAAGGAAAATAATGCATACACCAGCTCTATATAAATTTTTCTACTTGATAGTTACCCCAAGTTCATTCACATTCTGTATTTTTGTGTTAGTTTGGTTCTCTTGTATTTCTGATTTCTAGAGTCTTGTTTCTTGACTTGAGTGTATTTTAATGTGTTTGGTCAATTGGTGGATATTTCAAAAAGCCCTAAGGCACCCAGGCCCATAATGAGACCTTTAGACATCAGAGATGAAAATGTCTCAAACCCAACGAATTCATAATTGATATTCATCCATCTCTTCATGAATAATTACTTTGGTTATATAGATCTCATGAGTTAATTCATCATGATTGAAAGATAAAATTAGAATTCGTTTTCTTTTGGTCATGCTACATACTGCTATTACCCTACATTAATTATTTAACTAAAAGTTAGGAATTGAATAGTAGAATTTGATATTTCCATTGTTTGGCTACTTTAGCACGAAAGTTAAGCACTCAAGATTTCCGAGTTTAATTTCAATCAAAAAAGACATCATTCACAATTTCTATTGAGTGAAGGAATTCGTTTTTCCCTTAAATTTCATTTGCAAAATTCGACATACATAAATTCGAACACTGAAATTATTAATTGCCATAACTTAAAATGATGAAGATCTAAATTCCATCATTTTAGAATTCTATGCAATTTTCAATTCCTCCTTCAAAAGAAGGATAAGAAAGAAAAAAAAATTACATAAAAGTCTATAAAACTCAATGAAAGTTTGCCATCATCTAAACTCTATAAAGTTATTAAAAGTAATGAAAATGATCATCATGAGCAGCTTCATTTGTTCATGCCAGTGGCATTCTTGACTGCATCAGCAGCTCCTTGAGCCTTCGCCTGCACATTCTGACCAACATCTTGCATTGTCTCCTTGGTAGATTGGGCTGCATTGTTAGCTTTATCCATCATCCCACTGGCCTTCTCCTATTAAATCCAAAATTATCCAATACAAAACATCCCACATCAATCTAAAAGAAAACATAAGAAAGAAGCAAAAACAAATGGAGAATTACAATTTACAAGTGCGCTAATTACCTGAGCTTGGCCCTTGGCCTCTCCAGCATGGTAGCTCATCTTCTGAGAGTTGTCAGCCATTTTCTTCTTGCTTTGTTTTCTTGTAAACACTTGAAATTCGGATGAACTTGTTATAACTCAAATTTGATTTGTTGATGATGAATATCTCACAATTGGGTAGGGTTTATATAGGATTTTGGACCAGCTGAATGCTCGACACGTGTGATGCCATGCACACATTTCATCCTGGTCATGGTTTTGGACCATAACATGGGTTGCCCTATAACTTGGGGTGAGCCTTTTGACCAGGAACGCTGTTGAGTTTCATCTTCATGTCGACAATTGCTATTATGAGGGTTTTTGAGACAGTTATGTTGAGTCTTGTAATATTGGATTATATTATTAATTAATTACAATTCACAAGACTGTTCCATAATCCACAAGATATTGTTATTTAATCAAAAGGCCAGAACATCTTATGAGTAAATTCTATAGACTTGTTGGGTACATGAGTTAAAAGCGATATTGTCCTTCAGTCTTTTTGACGAGTGCATTTTACGTGTAACAAATTGTATACATCATCATGCACGTTATATTCTTGCACATGCTTAGTTATGTGACCACTTATAACGATAAAAATAGTGCATGTACCAGCTTTTTCATGCATGTTACGTTCTTTCACGTGCTTAGTTATGTGATCACTTATTACGAGAAAAATAGTGCATACACCAGCATTAAATGAGTTTTTCTACTTGAAAGTTATCCCAAGTTCATTCACATTCTGTATTTTTTGTGTTGGTTTGATTATCTTGTATCTCTGATTTCTGGAGTCTTGTTTCTTGACGTGAGTGCATTTTAATGTGTTTGGTCAACTGGTGTGGATATTTCAAAATTTTTGAAGGCACCAGATCCAGAACAAGACCTTTAGAAATCAGAGATGAAAGAGTCTCAAATCCAACGAATTGGGTCTCAATCTCACGAGTAAATATCATTAATGTTTGGTTGTATTAAAAAAAGTTAATGACTTTTAACGACTTTGTTAAATGATAAATTTTTATAGACTTCTGTGGGTAAAATAAGTCTGCTAACTCACTAAAGACTCCTAATGACTTTATAATATTAACTCTAGGAAGCTATAGGTTGTTGGCGAATGCTATTTGTGGTTCTGGCGTCCAAATCGAACCAACATCCTTCTTCTTCGTAACTTACCATTCCATTCATTTCTATCTTCTTTTTTTTCTTTTGCGAGATACAAGAGAGGTACTGCACTTTTTTTTGGTTGGATGTTTTAAATTTTTGGATGTTGGTCAGGCGATCTTTACATGTTTTAATTTAACTGCCTTTAAAGACCTTAGGGCAAAGGTGATACTTGGATCTCAACACGTTTGGTTATAATAGATATGTTACTAGTTTGAATAAACACTGCCATGATTAGAATTTATTTATGAAGTCCACTAGAACAACAAAGAGACCATGTTATCTTTGTTAGAAGAAACCAATGCAATTACTTTGGCATTTTCATAATTGATATTCATCAATCTCTACATGAATAATTGTTTTGGTTATATAGATCTTATGACTTAATTCATCATGATCAAACGATAGAAGTCGGTTTCCTTTGGTCATACTACATACTACTCTATTACCCTCCCTTTGGATTGACAAAAATAACTCAGGATTTAGCTAAAAGTTAGGAATTGAAGAGTATAATTTGATATTTCCATTATTTGGCAACTTAAGTACAAAACTTAAGCACTCAAAATTTCCGAGTTTAATTTCAACCATAAGAGACGTTTCACAATTTCTATTGAGTGGAAGGAATTCATTTTCCCTGAAATTTCTGTTATTTGCAAAATTCGATATACATAAATTCGAACATTGAAATTATTAATTGACATAATAAATTAAACGGATTGAAATCTAAATTCTGTTATTTTAGAACTCTATGCAATTTTCAATTCCTTCATCCAAACGGAAGGTAAGAAAGAAAAACAAATTACATAAAAGTCTATAAAAATCAAAGTTCGACCAAAAAAAAAAACTCAATCAAAGTTTTATCATCTATAAAGTCATTAAAAGTCATGAAAATGATCATCATGAGCAGCTTCATTTGTTCATGCCAGTGGCATTCTTGACTGCATCAGCAGCTCCCTGAGCCTTGGCCTGCATATTCTGACCAGCATCTTGCATTGTCTCCTTGGTAGATTGGGCTGCATTGTTAGCCATATCCATCATCCCACTAGCCTTCTCCTGTTAAATCCAAAATTATCCAATACAAAACACCCCACATCAATCTCAATGCACATTCACATATAAATGTGATATATTTAATAGAAAACAAAAGAAAGAAAGCAAAAACAAATGGAGAATAATAGGTGAGCTAATTACCTGAGCTTGGCCCTTGGCCTCTCCAGCGTGGTAGCTCATCTTCTGAGAGTTGTCAGCCATTTTCTTCTTGCTTTGTTTTTTTGAAAACACTTGAAATTCAGATGATGTTTTTATAACTCGAATTTGGCTTGCTGTATCTCACAATTGGGTAAGGTTTTTATAGGACGTTGAACCAACTAAATGCTTGACACGTGTGATGCCATGCGGAAGCCATTCACACATTTCATCATTATCATGGTTTTGGGCCATAACACATGTCGCCCTATAACTTGGGGTCAGCCTTTTGACCAGGATTCAGCATTATGGAATTCCTGTATTTATTTGGATTATATTTCCTCAGTTGTAGTAGGCCTAAAAACCTTTAATTACAATCATAGTCCTCCCATATATATATATATATATAATATGATATAGAATCAACAGTTATATCACATACGCTTTTGAGCATAGACATTGATAAGTTGGGTTGAAGTTATTATATGATCAAAAGATAAACTGTCACCAAGATGTTGTTATCTGATCAAAAGGCCACAACATCGTATGAGTAATGGCCAGTTTGGCATTGTTGTGCTTTGAAAATAATCGCTGTCAGATTTGCTATGAGAGAAATCAGCTGTGAGAGAAAGCAATTTGACGTTTTGTAAAATTTTTGTTAAATGTTGGTATTGATTTTACGCATAATCAAAAAATGATTGCCGCATAATCATTAAACCCAGCGCCTCTTCGAAACTGATTCCTGCATAATAAAAAAATGAAAGCACCATAGCTGCTTTCCCTTATAGCTTTCTCTCACAGCAATTTTTAACAATAAGTGATTTTCTCACAATTTACCAAAAGGGTTGGGCTTCTCAAAATTTTTTAAAAATCCCTTATCAGTCCAAATAAGCAATGTCAAACTGGCACTAAATGCTACATACTTTTTGGGTTCTCGTCAACATGAGTCTAAAAGCAACTTTGTCTCTCATTTCGTGGAAAAGTGGATTTTACATTCAAGCAAGGAAAATTTACATATAACATGTTCATATATGTCTTGTATATAATCTCTTCATGTGATTAGTTATGTGATTACTTATTATTTATTATTTTTTTATACAAGCGATAATCTACTCTAAATTAGTCTAATTATGAAAGAGAGGATTCGAACTTGAGTGCGAGGGGTCGGGCTCAATGTCATAGACAACTGGTCTAACTAGGCTTGATTTTGGATGGAACAAATTGGAATTAGGGGATTCCAATTCCAATCCAAAAAATTCAGAATGAAAGTTATCTTCAAATTATGTTCCAAAAAATTTGGAATTTTTGAAAGTTGTGGAAAATTTCGGAAGAAATGCAAAATTTTAAACATGCTCAACCATTTGAAATGTTAAACTTAGCTCATAATTCAAAACTCACACCAAAATCTCGAAAAATTATTATATGCGTATTTAGATGTTGTTATTCATTAAAGAACAACTTGCCTACGTCTATTTGACCAATAAATAATGTTTAATTCAACATGATGTTTAATCAAATTTTAAAAGAATTTTTGGATTTTGAAATTTTTGGATGTCGGCATTGATTTGAACTTGCGAAAATCTAAAAAAATTTCGAATCCGAATCAGTCGGAATCAAACTTTCTAATCCAACTTATTCCCCCAAGTCTAACGTGACCACTTATTATAAGAGAAATAGTGCATACATACACCAACTCAGTGCTGGTTTTTCTACTTTGATGACACCCAAGTTCACGTTCGGTCTTCTTACGTTGGTTTCCTTTTGCATCTCTGATTTTTTGAGTCCTATATTTGGACCTGAGTGCCTTTCGTGTGGTTTCGCAGCCAAGCCCGAAAACGTAACCAGAGATTCTTAAACCCAATGAATTGGGCCTCAGTCTAACGACTCAATATAAACCAAGCCATTCATATTATCAAATTTTGCCGGCGCCCCCTTCAACATACCCTAAGCTCAAGGACTCAAAACCCCTTTCTCCCCGCCACAGCACCTCTTCTCCCTCTTCATTCCATTACAGCCATCATCCAAGTTCTAAAGTTTAGAACTTTTTATAATCTTTTGGGTCATTTTTCTCAGCTTAAGAAACCCTTTTCTTCTTCTCATTCTTCTTCATCTTCTGGATTGGTTTCAATTAAATCCACAGATAAGAAGACAGAGCAGTCCGAGGGGTACGAAATTCGGGTGCTTGAACTCATTGTAAGTCGTACGGACGGTACAATCCGAAACGAGCCCAGCTATCTATCTCCATACTCAGAGTCACAGAAAGATGGGAATGAAGGACAAGAAGAAGACCAATAAGAACAAAAAGCTTGCCCAGACAAATTTGGAGCTTATTGAAAAGGGTAATTATATTCTTTCTTTTTTATCTGTTTTTTGGCTGCTTAAATTTATTTTGAAATTTCTGAGGTGGTCTTGTTTATTCCTCCAACCTCGTTGTTGAGCAAATCTATTTTAGATTATAAAAAATGAAATAAAACAGATGCTACATGCTTTAGAAAATTGTAGAACTTTTTGGACAAAAACCAATTGGATAATTGGAACTTGGCTTATAGAATTTTTGCTTTATCTGTTTATATAGTTATTTCGAAGAGTATAAACAAGTTGTTATTCTGTAATTTTATTTGTTTTCAGATAAAAGGTCACCTATAGAGATGAAAAAGAGAAAAAGGGAGAAGGAAATCAATAGTGACTCTCGAAAGGTTGTTCATGTCTCCATTGAAGGTACATTGGGTTTCTGTTTCGTATGTTTTAAATAAATTGTTAGAGCTTTAAATTTGAAATGAACTCTCTTTTCTCTGTTTGCTTTTCTTGTTTCAGATAAATCAGCCAAAGCAGCCAAAGATAAGAAAAAGACTAAATCACCAAAGAAAGTGAAGACGAAGAAAGCGAAGAGCTATAAAGCTTTGGAAAGCAAGCATGATCACCCAAATACTGAGACTGATGATGATTGTGATGTAACAAATGGTAAGTTGCTATATTTATGTAGCATTGTACTTTAAATGTTTGGTACTTGCTGAGGAACTTTAAGTTGATGTAATTTGTTATCGGTGTCCTAATATTTTAAAATTGCCCCTTTTGGGGGTGAATATTGAGAAATTTCGAATTGCTAATGCTCTTGCCTGTTTGTGCGTTATTTTGCTTTATGCATATTGGAGTGTATTATTGTTTTCTTTTTCTCTAAGCTAAGGTCAGTGCTTTCCAATTTCTTTATCAAGCTGTATGAATTTGCATTGATTCCATTGAAGTGTCCTCAATAGAAACCTTTCCTGCTTTTGACTTGTTTAAGATAATCTTCTCTTTCTTAGATGATGGAGTTGTAGATCTGAGCCAATTTGAAACTCAGGAAGAGAATGAAAGTGCTGAAGTTTTCATTGAGGCTGGTATGGGAACTGAAATTCGAAAGTATGAATAAGTGACAAATTTTGTTTGATCTGAGCGAAGAGTCACTGGATGGAGCTTGTATTGCAGTTATACTTAAAAGGTCAGGTGCTCATTGAGGCTTTTATTTTATTGTAGGCAAGTCAAAGAAAGCTAAGAAAAAGAAAAAGAGGGAACATGTCTCATCAGAATGCGGGAAGTCACTTGAAGAGGGAGTAGAAGATGATCTGGTTAACTGCTCAAAAGGAATATCAAGTATGATTCTTGAATTTGAAACATTGCTCTTATCCAAGTTGACACAATGTCGTGGCAATTAGTGCTCTTCTGCTTGTAATAATAATCAAAATTGTTGATGTAGGCATATCCAAGAAAGCTTTGAAAAAGAAAAAGAGGGATGTTGATTCATCAAAGTCTAAGAAGACACTGGAGAGGCAAGTAGAAGCTGATCAGGATGACGTTTACCTTATTTCTTCTGGGGATGAGGACTGTGCGAGAGGAATGAAAAGTATGAATTACTCATTTCAAATTATATGTTGGTGTCTGCAACTGTTCATAATTTAAAACCAACTATCACCTATAACCTATGGATAATAACTTCAAATTATTTTATCAAAGTCCACATGTGTAATATTAGTTTTCCATTCAAGGATTGTCTTCTTAAATTGAAGCAATAAGAATGCTTTATATTTTATTTTTCTTATTGAGAGTTTCTGAATCCACAGAATGGGTTACGGAATACCATCAAAGTAGACCTGGATTGAAGGTACTGCAGCAAAGAATTGATGACTTTATCACTGCTCATGATGAAAAATTGGAACAGGTAATTTTCCTCTTCCATGCTACAACAACTCTGGAGTATCTTCATTCAAACCAGCAGTTTGAACCTTTGCTCTTAATAACTGTTGTTCATACACTAACTTCAATTATATGTATGTGTACATACTTGAAGATTTAGATATGAAAAAAAAAACACTTTTATGTTATTGACTTGTATATAAACACTGAATGTATTAGCTGCCATGTGTATGCCGCTGTGTTTACTTGTTTTGAATTTTGGCCCACATCTGTACTTCTTCATGGAAGTTTGTCTCATACTCCTGCCTATGATCTCTCTTCATATATGCTCATGTAGTCTGAAAATGTATTTCTATGTTTCATTGGCCAGTGGTGTATGTCCATCTGTTTAAATTGATTGGTATCTACATTGGAACTGTCCAATTGATCAAATGTGTATGAGTTCACACATATGTGTATTACACGTTCTTAAACTAGTCAACCTTTTTTTGTTCCTGTGTCATTTGGCTACCTGTTTAATTCTCGTTGACTTTTTTGTGGCACATACAGGAAAGAAAGGAAAAAGAAGCCCGTGCTGCAGAAGGAGGATGGACAGTTGTAGTACATCATAAAGGAAGGAAGAAGACCACGGATGCTGAGAGTGGAATTACAGTAGGGTCTGTCGCCCAGGCTGTTGTGGAGGACAAGGTGGCCAAGAAGAAGCGCACAGAAGTCGGGCTAGATTTTTACCGGTTCCAAAGGAAAGAAGCTCAGAGGAATGGTATGTTAATCTTACGTACGAAGTTTATTTTTGTTAACCTGAAAACCACACCAGTTTTGGTGCAAATGCTGCATAGTTCCCCACCTCCGAACTGAAAAAGAAAGAAAAAAGTAGATATATGAAGAAATAATATGATCCCATTATGAATATGCAATGGCATTGTTCATGTGCTTCTGGTCTTAATTTCCAATAAACTTTCTTGTCATAGTTTTCACAACAAAAAATTTTATATTCAAGAATCAGATATATTTATTCTTGTTGGTTAAAAGTAGTGCAAATACTGAAGCAAAGCACTAATTAATAATCTGTCCTTGCAGAAATTATGATGCTGCAGAGCAAATTTGAGCAAGATAAAAAGCGGATACAGCAGTTGAGAGCGGCTAGGAAGTTTCGACCATACTGAATGCCTGATAGTTTGTATGAAGAAGAGCCATGAATCAAATTGCTCTTTTCTGAATATTAAGCCATGAATAGTATAATGCGTATTGCATAACAATTGTTCTCCCAATACTGCTTTTCCCGTTTGGTTACAACAAGTGTAATTGATACATCCATTGTTATTCTTTTTGAGAGAACGTCCAACTTTCACACAGTGAGATACGAATTCATTGACTGGAAATGCAGAAACAATTGGGACCTCTTTAGGTCACTGTTTTCAATTTGAATGCCATCTTTCTAAAAAGTCAAAATTGCCGCCAAAACGAAATTGACTGGAACGAGCACCCCTATTTTAGGGGAAGGCAGCTTCTCTGCAAAGACAATTAAGCACGTGCAATGAATTGACCTATTCCATCATCGTATGCTTGATGCTTTCTGGTTCAAACTTGGCAGGGTTGATCTTTCCTACTTCATTTGAAATTGCTTTTCTTTGGAATGGTTGACCTCTTCCATCATATGCCTAACAAATTTCTACCACCCCCCAAAAAAAAGGCATAAGCGACCATCAGTAGCAAAATTACATAGGCAAGAACATTGGACAGTGACATATGCTGACTATGAAGCTGAGCAAAATTACACAAATCCACACTTGAAAAGTGAGATATGCTGACTAAAGAGCATATTCGATCGGCCAGAAGGTTGTAGGCACCAGTCAATGCTTAGAATAAAATGTTATTTCCTCATTTGTTGAATAAAATGAACTTCTTTCTTCATTTGTTGAATGAGACACTGCAAACTAGAAGAGGCATTGTGACCGAAAGAAACCACAACATACCGCATATGATTCATATCATTATGCTGCAGATTTTTTCTTTTGATAGCAAGAAATGAATATATTCTAAGGAGCCCTTGAATGGGTAAGAGAGAGAGAGAGAGAGAGAGAGAGAGAGAGAGAGCATAAACGTCTAACACAAGAAATTAGGGTTTCGTTCAAATGGTCCTCGCATTTTGGTCTTCGTTCAAATGGTCCGCACTGACTTTCATATCATAAAAGTATTTGAACAAAACTTCCTGGAGCAAGAAATGAATATATGCCAAGGAGCCCTTGAGAATATGAGTGAGAGAGAGAGAGAGAGAGAGAGAGAGAGAGAGAGAGAGAGAGAGAGAGAGTAAACGGCGGATAACACAAGAAATTAACTTTCATCTCATAAAAGAGTACTTCAACAAGACTTCCTACATCCAGGAAGTCAAGGATCAAGGATCTCTTTCACCAGAGATCCTCTTTATTCAAAATAGCAGACTAAAATGCAGCAAACACATATTGCATGACAAACTATTACCCTACTATATAAGAGAGACATAACCCCACGTCACATTTTGTTTATTCATTACTACTAAACACAAACAATAGAACACTAGATCTTGTCCTTAAGTATCTCTTCAACTTCCTCGTCCTTCTCGTCCTCGCTCCAGCAACCTTTCAGAATTGACCTTGGAGACTGGGAACCTGCATCCTTGACAAAGCTGTGGAAGATGACAGCACCACCCAAACCCAGCATCTCATAGTTGCTTTCTCCGCAACAGTATCCCCTCAAGTCGTCCAGGGGGAACTTAGCGTTGAGTTGTTCGCCTGCAGTACTGGTGGTATGCAAAGCTACGGAGAACTCAGCCGGTTTGAAACAATCCAAAACACTGTCAATCAGCTGGGTCAAATTCACATTTTTGAAGTCGTATCCCATTGTTTCAAAGCTCGCGTAGCTGAAACCGTCTTCTGGTGTCACATGGATGGTAGAAATTGCATTCCCTTCAATCGAATTCATGGAGTAACCACAAGGATCAAACTCAAAGTCGCATATTTCAGACTGGGGGAGGATCTTCCTAATGCCAGATTCTTCAGTCATACCAGCAGCTGAACTTGCGTTTGATTTGTAAAACACAGATGCCTTCTTCCTGTCCAAACCAGTCATGCACATCTCCAATGTGTATGTGGGTCCTGATTGGCGTGCGCCCCAAAGTAAGCTTGCCAACTCTGCCGATGCAGAGTAAATATGCCATTTCTGTGTTTTGTCAGAGCTACCCATAACATATGCTCTGCTTGCCAAACCAAGCTTGCCAAAATGGCCATCCAGGACAGCTACTTCCTCTGAAAAGCTACGATGTGGAGAGGGCTGGGCACCAGGAATATAAAGCTCCCACGAGAGTACCTCACTGATTTTACAGCCAAGGAAAGAGTCTCAGCCAACTTGAGGATGGCAGGGATTGATCGAAGCAATTTCGTTGTTCCACAGGTTTTGATGATCACTTTGTATGGGTACACAAAGAGGCTTGATTCCGAAAGGACATAAGAGTCCAGATCATCATTAGAGAGTGAGGAAACAATGGTGCACTCAGCTGGTTTCAGAATCTCATCCAATTGATCTTTCGACAGAGAACGGAGACCCATGCCGGCAGGGTCAGCAAACAGTCCAGGCTCGAAGAATGAGACCTCGAGCCTCTTTTCATAGCCTTCAAATCCAATTGCAGAGACCGGTACAGCCATCTCGAATTAAGGAAGGAAATAACGTTGCAACAGCAGATAAAAGGAGAACTAGCGAGGGAACAAGTACGAGAGAGAACGAGAGAAGTAGGAAAGAGAAACAGACTAGAGCTAAAGTAAAATTGCAGTATTAACGATCGCACGGGGTTATGTCTAGACTTAGCAGAACTCAGGATGGCTTGCGGACGCACTGCATAGAGAACAGTATAAGGTAATATTAGAAGGCCATTCATACAAAACAAACCAGAAATTACATGCACCCAGAAACAAACAGTAAAACTTACGTTAGAGTAAGCAGCTGATCTGAATTTCTTGATTCCACCGTGAGGCCTGACGTCTTCAATGCTGTAACCGAGGGGAGCTTCGTAAAATAATGACTTACTACTACTAGACTTCTTTTTGCCGCCCTTCGACTCCATTAGCTCATTCAGTTTTTTTCCTGCAAAAACGATAGACCAAGGGCGTTAGCACCAAAAGGAGACATCTTTGCAAATGACATGAAAAGGCAGTTGCGATATAACAGCAAAGAATAGTAACCAGAAACCTTAGAATCTAATTTCAACAAAGCCAGTACATCCAAGCATACAACTCCATCAACAATTTTACGGAATTATCCAGAAAAAAAAAAAATCCGTGTTCAACAAGTTAGAAACAACCAAGCATTGTGATTTGTTGAACAGGGAAAAGGGAACCTTGCATCAAAAGCAAAGAATTGCTTACATTCCTAACAAAATCTTCATTCTTTCCTTACAATAATAAATTAAAAATCCTCATTTCTGCATATTTCAATAACAAAAGCAAAACCTTGACATAATCTTTTTCATGTACATAAAAAAGAAACCTTTTTCTTCCCCATAACATCAAACCAATAGGCAAAACTATCCACGAAATAATAACCAGGGCCAAGGAAGCACACTTACAAATTGTTTTGAAGTTTCTGAATTAAACCTACAATCTCCTTCGAGAATCCCTTTTTAAATCTCTAAATCAATTACCTGAAACCGAAAGAAATCAAAGATCATAATTAGACAAAAACACAGAATGGAATGAACAAAATCCACAAAACTAAGAACCAGAGGAGAATCATACCACAACCTTCAGATTCGAAAACTTGGGACCAAGACGAAGATCTGAAGGAAGAGGCTGAAGAAACCCTAATTATACCTAGAGTCCGCACAAGCACCTAAAAAAAAACCGAGGTTCACGAAAAAAATGGGAGAGCAAAATTCGGTGCTTCGTTGTTTTCGTGAAGGTTGAGAACCATAGGGAACGTCGTTTATATAGCATCCCCGAGCCGTGTTTGCCACGGGAATTGCGTTTAATTACGGTCATGTCCTTCCGTTTTCATCTGGATTTGCTCTCCGACTCACAACCTCCTGTATTTGTTTTGCTCTGACGATACTACCCCTCCGTGTTTTGCGCGGATGGGAAGTTGAGCCGGCGCGTGGGGGCATCATAGACATTTCGTCATGGAATAAATGTTTCGAAAGACCTGAGAGAGAGGAGAGAGAGAGAGAGAGACGACGTCGTACGGAAGACTCACCGGTTTGTACACTAGGATTGGATGCGGACGATCATGGATTAGCATCACACGTGGAGGTACGACAAGAAGGTGTGGCTGTGAATCAACTACACGTAGAGAGTGGGACCAGACTGATGCTGTGAGCTGGTTCTTTTTGTCATTTTCCTTTTCTCGATCCTTTTAACGCTTTGTCTTACATGGCTGCATGGGCCCACATGTCAATATTCTCCACTTTTATATCAAATTCAAATACTATTCTATGTACTTGGACCCTCCAAAAAAAATAATCAATTGGAATTTTTTTGCCTTTTTATCTTATTAATTATCTTCTCTAAAAGAGCATGATTTCAAATCTATATATAGCAAAATGTCTTTAATTAATATAAATATTAAAATTATTAATTAAATAAAGATAATATGATAAATTTTCATATTAAAAAATTAGACAATAGATCTATTTTTATGGAAGACAATTACTCATTATCTTTTTAATTCTAAAATAAATAAATTTTTTTTTTAAAAGTTTCTCACAAACGCAGAAGCATGTGCAAAGAGACTAATTTTGTTTATAAAAAAAATATTATTTAGTTTGTGTTTTTCACATACAATGCACCTGCTGTGTTATGGGAGTTAAAGCATATATAGAAAATAAAAAGAGAGAAATAAAGAAATAATTGGATTGAGAAATAAAGGAAATAACATCATATGTCAACTCAAAAGTTACTTTACCATATATGGTTTGAATAGACAACAATCGTGGAGGTTACGTGTGTAGTCACAATGTTTAATAAGATAATAGGTGATATCTAACAATTGTTGTTTTGAGGGTCACTACCTTCTCTCAATAACCTGAGTTATGTGGTTCATCAACTTTTCATATTTTCTGGAATAAAAAAAATTAGAACTCGACTGGCAAAGAGAGGGTGGGGCATTGACCCTAATGAAGTCATTTATCTCCCACTAATTATTAGTCTTGGACTCGTTTTAAAGTGATTCTGAATAAGTCAAAAATCACTTATTCATATAATTACTTTAAGTGGCATTAAGTGATTTTATAGAGAAGCACATGAAATATGTTTTGTTTTTCCCCCATAATCACTTAAACTCACTTAAAATAGAGAAACACGTGAGAGGTGCTTCACCCTAAAAGTAATTATGCCATATTCAAAATCACTTTCGAACGAGACATTGATCTCAAAAGAAAATCATACACACAAAAAAGGGGCCTTTGTTCATTAAAACATGGGAAACTTAACACCAAATTAAGTCCATATAGATATAGAGTTAAAGCCAAAAAATACCTACTCAATTACGTATCGAATTAGAGGTGGCTGCTTTGCATGCGAGACAGTTGTGTGAGTATTATTGATTGATGCTGTTTTTGGGTTCGAAAATTGACCCCAACTCTCCCCCACCCCCTAACAACCATAACACCTCAAAAGCACCGAATGCATGTCAATCAATTGCCGTGGTCTTGTGGGTTTCTTTCTTGCTCATGACTATTTTGGTATCAAACTTTTCTTTTGGCCAAAAAGAAAAGCAAATTCCTGTTTTAGCATCTTGGAATTGGAATTGACAAGAGTTTTTATTTGATGGAGAATATTTATGTTTGCTAGAGGGTAAAAAAAACTTATGCTATGGCGAATCACCCGCGCTTTAGTGATTTATGACTATAAATTTTAATCAATGGTTCAAAATCGCCAGCGTGACTTTAACAAAAATCGTCGCTAGAAAATATAAACAGGGCTTCCATAGCAGCCCCCAATTGACAGTGTCTAAGGGCCGTTTGGTGACATGGATTGTAGACTACACTAATCCAATCTTATGTTTGGTTTAGCCTCCCAAATGAAGGTACGGGAGCATAAATAGTAAATAAAGGACACCACAACGAAATTCAACAGTTTAGGAGGATGTCAAGGGGCTTGAGGCCTCCTATTTCAGAAGTTGGCAACTTTAGCAATGTTAATGTATATTTACATCTAAGATTTTGAGTTTGTAACAGGGAATAGGGGAGTTCATAAACATCTAATATGATGACAAACGTTATCAGTGCTATTCTTTTGGTTATTGCTGCGACGTCCTAAAACTAAAGAATGACAAGTTAATCAGAATCAGCATAGCTCCCATCAGATGAGCAGAACCTTCATTGCAACTGTTTCTCATTCTCTGTAGACTGATTGATCTTTCCATGCTTCTTCTCATACTCCTGCCTTGTTTCCTCCAAACCCCTGGATACCTAGAGATCAACCAAAAGACATACATACACATGAATGATGAGAAAATTACAACATTGGCACCTCAACCATCATCATTCGTGAAAAACAATTATGCAGAAGAAAAACCTTGATTGAGTAAGCCATTGGAAGTAACGTATCAGGATTCATTGCATCGTCAGGGAAGTTACGCAAAGCATGAATAAGTTTTTCAAAGGGTAATTTTATCTGTTGAAAAGAAAAAAAATTTCTATGAGCAAATAATATTCTAGTTGTCATGATTTGGAGCAGAAAGGCATCCTGATATACTCACCAAGTCGTCATGACAATACTTTAATAAGGCTAAACCAACTTTGAAAACAATTCTAACACCCTGTAAAAATAAAAAATAATAGATCAAGTTTAAGTTGAAATCCAAACCCTAGTACTTCCAAGGAGATATATAACACATTAGAAATAGCTAACCTCGTAGAGAAAGACATCCCAAATTCGAAGAGCCAAATGGAATGGGAAAGAATAGGAGAAAACGGTTATGAACCACTGGCTTGCATACATGCTAGGATTTATCATCTCTTGAGTAAAATGCTCTCCCATCTTTGGCAGGTGCTCCTTTACTAACTGGTCAAACTGAAAAAGGTATTGTTGTACTAGTGGTAGCCCTACCTACATGACAAGCATAAACTAACAATTATCAAAACATGAAGCCATTTTCTCCATTTCTATTCCCCACTTTTTCAATAAAAAACAATAAATCAGGCTTTGAATATAATAAATGAACAAACTACGCATAACCCAAATAGATAAAAATGAATGTGAATGAACTCCTCAAACCTCAAACTAGGCATTATCTGATGTCATTGGCATTTTTGTTTTCCTCTTAATTCTAGGAAATGTACCATACGACCAAAGTAGCGGACTACATTCTTCTTTTTCGATAAATATGGCGCGCATGATTACACTTAATTAGTCTACAAACCCCGAAAGATAAGATCAAGACATTCATATAACAAAAGGGCTACCTGATATAAACCTTCCATTGGTGCATGGACTGCTCCTTTGAGTAATGCGACTAATAACCAAAATGCATCCTCTTCACTCATATAAAGAAGCAATAGACCAGCCAGAAACCCCATTCCCTGCATTATTTTAACCATTTAAAATTATCCAGTGTCTGGCATAAATTAAGTGCAACAGCGAACAAACAGAAAGTCTCAAACCTGAACATATCCAACTTCTCTGTCAAAGACAGAGTATGCCTTCAAAACATTGTAGAGGGACCTTTGACCAGGACCGTGTCTCTGCTGGAAGAAAACATGTGAAGGGAAGGTACGGGATATATCTCGAATTATATCCAGCTCTGAAGCTGATGTCTCATAAATTACTAATTGCTGCAAAAACCAAACACTTCTTAGTTTAATACTATGGGTGTGCATGCACAAAGAAAGATGAGCATTAGATGAAATATCAACTCATGATGTGAATGAATAATATCACAAATAAGGAAGAGCAGTGTAATTAAATTTGTCCACCCACCATCCAGCCGACCTAAAATAATCCCACACCACATAGTTATCCACTTTCTCAACAAAAGACTCAAAGGGGATATTTCAAATTCAACTAACATGAACCTAGCTAAGGCATAAAGTACTCAAGATAGGAAGATATCTTAAGCCTATTGCTTGAATGTTGACTTTTGGCATTAATTTTCAGCTCTGATCAACCTAAAACCGTGTCAAAGACTGGCAGCACCAATTCAAACATCAAAGATAGGAAAGATAATTATGCTAATAAGGCAACTTGATTGAGTCTTTCTACAAGCCTTCCTAATGTTGACTAGATTAGGCATACATGCAGTTTCTAGTAACACCACCAGGTATGCACCAAGGCAACACAGTTTCATAATCTAAACCAACGAATTTTATTTCCAAAAAATGTGATTCTTCAACTGGAGCCCGCTTAGAACAAGGTTTAACATAGGGTTGGCTTCAGAGCTCATTTTACGATGAATCCGCATAAGATTTTTTTTTAATAACCAAAATGGCTTGTAAAAAATCCGTAGATTTGCAAGGATTTTGGCAGGGGTAGTTCTCATGCCAATCTGCTAAAGTATTTAGGTTTTTCTTTAAAGGTCATCTCAATAGATTTTCCAGCCACACATTATTTATTTTGCTTTTCAAATGATTGACCATGTCATCCTTGTGAACCACCTGATTTGGTACCCAGTGCCTTCTTTCATTGATTAATAAATATTGAAGAGTATTAATCCTACTGTTCCAAAGAAATTGTTAACAAAGACAGGGGAACCTTCCCCTATGAACAACATATAAAATCCTTAAATACAAACTCATAAAGCAATGCCATATAAGATGTAGCAAACTTCACATAAGAAACCAGGAATCATGTGTACCTCATAAACTCCAGGGTTCATCAGCAACAGGTCTCGACTGCCAGAGATCAACTGCCACACCAGACCCCTTAAACAATCAGGGATTCCTTTCCTTATTCTCCTTTTAACAACATGAGGTTTTCTCCTAATATAGTGCTTCCAATCACTCCCTCCCACACCAATCATTTTCCTCCATTTTCTAACCCTTCTTTCCTCTCTGAAAAAGGTGATCAGATGTAGTAAATAATCATATCAATATCTGATTAGCATAGATAAAATATTAATTTGCTCAAGTCATAAGCATTAAAGCGAACTTCTTTTATGGCCAAATATTAAAGAATGTTAAAATGGTACATTAAAAAGGAAAGGCTTACCTCTCATATTCATAGGCTGACCTGCCCTTGGTTAAACCTTGAGGAGAAAGTTCCTGCTTTAAAAAACCAAATCTGTCCAATCTCAGTGCGGGAACTGGACCTGCCTCATGGTCATCTTCTTCCAGTTTCTTTTCCATTCTACTATCTTAAAGAATCTCTTGCACACCACATTGTGTAAGGACTTGTTTTCCTTCACCAATCTCGTGGATCAAATAGGCAGCGAAATCTAAAAGAGGTGAAAGAAAAGAAAAATGATACTGCTTGCAATCATAGATCAATGAAAATTACAAGAAAGCAAACAACCCCACTTCCAGAAACACTCAAAATCAGATCAATGACAACTTGTAGTAGCCATTAATATGACAACAACCTATTGCTGCCAAAATGATAATAAGACTCGCAAGTTACAATGCTAGGAAAGTATCGACTTAAAATAATCTAATGAAGCATACAGTTAGTCAATGAATATGGCACACGGATTTAAAAATGATTGATACAGCTACGAGATCGAACAATGAATATGGTCAACAAATGGTATGCATATCAGGAGAAACTACAGACACAGACATAAGACGATGCTCTAGCAACGATACCGCAGTACAACAAAAATAATATTACCCCTTAAAGAATCACTACATAGCTTTGTTCCAAACCCCATAATTCACATATAATCCAAAAACAGCCATTTCTGATTTGGACAAACAAACGGATATCCAATAACCGGGCAATGAACCACAACATTCCATTCCAGATTTACAACCAAAAAAACATAATAATCAGATGGGCAAAGAGGAACTTTGAAATGATAAGCAGAAAATTAACATCCACAACACAAATCCTAATGAAACCATGAATTTCTTGATGTATTGAGGCAAAAATTGAAAAGCCAAATGAAAATCATGGTTAAGGAAAGGAAGAAATGAAAACCAACCTGGGTATTGGAGAATTTAAGCCAGTGAATGATGGGTTTTCCTCTGTTTCTTCGTCTGATGTGAGATATGATCGTTAAAGCTCATATCTCAATGGTTTGTGCTTCAATCAATAAGATTCAGACAGAGGAGGTCCTAAGAATGGCGGTTTCTATCCTCCACCAAACCAAAAGGAGCATTACGCGTGTTTGGAGTGTCAAAGTAAAGTGCGTCGTCCTCTCAGTAGGATCAAAATTTCACGGGATACGATTATTTCTGAAGTGCCTTAAATTCGGGAGATATTGGTGTCTAAACGTCAACGGACTGCGACGCATAAACGGACCTTTAACGATGTCGTTTCACCGAGATGACGGAACGATGGGGTTGACAACAAAACGCGTGGTTTGTTGGTAAAGACGACATCAAAGATTACGTCGTTGATAGCTGCGTCGTCTCTCCACTTAAAAGGTCCGGGCTTTCCCACGAAGAAGGGCTTGACACCTAACAAAAAAAAAAAAAAAAAAAAAAAAAACAAAAAACAGGCGTAATCTTGCAACCACACCCATGACAGAGGAACAGAAGGACCCATCAGAGGTGAACATTTGGATAACTGTTATTAAGGCTTGGAGATAATTTCTCAGTCCACCGGAACTGCTTTCTTCTTCCCAAACTCACTAGGCTAACACTCTTCTTGCTTCCACAAGCTGTTCCAGGTTTGATGGTTGTGCTTGTGAAACAGTTCTGACAGGTTTTTCTTCTTCTTCTTCTGGTTTGTTGTTTTGCCAAATTCCACCTACTTATGAGGTTTCTGTATTAATGTTGCAATGTTCCTGTTACAGTTAGTAGGTTTTCTTCTTGTATTTCAATAGATAAGTATTGTTGTAGAGGTGGCAATGGCTTGTTTTTCTGTTGTTTGCAATACTGGGTTCTTATCTATTCCAAACAAATTGGAAGTTCATGGCGGAAAGTCCAAGTCTTTGGGGAGATATAGAGGTTTTTGTTGTCGTTCGTTGGGATATCATAAATATTGCAACTTTCAACATGGGTTGCTCTGGAACAATGAGCTTAGGCCACTGAGTAATGAAAAAAGTGGAGTTTTCTTAAAGGGATTCAATAATCGTTGTAAATCTAAACAGGGGTTGTGTTGTTACAACAAAATTGAGCCACTGACAAATGTAAACAGTGCAAATAAGCAGATGCATTTGGGAAAAAAAGGAAGCACCAAGTTAAGGTCTTTGAGGAAGAGATTTTCTTTAAGATTACGCCCAAGGTTGCGGTTATTGACTATAAGATTGAAAGCAGTTACAATTCGATCAGTGTTAAATGGTATTGGGACCTTCTTGAGAAAGAATATAAGAAGAGTGACTCTTTTTTCTTCAATTTCTGCAACATTGGGGCTGTGCTATCTGTTTTTGAAGTTAACAGCAGTGCCTTCTCCAAAAATGGTTCCATATTCAGAATTGATAACAAGCCTTCGAAATGAGTCTGTTACGAAAGTTCTACTTGAAGAGGGATCTCGTCGGATATATTATAACACAAACTCTCGCATTGCTGGGGTTACTCATATGTCTGATGAAGAATTGACAAACGTACAAGGAGAGAATATGGCCAATAAGGTCACAAGTGATAATGGTTCTCGATCTGATCAAGCACTGAATACGAATGTATTGAAAAAATTATCAGTCACTCAAGCTTCAACCCCTGACTGGCAGTATTCCACTAGAAAAATAGATCATGATGAGAAATTTTTACTTAGTTTGATGAGAGAGAAAGGAATTACCTATAGCTCGGCTCCTCAATCAGTGTTGATGTCAATGAGGACTACTTTGATAACTATAATATCTCTGTGGATTCCTTTGCTGCCATTGATGTGGCTTCTTTATCGTCAACTTACTGCTGGTAATAGCCCAGCCAAAAAGCGGAGACCTGATAATCAGTCAGTTGGATTTGATGATGTTGAGGGAGTTGATTCTGCCAAATTGGAGCTCATGGAGGTAAGCATCTCTTCTCTTGAATATATTAAATATGCCGTGTTTTATTCTTAATTTCTCTTTGTTGATACTTTGTTGCATGTCTAACTTGACAATAGAGTTGAGAATGAGGTAATTTAGTTACTTTTCTTGTTTTGGAACTGTGGATATCCTTCACTCTGTTTGTTATGGTTATGTACTCCAAGAAAGCTAGAAAGCTCTTGGTTTAAGTTCCTGAGGATACAAGTTAGGAAGACTAGGAAGATGAATCTATCTGTTCTTAGGTATAAACGTAGAACTTGAATCAAAGCCAAAAAATGCAAATTTTGTTTGTTCTTGGAATCTGAATTTGGAGAGCTTCAAACACCGAAGGCGTGAATGAAATATATATATATATATATATATATATATATATATATATATAGGACGGCTGAAACTCATGAATATGATGATAAACAGCTAGATAAGTGATACATAAATTTTCTAACTGTTGCAGAAATAAAGAAGCAAGAGCATCCTGTCATTTATTTATGAAAGCTAGACAAAAAACAACTTCAGCCATTTGCACCTCACCTCTCCTCTTGAGGTTCATATTCAATGACTCCTCTGCATCCAAAGACTTTCTAAGTCTGGAATTCAGGAGTTTTCAATCGATCTATAATTTTCTTAGCTTTTAAACAAAACTCTGGCTGCTAGCTAGTGGTGTCAATGAGCTAAAATAAGGTTGCTCCTTAGGGTAGTACAACAGTTTAACAACTGCTTCACTACTGTATATAGTACCCTTTGCACATGTCATACCGTTTTCCAACAATATCCTCATGAAACTAGGTGTGCAGTTCTTTTAATTACAAAATTTTGTCACATCATGAATCAAAAATTTTATCCAGCTCAGGTGCTGGGAATATTTCCCAAGGCTTGCAGCAAGCCTCTTTACACATGGTGCTGGCTCGTGCAGCTTGCATATCTGTTTATTTAGATATAATCTCGTGGATGTTTCTCATTTTTTGAAAATTGGTTGAAAAACAAATGAAATGAACAACATATGTCAGGTATCTTTGCATTTCTTTAAGTTTTATGTTGTTCTAAGTTTTGATACCACCTGTTTTTTTTTTTCTTTTTTTTTTCAAGAGATATGATGTTTTTGCCTTAGTGAATTTTACTGCCTTCTTTGCATATGTGGTTATCTGCTGACTAGTTATACAATTTTCTTCATTCATTTTGTTGATATAGTTCTTTCTTGTAGATAGTTTTATGCTTGCAAGGAGCTATTAACTATAACAAACTGGGAGCAAAATTACCTAGAGGTGTATTGCTGGTGGGTCCTCCAGGAACAGGGAAAACATTACTTGCCCGTGCAGTGGCTGGAGAAGCAGGTGTACCATTTTTCACCGTTTCTGCCAGTGAATTTGTGGAGATGTTTGTTGGAAGAGGGGCAGCTCGCATTAGAGACCTTTTTAATATGGCAAGGAAATATTCCCCATCGATCATATTCATTGATGAGCTTGATGCGGTTGGAACAAAGCGTGGCAGAAGTTTCAATGATGAGCGTGACCAAACGCTGAATCAGGTAATCTGAGTTCAATTCTGGCTTGTATCCTGCATCCCTCGCACCCATCAATATCCGAATTCACTATATTGTGATCATTCCTAATGTCTTCTGGAATTGTTAATGTGTAATTTGATTTATAGACCATTATTTATATTTTCAAACAGTTTTAATAATTGTCAAAATCATTGCAGTACTTGGGAAATTCTTTTTGTTCTCATGTTTGATTTCATTTTGATTTCAGAAAATCAAATTGATCCCCTTAAAAGGCTTGTCAACATTTTTTTATTATTTATTGCGAATGTATCATTTTTGCCTTATTTTTGTCTTCAGTTCTCAAGTCTAAATAGTAATCGACACTCTAAATTAGTTGACTGTTTCTATCCTTGCTGTTATGCAAAACAGTATAAGGCAGTAATAACCATATTATTGTGCTTTTTGGTATTCTTTTTTGGATCTTAGATTTGGATTTCAGTGGAAAATATGTTTTTACTTTCTATTACTTTCAATGAAGGTATTTTTCTCATAAAAAACTTGTTCCTGTCCTTATAGTTGCTGACAGAAATGGATGGATTTGAGTCAGACTCGAAGGTGATTGTTGTTGCTGCAACAAACAGGCCTGAAGTATTGGATTCTGCCCTTTGTAGGCCAGGCCGCTTCTCAAGGAAAATAGTTGTAGGAGAACCAGATGAAGAAGGAAGGAGAAAGATTTTGGCTGTACATTTGAGAGGAATTCCTTTGGAGGAAGACAGTAATCTTATTTGCAGCCTCATTGCTTCTCTGACACCAGGTTTTGTGGGTGCTGATCTTGCAAACATTGTCAATGAAGCTGCTTTACTTGCTGCTCGTAGAGGTAGGGTGAAGTATATTTCACATCCAAATTATCACTTGGTTTTTGCTATCTGAAAATTTTCTTGCTTGTAAGATCGGAGACTTTGCTTTAAAAATATGGCTGGGGTTTCTGTTTAAGTTTGGTTTCATTTTTTATTTTCCTTTTTTGGGTCCAATGATTAAATTTTGGTTACCATGAATAAGAGTCATTTTATCTGGCATCTCCTTCTCTCCTACTCGCACCTGCTTTCCCAGAGCCTAGACCGGCCCTTCTTTCTTTCCTCTTTGTTCCTCTGCCATTTTATTTGTGCCTTTCTTACTGTATAATGCACTGTTTATGCTAAAGATACTTCTAGAAAGAGAACTGTGGTAACCAATAATTCCATATTAATCTTTCCAGGTGGTGAAACTGTGGCCAGAGAAGATGTCATGGAAGCAATTGAAAGAGCAAAGTTTGGAATAAATGATAAGCAACTTAGACCTAGTACTATTAGCAAGGAGCTTGGGAAAATGTTCCCATGGATGCCTTCTCTGATGGGAAAGAATAACACAAGACAAGACGGATTGCCAGGGCCACTAGGATATCAAGCTCTGAGTTGAGTACGTGCATACGTTTTTGTAGTAGTTATATGGTACAATATGATTGAGATTAATAAATTTCATGAGTTAGGAATTTGATTTATACTTGTCATCATTTGCTGAGATATATCTGGTGAAAAAATTGAGAATGATTAATTTTAATATCCATATGAATGCTGGAATTAGCATCTATATGCATGCTCTGAACTTGCCTGCATCTTCCGTTACGAACTTCTTTCACTGGCCCATCCTGGGCTTTCGCTCACATGGTAAGGATGGAGTGGGATGGGCCAGTAAGAAAAGCGAAAAACAAAAACAAGGTAACTGGTATTTAGTGATTCATAGACATATGAGTGAATGTTCATAGTTGTCCATCAGAGTCTGTAGCCGCTCAAGTTCATCCAAGTTTCAAAAACTAAACTGCTGTTCCCGTGCAGTGATATAATACTGAAAATCAGTTTACCGGAGCTATTATCAACTTCAGGTTAATATTGAATCGACACTGCTAAAACTGTCCTGAATGTTAGCTTATGAAAACTAGTTGACAACTTGTGCAAGTTCACAAGCCTTGCTTTACTGATGTGATCGGCTTGTGACATCTAAGTTTTGGGCAACAAGAAGATGATTGACCGTAGTGCTCACCGAATCAAATCGTCAACCGTATTGTTTTGATCCTTTACTGGTCATGTTGAAGGCCAAATAAGTGATACTAATGGTAGCTTGTTCACAATCTCTGCGGTTCCTTCTCATCATATTTCGAGAACCATCGGCTGTCTTGATTTACAATTTGACATCCTATGTTGCTCTCAAATCTGGCTTACATTCGTAGGATTCTTTTTCCACTTTGTTGTGGAATTTTCCTTGTCAATAGTAACCTAGAAGTGGTTATCAGCAATTGCGGAAGGTAGTGATGGGGATTTATCTTGTCCACGAAAAGATGTTTGGCTCACGCCTGGTTTGATGTCAATTTCCAAGTGGGTTGTGTTAATGCAATTCCAGTCATCATCAACCTAAGCTACGATTAAGACCTGTAGTTTCCCAGTTTATTGGAATATTATGTGTGATTTTGACACCCACTAATATTCCATTTAGCCATAGTTTCAAAGATTCCCTTTGATTCTTTCAACATAAGCTTCTCATGTCAGACATTTCAATGCTATTCATGTCTTTCAGTCAGTTTTGCCTTCTTTTTTCCTTTTTCAATTTTGTTTCTATGTGATACCATGACCTTTCTTCCAGACTTCTGAAAATATTCCTGTGGGAGAATATTAGGCTTTTGATTATGCTATTTCTACCTCTCTGACTGACGTGTTTGAATGGTTAATGTAGTGTTGCACGGAGCTGATACTTCGCATGAAAAATCCACACGAAGCTTCTCACGTGCCGGTCCGGCGGCGTATAAACCCTAATCTTACTGCTATGAGCTGGAAAGCCAATCAACTAGGATCACTATTAGCACAGTGTCATAAAAATTTTCAATGCTGAGGAAACTTCAGAGTGGCAATCAGGTATCAAGTAGATGCAATGCCAAGATAATGCACAGCATACCATGTGACTGAAATGGGAATTTGGCATGCTTTACATCCACATGAACTATTTTCCAGCTAGAATATGCATTACGGTCTCATTAAATTATGAACACGAGCATCAACTGGTACGTTAACTTGCCCATATGACAGAATAAACTATGATATCTTCAGGATTCTTCCAAGATAATTGTTGACAACAAATGGGAAGCGTGATTGTCTAGGAATTTTTTAACCTTATCTTGTGTGATTGAATATAAATTTAAAAACAAAAACTGAAAAATGGAATATTGTAGTGTAGGGCTGAAAATTGAAGCCCCACCGCGCATGCATAAAACATGCTGTCAACTTGCCCATATGAGAAAAAGACGTTTGATCACCGAAAGCCACTCCTAATTGATTGTCCTTGACTGCAAGGTTCCATGTTTTTGGGAATTTGAGTCATGGATGTGTTTTAATATTGTAGTCTTCTGCAGACGCCAGTTAGGCCAGTCCGCAAGGACTCTCTTTTATCCGAATTCGAATTTCCCTTCCCGTAATTTAGACTATCGTTTTTAATATTGAAGTCTTTGTAGACTCCTGGTCAATCAAACATCAGCCACACCAATCTAGGTAATTTGGAAGCAACACAAATTCATTTCTTATTCGGTTTGCTGAAGGAAGCAGCATGCTTTTACACACACAATCAATAGGGCAGCGCGCTGGTGGATTGCCATTGAAGTAGCTAGCTAGGAAGCAAATATGGACCTGTTGCCGGGGAGTACAACCTAATGTAATGAGGAAAACAGAGCCCAAATTTCCTAGTTCCTATATGCACATATTCATTCCATTAACTCTGAGCAATTCACCACAATTACAAAATTACCCTATATTTACAAGATTGGTGGAGCCAAATAGTTTTTTTGCCTTAGAAGATTGCTGCTTTTAGTCTCCTTTTCAGCACCTCCCTGAATTCAAAAGAAGTTCAAACCGAATTAGAATAAACCAACCTTTTAAGCTAAAAGTTTAGAAGTTTTTTTTTATCCGAACTTAAATTACCTTGTGCGTTGTCTGTCTTGAGTTGAAGCAGATAAAAGTCCCCTGTTCTCTTCAGCCCTCCTCAGAAGGTAAGGAAGCACCAACTCTATTGGCCCAAATGGCATGTACTTGCTCACTTGAAACCCTGCATTTCTCAGACCAAAGGAAAGCGATTCCGCCATTCCATAGAGCTGTGCAAATTCAAGCTTCTGGCGTACCTTCCCAATCCCGATTTCATGTGCTTTTGCCACTGCCAGTTTCCCTATTTGTGTTCAACGTTTTACATCAGACATATTAGCTCAAGAATGCAGTTTGGCCTTTTTTCTGCAAGTTTTAACACAAGTGTTTGATTTTCTTTACCTGATTCAACATTATGGGTTGCAAGAACAACTCCACCAGAGCCATTGGCAATCTTCTCAAGCATGAACGAAGTGCAATCGTTGTAGCACGCATGTGTGTCCTCAATGCTATCGTGAATAGGAGACTTATACCCCAAGGAAGAAGCTACTTTCGCTTCACTTGACATATAAGCACCCCTCACCACTTTGAACCCCATTGGAATTCCCATGTCGTCTGCAGCCTTTGTTGCCAGCAGCAGTCTTTCCTTTGCATCTTTCAAGTAAGCCTGTATAGTCCCATAAACGATCGGGTTGTCATCTTTGTTGTAGATGATCGCAGAAGAGTACGTCAGGTAATCGATGGCCGGTTGAACCGAGGAGTACTCTGCATCAACGGATAAAGGGACATTGGCTTCGGAGCACTTCTGGGACAGTTTGAGTAGTCTCTGGTGGACTAATTCGAGATCCCGCTCCTCGTCTGGAGTTAAAGGCTCTGGCTTTTCAAGGGTGTGGTATAGAGGGCTGTTGTCAGAGAAAATGGGGAGGGTATCCAGCTTCCACGGGAGCTTGAAAGAAGGGTCTTTGTGTTGCCATCTCAGCAAGTCACTGACCCGCTCAAGCACCCTCATGGGACAAATTGCTGTGATTTTCATAATAATAAAGCTCACCTGTTACAAACCAAAAACATCGTTTTCAGCCACCATGCATCAAATCAAACCAAACCAACACAAAACCAAATTTCACAAGGAATTGGTGTGAACTACGATGTTGACAGAAAGACCAAACATCTAGCGTTTTGTTTTTTTTGAACAACTTCTAGTGTTTGTTCCATTTGTGATATTGAAAATCATGGCAGTCTTAACAACTGGTAACACGAAGGACACAGTCAGCTGGGTCCAGATTTTTCTCATCTTGGAATCTCCCTGTAACCAGCCAGGTAATCTTTAGTTGGTAAATCAAGTGGCAACCGACAACTAATGGACCTACAAAACCAGGTCAAGTGACAAACAGCCCAGAAACTACGTAGGTGTGGTCCATGTCACACCCACGTGGCATAAGTAAACAAAGTAGGACCTGCGATCGAACGTGGCACCCTCTACTTCGTCCTTGTAACACCATCCAGTTGTACCATCTTAAATCTCGTCTTTATCTTAAATAGAAAATCGCAAAAGTAGGTCTTACCTCTTATTGCAGAGATTTTGCATGGTTAGTTAAAAATATTTTATTTTATTTTTCGAGCGATATTACTGTAAATTAATCTAATCTAATCTACGAAGGAGAATTTGAACTTAATTACAAGAAGGCGGACTTACTGGCCGGCCTAACTAATTGACCTAATCCATCTCCGATTAGTTACTCAAAAGTTAAAAACAGTAAAAATCCTTCAACTGGAAATTTACCATTTGAATTCTTGAGATGATAAAAAAAAACAAAAACAAAAACAAAAATAAAGAAAAATAAATCTTGTAAACATGATTTTTGGATTGATTGGTGATGTGAAGAACTTACGGAAGAAGGAGGGAGGGACTTGGTGGCTTCAACGGTGTCCAAGAACCCCTGCAAGTTCCGATCACAAGCGTCGTTATCGCCGGCGTACTCCAGAGCGTAAACAAGCATCCCTCGGAGCCCGGCCTCGTTCAGCTCGAGCACCGACCTCCCGGCCGCCATGGCGTTCTCACCGGCGCAAAAGTGCTCGTAAAACGTGGACCGTATGATCCCCATGATCACGTCCCGAATCAACGGCGTGTCCATGAGCCTGGATTTCATGACCCACATTCCAATGTCCACCAATGGCTCGAAGGCCACCGCGTGGAGGTTCAGCGCGGCCCTCAGCAGCGTCGGCGTGGAGACAGAGGCGAATAGCTTGTCGACGTCATCGAGGTTGAATATGTTGTCGGTGATGGTGTCGGTGGCGGTGATGGCGTGACCACTGGGAGATTGTAGCGGTTTTTCGGCGTAGCCGATTGGCGGTGATATGGCGGAGATGGTGGTGGAGGAGGCGGCGGAGTTGAGTGGCCTGAGAGTTTTCAGGAGTTTTGATGCTGCTGGGATTACACGGTTTGCCATTCAATGGTGGGTGCCTTGATTAATTCTCTTGGTTTTACTTTCTCCTCTCTCTCTCTCTCGCTCTCTCTCTCTCTCTCTCTCTTTCTCTCTCTCTAGAAAAGTGGGTTGCTATTTGCGTATGTGATGGAGCTAATGCTTTGGTGTTGGCTTGGAGTGTAGGAATTGGGTTGGTTTTATAGACAGTTTTGGAGCTTTTTTACAGGGTTGGATTTGGTAAAAAATATTCGGTAAAAACTGTCTGGTAAAAACCATTTGGTAAAACAGAAGTGGGTTAAACTGATCCGGTTGACTATTGACCAGGTTTAGAGGTTTTGATTGGATCGTTTGCGCTTAGTAACAAGTGGAGCTGACTCAGCTGCAACGCAGTGGATCAGGGCGCTAGTTGGCGGAACAGACTAGATGCTAAAACGGATCTTTGTTTCCTTTACGCGGTGGTTACGCGAGTAGTATGCACGCGGTGTACATTTGACGTCGTGCGCTGAACGGTGTGGTTCCGCGGGAACTTTGGAGGGTGTGAGTTGGTCTGAAATTAGATGCTGTAAGATTGGATCTTACGTGGCTCCACGGAATCTTCGTCCAGCTTATACGATTGCATTTTGCCGACGTCAAATCAAATTGTTTTTGTTTTTATTCTTTTTTAATTATATTAAAATTTTCAAAAATAGAAAAATTAGGATTTTGGTTTCTTTGGTTGGGCTTGGGCCTAAAGAAGATTAGTGCCAAACTTTCCAAATTAATTGTAGCTTAACCAATAAACTAATCTCCTTTTAAGGTAAATTATTTTTTTCGGATTATCACACACCTTTTCTTTTTGTGGTCAAGAGATACAGAGTACAAAGATGAAAAACCTAACTTCGTGATTATCCAAAAACAGATAAGGAATCAAAACCTAAAAAACCTGAGCTTGTTGGGCAACATTTTTCGGGTCCATGTTACAGAAAACAGATAAGGGAAATTGTGGTTTTGTTTTTCTGGGAAGAGAAAAACTAAAAACGGAAAACTCATTTCCTAACAATTTATTTCCAACAACAAAAACTGAGGCATTAGGACGTAGATGTTATTGTTAGATTCTTAGTATCTTTTACTACATGAGCAAGGAACTTCTACTAAGTTTGGATTTTGTTTTTTTGTTTTTTTTTTCCAAATGGGCAAACATACAACCAAACAAATGGGGACTTCATACATTGTATTAAGGCCGAACACAATTACAAATGGGGAAAAAAAAAGGGAGATTCACTATTATACTCAATATGGGAGCCCAAATTATAAAAATACTCCATATGAAATGGACTTTATAAACACACCCAAAATCCATTTACAACATAACAAAAAAGCTTTTAACTTCTTATAAATTACAAAACTACCATCAATTTCTTAAAACAAGCCCAACCCCAAAATCTTATAAAAATAACCAAAATACTTAATAAGGCATCAAAGTAATTTAATAATTAATATTAAATTCAATAAGGCTAGCTGTCATTTTTTGGGGTTTGTTTATAAAAATTCAATTGTGTAGGGTTTATTTATAATATTAGTGCTAGAAGTGGGTATATCACTAAATATCTATAAAAAAATCGTTAAACTAAAACCCTAGAGGCGTCGGCACACTAGATTCCATCACCGCCACTAGATATCTACTACTGCCGCCGGGCGGCCAACATAGGGGAGGATAAGATATCTTGAAAGGCGGGGGCAGTGGCGGAGCCAGGAATCATACCACAAGGGGTCTTAGTGTAAAAGTCCAAATAAAAATTTAGGATTGAAAAACATATTGAAAATGAAATCATAGTACTTTCATTCATAATTCATAACGGAAATAATATTACAAGCTATAATTGTCCACGATGAGGTTTCATATTTTGAAAACGAAGCATTATAGCTTCATTTTCAATACAAGCAAAAATATCTCTCTCAATATAAACAAGCAAGCTATCACTCAACCATTGATCTCCCATTTTGTTCCTAAGTGGACCCTTAACAATATTCATGACAGAAAATGCCCTCTCCACTGAAGCAGTTGCAACCGGTAAAACTAAAGACAATGTAATGAGCAAATATACATAATTGAATACTTGATGCATCCTTGTCTCCACCATTTTTTTTGCAAGATCACCAATCCCTTGCAATTGAGAGAAATCACCCATGGAACGCACATAATGAATATAAATCTCAAGTTGATCTTCAAGTGCCAAACGATCCTCATCCGAAAAGTCTTGAGGATAAAATTGAGCAAGACGAAGTAACTTTGATTTATCAAAAGCTACAAATGAATCTTTCGGACTCAAACATGCCAAACAAATAAGCAACTCGGTATTTACCTCATTAAAGCGATCCTCTAACTCCGTAATTTGCTCATCAATGACATAAATAAATAGCTCCACACGATAATGATGACGATTTGTCTTTATTGGAGCATTACGCCTTGACCTCCCTGGAAGTATAAATGCCTCTTCCATGTTAGGAACATAAATATGATGTTTTTCACAAAAAGAAGATACTTCATCAACCAATGCATCGAACCCATTATTCCTCATCCAATGTAGCTTTTCCTTGCATGATTTCACTAAAGCCATTGCATTAACAATTTCTTGATCTTTCCTTTGCAATGCTTGTGACAAATCATTTGTGAGTCCCAATATGACCTTCATCAAGAAAAGGTGAAACACAAACTCAAAACTCCGTATTTCTCTCATTAACTTATTTGCTTCACCCGCACTTTCATTGGGATTATCATCAATAACCATTTGAAGCACATGAACCACAGATGTAAACATAGAAATGATGCTAATCAAGGTACCATAGTGTGAGTTCCATCGTGTGTCACCGGCACGTTTGAGACTTGTTTCTTGATTTAAGCCTCGCCCCGTTATAAGACAATCATTTTCAAAAGCTATCACAAGCTCTTCTTGAAGTTGCCCTCTAAGTAAATCACGCCGCTTACAAGATGCTCCAACATGATTAACCACACTATTAGCCGTTGCAAAAAAAGAGGCAATGTCTATATTCTTCTTTGCTACGGCAACAAGGGCTAGTTAGAGGGCAAAATAAACATAATAAAAATAAACATGAATTGGATATTCAATTAAATTAAATATATTCTACATATACAAAAACTTGCAAAATAAAACTCACAATTTAAACAAACCATCAACATAATCAAAATAAACATGAATTGGATTTCAATTAAATTAAATATATTCTACATATACAAAAACTTGCAAAATAAAACTCACAATATAAACAAACCATCAATATAATCAAATAAATATGAATTGAATTTCAATTAAATTCAATATATTCTACATATACAAAATAATGAAAATAAAAACTCACAATATAATCAAACTACCAATATAATCAAAATAAACATGAATTATGTTTCAATTAAATTAAATATATCATATATAGGGTTTAGAACTTACTTGAATTGTGAAATTTCACAATGACAATTAGCAAATATAAAGAGAGTAGCTGGCGGCACCACCACCACAGCGACGACGACGGCACCACAAAGACACCTCAATGGCGGCAGCAAGGGAGGAGATGGAGTTGAAGGCTTGGGGGGGATTGAGTTTGGAAGTTAGGGTTGGAGGAGGAGAAAACAAAAGAAATTTGGGGTTTTTTGAATGAAAGAATCGAATCTGTGTCTGTGGAGAAGGAGAGGCTGAGAGGGATACGCTGGGTATTATTTTTTTTGTTCAGACCTGGGCCAAAACGACGTCGTTTTGGCCAGGTCATTTAAAAATATTCCCTGGGCCAAAACGACGTCGTTTTGGTCCAGGTTGTTTAAAAAAAAAAGCTGCGCGCAGAGCAGCCTCCTCCTTCTTCTTCAGCTGTTCTGTTCCTTCTTCTTTCAAGCCTTCCGTCGACCACGTGGTGTGCAGCTCCACGAGGTCGCGCCAGCAGCTCCAAGGGACCTCCAAGGCTATTTCCATGGCTTCCAAGAGGTCGTCCGACCCCGACGACCCCACTGTGGCTCCGCCTCTGGGCGGGGGTCATAAGAAGATGACTGAGACACCTGAGAATAGGATTTTTTTTTTTTTTTTTTTTTTTTTTTTTTTTTTTGGTTTGTGGTATTCATTAGGCTTTTATTTTTCTTCATTTCTTGATATGATATGAGGTCTATTTCTATACACCTTTTAAGTTTAATCTGAAAGTGAAACTGTTCAAAGTCTATAAATCCCTCAAAATATTCGAAATTTATCCTCTCCTATTGATAAAAAACAGAGAAACCCTTCTTAAAATTCGTAACTAATTAGCTTTTTTCCGTGAGCAAATTACTCAAACTTAATCAAAAGCAGCCCTGGTCTACAGGGTTAACTTATTCGTGGCTTCACACTTGTCAAGCAATGGATTGGTTTGAAAAACACTATAAATCTCCCTCACTAGCATGAACATTTCATCCAACAATTCAGTTTTCAGCCTCAAAGTGATCTTGTGTGTTTGTGCAGAGAAAAAAAAAGCAAATTTACTTATCAATATGAACCAATCCCAGAATATCAGCAACCAAGCCGGCCAGGCCAAGGGCCAGGCTGAGGTCAGTCTTGAAAAAACCGTTTTTTTTAATACAAGCGATAGTCTTAAAAAACCCTTAGCTTTAATCCAATATATATAGGGTGGTTGATGATTACAATTTTGATGCAGGAAAAGGCTAGTGGCATGATGGACCAGATGAGCAATGCTGCCCAATCTGCCAAGGAATCATGCCAAGGGGTTAGAAATTTGTTTTTTTAATTTTAAATTAAGAATTTTTATATTAATTAATATATGCACCACATTTGTTTGTGCATGTTGTTAATAGCTTGTGTGTTTTGCTTTGCAGGCTGGTCAGCAGATGAAGGACAAGGCACAGGGAGCAGCTGATTCTGTCAAGGATGCAGTTGGAGCCAACAAAAATTAAGTTGATCTCATCCCAAACTAGTTTTGGTGTTCCTGATTTCTGTTTTTGTTTGGTTGATCTTTCTTGACTTGTCATTTGGAGCAAGAACAAACAAAGTTTGATCATGTAATCACTTCAGAGAACATTAAGCTAATAATTTCGTTGATTTTTGTCTACTGTTACTTCAGAATATTTGGTATTGCAATCACAATTGATTGTTACCAACCAAATGAACAATCCATCCCAACTCACAGAGGCAAATCATGTTTGGCCACATAACATCAACGTAAAGTTTATTTATACATTTTTTTAATGCCAAATGAAACTGAAAACACCACCCAGTAATAGATAGCAATATGAATGGGAGCTAATTGAACAAGAGCTTCAGCCAGAGTAAAAGAAGAAAAAAGAAAACGAAGGAAATACACAAATACTCTATCAATAGGAATAGTAATTTTCCCACGGGTAAGGTCTTCGTGGGAATTTGACCCTAATCGGTCGGCTATGAAGAATAAGAAACGAGTATGAAGACAGATTCATGGAATTTTTCGGATATGGTGTTTCAGGAATATGTGGCTAGGAAGGAGGCACATGAAAAGGCTGATTTAAAGGGGCAATCACTAGAAAGTTTTAATTTAAAGCATTCCATCAATCAGAAACAATATCCTCAAAATCAATATCAAGAACATCTCAATTAACTTTGACAAAGGGATTGAGTTGAAGACGTGATCTCCAATCAATCATGACTATACACAATGAAATACTTGAGATGTGAAGAAAAAGCAAAATCAACTTGGAACAAGAAACTTTCTTAAATAAAATCCAAATTCATAAAAACTATGTTGTCACACATAAACTTGATTGAAAGGACTCTAAACTAATATCCTAACATGAATACATACATGATTATGTCATGATTTACCTTGGATAAGATGCTTCATATAGATCAAATTACAAGTTTGCAACTCTAAGTTTATCAGAGTTGCGTCAATCCTGCCTTTAAATGATATTCACAGCAGACTCCTTACATCCTATACTCGAGTCTAGGAAATGCTAACATAACTTTCCATACTAACAAAATCTAGTAAACTTTTAGAAGAAAAAAAATTACTAGTATCCAAGACTCCAATATAAAAGGCAAAACTACTAACTAACTGTGATTTTGAACAAACATCTAGAAAATTTTCGCATTGTAAGCAACAAAGTCGATAGGTTCATAATGTTTCTGACGGGGATGTTCCTCTAGCTCTACCAATTGATGAAGTGGCTGACATAAGTATAAAAGTTACGATGAAACTATTTCCCATTTGTATTTTTCTAATTGTTTGTGTTTTACACGTGGGGCTCATCCAACCAAGTTCCGGTCTCCTAAAACTTTTCATACTAATTATCTTAATTAATATGGTAAACTTCTAGAAAAAGAAAATAGTATCCAAGACCACAATATAAAAGGTAAACTATATAAAAGCTTACACCCCCTTAAGCTATTGTACACTATGATAGAAGTGTTAATCAATTCCAACAATTAGATTGTAGCTATGGGTATTCTTTATAAACTCAAAACTTTGGATGCCTGTTAATATAACTGAACTCAAAACTTCTATTAAGAGTAGTTTTGGATGACTATGACTATGAGTAATTCTTTGATTAGATGGATGAGAGTGAACAAAACACAAGTTCAGTTTCCTCATTAATATATCAATAACCCACCTATCAGACTTTTTTTTTCTTTTTTTTTCTTGAAAATTGAAATGAAATTTTGTTGCGAATTCGTGACGTGTTAACGAGTTGTGTATGATATTGCCGAGTCTAACTTGAGGATGAAAATGGTATTCCAACACTTCAAACCTTCCTTTCACCACCCGAAAGCTATCTCACACTATGATAGATGTGTTAATCATTTCTAACAATTACTGATAAGCAAATGCGAGTTGGGGAAACTGAATTGGGAAGATCTTCAAAAGGTTGGAGCTTATAAATTTTTCTATAAGTGCATCAAAACGTTGGACATAACAAATATTTTTCTAAGTTCTATTTACTTCTAAATTTGTACTCTTAAGTTCTAGCCACCCTGCCTAAATTCGGGACATTCAAGAGTGGGCTCAGTTATGCTTCCCCAAAATCTGTAGCCCACATTTCAGTGGGCTTTCAATTATTTTTCTTTTTAAAATTAAAAATATCACTTAAAAATATATATACCACATTTGTAAAATACAATTTGGAATTTCGAAATTTCAACTTTACACTTAGAAAAGTTTGCACAGTTGCTAATTCAATTTGCAAACTAGTTGCCTTAAGCTCAAACCCCTATAACACTTACCAAGTGTGAGAAACTCTCATTTCCTAGTAATTTAAACTATCGCTTATATTTTATAAAAATAAAAATAAAAATAAAAAGTTTGCACAGTTGTAATGTTATGAATTTTCAATATTGTGCAGATTTTAAGAATTCAAATTCCTTTGACATCAACTATAAAGATAAACAGTCATCAAATATAAACCAAGTAATTTAGTGCTAGAGAGATATCTACATTGTTATGTTAAACTGCATGATTTTATTGTCTAATGACCATTGGATAGTCCTTGCATTGTTACTAAAATAAAATAAACAAAATTGGTGTTCCTTAGTGTCACTAATTATTTTTATCTTGAACAATTCAAATTTCCTAATTTGTAATTTCTGACTTGTCATCAGTCCATGATCAACTGAGTAACAACATTCCATGCATGGCAAATTACATCCAATGCATCATTTTACTTGTTGGCCCAACCTCAACCCCCTACTTTGGGAACTCTGGCCAATGATGCTTGTATCTTCTCCTCCTCAAATGACAAGTCAACCAGTTTTCCTTGCAGATAGTTATCATAAGCTGGCAAATCAAAATGGCCATGTCCACACATTGCTGTGAGAATGACTTTGGCTTCTCCAGTCTCCCTACAATTCAGAGCTTCCCTAATGGTAGCAGCTATGGCATGAGTAGGCTCCGGCGCTGGTATCAATCCTTCTGATCTAGCAAATTGTATAGCACCTGCAATACAACCCAGAAGTCAGAATCATAGTTCTCTATCGCTTCACTAACACACACACTGCTGCATATATTCATCGTTCCACATTTTGCTCCCACACTATGGAAAGTTAAATTACCTTCAAAGCACTCAATCTGGGGAATTGCAATTGCTTCCATGTAACCCAGTTCGTACACATGCGAAATCAACGGTGCCATGCCATGGTAGCGCAATCCTCCTGTTGAACAAACAGTGAAATGTAAAGAAGAACAAGTAAATTTCATGAAATCAAGCTCTCAAAGACAGTAACTTTCATTACCAGCATGAATTGGGTCAGGGATGAAGTCGTGCCCGAGCGTATGCATCTTCATTAGTGGGGTCATCCCTGCTGTATCACCATAATCATATGTATATACCCCTTTAGTTAGTGAAGGGCATGCTGCAGGTTCAACTGCTCTTATTACAGGGTTCATTTTCCCTTTCAGCTTCTCCCTGATGAATGGGAAACTTAACCCTGCAAAATTGGATCCTCCGCCAGTACATCCTATGATAAAGTCTGGGGTTTCACCTATCGCCTCCATTTGTTTTAGGCACTCCTCACCTATTACTGTCTGGTGATGCAAAACATGATTGAGAACACTTCCGAGACAGTATTTAGTATCAGCATTCATGGCTGCAATCTCAACGGCTTCAGATATAGCTATCCCTAAACTTCCTGGGCTGGATGGATCCATTTGTAGGATTTTTCTACCTGCTTCAGTTAAGTTAGATGGAGATGGGTGTACCTTTGCACCCCAAGTTTGCATCATCAATCTGCGATATGGTTTTTGATCATAAGAAGCACGCACTTGCCACACCTATGAATAATCAGAATGAGTAAAATATCTAGGATTTATAATGAGGAACACTAAAGGACGGGTCAAATTAGATATTCATACAGTTAATAAGACATAAAGCGAGTAGGCAATCATGTCATGAAGTTCATATGTGTGCTTCAATTTGTCAATATGTGAAGCCAATTACAAATTTAGGTTTCTGTTACCTCACACTGAAGACCAAATAAGCTGCATGCAAAAGCCAATGCACTTCCCCATTGACCAGCTCCTGTTTCTGTCACAACCTTCTTGATGCCTTGTTGTGCATTATACCAAACTTGTGGAACTGCAGTGTTGGGCTTGTGTGATCCAGCAGGGCTGACACCTTCATATTTGTAGTAAATTCTTGCAGGTGTGTCAAGAAGCTTCTCCAACCTCTTGGCCCTATATACAACTGAAAAGATAAGAAGATCCTAACAATTTTATAGGACAACGTTACAGTAGAAACAATGCAACGCATACTAGCACCACAAACCTAATGAGAGGGGACGGGCGCCAAAGCCTGTATACATCACGAACTTCATCTGGAATATCTATGAATCTTTCGTTGCTTGCCTCCTGCTTAATCAACTCATCAGGAAAGAGAGGAGACAAATCCTCAGGTTTTACCGGTTCAAAGGTCTTGGGATGCAATGGAGGAGGAGGTTTTACAGGAAGATCTGCAATCAGGTTGTACCATTGACGAGGGATTTCAATTGATCTTAAATCAGCATTGAGAGCTGCTCTTGCTCTACATCCATTTGAAAGTTTCAGATGCGTTGGCTTTCTATCAAGTGCAGTAAATCCAAGCCATTTCTCCTCAACTGGCCAAACATAAGTAGTTAAGAGGACATAACAAGAAAGCAACACTAAAACATTGTTGATAACACAATAAACTACTAGAGCATGAGCCGAACTTGACTTCACATTGAGTTTTAAAATGTTGGTGCAGAACAAGAAAATAAATTCCAGACTCAAAAGTCATAAGTATATGTTCCAACTTTTGGTAGCATATCACAATAGGTTACAACCCAAATAATGGGTTTTGGAATAAATTTTGCAAATGTTGCAGGATGAGTTGTTTCTTTTCTGAAGGAAATATCAACAACCCCCTCTATAATACTCAGAAATTTTCTCTCTCCTTTGGTAGAGTCAACAAAGATCATTATCCACTCCACTCTTCCCCATTTCCTCTGAATCTAGCATGTACTCATACATTCCAACCACTGATCCAAAAATTTTAAATAAAAAAAAACAGAAACAAATCCCAGGTTCCACCATATTTTTTATGAGCAACCAAGAAATTCAAAATCAGTTGAAACCCAGAACCAAAAGTTCTCAAACATGAAAAAAATAGGGAAAGAAGCTACCTTTGATGTGTGTGCCTGATGAAGGTTTAGTGTGAAGTGAATTTGCAGAGAAGTGGCTGTGGGTGGCCATGCTTGATGCTTTCTTGGAGACTCAAGCTCCTACCTAACTTGAACTGATAAAAAAAATTGGAGAACTTAAGGATGAGATTAATTAGGGTTTTCACTCAGAATTTCACACAAACTGCTGCAAAATATTTCCAGTTTTTCCAGGTATTGGAAATGTGCAACGATATACCGTATGATATTTGGTTCTTGTTGAAATGAAGGTGCATTGGGACAGGAATTAAATTTGACTTTGACCGTTGGACACGTCATCTATGTAGTAAAAAGCGGTCCAGCTCCGTCTTGCAATTATTATTCCGGTCTAGGCCCAAGCCCAAGCCCAAATGAGGAATTTACTTTTGGTCTGAATTCTTAATTCTTCATTTATGTGTATTTACATTTATATCCTTATGCAAGCACTCGCTTAGTCGAAGAAGGCTGCTATACTCGCCCTGTTCGATTGACGCGCGTCAAACCCGAGCCCAACCATCTTCAGATCAGAGAGTAGCGGTTGCGAGTACGAATACGCACGTAACTGTCTATTTCTCTCTCCACGTGATAGTTTGTGCAACCGACCTAACCCAAATTTGTCCATCCACGCCTCTACCCTATTTATTATTTTATTTGGCATCACAATTTTCGTTCTGTAACCGATTTTCCTTTCGCTTTTCTCTCTTCCCAAACAGCTTTCTAATAAGAGCGAGAGAGAGAGGCGGAGAGAGATCAGCCTTATCTGACTTTGAGGGTTAGCAGTTTGTCTCGACGTCTGCCTAATTCCAAATCATAATCATCTGATCAGGTAATTTGCCCTTTGACTCCGACGATTTCTAGGGATTTGTTGATGTCTCTGTTCTAGGGTTTTGATGGTTAATTCGCAATTTTTAATATTTCTCATCCAAATCATAGGGCTTTTATTTATTTATACAAGTTTGAGATCTTGTTTATTCTCAAAGGGAAACCGTTGTTTGTTATTCAGGAGATCTACTTATAAACTTTCCAGATTAAGCTGAAAAAGGAGACATTTTTTTCTTTTTTTCTCAAATGATCTAAATATATGAGATTTTCGTTTAGGGGTCAAAGTTTTTGGGTCCTTAATGTGAAAAAGAATACTTCTTTTAGATGGGTTCTGCATTTACTACCCTAGGGACGGTTGACATAAAGATTAGATGGGTACTTCAGTTTTTTAAACGATGTGATTGTGCTATGTTATCTTCTTGAGATATTTTTGTCAGGGAGTATGCTGATTTTGATTTTTCTTTTATGTGATCCAGGTCTAAGCATTCTGGTTGCAAGGCCCTCTTAGTCAATAGCCAAGGTTCATGTCTGAGCTCGACGTCCAAATTCCTACTGCCTTTGGTATGTTCATTCTTTATTTCTATAATTCATTCGTGTATGTTTGTATATGTGCAGCACTTGTGTGACTCTGTATGCGAGTTTGTTAAGAGTGTGTGTTTGAAGACTTTGATACATAGATGCATAATGAATCATTTTAAGATACCAATGTTCAAGATTTCTGTGCTTGGTACACTTTAACCAAATGGTTATTTTTTGCATATCAACATTTAGTATCCACCTGAGGAAACCAAGCCAAACCAACCCAAATGTATCCACCTGAGGAAACCAACCCAAAACGGATAGTTTTGAGAAACTAAATGGTTTGGTTATGAACACGAAGCCATCAGGCATTAGTTCAGGTGTCTGGTTTATGCACTATAAAATGTGATTTAAATGCTTGTGCCAATTCACTGGGTTTTTTAAAGGGTTTTTTAAATGCTTGTTCAGCAGCCCAACTAACCTCATCCATCTGAACAAACAGAGTCAGACTGACCTAAAATGGGCATGCTTGAGAAACTACATATTTGGTTTGGTTACTATTTTATTGACTGTGAAGCCACTGGACATTGTTCAGGTGCATGGTGTATGCACTATAAAATCTGATAAAAAAATGCTGATGCTTGTGTTTAGATCCGTTTGCTGAGGCAAATGCTGAGGATTCCGGTGCTGGAACAAAAGAGTATGTGCACATTCGGATACAGCAACGAAATGGTAGGAAAAGCCTGACAACCGTGCAGGGACTGAAAAAGGAATTTAGCTACAACAAAATACTCAAAGACCTTAAGAAGGAATTTTGCTGCAATGGTACAGTTGTCCAGGACCCAGAGCAAGGGCAGGTGCGTGTTTAATTCTTAAAAGGCTAATGTAATTTTCTTCATGGCCTTCTCAAACTGATCACTAATTTTTGCATTGTTATTCATGTGCAGGTCATTCAACTTCAAGGTGATCAAAGAAAGAATGTATCTAGTTTCCTAGTCCAGGTAAACTATCCACCACATTATAATGATGTTAATGTTTGGTTGGTGGAGTTGATAAATTGTGGATGTGTTTCCTTATCTATCAGATGATGTTAGCTGCCAACAATCTGGTTAAATCAGGGTCCTGATTTTATTTTATTTTATCTACAGGCTGGCATTGTGAAGAAGGACAATATCAAAATTCATGGTTTCTGAGCTGCGGCATTTAAATCTCTGCACAATACCGTCTTCTGGTGGAGATCTAGTTATCTGAATGTTATATCACCTAAGTCTGCTATGTGCACTGTATTTTAGGAGTGTTATAATTTTCAAGAAATTGTGTGATGTGTCGTCACTATGGAATGTTTGACAAATTCTGTCTTTAATGGTTCTTATGTTGGTATTGAATTTGAAAATGTATTAAAGTTCGTTTCTCCATTTGATGACATGAATTCCGCAAAACTTGTGAAACTTTAGAGTCGTCAGATATTTAATACACCATAAAGAGAGTACACGCAAAAATTATCTGTGTTTTTGGTACCTCGACAGCAATCTAGCACATAACCTTATTCCCATTTACATCGAATCTTATCAGTGTGCCTAAAATCAGATCTCCAAGCCAAACTTCCATCCATTCTTCTCAAGGAGAAACTCTCCACCATAACATAACAGCCAAACTTCCTCCACCTGTTCTCACCTGTAATCTCTTCTACCCTCTCCACTCTCACATCCATTTCATCCCCATTAACCCATCCTCCTGCCTCTAAAACCCATCTCATATTCTGAACAATTGCTGAACTCAAACCTACACTAACTACTTTCTTGCTACGTGGGTTATAAGCTTTGAACCAGGTGAACCCAGTACGGCCATTCCTATCGTCCTTCACGGCTTCTGTGGCAGATACCAAAGCCACTTCCCTTTGCACATCTACACTCACATTCACAACATTTCCTTCATTGTCAACATTCCCACGAGAGTAAATCTCTTCCCACCATTGCTCAAGAGTTATTCTGTAAAACTTGGACTTCTTCATCTGTTGTCTTATGGTTGCTTTCTCTCTCACAAATGCAAATGGACAGTACCATCTCCCCACAACACTAGAAGCCGAACGCTTTTTAAAGATGGGAAAATTGAAGTCTGGAAGACGAGACCGGAGGGAGGCATCAAGGCCTAAAGCATCAGTTAATTGATTCCGGTACATACTTGAGCTACGCACTTTCCATCCTTTTTTCTTTAGGAATTTTGGAGGAACACCGTCAGGAGCTACAGACTCTGCAAAAAAACCACCACCTTGATGGCGATGAATCTTAACTTGTTGGTATATGTCTCTAAAATTTAAAACCTTAGGTTTTTTGTCTCTCAAGAAACCTCTAATGCAGCAGTTGGTCATGTCCCTCTCTCTAGAACATCTGCATGCTTTCCTGCAAAGATTACACAACATAATTCATCTTGGATTATAAATTAAGCAGAGGCCAAAAGTAAAGTTCAACTTTTTCAGAAGGGCTATAAAAGAAGAGCTTACCCTTTGTGCCTGCCATTTGCTCTGATAACATAGTAGCAGTTAGAAGACAGAGGTTGATCAAGAACTGGGATGAACCAGACCTTCGTCGTGGTTGCCTCTTGGTACTCGGATGCATAAACAATGGTCAGAATCTTGTCCTGTGGGAAAGGTAGTTTTTTAACTTTCCCACGCTTGCAAAGGCCCCAACAAGATGTGTCTTTTGACTCTGCCTCTTCATCTGTGATCACCATATAACCTGAATGTGGAGCATCAGGTGGCTTTATGGAAAGGGTGCTTGGAGATTTCCGATACATGGAAAGAGGCCTTGTTACATACATCTTTGTGTGTTGGTGTGTGTGTTTTTGGTCTTTGTGTGGTGTGGATGTGGGTTGGGTGAGAGCAGCGGAGAAGGGGGTTTTTTAAGCTTTCGTCAAATTTTTTTTCTTATGAATTAAGAAAGAAGTGGAGGTGTCTAAAATTATTTCATAATGTAAGTAAAGAAAATAAAGTAAATAAAGAAACTTTATGATCCACTTTCTTTTGTGCCATATTTTACATGCAACTCACTTTAAAATTTAGTGCTTTATAAGTTCTAGTCCTTTAAAGGAGATGTGGATACGTTCATAAGAGAATTACAATTATCCCATCCTTACACCAACCCTACAAAAGTGACCAGTAATAACCATATACCAGAAAAGAAGCATATCCCAAGAGATCCATTCAAGAGATAAAAAGCGCCACAACAAAAGAAACAAATAAATAAAAATCTTTAGGGCCAGCGTATTCAAACTTATACAGATTGACTTATTTCCTAAACATCACTGGAGGAGGCTATCAAAATTCGAGTTGTAGCCATTTTCCAATTAAGACAAACTTATTTGGGCATACCCAAAAGCAAAATGGCAGCACCAACAACTTTCAGACTAGAGCAGCTCATGCATCTAGCTTAAGGAAGTTCTTTATTACACCCATCATCTCCCCACCAGGAAAGCGCCCAAGGCATCCCCTTGCTGCTGCAATCTCATTGAACTCATAAACTGAATCACCGCTGAAAGCTCGAGGCTGTTTGCTTCTCTCCCCTTGTTCAATCTTCACATCTTCTGCTAGATGTTCACCATCTTTTACAGTTGGAAGAGGAAATGGATCAAGAGAACCTCCCAAGATGGTTTCCACGCCTACCGCATCCACAAAATCTTTCAACGGACATATTGTGAATGGAACTGGCTCAAAGCTGTGGTCTCCATATTCAACTGGGGTAGAGTGGTCTCCAGTGACACAAAGGAAGTACTTGAAATTTCCTGTTGACTCACTCTCCCAAAGGAGCCTGGACAGCTGCCCTATAGCTCGATCTACAGCTTCTAATGCTTTGACTTTGAAGATGGTTGCCTTGTCGTGACCTGCATCATCTATAGCCTGTAATGCAAAACAAAACAGATATTCATTTATCGGTTATGAAGAGAACTACTTGACCGAAGTTTTGATGTCTCAATAAAATCAGTAAGCAAGTCTAGCTGGGACATAAAAATTAAGGAAGCACAGCATCCAACATTAGAAAACTACAAACAAGCAATTATTTTGTTGCCATCAGTTTACCCTGTAACTTCAGTTAAATGAATTAATAATGATGTGACTGCTTCAGTAGGCAGGAATAGAGGTTGCATGTGACAAGGTAGAAAAATGAAGAGATGTAGAATCTGAGGACGCCATTGACCTTAACATGAAGGAACCCAAAATCATAGCCATCCGATCGACCTGGTTTGTGCTCATCTTCCCCTGGTACAAACACATTGGGGCAAGACTGCATTGGAGCTGAAAGTGCTTTAGCTATTGCAGTTGCTTTGGAAGTTAGAAGTGTTCGATAGTCTCCTGTTGCTCCAGGAGCTTCTAGGATATCAATGCCAAGAGATAGGCCCAGCCCAGCAATGATTTTTGTGGGAGCTACCATACAAGGCCATAACCCATGTTTCTTTTCAAATGGAGGAACCTGAAATATGTAATTGAGAAAAGAAAAACTATAGACATAAATGTATATTCAGATCCATTTGTTGCCTAATTCCCAAACAAACATAAGAAAAAGGGTTGAGGTCTTGTAAGATCAACATTTGTCTTAGGCCCAAGGTTATTCTTTTTGGTTGGAAATCTCTTAGGCCTTCAATATCCTATCAAAAAGGGACATCCCTACAATGATATGTGCAGTAACTTTCAGGATACATTACTAAAACAACAAGTTTGAGAAGTTTAAGAATTGCCTGCGACCTTTTTTTAAGCCCCAATGTCCACCAGTTTTTGTTTTGCTCAAAAGAACAATTATAAGAAGTTTACCATAGAAAAATACTGAAGTATCAGAAGAATAAAGCTAAAAAAACCAACCCCAGAAGAAAATCAGGGTTATGAAAACGAATAGTAAAAATTCTAAAGGAGGGATATTCCTGCACTTAGTGGCTGTCTGACCCACTAAGAACAGCAGAGAAAGGTGTATGCAACAGCCAATAGGTTAGATGCTTGCTTGCATGTGGTTTGCTAAGTAAAAGTTCTACATGATGCAGTATGAACATCAAGTAAGGTTTGAGACAACAGACCTCAATTCGAATACCACATCCTCGTAAAAGGACAAGATTAGCTATGTTCTTCCCTTCAGCAGCTCGTTTTGCATTCAGTGGATGAGCAACGAGAATACGTGATATTTCCTTGGATAACTCATTAACAACTTTAGCTGTGTGCCTCGCCTCATCGGTGCCATCTAGAGCTTCAGCTTGCAAAAGTAAACGGTTGTCCTTCAACGGGTCTGTTCCTGATATATTTCCACTTAGATTTGGTCCTTTAACAACCACTCCACATCTATGTTCTGTTGCATACCTGTAGCAAATAGTTCTTCGTTAGTTTTACTCTACTTCATTATAAAAATTACAAGGCTTAAGCATTAGAAAAATAATTAAGGTATTTGGTAATTTTGATGACTAGTTAAATTTCTTGCATAAGGGAGGTTGTGTTTTAAAATATCTCATCGCAATACATACAAGGACATCAAATAAGAAGCCACTTTACAGCAGTTATAATAAACATCTGCACCTGACTCTGACTTCATATTCAGGAAAAGATGGCAGCTTCATTCCATCAAGTGCTGCACACAGTATGGGGCCTTCTTCTTCAAAGTGTCTGTCAGCCCTCCTACTGATGACTATTCCAGTTTTTTCATCCAAGGTTGCAAAATTAGACTGAAGATCAAAAGTTAGCAAAGATTATTATATGGAACAGCATCGTCTACTAGAACAAGCATAACCTGAAGGATAGAGCATCAATAGCAAGTAACATGGGGTCAAAATGATATAGTCCTTGTTTATGCTAATATGTGACCTAAATTTTCTTCAACTGGATTGGGGCCAATAACCATCAAGTCCCAAGTTTCTGTTTATAAGAACGAAATAATTGCATCTTATGGCAGTGCAACATATTGAAACTGCTCATCCAGGATAATAGTTATAACAGAGAAACCATTTTACAAAGAAATAAACAAAAACTCACCTTAAATGCAATATCACCAGGTGACATGGCCAATCCAGCACCCATGGACTCAAATGCGCCTCGGCCGCGGTAATATACCCTAGGGTCATAACCCAGTAGAGAAAGGTGAGCTGTGTCACTTCCACAACCCAAACCAACTTCAACAGGGTCCATTAAACCATTAACTCCAGCGGATGCAATGGCATCCAAATTGGGTACTTTGGCCGCCTGAAGAGGAGTCTTAAATCCAAACTTTGGTATTGACACATCACCCACACCATCAATCAACAAAAATGCCACTCTTCTTTTTGGCTGCTGACGATTACCCATGTATGCTAATATCCTAGACCATAGTTGCCTAATTCGCTCACCCTCCTACGAATTTCGATCTGGTCGAGCGTACCCAATAGCGGTACGGTATCGATCTGGAACGAAAGATGTAACGACCCAGTCCAGAGAAGACGACGTCGCTGCTACAGAACAGTACCTGAACGCCGATAGCAGACGAGCAATCGAGCTCACATGAGGGACAAGGGAGAGTGCTATGCTGATGAGCCCACTTTTGATTCTTGTTCTCTTGGCATAAGAGCAAGTCCAGCAGTGGAGGCTGGGCTCGGGCTGGGGGAGGTTAAGGCCGAAAAATGGTTTCCAGCAACAAAAGGTGGCCCGGGCAGGAGGTGGAGCCCAGCAGACTGGGCTGGCCCTATGGGGAGAAGAGCCCGCGCGCTGGCCCGAGGGCTGGGTGATGTCATGGCTTTTTGTCAGTCCACGTGGCGTCCTCTCAGCTCTCGGATCGCTTTTGTCCTCCAATCCAACGGCAGCCAATTTTTGTGCAATAAAAAAATAAAAAAAATCGAATTTTTTTTTAAAAAATACCCAAAAAATATTTTATTTTATTTTATTTTTCTATAAATACCTACCAATACTCTTCACTTTTAACACCAAATTCTCATACATTTTCTTCTCCTTCAACTATTATTCACTTCTACTGAATATTATTTGTAATTTTCGTTTTATTCATTTTCATGTCCTATTAATTTTTTTTATTTAAATGTTTCTTGGAATATCTACATTTTGTTAATATTTCTTATATGTCCAATATTTATTTAAATGTTTCTTGCAATATCTATATTTTATTAATATTTTTTATATGTTCAATATTTATTTAAATGTTTCTTGCAATTTCTATATTTTGTTAATATTTATTACATTTCCAATAAATTGTTAAAATTTATTGCATTTCCATTATTTTGTTTATATTTGTTGCATTGCCAATATTTTTTTAAGTTTCTTGCATTTCCAATAATTTTATATATATATATTATGCAAGCACAAATGTTTAGGTAAAAAAATTTGTGAAAAAAATAAAAAAATTGAATAGTATTTGCCTTTTTCCATGCCAACTGGTGGAAACACACATTGCTTTTTGTAAGGAGAAGGAATTGTATGAGGATTTGGTGTTAAAGTAGAGAATAGCTGCCCTAGCCCCCCGCCCCACCCCCTCTCATATCCCAAAATGACATCAAGCCTAGGCAAGGGCTGGCAAGGCCTAGGGCAACGCTAGAGCTGGCATTTTCTATTGAAAAATCGTAAAATTAACCGAATTGAACCAGCCGATTCAGGATTTGTTACTTAAATTTCAGTTTTCAATTTACAAACCACACCGAACTGCAGCAAATTGGACCAATCACAGTTGAGGAAATCCCAAGCCAATGGTTCATTGAACTGAATCAACATGTGTGTATACCTGCGAAATTGTGCAAAAATATGCATTCTGGGGGATTTGATCCCCTGACCTAAGGTTTCAAATCATGTCATCTTTCCACTAGACTGCTTGGCTTTCTTATGAATGTATGATCATTTATTCATGAGCTTTTAGAACCGATCTTTAAATGATTCGTGACAATGTGACACTGCATTCAAAACACACTCTCAATCATTAGAGACAAGAGCATCAACTTATGTTAGAAGGAAGCAACAAAAGCTGCTATCACACCTTCTGTAAGAAAATAGAAATTTCTTGCACCTATCTTTTTATTTTATGTTTTATATTCTAATTGTTTCAAGAATGGCTCATGATTTATATTTTGCCTAACGTGTGGCTTCATTAATTTAAGACACATTTGGACAATACATTTTCCATTGAATTTTATCTTTCTTGTTTATGAAGTAAAATTCATATGTTTGATCAAATTTCTAACATGATAAAGCTTTTATTCTTACAACACCACCCACGCAAGACACATCCAACTTCAAGATAAAGATATCCTGTTGTATGAGTTAAAACATAACCAATACGGTTTCAGAAAACTCGCATTTGCTTATTAGTAATTGTTGGAAATGATTAACACATCTATCATGTTATGGGACAGCTTCCGGGTGGTGAAACCAAGGTTTAAAGTGTTGGAACACAATTTTCATCCTATAGTTGGTCAGGTAAATAATGCTTTGTTATTAATTATGAATGCATGATTATTTACTCATGAGCTTATAAAACTATCTTTAAATGATTCGTAACAATGTAGACACTCTCATTTATTGGAGACAAGAGCATCAAGTTATGTCAGAAGGAAGCAACAAAAGTTGTTGTTGCACCTTCCACAAGGAAATATAAATTTCTTGATCCTATCTTTTTGTTTTCTATATTATATTCTAATCGGTTTCAAGAATAACTCGTGATTATATGTTGTCTAACTTGTGGCTTCATTAGTTTAAGACATGGTCGGATAACACATTTTTCCATTGAATTTTAACTTTCTTGATTGTGAGGTAAAATTCCTATGTTTGATCAAATTTCTCACATTATACAACTTTTCTTCTTACAACACCACCCATGCAAGACACATCTAACTTCAAGATGGTGATGTCATTTTGTATGAGTTGATCCATGACCAGTACGGTTTCAGGAAAATCGCATTTGCTTATTATTAATTATTAGAAATGATTAACAAATCTATCATGGTGTGAGACAGATTTCAAGTGGTGAAAGCTAAATTTGAAGTGTTGGAACACCATTTTCATCCCATAGTTGGGTTTAGGGTTTAGGGAAAGAAAATATGGAAGAAGTGATCGTCAAGATTCGGGTACTAGTATGGTACTTGTTGAAGGCTCTTCGATGCTTAAGTCAGCAACTGTGGGATGTGTGGTAATTTGGCAAAGTAACAGTAAATGTGAAAAGTAGTTACCTCGTTTTACTTGGGCATTATTCTTCTTTTATAGGGAATTGAAAGTAAGAGTTTGCATAAAGTTTCGATGTGAGACTTTGTGGAAATTGTCGTGGTGGTGTCACATGTTTGTGATTCTAGATTATGTAGTTGAGAACATCGGCAGCCATCTCCAGTAGGTGACTACTAAGATGATGATGTCATCAGTATCTTAGGGATCACCCAAGTGTCTTTTCTTTGGCAATTAGCGTGTATGCTTGGTCAATTATGGTGTAAACATATTGCACATATGATAATGATACATGTATTAATGTATCATATATTGCACATATGTAGTGCATTAATGATTAGATGGTATCATTATATCGAAACATGTACCATATATGGATGGACTAGTGGACAATGATTAGATAAATCATCCTACATATCTAATCATTATATCAGAACATGTACCATTTATGGACTAATAGACAATGATTAGATGTGATTGTGCCATTATAGTATATGTGTATGTAAGTATAGTATAATATAATAATAATAATAATAATAATAATAATAATAATAATAATATATGTTATTAGTATTACAATATAATATATGCATTTTATACATTGGTGAGCATGAGACTAGTTAATCCTCCCTTTCCACATGGGTTTAGTAGTCCCCTCCTAAGGAGGTGTTTTTCGTGGCCCCGGTATTAGCAATCCCATCTAAGACTAGGATTAGATAAAACAAACATGGTATTAAATTTAGTCCAAATCAGGGCAAGCCAAGCCTGTGTAACAAACTAGCATATTATCATCACAAGGAAAACTAACAAACAAAGAATTAGCTAAAATATGTATAAATATACAACTAGCATATTATCATCACAAGGAAAAACTAACAAAAGCCTAGTTATGTTATAACACTTAAACTAATGTTATGATAAAGTTTTCTACGGTAATATTATAAATAGAAGCATTTTTATTGGAGTGCTGCTATTTCCACCAACTTATTCTATTTTTTCACCCACCTTATCTTCCCACCCACCATATAAAATTGAAAAAACACAATTCTATCTTCCCACTCACCATTATTCTTAAAATACCCTTTAATTATTAATTCAAGCAAATTCTCTTTTATGTTAACTTGTGAGTCATTTAAATTTAATCTAATGACTGAAAGGAGCAATTGTTTGCTCTAATTGGAGAGATTTGACAACCAAAACTAAATTAATAGAACATATTTTCAACATGAGCATATGATTACATTGGAATTTTCTCCGTGGGAGGAGAAGACTTTTGCCATATCGATCATTGGGATTTGCTAGCCTTCTCCTACAAATGGGAAGAGTACATGACAACTGGAGTTTCTAATGAAGAATCCATCGTTTTGGCTCAAAACTTTTGGGGTTGGGGTTTTAGGAAGAGATAAAATAGGAGGGAGAGGTTGAGAGTGCTTTGGATTTGACGTTTGATCTTTGTGCTTTGGATTTTTTTAACTTTTTTTAATTTTAAGTTTGAGGCAATTGTTGTGTGTTTTAATCATTTTCCATAAGTCCTTAAAAGTCATTTTATGAAGGGGTAAATTTGTCTTTAAAATTTTGAAGATAAGGTGGGTGGAAAAATAGGACAGATGGGTGGAAATAACAGCACTCTTTTATTGTGATTGTCATACACATTGCGTTTGTTCTAAATCTTAATTCAATCTATTTAACATGATTTACTCAAAATCATTAATAAATTTTATTCTTGTATCCTTATTTGTTTTTTTGTTTATAAAGATACGTTTGGATACCTTATTGTCACGAGTATTATATAAGGAAATCCCAAATTCTTATATTATTTAAGTACTCAGATGCAAATTTATTTGGTATAATTAACACGAACAATGCGATTTTTGAGATAAATTCCAAATCCATTGATAATCCTATGTAATTCATAATAAAATTCATGAGTTATATTCTCCTGGTTAACTTCTAAAGTTGGTCGTGGATGGTTATATGCTAATGGAATGTTAGTAATTAAGACTAAGACTTTTTGGTACAGTTGAGAGTATCGGGGACCTTTTTAGCATTAGTTGTAAGAAATTCCTTGATGTTGGAATACATGAACTTGAAAGGCATAGTTATGGAAGCAGAGGTGGACATGCTATTTATGAGAGTTGAGACTTTGAGTTATAGGGTTTGAGACTTTGAGTTTCTTTCTTTTAGGGCACTGCTTCCCACGAGTATCTGCAAAGGCATGGATAATCATGCCCATGAGTATCAGCTCATAAAAGATGACATCACCATCGGAAAATTGGTTGTGTCTTACATGGATCGCATTGTAAGCAACAAAGTCAATAGATTAATATTGTTTCTCACGAGGGACGTTGCTCTAGCTCCACCATGTGATGAAGCTATATATATCATCACGGTAATAACGTTCGAACACATAAGAGAAAAACTGAATATATATAGGAGAAAGCTCATTGGACGACAGTGGAATCAACCCACTCCATTAATATAATTATTCTCATAAAATTCAAACCATTCTTATTCTAAAGATTTAAAATAAAATTAACATCAAAATATTTGATATTTTAACTCACCTCTTTTTGCAAAGAAGATATATCATCAAGCATATGATTCTTTTGATCATCCATTTCAAAGAGATATTTGATGATTTAGAAAGGCCTTTCTTGGTTGGACCAACAGATTTCCGACAAGTATTTCTGTTAGTGCAAGAAGCGAAACTACAAGTGAATCTTGTGATCTAGGAAGGCATATGGAGGCTGACTTTATAGTACGCCTAGGCCTCCCTTCTTACTGACTTTGTATAGTAGGACTTCCCTCTTGTAGTAAGAGGTTGAGTATGGAAGAGGCACATGGAGGTTTGGATTGCTCTCTCCATTTTGGTTTATGGAAGAGGAGTGTTGCAGCCAGGGTTTGTCATTGGGCCCCGAGTTGGACTTCTTGGGCTTAGTTTATTTTTTGGGTCGGACTTTTTTAATTTGGGGTTTCATAAAACATACAACATCGAGCTTCTACTTGTTCACGTAGGAGGCTATAGTTTTATAAGAATAGAGCTCAACAAATACTTTATGGAAACACATTTGGATATTGCAAGAATCGAAGCATAGGTAGGTCTTACTGATTTTACCCAAATGAACAAATAAAGGAAAAACTTGCAAGAATCAAAGCATATGTGGGTATTAATTGTTGCTTCATACAATTAATACAGACTAGCTCCTTGGCACATGCTCACTATGTACCAATTAGTTTTCTTTTTTCTTTTTATTTTTTATTTTTTATTTTTAGAATTAAGAAAAGATAACATGAGTAGTTATGTTCCTTAAAAGTAGGACATATTATCTCATTTTGTTTTTACATTTAATTTTTTAATATGAAAAAAATATGAATTTACCATATTATCCTCATTTATTTAATAATTTCAATTCTTAATGATTAAATTAACCAAGGGAATTTACTGGTATTTTAAATGTTTCATCATTCTCTGCTTTTTGCTTTATATATATAGATAAACAACTTGGACGAAATGGTAAATCTGGCTGTATCTGAGGTTAAGGCTGAGGAACTCTTGGACGTCAATGGAATCAACCCACCCTTTCCCCGTGTTCCTCCTCGTGCTTCAACCTCTGCTCTGGAACTCTAAACCCTATAGGCAAAACACAAGAAGCCTTTTAAATAAATAAATAAAAAAACCCGTGCATGTTATTTGATTTTCTTTCCGAGCCTAACTTTTTTTTTCTTCTTTATAATTCCTTACTTATTGAATTTACTTAGTTAAGAACTAGATAAAAGTCTCTCTTTCTATCCCTATCTCTATGTATATGCCATTGCACCTCTTGGTCATAGTAGGTACTTTCTGACCCTCCTTGACAAAATTCCTGACTTTGCCAATAGAGATTGAGAGATTTGATAGTTGGTGTCTTTTGTCCTTCAACTGCACTTTATTCTCAAGTTATCTGTCTCATTAGTTTGTAATTTAGCATAGACAGATATTGTTCAGGTCAAAGTTACAGATAGATTGTAGTCTTTGTAACTTGGGAAGCACCAAATGACTGCCATTTTCCTATGTATTTCCAAGCTTCCACACAACATATGCTTACTTAATTAACTGGTAAATATATGGACAATTTTTTACCTCATCACTGTAAATTTCAGAGCAGCATTTAGATCACCTGTTTTTTTTTTGGGTCCAGAGATCACCTTGTCTACTTGCCAAAGTATTATGATAGCAACCAAGCAACTGCTTGGAAATGGTGGCAATTACTCAATCTTTAAAGCCATCTTTCGGTCATTGAAGACTGAGAGTTACCACCTTTTTCTTTCTTTTCTTTTTTCTCTTTTCTATTGGCGTTAGTTCTGCTTTATTATTCCAGACTGCATTATTACATTCCATTATCAAAGCAAAGAAGGACAGTGTTAACAGTGAAGGACATGAACATGATGCCTCGCCAACTAGTTGCTTTGAAAAAATATGATTGTTAGCTTTGCTAAATTATCCAAAGCCATATATATATTGCTTGAATCTATCTTGCCTCACTATTCTCTTCTCCACCATGAAATTTCGTGCCATTGATCTCCCTAATGGAAAATACACACAACCCAACAACACCCACAAAAATCTTTTTCTACTTGCCCTTACCTTAGTTTTACTTATTACAATCCCTCTCTGTCTAAACAACATCTCAAATTCCCCATTGCCGTCTCCTAAGAGCAATGCTGGAAGTTCAAAAAGCATCGAAAAAGAAGATCAATGCCAGATATTTAGTGGGAACTGGGTTCCATATCCTGATGGACCTGCTTATTACACAAATGAAACTTGCAATCTGATCATTGATCAGCAAAACTGCATGAAGTTTGGGAGACCTGATACAGAGTTCATGAAATGGAGGTGGAAGCCTGATGCTTGTGAGTTGCCCTTGTTTGATGCAGCTCAGTTCTTGGAGCTTGTTAGAGGCAAGTCATTGGCTTTCCTTGGTGACTCCGTGGGAAGAAATCAAATGCAGTCATTGCTTTGCCTCTTAGCCACTGTAAGCATTCAAACTAGCCTACAAAGATTTGAAACAATTCAAGATTTACAAGATTGTGTGTTTTTTGTTTTTCTTTCAGGTGACTTATCCTGAGGACATTTCTCAAAAATACTCCTCAAACACAGATTACTTCAAGCGCTATGTCTACAATGATCACAATTTCACCATAGCAAATCTCTGGTCCCCCTTCTTGGTTAAATCTAGAGACGTAGATCCCAGTGGACATGACTTTAACAGCCTCATGAGCCTCTACTTAGATGAGCCGGACGAGGCATGGCTAACTCTGGTCGAACAATTTGACTATGTGATCGTCTCAGTAGGACATTGGTTCTTCCGGCCACTGATATACCACGAAAATGGTCACGTTATCGGGTGTCACAAGTGCGACCAAGACAACATGACGTCGTTTGTCACCTCCTACGGATACAGAAAGGCCTTTCGAACGTTGTTTAGAACTCTCGGAAGCCTTAAAAACTACAAGGGGGTGACATTTCTGAGGACGTTTTCTCCATCACACTTTGAAAACGGGGCATGGAACGAGGGAGGGAACTGTGTGAGGACAAAGCCTTTTACCAAAGAAGAAACGAAGCTCGATGGGTATGTTTTGGAAATGTACTTGACTCAAGTGGAGGAGCTAAAAGCAGCGGAAGAGCAAGGCCTGCAGAGAGGCCTGCAGTTTAGGTTGATGGACACAACGGAAGCTATGTTGCTGAGGCCTGATGGACACCCAAACTTCTATGGACACTCACCTCATAGGAACATGACTCTTGCCGACTGTGTTCACTGGTGCTTGCCAGGCCCCATTGATACGTGGAATGAGATCTTGCTGTATATGTTGAAGACAGGGTACAGGCCACCTTGATGAGAAGAAGCTATGGAGAAATGCTTGATCAAGCAAACGTCATATACATTATATTTATATAATATATGTATTTATACACACACTATTAATTTTTATTATTTGCATCATATACAAAAAAAAAGAAAAGTGTTTGATAGATGTGAATAGGGTTGAGTTTGAGTTGGAAGAATCTTGATTATGTTAGCATTATCTTCTCGTGAAAACGAGAGTACTTGCACAAATTTGGTGTTTGCTGGCTACTAATAGATTTTAATAATATTATTGTAAATGGTAAAACATTCAAAATACCATAAAATGTCCATATTTAATACAAATATTAAGAATTAAAATTATTAATTAAATGAAGATAATATCTAAATTTATTTTTTTTATACTAATTTTTTTTAAAAAAAATTAAAATTAAAATTAGATTATAAATTCTATTTTTATGGACATAACTATTTATTATCTTTTTTAATTCTAAAATAAAATAAAAATTTTTTAAAAAACCAAATTGGCACAAGGGGCTGGTTTTTTTTCAGAAACATCTAGCTCTCTCCTCAGACGCCGACTCTCTCTCTCTCTCCCCGCGCTGTCTCACTTTCAGACCGAAGATTCGTCGCCGTCCGGTCACGGAGACCGGCGCCATCGCCCCCAAACTCTTCCTCTCTTCCTCCTCTACCTGACCCACCCATTGATCGACGTCAACAACTCGATATCGTGCCGGATTTTTGACTGGAAAACTGCCCAGCCTCTGTCACCATCGCCGGCGCCGATTACGGTCACCTCAGGCCGTGCCACCACTTGGAAAAGGTATCCCTATCCTCCATATATCTTCCCCCTATCTTAATCGACGCAGTTGATGGCTATAGCCGCCGGCCTGAGCTCGGGAAGCTCCGGCCAAAACTCTCACGGGTTGGCCGTGGCCGGAGTCCGAGAACCAAAAATACTCCTCTCATTGTGCTTGACATGTTAGTATAAAGTTTGCCCGTCGATTCGAAGACACCCACGCGCTGTGATTGTAGAAAGCAATCCTATTTTAGAAATCTAAAGAAAAATGTTTGCAAGATTGCTGTGATTCTTATAGTGTAGTTTTGATTATGCAGGAAAATTTGTCAATTGTTAGGAAGGTTTGAGTGAATTGGTGAAAATGGGAAGCAAAGGTCGAATTCCACCTGCACATCTTCGTCGACCACTTCCCGGACCCGACCCGTTTGGTCCGGGCATACACCCGCCCCATGGTGCCTATCCTCCATTTGATATGTTGCCTCCTCCACAAGTTATGGAGCAGAAGTTGGCTGCACAACATGTCGAGATGGAAAGGCTTGTAACTGAGAACCAGAGACTTGCTGCCACCCATGGAACCTTGAGACAAGAACTGGCAGGTGCTCAACATGAGTTGCAGATATTGCATGCCCAGATAGGTGCTATCAAGTCTGAGAGAGAACAGCAGATGAGGGGCCTTGTGGATAAAATAGCCAAGATGGAAGCTGAGCTGAAGTCAGCAGAGCCTGTTAAGTTGGAGCTACAGCAGGCTGGAGCTGAAGCCCAAAACTTGGTTGTGTCAAGGCAAGAACTCATTGCCAAAGTGCAACAACTCAGTCAGGATCTTCAGAGGGCTCATACAGATGTGCAGCAGATTCCTGCTTTGGTATCACAGCTTGATAGCCTGAGGCAGGAATATCAGCATTGCAGGTTTGTGTTTTATGTTCTATTTTTCATATCTTCAAACTTCAACGCCTGTATGATTTTTACTTGGGTCAGTTTGGTTTTTCACTTATGCAAAACCCATCATCATTTTCTGTTGTTTTGAACTGTGCAGGGCGACTTATGACTACGAAAAGAAATTATACAATGACCACCTTGAATCACTTCAGGTCATGGAGAAGAACTATGTTACCATGGCTAGGGAGGTGGAAAAGCTCCGAGCAGAGTTGCTGAATAATTCTAATGTTGATAGAAGAACTGGTAAACTTAATTCGTTTTTTTTGAGGTCGTTTGGATACTCTTTACCTTGATCTTTAATACATTGTGGATGGCTTCTCTGGGGCAATGAAATGTAGGTGCTCCTTATTATGGAACTCCTGGAAATAATGAAAATGAGGCTACTGGGCACACAATAGGACAAAATGCTTATGAAGATAGCTATGGTGTTCCCCAGGTATGTCATCTTGCACATCTTGACTTTTGTTAGTTTTTATCTTATTCTTTTACTTTTCTCCTTCAAATTCCAAAATTATGGTACTATGCCAGGTTGTTTAAGTCCTTATTGTGTTAGCTGGGATTGGCTGTTTGCAATAACATAGTATGTCTTGGTGAAAGCAATGGCTTATCCATCCACACACTCTGACACAAGACTATTGCTTGAATACTTATCAAAATAGTTTATCATCATGTCAATACCACCATGCTCATCAGATTGAAGCCTTATTGAAAATACTTGAAGGTCAAATTTTCATTTTATGAATCATGACTAAATGGAGGCTAGAAATTGTATCAGCGGTTGTCAAAAATCTTTTATTTTTGCTTGCATTTTTCTTGAAAGGTGTTCCTTGCCAGACAGTGAAATCAGAGTCAAAAGGTATTTGCTGGAAAATAATGTGTAGGTGACAACCATACAACGGTTTATCACACCTTATTACTGGAACGCTAAAACAACTTCAATTCAGTCGCAAAAACTAAGTATTAACTTTCAGTTATGTAAGACCTGGTAGAATATGGTTGCTGATAACCTCTTAAGAATTTGTTGTGCGATCTTGTTTTTCATTTTTTTATTTTCAATTAAACAGTAATATCCTCACTGCCTCCAGAGTGATTCAAATGAAAGCTTATGCACTTTTACTCTGTATTTTGTATAACAGGGACGTGCCCCCTTCCCTCCTCCTGCTGCTGCTGCAGGTGGTGGTGGTGGTGGTGCTACAGCTGCTGGAACTCCTCCATTAGTGGGAGCTCAACCTGGACCACCTGGAAGGACTGTTTACGATGCACCAAGAGGGCCTGGTTACGATGCACCAAGAGGGCCTGGTTATGATGCCTCTGGAGGATCTGGTTATGATGCACAGAGAGGACCTGGTTATGACGCACAAAGAGGAGCTCCCTATGATGCACAGAGACCTGGATATGATGTACAAAGACCAAATTATGAAGTGCAAAGAGGTCCCGGTTACGATCCATCACGGGGTGTCAACTATGATGCACAGTCTAGAGGTGCTGCTGGTCCTCAAGGACATATGCCTACAAGCAATGCGCCTTATGGTTCCGCAACACCACCTGCTCGTGGTGGAAGTGGGTATGAGGCACCACCACCACGAGGAGGGGGAGGGGGCAACCCTGTTCGAAGATGAGCTTAAGTCATTACCCAAATTATCAATGAAATTGTCTAAGAAATAGTGTAGTTGTTAGGATATCCACTCTCTCCGATCGCCTGTTACGTTGTGTTTTTTGCCTGAGTCGGCTACCTGAATAACATTATATATGGTCTTCAGCTTCTTTCTTCATTCTTGAATCTTGTATGTGGTTGGGGAAAAGAAAAAAGAAAAAGAAAAGGGTATTCTGTAACCAGTTGTGCTGTGGGCAACGGACGTGGTTTGTTATAGAATTCAAATGAGAAGAATATGGTTTGCAGGCGCTCCTTCCACAATCATTAGTGTTTCAGAGATTATCATATGCACATTAAGACTCTCAAGTACAACAAATTTAGTATTTCTAAAATTATAAGTCATATGCTGCGCCTCCGGCTACCGGTAGACTGGCGACATCATTACATTCAAATTTTTAAAATTTTTCCAAGTACAAAAAAATTGTGTGTTATGTTTTTTTTTATTTTAAACCAAGTAAGTTGTAGGGGCAAATTAGACAAAAAGTTGGGTGTCGGGTGTCCAAATATCGCTATTGGGTGTGTATAGAGTGGTTTTGGGTGGGGCCCAGATCCGCGACCTTTATGAAGATATTGGCCCTCTCCTTCGTCTCTGGAAGATTTCAAAATTTTCGAATTTCCCGCCAAATCATTTTTTATGGCTGAGCAACACCACCCGCTTCGCCGTACCCAATCTCACGGTGAAACTCTCTCTCTCTCTCTCTCTCTCTCTCTCTCTCTCTCCAAAGCCTTTACTAAGCTCGATTCGAAACATATTCTTTACGATTAGGCCATTAGGGTTGCTCTGAAGTTTCCTGATCTAGCAATTTTAAATGTTTATTTAATTTTCTCTTTGTGCGTTAACAGAGTAAGATTTTAATATTTTATTTATTGCGTTTGTATATACCCATCGATTTGGTTCGTGGACTCTTTGATCTTACAAAGATCCAATTGCTGAAGTGTTCGTATATTTGCAGAGGCTATGGGGTCTCCAATTCAAGGCATGGAATCGGTGATCGCAACCGTGAGTGGGTACCACGGCTCGGACCGCTTCAACCTTATCAAGCTCATCTCTCATGCCGGTGCGAGCTATGTCGGTGCGCTGTCCCGATCCACCACTCACTTGGTTGGTTTGAGAACCCATTTTTATGTATTATCTGTTCTAATTAGGCAAAGTGATTAAATTTATTTTCATGGGTGCATTGTTTGGATGGGGTGATTAGGTGTGTTGGAAGTTCGAAGGAAAGAAATATGAACTGGCTCACAAGTTCAATACGATAGTTCTCAACCATCGGTGGATTGAGGATTGCATAAAGCATGGAAAACGAGTTCCTGAGCGTCCTTATATTCTGCAATGGTATATGCCTAAATTGCTTAGTTTCCCATTTCTTTACAAAATGGTGTTTTAGATTACATCTGGGTTGTTAGTATTTTCCAGTTTAAAATGCAAAAATGACTGCTTTTTTCCGAATTGAGACTCTAAATTGCCTACATCATTCGCCGGCTGTTCACTTCATTGCTTTTACTTAACTTTACTTAAGATTAAAGATGCTAGCTTCAGCGAGCTAATTAGGTGCCATATTCCTTGGTTTAGGATCTAAGTTTTTAGCAATAACCAATAAGTGATTTGATAGGGGATATAGATGTTAGCATAAGTGAGCTGTTACTTCCAGATTACTAGTTTAATCTTGTTGCTGCTGCTTAATTTGTGTGTTTTACTTGCAAAATAAATTTGTGATCAGGGATTGATGCCTTTTGGGTTTCAATTCTTTGCAGTGGACAGGAAGTCGGACCCTTATTGCTAGAACCTCCACCTGTTGCTAAGGTGGGTGTCTCGACTAAGAACTGGAATGTGCTTTCTGACAAATCAAATGTTTGTGATGACTCTGAACAAATTATCGAGTTGGGGTGTGGAGCTTCTCGCCGTTCTGTTTTGACTGATTCATGTCTTTTAAACGAGGTAGCTTCAGTAAAAATCTATCTTCTACAACTAATTAATCGTGCATGTTTTCTGTAGAATTCCTTCGTTAAAGCATTTCTGTATGTCTCATTTCGGCAGGCTTGTTTGGTTCAGAATGATCTGATAATACTTATTCATGTGAATTTCCTGTAGGATTTGTTTCCTGAATTTAAAGAAAACAACAGTTCTCTTAAGTCAAAGCAGAAACATGTTAGAAGGAATTCAAAGCAAGAACTGCGATCATGTAGCAGACCCTGTTTTCAAGATCCTCCTTTAACTACATCACTTAGAATGGAGGTAATAAATTCAACTAACTTTTGTGCATCTTTTTTTTTCCGTTCTTCTTTTGCCTCTGGTGGTCTTCTCTTGTATATTGTTTGTGGACTTGGGTTGCGACCCTTATAAGCTTTTTTGCATTTTTTTTAATGGATTAGTGTTTATGTAATTGTCAAGCAAAAGAAGTTTATGGAATTAAGCTTCATGTTTCTACGAAATGTTCTGTAAGGCCTGATAGCTCTATGATCAAGTAACAATGAATGTATGGCCTTCAATTTTCAATATCAGATCATTAAGATTAATCACTACCATTATGCAATCTTAACACCCTTTTTCCTTTTTCTTTTCTTTTTCTTGGTGGGAAGCTTCAAGAGTCTTCCACACATTTGGCAAGAGCTAAAAGAAATATTTCCAGTGGAAATGGAAGCAGTATGGCTGAAACTTCACGAAAAGGAAGAAGACTTGCAAAAAGGAATATCGGTAGAGATATGAAAGAATCAGCACTCTCAGACTCTGATCAAGAGTGCCACCCAATCAGATTTCAGAATATGCATAAGGATGTTGTCACAGTCCTTTCTGACGATTCAGGTGAAGAAAGAAATGGTAATATATTGGGAACTGAAGGAAAAACTGACAATGGTTTGCATATCCGAAGACGAATCAGAAATCAGGGTCTGAAAGTTGTTCTGGAGGTTGATGAGAATCACCTATCTCCTTCCAAGGATCCAAATGTATATGTTGAGGATGCACCAACTTCTCTGGAGGGAACTCCACAAGACGGATGCTTTGAAGTTGAGAATTCGAAAGAGGAATTCAAAAACAGGTTTGGGACTGAAGATGCCACCAGAATTCCTCCTTCAATGGAGTTATCATGTGTAATATGCTGGACAGAATTTAGTTCAACCAGAGGAATTTTGCCATGTGGTCATCGGTTCTGTTATTCATGCATTGAAAGCTGGGCTGGTCATATGGTAAAAAAATTATGCTCTCCTTCACTTTATAATTGTATAGTTGGTTGTGCAAGCTTTTTAAATTTTCTCCGCGTTTACTTAAATTCTGAAACAAATTTTCATTCTGGTTCCAATCATTGTTGACCTTCTAAGGGTACACAATTCACAATTCATATTGGGTGATGGTTTACATGAAGGGTTCGAAGAGCAAGAATTCAACATGCCCTTTATGCAAGGCTAGTTTTACAAGCATTACCAAGGTTGATGATGCTGACATGATTGATCAGAAAATATACTCCCAAACCATTCCATCAGCCCCAAAAATGGACATACCAGTTCCTACTTACCGAGGAATACCCAATTTTGGTGCTCAGGTATGCAAACTCCCCTTCTTGTTGTTAGATTTGGTGTTAGATCTCATCTGAGTGTTGGTAAGCTTGGTGCTAGGTAAACTTCGTTTTAAACCTCTCTTGGTACATCATTTGGCAATATGTCGGTAGGGAAATCTTTTTTGTGTGACATCTAACTCCTGTTTCATGACTGCTTACTTTTGTTAGGAGTTGAATGTATTAGTTGTCTTTCCAACTGAAAATCAGTAATCTGCGGTATTAGCTAAACACTTCTGTGCTGTTATATTAAGTATAGGATTGCTGATTAAATTCTTTTGCTGTTTAACCTAATACTTATGTGCTATTATTTAAGTACAGGATATTGAAGATTGTATGATTTTAAAATCTTTTGCTGTTTTGGTAGTCTCTGTGGCTAATTGTTCTTTTTCTTTTATTGTCCTCTGGGGTTAAACAGTCCCCATCAGGAACTGTTTGTGTTGCATGTAGTGGTCGGGAACCTGAAGAACTTCTGGTCGCTTGCAATCTCTGCCACAGCCAGTGCATCCATTCCTACTGCCTGGATCCTCCCTTATTTCCATGGACGTGCATTCACTGCAAGGATCTCCGACTGGTCTACCTTCTCAACCATTGATATACATCGCCAAAAAACATCAAGAATGCCTCAATCCTTCATAGAGTAATGGAAAAGCTGATATCGTGTTTGTACCAAGTATCTTCAAGGGGTTAAGAAGTCATGAGCACTGGCAATGAATGCGGTCCTTTAGCTCTACCATTCTTATAGTCCATACTCTTGCAGAAAGATGGTGTTATCTTCTCAAGCTTGAGATGAAACCAAGGCATTTTGATCAACAAATGTTTCTAAATATATCTTAGATCTGATTGTCCAGATTGTGTTTTAATGCAGACAAATTCTTAAAACATTTGATACTGTTTTTGATTTCACATATAAATATAATTTCACTTGAGGAAGGTTGGTCAATTCCTATTACTTGTTTTCGTCTATTTTTGCAATAGTATTTCGTTATATATTCAAAATATTATTTCATGTATTCTGCTCTTCTTTTCGACCATTTCTTACGTTACTCTCGTATCCCTTTCTCTGCTAGTTCTTTTATAATCAAATTCACGCTACTGATTGACCTTTGGCTTTTCAATATCTATAAAGTAGTGTATAATATGCGTATTTTACATTTGAATTTTAAAAATTATTTATTTTATCGAGTCTTTAAGATATGTAGGAAAAACGGAAATATTTTAAAAAATACATACGTACATATATAAAACGAATATTAAACGGGATTTGGTAACTAACAAATCACTATATTTCGTAACATTTTTCTCATATAGAATGATTGATACTAAAACCAAATAAAGATAACAAACTTAATGAAACATTTTCTAGAGTGTGCTTTCTATCACTTTCTTCTGTTTTCCATCACTTTTATCCCTTTATATTGATTCGTGGTCCTATGACTCATTCGTTCACCCTTCTGCGAAAAAAGAAGAAGATAAAAAACTCTTTTCAGGAATATGTGGACAACCTTAGCCCTAAATGTAGTGGAAAATGAGTGTGGAGTTGCTTTTCGGGAAATAATAATGCAAGCCCTTGAAATGACGAGTGAACCTTCTGTCTCTTGTCTTCTGTCCTCCATATCTCATTCTATGACCTAATTTTATTGCGTTAATCTCAATGTCAATGACTTCGATCAAATGGAACATTTGTTAATACACAATAGTGCTTTTTATCAAGTGGCCCCATATTTGCAGATGATGTATGTATTTTTCTTATCTTGATGAGATGGAATGACATGGGATTTCTTCCACATTAGGTCGGAAAGTAGGAGAAGATGCATGAAAACAAAAATGCATGACGACAACTGAAGGAAATTGCATAATTTCCAAAATTTAACCACGTTTCATATTTTATGTCCACACAATAAAGTTGAGAGGGGATAAGAAAACGGTGCCAATATATGTATTCACATGGGTTCTTGCTTCTTCTTTTTGCATCTTTGTGCTATTTGGGATTTCATTACAGTTTCAAATTCTATGCTTCAAAGGATCCAGAAGCTTGGGCAAGAAAGAAAGTAGTTTTGGGGCATATTCATATTGTAGCTATCTAGATGCTTAGCTGCTTATGCATATATGGAAAGCAAAAACATGGAGGGAAATTAATAACCTCTCTCCAAAGATTGTAATCTTGGAAAAATTCACACCTTGTTTTCTTGATATGACAATGTTATGAATAATATGATTCTATGAGTGATTGTTTGTGTATGAGAGAGAGAGAGAGAGAGAGAGAGAGAGAGAGAGAGAGAGAGAGAATCTAAGTTAGGGAGGCAAATTATCCAAAACAGGGGAGGAAGGCCCTCCTTAATCACCGTATTCTATTGCATGAGGGAGTAGACCCAAAAGAGAGGGGAGAAAGAAAGCATTAGCCTTTGATGTTTTGTGACTTATATATATGCATATACAAATACGATCATCAAAAAGCGAAGGTTTTGGACTTGGGAGAATCTGCTACTTTCAAAGTCTTTTCAATGAGCTTTCTGGCCTTCTTGCTCCTTATTTCAACTCTCATGCTCTCACTCTTTTCAATCTTGTCATAAGGCTTCTTGTTCACCTTCAAAGACCTCAACTTGGATTTCAAATTCAACACCAACCTCTCCAATCCCAGCATCATCATTTCGACTCTACCAAACCTGCAGATTGAGCAATGAATAAGAAAACCAAAACCCAAATTCTGGCTACAACCCACCAAAGGGAACTGAGATTTGAGAAAGAGAAAGTAACATAACCTGTGTTGTTTGGCAAAACAAAGTTTGAGATTGAAAGGTTGAGATTTGAGAGTGAACTTGAAATCTAGCTAATATGAGAGAGAGAGAAAGAGAGAGAGAGAGCTAGAGAGATCATGGAGATGAAGGGAGTTTGGAAAGAACAAAGTGGGAGAGGTAATATGAATGAATCAAAACGGTTGGAGGAGTTGGAGCTCACAATGTAAGCGTTTATAGAACTTGGAAGGCTTACCACGCAATACTTACGAGCCTTATACATCACCACCCCCTTTGACTTCTCTTTAATGCCCACTTTTTGGAGAAACACTTCCTCTTTGCAGGTTTCTATATAATTTTATGCATCTATCTTTCTTATCACGTGAAAATTTAAGACTTTCTCCGCATTTGGGTGGTTTTTAAGTAGCTTGAGCTAGTCTGGAAAAAAAAAAAGTTGCTTGAGCTAGGATTATATGTTTTTAGTGTTTACAAGAACGACTTGATTCTCTGTAAAATCCAAGGGTCATTTTTCTCATATTTCTGTATTTTTTAGAAAGAAAAAGATAGAAGGAAAACAATCATAATTGTATATTTTTGTTATTGCTGTGTCCTTTTCAGTCTTGACAAGAGCGATTGCATTTCATCCAATGCGACACCATTTTCCTATTAAAGTTATCTGTATTTATCTATGAGCAATATCATATGTATGATAATTTTGAAGATGCCAGAAAACATAAAAGGGAAAATTTGTATCTTCCAAGAAATATATATATATATATATATAAATTGGATTTGTTAGTCAGTTATTAATAAATAATAATATGCTCCATCAATTAACAATAATTGGCCATAAAAGCAGCATTAATTTTATACATCTAATCACTTTGAAATCTATTAATTACTCAAATCCTTCCCTTTTCTCAGTCATTTTAATGGAAATGATTAAATTACCATAAATAAATAAATAATGGAAAATAGAATTCATCTGAAACATCTTTTGTTGGCCAAACACCACAAAATGGAGTGGTTTGCGTCCGTCCTTAAAGAATGAGAAACAAGCTGATTGCTCACTTAGCCAAAGGGATGGTGACAAAAAGTGTGAGGTGGAAGAATTTTCTTTAATTATTTGTTTTGTGAGAGAATGATACATACACATATAGCCTAGAAGTGGACATGCAGTGCCAAGTGAGCCTCAAATTTTGATATAGAAATGCAGCCACGCACACACATGGATATTAGCCATGCACATCTATTTATCCCCATCCAAATAAGCCACTTTCCTAGAATTGGAAAATCTCCTTTTGAAAAGCACTAGATCGAGTTAAACTCTTAGAGTTTTTCTTGCCTATACGGAAAATTTAATATCAAATGGCAGATGTCATCACATATAGGTCAATAACTTCAATTATCTTGTGTTTCTTATGCATCGCAATCATCAACCCTAACCACATATTGCAGGTTGAGTGAATCCTCATAAAATCTCAAACATTAATGTCACACAACCAGAGCTTTTTTCGTGTACTTTATGCTTCTTGGATTTCATATTCTATATGGACACTTTTGTTCATTCCAAGGACAACAAAAGTTAAAAATATCATGGTATATCAACCCTAACCCATTATTAACGTTGTTATAATCAATGGGGGACTTAGGAATTTAGGGTAGGCTAATATTTTTCTCGTCTTTGGGGACTCCAAGTTTAAAAAAAATAGAAAAAACGTAACATCTTTTAAAATATTTAAAACCTAAAAATTAACATTTTTTTTATAAATAAAACAAACCCTTTCTCCTTCTCTCTCCTCTTCTTGACCTTGAGAAGCAAAGAACCTCACCTTGATGTTTTGAGTGGAATCTCAAGCAGAGAAGCAACTTTTCTTTCAGATAGCATAAGAAAAAAAATCCCAAACATTTAACAACCAAATCCTAAATCTTAAAAACCTAACAATAACAATTAAAATTTAACAACCATAACCTAAATGTTATCATTGTGAGAGGGAGAGAGTGACCGTGAGAGTTGAGAGAGAGAGAGAGAGAGAGAGAGAGAGAGAGAGAGAGAGAGAGAAAGAGAGAGAGAGAGAGAGAGAGAGGGTCGGGAGAGGTATAGTTGAGAGAGTCAATGAGAGAAGGAGTGGTAAGAGTAAGAGAGAGATAGAGGGAGAGAAGCAGTGATTCATGGTGAGAGTAATCTCGAAGAGACTCATCATGCTTTTTCTTCAAGTTGAAAAGGTGGTCAACTTGCTTCTTGATCACCTGGTAGGAAGTATACACCTTTTTAAAGGTTAGGGCTAACTCTCTGAAGCTGCTGATAGACTTGGGTGCTAAGGTATGAAACCAATCTTGGGCTGCTCCCCGTAAGGTCATGGCGAACAACTTGCACATCAGCGCATCATTGCCTTTGTAGAGCATCACGACACTCCTGAAATGCTTGAGGTGGCTTTCAGGGTCGGGGTCCCCTTTGAATGGTGTGAAGGTAGGCATTGAAAACCTCCTTGGTGGGGTTGCTTGCTCAATTTTGTCGGGGAATGGTAAGGAGTTCACTTAGTCTACTTCCTTGCACAGGGCATCCTCCAAATATTCTTCGACCCTTAGGCCTTGGAGTTGATCATTCACGAGCTTGTCAACATCTTCCACTTGCAATGCTTATGGCTCTTGCTGACTACATATGTAGTGTCATCGTCACTAATCAACCTCCTCATCAACTGAAAGGGGTTGTTCTCTCCGGCTGGCCTGCCGGCGCTGTGCATTGGTAGATTAGGCTTGAGAAGGATTCTCCGCAACATGTGGCCTAAAATCTACTCTTCTGATTCGAGCAAGTAAGTGCCTTCCTTCACGCTCTTTATGTAGAGGACTATGAGGTTGGTCTGCCTATAGGCTTAATCTCGAACGGATGCTTCTCTATGGGCCCAAGTGGGTGTGGACATTAGATTGTACCCCCAGTCTTGAGTGCACGTTAGTTTGTGGGCCTAATCTCGAACAGAGGCTCATCCTGCTTTGGTTGCAGCTCACGGATGCTCGTGACATTCCAACATGTTGATCATCTCTTTCCTGCCTTCCTTATTGCCTGCTGGTCCTTACTCGGTCTCCTTGGGATCTTTCAAGCTGTCTGCCGATGCACTCACTTATCCTTCTCTCTTCACCATCGAACCTTGGTTCAAAGTCTCGAACCAAGTCGATCTGCCTAAGTAGTCGATCAATCAAGTTACTTTGGTCCTCGACTCGCCTAGTTGGCTCATCAACCTTACGATTAAGATCTGCTTGGCTGTTTGGGTAGGCATGAGAGAATTGTGTGGAGCCAAGTTAATGATGACCTAGGGTTTCTCCGGAGGCGTGAATAAGTGCAACATTTAAAGGTTGCGGCGACAAAGGTGGGTGTAGCGACACCTGCTCCAAAATCGGTCCAAGCAGGGCAACGACGGCACCAGCAAAAGAGAGAGATGGGGAGGATTTCAGAGAGAGAGAGAGAGAGAGTAGTTTAAGGAATTTTTCGAAGTTAGGAATAGTTTGATTGAGGGAATTCCCTCAACTTAAATAGGTAGCTTCCCTATTAAATATATTATTAAACCTGATGTATTGATTTAAACAATATATTTTTAGAATTAGCTTCTTTTTCATGTGGTGTCTTCTAATTGGACGTCAGATTTATTTGCTACCACAACCATGACCGTGACCGTGACAAACAAGAATTTCTGGGGGGAAAAGCCTTTTTAGCTCAATCAATCACTTACCCACCTTTTTGTAGTCTCATCGCCATAGTTGATCAATAAGTTGTTGTGGCTACAAGCCTACAACTAGTAGAGCAAGCAATATATAGAAATCCATCTTTGGCCTCTTGAAACTAATTAGTTGGGTTTGTGCGCAATAATTCTAGTGGGCTTAACTTGTTTCTAAATAACCGTTGAATTTAGGCCAAATCAAGAAGAAGAAATATGTGACACCAATAAGTTTCAATGTCTTGAAGCACATACAACAATCATATAGTTAGCCAATGATACTCAGTCAACGTTCATGATGGCAGATATGTAACAACCACTTAAAATAAATTAAGAAAAAAAAGGGGAACAGATTAGATTAGAAGAAGGATGTGTATGAATTATGATGATGATGAGAAAACAGAAATAAAGACTTAATAAATTATATAAATATATAATTAGAAGGATCAATAATCTGAGTTGAACTGGTGGAGCCAGCATACAATCAAGTCTGCAGAAGATGACATCACGGTGGTTATGATTAGAAGCCAACCTAAATTTTCAGCTTCAGCACACCAATGCCATACATATATCATAAATTAATTTATAGCTGCATTTATAAAAATAAGTAGAGGGCAGGGTCAGATTAAGTATATGATGGTAATGTAATACCAACTGATGTAATGTGTAGGTGGTGACAAATTATAGGTGTCTTTTCTTGTATTTTTGTTAAGCACTCAATCAACATATAATTATTTTGCCAATCAATTATTTTGCTCCAATTCAATGAATGAACACATATAATTGTTCATTATTTAAATAATATATATATAATATAAGATTGAAAGTTGATCATTTACGTAAATTTTGAACTTAGGGATCGTAAAATGAAATTAAGAAAATATTAGAAAGATAACATAATGAAATGGTTGATGCGAAGTAATTTCCCATGCATAATTAGCAAACTTTTCAATAAACCACTCATCAGCCTCACTGGGAATTTGGAAATTTTCAAAAATGTCAAATCCCGATTTATATATTGTTCATGAAACTAATAATTAACTTGTTGAACAACAGGATTTTGGAATTTTGAGCTAGAACTAACAATATCTTGTCATGGCCATCCCAAAAAATTTAATGGAAATATTTTTGCTCACTATTTTAACCTAAGGTGTATGCTCGTTACCATTCTTAATATTTGACATGTGTCCATAGACATAATCATGGTTAACTTTTTTACTGTGATTTATGTAATCATGGTTATGCTTATGTACAGGTGTTGAGAAGAGTGATGAGCAGACACCTTAAGTTAAAGTGGTGAGCAAAAATGCTCCCAAATTTATTAACTTGTATATCCCACTAAATTACAACTAAATCCCTCACTAGATTCTCAAAGATGTGAAGGTGCAGCCTTAGATTTAAAAAATAATAATAATAATCTTCTATTTTTAAAAATATATATCTATATGATGTCGATGATTCTCTTGAAACGTTCTAGGGTCATATATGCTCCAATTGAACGGGGTTAGCTAGTAGATAATAGAAGAGATAGGTTGGAGAGGTAGCATCATGCACATTGCAACCCAAACCACAAAACCATATAATATAATAAAATTATTTATAATAATCACTAACCACCCTCCCTCCTTGTGATCTTTGAAACTTTCCACACCCATATGTTTCAGCCTAGTTAGCTATCTAACTCTCTTATTATTTCCCATTGCCTTTAGAAATCAAAACTCTCTCTCTCTTCCCCCATCTCTCTCTCCTCTCTCTTTCTCTCTTTCTCTCTCTGAATGAAGCACCAAGACGTTGAGCTTCCCTTTGGGAAAATATGCCAAGCACCACAAAAGGCACCAAAAAAAGTGGTGCTTCTAGTCTTTGCCCTACTTCTTCTCACAATCATCCCTCTCTATTACCCTTCAATAAGCCACTCCTTATTTGTGTCGGAAACTCTTAATTCAAACCCACTTGTGCCCTCTTCATCATCATCATCACAAGATCATTTAAATGATCATGTTCATGAGGAGGATGATTTGCCATCCGTAACTAGCAATTTAAAGTGTGACATATTTACTGGAGAATGGGTTCCAAATCCAGAGGCTCCCTATTACACAAACAAAACATGTTGGGCAATCCACGAACATCAAAACTGCATGAAGTATGGAAGACCAGACACAGAGTTCATGAAATGGAGGTGGAAGCCAGATGGGTGTGAGCTTCCTATTTTTAACCCGGCCCAGTTCCTAGAATTGCTTAGAGGCAAGTCCTTGGCCTTTGTTGGAGACTCTGTGGGCAGAAATCAAATGCAGTCCTTGATATGCCTCCTTTCTAGGGTACGTATTATCCTCTACCATCTATTTTTTCCTACTTATTATTTAATGTCACGATAATATTAACCAACAAAAATCTTGCACGTTATGATGACTTGTTTTTATTTGGACCCTCTACTTATAATTTTGTTCTCTTGTTTTTTTATTTTTTAAAGAAAAAGCGATAGTAATTATTGATGAAACATAACAAAATTTTACGACAATGCTAACTTATAACCAGGTTGTTTTGATTACAAACACGATATCATTACAGAAATATAAATTCATAATTTATCTTGTTGTATGATCTAATGATGTGTAAACCTAATTATATCTTGCTCACATTGAAGAATCTGTATTTGTTGTGATAAAAGCTTTTTGTGGCCCCTGCCATGAACAGGCGTGGTAATTAATTATTGATTTGAAAATCTGGAAACTAAAAGCGAAAATTTTAAAATTGTGGATTGGATCTCGAAACATGTGTCGTTTCTCGTTTAGCAAACTAATTTTGTCCTAATATGCATGAGATTCAGATCTTCAAAAGATTAGTTGACCTAAGCCTTTATAATTGAAGGATAAAGGGGATTAGGTAAAAACAGTACGCCCTTTTTTATTTATTATTAATTACAATATCTTGTCCAGCTAGCTAGCATGATAGGAATCTTTGCCACCCCCCACTGTGCCAATGAGTATGTCTTGCAATATTGTTTCAGTTTATTTATAGTGTAATTAAAATTTCATTCTAGTTCAGTGAAAAAAGATTTTTAGTTGCAGATCAATGGTCTTAAATTTGAATTTTCATGATACAGTTTGCATGTGTGCGAAATCCTAAACCCTTGTATAATTTAGACTATTATTTATATTAATATATAAATAAATCACTGAAATTGGGATCTAAGAAATTAAGCTAACATCAAAATCTAAATTATCTCAAATTCGAATCTCATCTCTTCTATATTAAAAAACATCGAGATTGAAAACAAAAACAAAAAGACATGAGAGAATCCAAGATTGGCAATAACTAATATGTCCATGGGGCCCCTTGACATATATTCGAATAACAGACATCCTTGTCGAGACAACTGTCGTCCAAACAGATCTAGTTGCTGAAGCCCTCCAACCCCTTCTTCTCCATGTGTTCTTGTCTATTAACTATTTAACTAACAATTATTATATAGATTAGTTATCTTAAACCTTGTGCTTTGTTCATTACATGTATAATATCTTCCACATGGGTCTGGCTGGACCTGCCAATATGTGACATAAAATGATTAACCCTTCACTTCTCTAAGAAGAAAAGTTCTTGGTCTGCAAATCAAGATTAACTTAATTAAATCACAAATCCGTACAAATCAAATAAATTTTGATTTTGGTGTTCAATTTCAGGTGGAGTATCCAATAGATGTTTCAATCACACCAGATCCAACTCAGAAATTCATACGCTGGAAATACATGTCCTACAACTTCACCATGGCAACATTTTGGACGCCACATTTGATCAAATCCAAAGAAGCAACCTACACGAACGGACCGACGAAGACCGGCCTTTTTGAGCTCTACCTCGATGAATTTGACGAGGCATGGACAACCCAACTAGATGAATTCGACTACATTATACTTTCTGCGGGCCATTGGTTCTTCCGTTCGTTGGTTTACTATGAAAATCAAAAGATTTCAGGGTGCCACTATTGCCTCCTAGACAATGTGCCTGATGTAGGCATTTTCTATGGATATAGAAAGGCTTTTAGGTTAGCTTTTAAGGCCATAAACAGCTTACAAAATTATAAGGGCATAACCTACGTTAGGACTTTTGCACCGTCACATTTTGAAAACGGGTTGTGGAACCAGGGAGGGAACTGTTTGAGAACGACGCCGTTTCGGAGCAACGAGACACAATTGGAGGGTGCCAATTTGGAGCTTTACATGATCCAAATTGAGGAGTTTAGGACCGCTGTAAAAGAAGGGAGAAAAAAGGGGTTGAAATATAGGTTATTGGACACAACACAGGCCTCATTGTTAAGGCCAGACGGTCATCCTAGTAGATATGGCCACTGGCCACATGAAAATGTGACTTTGTATAATGACTGTGTGCATTGGTGCTTGCCGGGACCCATTGACACGTGGAGTGATTTCTTGCTGGAGATGTTGAAGATGGAGGGTATGAGATCAGCTGAGGAGAAGAAGCTCATGATGTCAAAAGACAGGAGATTGAATTAAAGTCAGATTCATAGATTTGATGATGAATAAGTTGGTATTCAATGGATATTATTCATTTGTTCAGCTTTTTTTGGTGTCAAAGTTTGTTTAAGATGTAATTGGTGGCTACGAAGTTTTAACTAAAAAACAAGGTGCAAATTGTGTAGTTGCATCACTAAAAATACAATCTATGCCACATGCACATTCATGTTTTGTGAACTAATGTTACATTTTTTTTCATAATAGAAGTTCCTAATTTCTAGCATATCCGTAATGCTAATTTTTTTTAAAATTTAACGTTGAATAATTATATCCTCAGTTTTAGAGATTATGTTTCTAACAATTCAAATCCTAATTAATTTCAATTATCGTCCATGTTCAAATAAGCTTATTTGAGGGACACCCTTGTAAGGCATACTCCGTATTGTATTTTACTAATTCAAACTGTTTATTTTGTAGATACTAATTCAATGGGTTATTTGTCGGGGGGGCAAAGTATTGAGTGTTCATGAGTTGTTGGGTGTTAAAGCCTCAAGTTTAGAGCACATAGCTTGTTGCCAATTGAGATTTGCAGCAGCTCTGTAAACCAAGGTTCCACACTACTACTGACAGTTGCTATAAAAGAGACATGTGAAGGTGAGTAACGATGATATGAAATAAAATTACAGAGAAGATAATGAGTACCGTTGTGAGGGATCGGCGGTGAGGAAGACGATAAGGCGGGTCTGGGTACTAGTATGTGATTAAGAACATAATCTTTTTGCCAAACAAGGGCTTGTTTGGGAAGCTGAGAGACTCTGACAGGTGGATTGGTAGAAAGATGGGTAGTAGAAGGTGGAAGAGGTGCAGGTTGTTCTGGGTTTGTGAGTGCAACAGATGATGATGTAGTAGAATCGGCTAGAGAAATAGATTGGTCCATAGGAGAAAAAGAAGAATGGTTAGCTGGAGAGTTAGACGTGGCTGGAGAGATGATCTCATCTTGGCTTGGAAGTGTGGAATTGGGCTCATGGGAAAAAGATGAATTAGTTGGAGGAAACTCATTCAGGCCCAAGGTTGGATGGCATGGATCAAGGTTTGTTATGTGTGGTCTGGGTAGGACAAGTAATTGGATTGATTTTGTGGTTGGGCTGATGGTGGGGAAAGGGAAATGATGCTCAAAAAAATTAACATTCCCGTTGATGAAGATTTTGTGGGTAGTGAGATCATACAACTTGTAAGCTTTTTGCCCACTAGGGTACCAAAAAAAAAAATGCTTTTCTTGGCATGAGTATCAAATTTGGATGTGGGATGGGTGTTGGTGGAAAAGCCCCAAAGACTCTCATATGTGTATAGAAAGGTGGTTTGCCATATAATTTTTCAAGAGGGGTTTGTTGGGCTGAAACCTTTAGTAACTCCCACAACAGTCACCAAAATTAGTGACAAAAATGGTAACTGTTGTCACTTTTTCTTGTAGTGATCGTCACAGCAAATAGACTCTATCCTATATAGTCAACCAACCAAATATGAGTACTTGAATAACTATGAGAGAATATCTCAAAATTTCATTTTAGTTATTCCATCACATCTCCTTATCAAATAATAAAGCCTAACTTAAGCAATTCAATCTAAGCCTCAAAAGCAACAATACGGTGAAAACACTACAAAAAAAAGTGGCAATAGTCACTATTTTGTCACTAATTTTGGTGACTGTTGTGGGGGTTACTAAAGGCTTTAGCAACTTTTTTTGACTTTTTTGGTGACTAAAAAGGCTTTCAGTCACCTTTTTTGCTTTTTCTAGTGACTAAAGCCTTTAGTAACCCCCACAACAGTCATCAAAATTTGTGACAAAATGGTAACTATTGCCACTTTTTTTGGTAGTGAGATAATGCTCTCACACTGCCACCCAAATACATAATGTACTTCCAACAATTTTCTTTAGGGTTAAATATCTTCTTGGTTACTGGGTTTTACACGAAAGTTCAATTTAGCCATTGAGAAAACAAATTTAGTCAAATTGGTCACTGTCATCATGTGTAGAAAAACACAAAAATAAACAAAACCAAAATACAATAAGCACAACAACAACAACAAAAACGAAGTATTGATAAGGAACGCATTTGAACTAAGTAGAGCATCAATTGCCAGTGCCACACATGATGACTTAAAATTAAAATAACACTAATTTCATAATGACAATAAATTAAATCAATAACAATACGAGTGTTTATAATTAATGGTAGAAGTATTGGATTGAAGTCTAATGAATATTCTGGATCCTTTCAAAGCAAAATCTACTTATTTTTTATGTTTAAATTCAAATCAAACTCAGAAAAGTTCAGATGAACCCAAAATTCCCAAAAACTAAGCACCACCTGTTCACAAATCCCTTGAAAGAACAAAATCAACACCCAAAAATTGAGCAAAGATCAGATCAACCGAGCCCACCATCCACAATCAATCTAAGATAAAATAAAGGGTTAATTACAGTTTAGTACCCTGAACTTACAACGTTAAGGCATGTTAGTCCCTGACTTTTCAATTTTTACAATCGCATACCCCGAGCTTGTAAATTTGTTACAATCCAATTCCACTGTTAGGGTTTCCGTCAGTTGTATAGTTATTTGCTGATCTGGCATTGATGGGGCCCACTTGTCCGCTAGTTTCGAAGTCCTTTCAAGGGCATTTTTGAACTTGGATTAATCGGCTCTCCCCCCCCCCCCCCCCCCCCCCCCCCCTCCAACCTCCCACGCCGTCACAGCCAGTCAATTAAGCACCAGATTTCACCACATTACCAAAAACTTCCAACACTTGCAAATCTTCCAAACCAAACCTGATGAATAGTATCAGATCGGTTTTAATTTAAGGCAAAAACCGGTCCAACCCAAACCGTACCCACCCCTATGTCTGGGTTTGTAAGTGCAACAGATGATGATGTAATAGACCGGCTGGAGAAATAGGTGGGTCCATAGGAGAAAAAGAGAAATGGTTAGCTGGAGAGTTAGGCGTGGCTGGAGAGATGATCAAGGTCTGTTATGTGTGGTGTGGGTAGGACAAGTAATTGGATTGATTTTGTGGTTGGGCTGATGGTGGGGAAAGGGAAATGATGCTCAAAAAAATTAATATCCCTGTTGATGAAGATTTTGTGGGCAGTGAGATCATACAACTTGTAAACCTTTTGCCTACTAGGGTACGCAAAACAAAAAAAAAAAAAAAAAAAAAAAGCTTGGCTCGAGTATCAAATTTGGAGGTAGGATGGGTGTTGGTGGAAAAGCAAGACACCCAAAGACTCTCATGTGTATAGAAACGTGGTTTGCCATATAATTTTTCAAAAGGGGTTTGTTGGACTAATAGCTTGGAAGGAATTCGGTTAATTATATGAGTGGTGGTAAGCACTTCTTCTCCCCAAAATTGAAGAGGAAGATGGGCTTGAAAAAGTAAAGCCCGAACTATTTAAATTATATGGCGATGTTTATGTTCTATAACCCCGTTTTGTTGGGAGTATAAATGCAAGATCGTTGGTAAATGATCCCGTTATCTGTAAAAAAATCACGAAGGGAATAAAATTCTCCCCCATCGTCCACACATATTTGTTTGATTTTGGTGTTGAACTGAAATGAACCCTTTTTAAAAATTAAACCATATAAAATTAAGTTAGGTCCTACAGTTGTTGGAGAACTATATGAGCTAGCTAGATAGCAAAAGACCTAACATGAATAACTTATAGTAATTTCTTTGGCTTACCTAACATGAATAACTTATAGTAATTTCTTTGGCTTGCTGAAGTAGCTTGATGTGTGTTTAGATATGTTACCATTCAATTTGTGATTTGTTGGGAAATAAAAGCATTCATGAAAACCATTTTGGTCCTCATCTCTGTTTAATTTGTTTTCAATTTGATAAAAAATTTGGAGTTTTTTTTTTCTAGAAGCTATATTCTGAGTTTATTCTCTATAAATGTTCTGTATGTCATGTCATCATGTGTAGAAAAACACAAAAATAAACACAACCAAAATACAATAAGCACAACAACAACAACAAAAACCAAAGTATTGGATTGAAGTCTAATGAATATTCCGGATCCTTTCAAAGTAAAATATACTTCTTTTTTATGTTTAAAATAAAATCGAACTCAGAAAAGTTCAGATGAACCCAAAATTCCCAAAAACTAAGCACCACCCTGTTCACAAATCCCTTAACAAAATCAACACCCAAAAAGGGTGCAAAAGATCAGATCAACGAAGCCCACCATCCACAATCAATCTAAGATAAGATAAAATCAAAACATTCACAATGAAACTGATATAATTACTGTCTTATCTAAACCAAATAGCAATACAGTACTAATTAAGTAGTTAATCCAGCACCTAGAGAATGACATAGACATAGATATGAATACTGTCTGATCTAAACCAAATAGCAGTGCAGCACTAATTAACCAGTTCATCCGGCACCAGCACCTACATAATGACACAGGAACAAGAGGGAATCTCTTGCACAGACGTTGGAGCAGTTGTATTTTTTTGCGGCCGTCCAAATTGAGGGTATTGATATCATAGAAATGACCATAGCCAGTCACAACCATGTCAACCATTTCATGCAGGAACTCTATCTATCTGTATATTGTATTAAACAACAACAATAAGAAAATATATATCTTCAATAAATAAGTTATACTTGCTCTGAGAAATAGGTAGCAAAAGCAAAAGGGAAGCAGAACATTACCGTTCGAAGTGCGGGGCGCAAGACCATCCGCCAACACAAAAAATTCGTTTTTGACAGCAGCCAATTCGTCAAAAACGTTGTCAGATCTTTTATTTGCTCTCAGCAATTTCCGACAAGCAACGGCCAATCGAGGAAAACCATAGCATTTGCACATATCACGAAGTGTTCTGCACTTCAGTTGAAACAGTCCTCTAATTCTCTCGTCTGTAAGGTGACCCTCCTCCAAGAATATATCCATCCTTGCAATGACTGGATAAGTCGTAACAAAAAATTGTTTCAGTTCACCTCTAACAAGGGGAAGGCCGCTAGGCGTAGAAAGTAGCTTTTCGATTTTCGAGTTCAGAATTTTATGAGAGAAAAATAGATAATAAAAACAAGGAGGATGAGACTAACTAAACTAGTATTTGAACTGACAAATATTTTATTTCGAAAAAAAAAAACTGACTGACAAATATTTGAACTCACCTCGGTTCGTAATGGAGTGATAATCCTTTTCATGTCATCCATTTCTGGAACAGACGTTCATCCAGCAACAGCACCTATATAATGACACAGGAACAAGAGGGAATCTTTTGCACAGACGTTGGAGCAGTTGTTTTTTTTTTTAACGGCCGTCCAAATTGAGGGGTTTGATATCATAGAACCAACCAAAGTCAGTCACAACCATGTCAACCATTTTATATGGAAAATCAAGCTTTGATTAGTGCTCTACAGAGGTGAATTCAATCATTTCTTTATTTACTGTTTGTTAAAGCTATTAAAATTTTTCTAATGAATAATATCACTCTTTAATTTTATATATACTTAACATTTTTCTTGTTGCATTATATAAACGACAATATCGACCAAATACTTCTTCCATTGGATGGCGTTGAAATTCTGAAAGAAAAGCTCAAGAAACACTTCAGAGATACCAACGTCGACATTCTAAAGATGAAAACATATTTGGAATTTCATAATCATACAAATCCGAAGATGAAAACATATATATTTATTTATGTCAAGTCTTGGTAAATAATATTTAGTGTGGAAAATATTTTTGTTGTTATTAATTATTATTTGAATTTTCTTATCCCAGTGGACTTATCTTGTGTTTTTGTTTCATATTAATACAGATAAACTACCTGCATGAAATGGTAAATCTAGGCATGGATGATATGTGGGGAGAGTTCAAATTGGACGGCAGTCGAAACAACCCCTTATGCTTCTCCTTCCTCTCATGCTTCTCCTCTGGAGGGAAGGACCCAGTTCTTCTTCCGCGGGTTCTTCAATTTGCTTTCTCCCCCATAGAGGAAATAAGGAAGGTGGTATAATATATTTATCCGCTTATTGGAACTAGTTAATTTGTCCTGCATTATGATCTCATCTTTCTGCTTAGCCCTTTCTATGTTCAGATAAAATGTCAAAGTAGGAAGGAAGAGCTTCGCTTCATTCCATTAGATTATATTTATGTATGGAGGGTTTTAAGATTTAATTACGCAAGATTATTTATTTAAATTCCTTTTTGAATGGTTTTATCTTATGTTACTTTCTTGTATCGATTGTGGATATGGATGCAAACCGGTATGTTTACTAGCTAGCTAACCTGTACATAATAGTTCGACCACAAAAAACCTATACATAATAGAGGCAGAAAGATATCAATTGGTCTCAATTTATTTGGCCTTCAACCACAATTTGTATAGGGAGTTGATTTTCCCAATCCCTTTTTGTCCACAATTCGTAATATTGACATGAAGATCACGAAGGGTGCTAGGCCACGGATGAGGAGAATGCTGATGAGGATCTTCATATTTGCGTTGTTAAATTTCCATGTGACGTACATAAGAATATTTTATAATTTTTTCATTCTTTTCAATATTATGGTGGTAATATTTTATAATTTCCATGTTACGTACTTGCAAACATTCACAAACTCCATACAAAATCAAGTGAAAATTTTACAAGAAATTCAAAATTTAACTTTTGGGTTGGAGATATGTACTCCCCTTGTTTGACAAGAAATAGCCACAAAGGTAGTGGAGATTTATGTTACGGATGATAAATATTTATTAAGTAATTTAGGAAATTAATTAAAATACTTAAATACTAGTTATTCATTATATAATTAATATAATTAAATAAAGCTAAGATATTACTTAATTGCAAATATTAAACTAAACAAACTAATTTTGTATAAAAAAATAAAAAACAAAGTCCACAAAATAATTTAAATATTAATATATTTTAAAAGTATATTCACCCGACTATACTTTTTAAAAATACAAATTTATAAATAAACCCAATCCTAGACATGTATTTATAAGAAAACCCAAACACTATTTAAACATAGAAACATACTCAAAATCAACCCCAAAATCAACAATTGTATATTTTTTGGGTGTGTTTATAAATGGGTTTTGAGTGTGTGTAATGATGGGTTTTTGGTGTGTTTATAAAATGTTTTGGGTGTTGGGTTTTTTTATAATTTCAGCCCCCATTTTGGGTGTTTTAGTGAAACTCCCTTTTAAAAATTCATATATATATATAAAGAATATAGCCTCACAATTATGCTTTTAAATATTTGTATATATTTTAAGAGTATAGTAGCATGGATATACTCCTTAAATAAGAGTAATTAAGTCTAGCAATTAGGAAATGCATTAAACCATATCATATGGATTAGAAAACGACTTACATGTTCCAGTGCACCATTAATATTACCCATCATAAATAAAAAATGGCATAAGTCCATAGATAGTAACTCCATGCAAAAGGAGATATCCAGAAGAGTAAGAAAAATGAGCTAATGTCGCCAATGACATATTATGCCTATAGAATTATATGAATTTTTGGCGTTTACAATGAGTATAAATTTGAATACTAGTCACAAATGTTAAACTGAATCATGTGTTTCATGCTTCTCTAACTTCAAATCTAAACGACTCTTAGTATTGGATTAAGCCAATCATTACCTTATGTTGTTATTATACTGTTTTCATGTACTTAAATAATTATAAACTTTTAATGTTATGCAATTTTGTATGGGTTCGGATCCTCTGCTTTGTTAATATCTGCTTGACTTTCATTATTTACATTTCCAAGCCTAATCGAGTCCTTAGTATTCCAAAAATAGATTTTGGCCTCCAAACCCTAAATCCAAGTCACAACGTGATTCATAATATCAAATACTTGTTGGAGTTTGAATGAAATATATGAACTTGAGTTCCACATTGGAAACAAAGAAAAAAGTCTCTACTCCTTATAAGTGGGAGTCTTCCCACATGTGCTATATGGAAGGTGGGCCTAGTGGAGTGGAACTTGGACCTCACCTTTTGATTGGGCTTGGATTATATATACATAAAAATTAATATTTAATAATCATGGGCTGGGTGGCAAATGTTTTGGGGATACACCTACCCCGGCGAAATTTTTAAATCACGACAAAGAAATTTTGTTGGGATTCCGACAACAAATCACTTGTTAAAATCTACCTCAAGGAACACTCAACTAACTAGGGTTAGGTTTAGTTATGTCGTACTAGCCGTATACTGAGATCGAAACTCTAGTCGTAAAACCCTAGGTCGAGTTACGTGAGTTGCCAAGCCTAATCGAGTCATGAGTGCCCCATCATAGTCTTGTGGTTAGGGTTCGAGGCTTGAGAAAGGTTTGAGGCTTGGATTTAGAATTTGGAGGCTCAAATTCATTTTTGGAATACTAAAATAATTTTATAATAATTAAAACTATGTCTAAAATATATTCAGAAATTAAAAATAATTTTAAATTAATGGCAGGGATAAATTGATGATTAAATTTAGTATAAGGGCTAAATTGGCTGAAAAAATAATTGAGAATTTTGACTTCAACAAGCTTAATAGTTCAAGGGGTATTTGGTAGAAAACCCTTTTGTTTCTCTTTCCATACACAACACAATTTCACAAGGGAAATGTTAGCAATCTTCTCTCCAACCTTCTCTTTTGGACCTTCTCCCTTTTCCTCATGTCAAAAGAGAGGGTTGGAGAGAAGGTTACTAGCATTCTCCATCATTCAATGAAACAAAAGCTAACAGTTAGTTCTTTCTCATGTGGAAATTTTTACATTTCTCACTTCTTCACATGCACACTACCTTTCCTTAACTGGTCTGTCAATTTTCTATTATGTTTGAACTTATTGATGTGTATAAGTTCCTATCGTGTATTGGGGGAACAAACAAAAAGGAAGACAGATTTGTCAATGAAATAATGTATGAAATTTCTGTTATTTCTTTATGTAATTTTCATATTAAACGACGAAGAAAATTCTAGAGGAAGACAGATTAGTCCATGAAATAATGTATGGAATTTCCGCTCTTTCTTTTTGTAATATTTTCATATTAAATGACTCAAAAAATTCTAGAGGAAGACAGATTAGTCAATGAAATAATGTATGAAATTTCCGCTCTTTCTTTATGTAATTTTCATATTAAATGACGAAGAAAATTCTGAAAGTAGACTTATCAAAAAAGGATATACCTGTGCTCATAAATGAAAAAGTAAAATACATGTCCTCCTCCTTTGTTTTGCGGAGTGGGACAAAAGTGGGTGTTTATAAGACTTGAGGAAGGCTTTTACCAATCAATCAATGAAGACTAGAGGAAGACTTTTACCAATCAATCAATGAAGACTAGAGGAAGACTTAAGTACCAATGAATGGCTCCTTTTTTGACTAGGGGAACGTGTATGTAGGTGTTAAAACTCATTGGAGAAAGACTAGAGGACTACACCACATCCTGTGGTAGATAATGTGTCAATTTGCAAATAGCTTTAGTAGCAAGTGGACTATACTAGCCACCTACAGCTTTAAGCCTGATCATTCAAATAATGCTTTCATCCTCTGTTTTATAGCGGCTGATAGCACAAAGAAAGCTGATGCTTTCTTTGCCTCTTCTATCTTTACGCGGCATTGCTCTGTCGGGCTTTCTCTCATTGCAAAGAATTCTCCACTACTGCCTTGGGTAGGAGTATGGGTTGTGTCTCAGTTAGTGTGGTTAATCTTCCTAATTGCCCTAGTTAGCTTTGCCTTACCAGCTACCTAATCCGACACAAGGCCCCTCCTCGGAGAGAAAGTTACTAGCATAACTATATGTGTTGTCACATATGATTATGTATGTTAAACTCCTTTCAATCTTAACCCTAGAATTACATAGAGTAACAAGTATTATTTATTGAATATCAAAACAGTACAATATTCTCAACAACTCATTCTTGATACAATAATTGCCTAATATAGTTGTAAGCTCTCATTAACCAATTCGGCATTTATGCTGATACCATGATGCCAAAACATGGAATGGATTTCCGTCGGACAGTGTTATTGTTACCTAATCTTTTAACTTCAACATTTCGGTATGGATTAGATCGAATCGAAAGAATAAATAATAAAAACTAATAATTTAACTAAACCAAGATTTAAGTGTATATCATTATCAAGAGCCACAGCACAATGATTTCATTATTGCCTAAATTATAAACACACCAGCCTATTATTTGGTATTTGATAAAGCTTTGTTTTTCTTTTCTATTTTAATTTTTTGGGATATAATGGTTGAAGTCATGTCAGATCCAAGAACGCCTAAATTATAGGCAAAACCCAACCAGCCTATTTCCTCAATGAATTAGGGACTATCTAAGCTAGTGAACAATTTGCCAGCTCTAAGTAAAGGGATGAACTTGTGGATTTGATACATGTCCATTGGCCGGTGACAAATGTGGACTATTATATTGCTGACTAATTGTATATTATTATATTGCTGACTAATTGTATAAAATGAGAGGCATATATATATGATAATTGGTGTCTGTTGGCCTTCAACCACCCTTTATTCTCAAGGTTTTTGTCTCATTAATTTGTAATTTAGCAGAGACAGATATTGTTCAAAGTTGCTTGCGCAGATAGATTGTGATCTTTGTAACTTGGAAAGCACCAAATGACACTGTCATTTTCCTATATATTTCCAAGCTTCCACACAACATATGCTTACTAAGGTAACTGGTAAATATATGGACAAAAAATTTACCTCAACACTTTAAATTTCAGAGCAGCATTTTAGATCACCTGTTTGTTTGGTTGCCAAAGTAATTGTGATGACAACCAAGCAACTGCTTGTTTCTTCATTTTTTCTTTTAGTTACCATCTTTAAAGCCATCTTTCTTCATTTTTTCTTCATTTTTTCATCTAGAAAATGGTGGCAATTTACTCAATCTTTAAAGCCATCTTTCGGCCATTGAAGACTGAAAGTTACCATCTGTTTCTTCATTTTTTCTTTTAGTTTTTGCGTAGGAAAGGTAGAAAACTCTTGGCAACAGTTTTGTTCTAGATGATATCGTGAAGTCCATAGACATGTAGACAAAAACTGCATTATTACATTCCATTATCAAAGCAAACATGGACACTGTGAACTGTGAAGGGCATGATTTCAAACTACTTTACAATCATTTATGACTTCACTCTTAAGCCACGCCAGAGTTTACTTGGTCATCAAATTCCATTCACTTCTGGCTCAAAATACCTGATGGCAGACAAACCATGAAGTGAATCAAAGTAAATACATGGACGGACTCAATTATAGTTGGCAAGTTTTTAGCCAAAGAATTAAATAATAATAATCCAAACCATTTGTTTAAATTTTTACTTAAAAAGTCATTATTCATCAAGTAATAAGATTTAGTGGAGATGCCTCTGTTTTAAAAGGTATTATTATCAATTATATGTAAATTTTTGCATCATCATGATGGTGATTTGGTGGGTAACCATGGTCAACTAGTTGCTTTGAAAATACATGATTGTCAGTTTTGCTAAATTATAACCTTCAGCTATTCACATTATAATTGGACCCATTTATATATATATTGCTTGAATCTATCTTGCCTCACAGTTCTCTTCTCCACCATGAAGTTTCATGCCATTGATCTCCCTAATGGAAAATACACACAACGCAACAACACCCACAAAAATCTTTTTCTGCTAGCCCTTACCTTAGTTCTGCTCACTACAATCCCTCTCTGTCTAAACAACATCTCAAATTCCCCATTGCCGTCTCCTAAGAGCAATCCCGGCGGTTCAAAAAGCATCGAAAAAGAAGATCAATGCCAAATATTTAGTGGGAACTGGGTTCCATATCCTGATGGACCTGCTTACTACACAAATGAAACTTGCAATCTGATCATTGATGAGCAAAACTGCATGAAGTTTGGGAGACCTGATACGGAGTTCATGAAATGGAGGTGGAAGCCTGATGCTTGTGAGTTGCTCTTGTTTGATGCAGCTCAGTTCTTGGAGCTTGTTAGAGGCAAGTCATTGGCTTTCCTTGGTGACTCTGTGGGAAAGAATCAAATGCAGTCATTGCTTTGCCTCTTAGCCATTGTAAGCATTCAAATTAGCCTACAGAGACTTGAAACAGTCTAAGATTATAGTTTGTTCTAACAAGATTGTGTGTTTTTTGTTTTTCTTTCAGGTAGCTTATCCTGAGGACATTTCTCATAAATATTCCTCAAACACAGATTACTTCAAGCGCTATGTCTACAATGATTACAATTTCACCATAGCAACTCTCTGGTCCCCCTTCTTGGTTAAATCTAGAGACGCAGATCACAGAGGACACGACATCAACAGCCTCATGAGCCTCTACTTAGATGAGCCGGACGAGGCATGGCTAACTCAGGTCGAACAATTCGACTATGTGATCGTCTCAGCAGGACAATGGTTCTTCCGGCCACTGATATACCACGAAAATGGTCGAGTTATCGGGTGTCACAAGTGCGAACAAGACAACATGACGTCATTTGTCACCTCCTACGGATACAGAAAGGCCTTTCGAACGGTGTTTAGAACCCTTCGAAGCCTTAAAAACTACAAGGGGGTGACATTTCTGAGGACGTTTTCTCCCTCACACTTCGAAAACGGGGCATGGAACGAGGGAGGGAACTGTGTGAGGACAAGTCCTTTTACCAAAGAAAAAACGAAGCTGGACGGGTATGTTTTGGAAATGTACTCGACTCAAGTGGAGGAGCTAAAAGCAGCAGAAGAGCAAGGCCTGCAGCTTAGGTTGATGGACACAACAGAAGCTATGTTGCTGAGGCCTGATGGACACCCAAACTTCTATGGACACTCACCTCATAGGAATATGACTCTTGCCGACTGTGTTCACTGGTGCTTGCCAGGCCCCATTGATACGTGGAATGAGATCTTGCTGTATATGTTGAAGACAGGGTACAGGCCATCTCGATGAGAAGAAGCTATGGAGAAATGCTTGATCATGCAAACGTCATATACATGAATTTTTTATAATATATGTATTTATACACACATTATTAATTTTTATTATTTGCATCATACAAAAAAAAGCGTTTGATGCATGTGAATAGTTGACTTTGAGTTGGAAGAATATTGATTATGTTAGCATTATCTTCTGGTGAAAACGACAGCGTACTTGCATAAATTTGATTGTGTTTGCTGGCTACTAATAGATTTTAATAATTAATATGATTTATTTAGTGCCTAATTAAGAAAGAATATGGACCAATTGAAGACGACAGAAATTTCGTTGTTCATTCCAGTCCAGTTTCGGTGTATATGAATCTTCTCAAGTGCACCACCTGTTCTGACGGCTAAACAAATATTGAGACTTGCATTGCAAATATTGAAAATAATTCAGATGAGGATTTTAGTAAGCTGAAAATTTCTCACCTGTGGAGAAAGTGTATATGCGAAATCATTGTATGAATTATGAGATCTTGATTGATAGCCTTAACAATATCATTGTAAATGAGTAATTTCATTATATACTTTCAATATCTGAAACAAAGAATATATCATACAACCACACTGACAACGCCTCTTACAATACAAGACACATCAGGTTGTTTGGCATACAAACAGAATTAGGAAAGATTGATAACATTCGTCAAAATGAGATCTTGATGAAGACCAGGATGTGTAAAGCTAAAATGTAAAGCACAAAACCCGACCTGAGCAGCATGAGCCTTTGCTGACTCTCTGTTCGGCCGTCGGCATATCTATGATGAGCATCAAGAATATAATCAGAGGAAGCAGATCCTTTAAAAGATGTGCTTCGTCCAAACCGGTTTCTAGCAGTATTCATCTCCATGTTGCTGCTTTCAAGCTTTCTCCACAACCCATTCACTCTTTCTAGCTCCGTCTCTTTCAAATGAATTTCATTCACCAGGCCTTCTGCTTGTGCCTATAAATATAAGAGAAACAATGAAGAAATTTTCTCCCAAATATGCTCAACAGAGAATAATTTTAAATCCATTAGATAAATAAGAAAATTCAAATATTAATGAAAAGTTACAGAAAGACCTGTTTTGCTGCTAGCTGCTCAATTAAACTGTGAAGTTGTTTATCCAAAATCTTCTCTCTTTGAACTGCACCACAAAAAAAAATAATTCTTACAGATTAGTCTTACTACTAGCTAGAATGCCCTATAATATGCATACATGGCATTTCAGCTAACATTGCAAACAGTTTATGAGTTTATCCCATAGCCAAATGCTGCACTATATGCATCACTGAGCAGCCACAAGGCAAGATCCCCTGTATACATGGCGTACAAGCACCTAGGTTTGACTCTTTGTACCCGACCAAAACAAGACTTAAAGAACTCTAGATTTGACCATAAATTTCTTCCTCATCTGGGACATAATTTGAGGACCCCCTTCCCTTTTCTTTGTCAAAATTTAATGTTTTTAATTCCATACAAACCTTCTTTGGTTGAAACCCCAAGACCAATAAGATGTCTAATATAAAACAAACTGCACTGCTATTGTAAACTGGAAGTATAAATGCATTCGAAGAGTAAGCACACAGAATATACCAAATAAATAGTTTTGATGATGTAAGATTACCTGGAGAAGGGTGACTGAGTGCATTATCTTGAATTTCTGCCCATCTCCCCTCTAAATGTTTTACTACTTCTTCCATTGAACTCTAAGAGAATAAAACATTTTTTCAGCAATCAAGATAAAAAATTTCAAAACCACACAGACCCATACATTAAAAATGGGGAAGGCATGAAAGAACAGTGAGGTAAAAAGGAAAGGTGCAACGGACCAACTCTTTCTTCCTCTCCTCTAACTTGTCAAGTATAGCTTTCTTGGAGGCTTCAATGTCAAGTTCAGTTTCGATTGTCATCTTTGAGTCGCCAATGGAGTCATGTGATTCGCCAGAATGACTCACATCCAATGCAGTTTGTGCATTTTCAAGCTTAACTCTTAAATCCCTCTCAGTTTCCTCCATTTCCTGATAACAATAATCACCAAATTTCAGAAACAATTTAAGTGTGGATTTTCCATTAACCAAAATACAATATCCTTAATGTCATCATATAGAAGACCACAATACATGTATAAGATTAAATGTGAAGAAACTTCTCACCATTAACTTCCTTATAAGTAAATCTGCTTCTTGAATTTTCTCCTTTATTTTAGTTTCACAATTTGAAATAGCCCTTTCATATGCAACATTCTCTTCCTGCAATGTCACCTCTCTCAACTGAGCCTGTCCACAAGTATAAATGGAAACTTTTTAGAAACAAAAATAAACACATCAGCATATCTCCTCCCCCTGAGTACATGAAGCTTAAACTAGAAAGTTTCGTAGGCAACAATAAACAATCACATACACAGATAATTTAAAAAAAGTTCCAAAATTTGAATTAAATATGCAACAATTCAGAGTTGTACATAAGAATTACAATCAAAACAAAAGACCCATATATAAAAACGTCCAATTCGAATCAAAATATCCAATTGCACAAGAACCACAATCAAAATCAAGGACCCGGATAAGAAAAAAGCCACATAAATTCAAGAACTAAAAACCGAACCTGTTCGCGGGTAGTGGAATGGGCATTCAATTGGAGAGCAAGAGCGGCATTAGAAGCGACGGAGTGGGCATGGAGATCAGGGAGCCGTTGGGAGATGTCAGAGGGAGGGAGTCTGAGCCGTAGATCTTGGATCGAACGGCTGAGAGAAGTTGCTTTGTGATCCAAGTCTAGAGCATACTTTTGCTGCTCCGGAGTGAATATAAGCGGGATCGAATTGGAACCGTCTTCTTCGTTACCTTGCCCGCCACCACCTCCTACTACGTCTGCTGCCCACGCTAGCAATCCAGCCATCTTTTCTCTCTCTCTCACTCTCTGAATTGCAGTGTTGCGGTGTCCGAATTAAAACCGGAAACGACGCGGGTTGGGAGCAATTCGCCAATTGGGTCTCTCTCTCTCTCTCTCTCTCTCCCTCCGAATTGCAGTGTTGCGGTTTCAGGAAACGAAGCGGGTCGGACGAACTTGAGGCCCATTCGGCTTTCTACCTTGCCTTGTGAACTTGCAAGTGAAGTATTGGATTTAAATTTCTTACATTTTCTATTTTTTCAGACTTTTTTTGTTTAATTAAATTTAGCCACTTAGAGCATTTTCAGCCGTGAGATGAAAACTTGGGGATACAAAACCACTTTTTATATGCTCAATTTCATTTCTTGTGGGTGTAAATATGTTTTTGCTCCAATGAAAAGATGTACACTTTGTGATCTACATTGGGCTTTCTATCTTGCCTTTCAAAGAACCCAAAAACCTAAACAAAATAATAATAATAATAATAATAATAAAATATTTATTGGATTTAAATTTCTTACATTTTTTATTTTTCTGATTATCTTTGTTTAAATAATTTTAGCCACTTATAACATATTCACCCGTGAATTTGGAGATGTAAAGCCACCTTTATATCGAAGTTTAGAATGAGTCAAATACATCTCCAAGTTTACTTTCTTTGACATAAGTCCAATAACTTACCTAATCTTCCAATATCCCTGTTGTGTAGCTTAGGCACTAAGTAACTCTGTTAAGCTTAGATTCTCTGTATTGTACTGAAATCAATACAGAGATTCTTCTTCTCTAAGTGAGCATCACCATTTTTAAAGGATCCATTCTTCTTTGTGTCTATTTTCATATATACATGTACCACAAACTTTACCCTTTAGAGCAGCCTAAAAGTCATTTTCATGACTATTTATTCACTTGGTTTGATCAACAAGGAAGAACTAGACATGACACTGCTGCCATTTCCTCTATGGTGACCCCGGCATTGCAAATGTTGGCAATTGCTCGCATGTATGTCCTTCCATCTTCCCCTGTATAATCCTGCACAGCCGCATCACAGTTAAACTACTGTTAAACTAACAAACTAGCTAGAAACTGATAATAGATTAGGCAAATTAGACTTTGGGAACTCCGTTATAAACATCAGTTCCATTTGGCCTGTTGATGATCACACCGGGTCTAGGATTTTGCTTGTCGAATGCAATATCATCATACATGAACACAATTATGTTTTCATCTTTCAATCCACCTTTCTTCAGTATCTGGTGTGCATGGCTTAGCCTGCATAGCACAGTAAGTAAACTTACTCTTATTAACATTAATGAGATTTGGACAAACTTAAACCTAGTGCCTATAGTTTCCATAACCTTTTGCCCCGGCGGCAACTAGAACTTTCCATCCTTTTCCATCACCATCTGTGGTACTTGGAGATCCATTATGACCATGCGTACTGAAATCTTTCACTTCTGAAGATGCTAATTTGAATGCATTTTCGGTGAGACACCAGCTTCGAATAGTAAAACTTGAAAAAGCAAGGGATAGTAACACTCCATTACCTTGACCGGCCAATGCCATTGATCTGCAGAATAAGATTATATGTAGGAATACAATAGGCTTAAGTAGAAGAGTGCTCTTTTAATTACCAATGATTTTCCATATGAGCACCATCTTTATTTTGGATTCTGTTCTTTAATATCCCTTCCTTTTTTCTCACTTCCCAAAATTCCATGCATTCAAGCTCATTTAAACAAAAATCCCACAGCCAATTTTATATCTTTCAAGAGAAACAGGACCACTGCCATACCTTAACAGATCCTCTCAATTCCCACCCCCCCCCCCCCCCCCCCCCTCCCTTTTTTTTTCTCCTTTTCCTCTCAATTACCATTTATTGAAGCTCATTTAAACAAAATCCAACAGACAATTTTTGTTTTTAAAGAAACACAAAATGCTGCTATATCAAATCTGAAAACTTTAAAGAAAAGAAGAAAGCTTCTTCAATTCAAGAGTCCATATTAACAAGAGTCAAAACTTAATCTAGGATGCAGAGTCTCCGTGTTTCCTTGATCGAATTCCTTAAGTACTTGTTTCTTTTGTTGCCAAACGCGTTCAATAATGAACATATCAATAGGCACTTAGCTTGAGAACTTGTACTGGCTGCTGAACTGATAAAGATCTTGGTCCGCTACAGAGTTAACTTTTTCGCACTCTCATTTTATTTCTCATCTTTCAATATAGAGTTTGGTTCATATGATTAGCCTTGCAAGAGCATTAATTAGCAACTAATGACTAGTAAAGACATTATCCAAGACAGAAATGGAACATGTGTTTTAATACTGCGTGTTGCAGATCCACAGTCGACATCACATTTTTGCAACACTATTTATTAATTTTCATTTATTATTTTCATACGAAGACTGTTGCAACATCAACTCCATTAGACCAACATAAAATTCATATATACTTAACAGTTTATTTACTTCGTCTGATCAGAAAGGAAGTTCTAGACATGGGATTTCTTGGAACAAGCTTGATCAGAAGCTGCAACCATTTTTTCCATGGTTACCCCAGCATTGCATATGTTGGCTATAGCTTGGGTGTATTTCATTCCGTATGTTGATAAATGTCCACAGTACTTCTTATAAATCCTCAGCTGCACAGATAGAATTCAAAACCAATATCTCAGACATAAGATTTACTGGTTTACTTTAAGTAAACAATTAAATAGATAAGCATTAAACTTGTGTGTCTGTATTAATTTCATATATGGAATTAGAGGAAGACTTACAAACTTCTTGAAGCAGTCCCAATCATCTACTACAGGTTGCCCCCGAGACCTAACGTTCATCAACAGGTTTGAGCTCTTCTGGTGTCCAAACAAAAGCTCCCCGATTTTATGGATGCTCTAGTCTACATGTTTCCTATGAGCAATTTCATCAAGCAGCTGCGTTCGAGCTTCCAATTTCGCACAATATCAGGCAGACTGAAGAATAAAGAGAAATGGTTTGTAGATATAAATCATATTATCAAAATATATGAAAGTTTGTGCAAACTAAAAGACATTTAAGTTTAGGACTCATAATAAATTAAGAGCAGAAACCTTGTGCTGGAAATAAAGGAGGTTTGTGTCGCGTTGGTTAGCAGCCCTTGAGACTGAGGGTGAAGAGATATCACCGATGGAAGCATAGCTATCCTTCACAAGATCTGCACCCATGTTATGTAAGTGAAGAGGAACTCCTTTCTATGGCTCATATCTCCATACTGCATAACATGAGACTCATTTGTTCTTCTTCGAACCTGTAATTTAGTCAAGATGGTCATATTATTCTAATTTTCCTTGGCATTATACATATACTTTATGATCTGCATCTGACAAGCATTTCAAAATATTTTATCTATTGACTATTGTAATGAAAGCTCCATAAATATCTAAAACTGTGAGAAGTTTCCAATATTTTACCCTTTCATATTGCTTCTCCAAAGTTTCTATGGGCAAATCATTGCTGTCACTACTGTCAAATGTCACAATACGTTCCAAATTCATTGAAACAACAAAGTAAAATATATTGGAAACTGATAAAGTAATGTACTCTGCATAATAACAGCATCTTAATAAAGGAAAGCATTGCATTACGAATCCTCCAACCAGGAAATACTATACAAGTCTCCCAAACAGGTATCATACTCCTCAGGAACTTCAGGTTCACCTGAACAATATGTTCCATAACTACTGTGGGAACCAAATTCTAGCAAAACCCTAGGTCAAATATTTCCTTCTATTTGGGGATTATTTGACCTAATTGGGAGTTACCTGATTTAATTGGGATTGATTTGATTCCTACCTTAATTAGGGATTTGATTTAAATCAAATCCCTAATTAAGCCAATCTCGCCAAATCATGGAAGAATAATTCCTTTCCATCTGCAGAATTATTTATCTGAAATCCTAGCCTTCGAGGCCCCTATAAATATATGGCTATGCACAAGGGTTGAGGTACATCTAAAATTCTATATGAAACTCGACAGAAATTCCCTCTCACAAACCCTAGCCTATACTCTTTCTCCCTCTTACACAAGGCTCCGGCCACCACACACGGCTCCGGCCACCCGGTTCACACCATACATACAACTCCGTACCCTTTTAGTTAGCTATTGTTTTCCTACAAACTCTCGAACTAACTTAAGCATCAAAGGGCCTTTGGCCAACACCCCCGGGTGTGGTCCTCTTATTCCGATCTATTTTGCAGGGAGAAAGAGGCGACGAAGAAGAAAGAGGAATCAATCAATCCAATATTCTTATGGGAAGCACCAATTTGTGGGAGCGATTTCTTCCCACTAGAATATTCGATTGATTGATTCCTCTTTCTTCTTCGTCGCCTCTTTCTCCTTGCAAAATAGATCGGAACAAGAGGAATACACTCAGGGGTATTAGCCAAAGACCCTCCGATGCCTAAGTTAGTTCGAGAGTTTGTAGGAAAACAATAGCTAACTAAAAGGGTACAGAGTTGTATGTATGGTGTGAACTAGGTGGCCGGAGCCGTGTATAGTGGCCGGAGCCTTGTGTAAAAGGGAGGAGTGTAGCGGCTAGGGTTTGTGAGAGGGAATTTCTGCAGAGTTTCAAATAGAATTTTAGACGTACCTCAACCCTTGTGCATAGCCATCTATTTATAGGGGCCTTGGTGGCTAGGGTTTCAGAGGAATAATTCCGCAGATTGAAAACAATTATTCTTCTCTGATTTTGCAAGATTTGCTTAATTAGGGATTTGATTTAAGGTAGGAATCAAATTAATCCCAATTAAATCAAATAACTTCCAATTAAATTGAGTAACTCCCAATTAGGTCAAATAATCCTCAAATTAAAGGAAATATTTGACCTAGGGTTTTGCTAGAATTTGGTTCCCACAACTACTCTCTTCTGCATTTGGTGCGGTAGTAGCATAAATATTTATTTTATTTGGATGGAGGCCCTCAAATATGCTCCCAGACTCGCAAGCTTCGATGCATAAAAGCCTTAGAAAGTACTGAAACTCAGCAAAGATTGATAGTAAACTAGAGGCTAGATACTTATCAATTGCTATTGAAATGGATATTGATCTTACCATGCTTTTGAAACCTTTACAAAGATGCTTCTTCTTTAGCACATGTATAAGATCTTTAGCAGAAACAGAATCATCCTCACTAGGCATCCCTGAATACAAAATACCACTCACATGTAAATGCAATATCTAATTTCACAGAAATGTTACCCTGTTCCATCTTCTTTCAATTAAGAATAACTTCCACAGAAAACAAGAGTTGGTTCTTCCTTGATTAGATCATGCGCTCACTTATTCCCTTGTTTTTACAAATGTAACTCCAAAAAAAAATCCTATTGCTTACAATTAATTTCATTAACTAAATATTTAAAAGTTAATTAAAAGCTAACCAAGTAATCCTGCAGAACCATCATCTGCATAATAGATGAAAACATGGTCATTTGGACCACTTTTCAGAACCTTGCCACTACCTCCAGTCATGGCCCTTTGGCTTGTTGATGATGACACCTTGTCTAGGGTTTTCCGGGTTGTGTGCAGTATCAGCGTACATGAAAACAATCATGTTCTCTCATCTTTCAGTCCATCTTTCTTCAGTATCTGATATGCATGGCATATATCAGCCTACATGGAAAATTAATCAAATGCACTGTTAGTAACATAGCATAATCATTGATACTAATACTATATGATGAAATTTGGACAAATTTAAACCTGATGCCTGTAGTTGTAGTAACCATTTGACCCAGCCATTAGAATTGCCCATCTTTTCCCCTTATCCTTACCGGTACTTGGAGAGCCATTTTCACCATCAGCACTGAAATCAATTTCTTTTACACTTTCAGGGAGGCACAAGCTAATTCCATTACTCAAACTTAGCAAAGCAAGGGACAGTAATGCTGAGGGGCGGCCCTGAAGGTGTGCAAGTGGTGCCACCGTACAGGGCCACGGATTTTTGAGGGCTTCGAAATTTTTTTATATTATATATAAAAGTTGACAAATTAATGTACGTACGTATACGTAGTAATGTTGATCAATTTTAATGTACTTTTGATGGTATAGGAGCACATATATGCTTAAAGTGAAGCTCAAACTCTCTAAAGCTCACTAGCTCAGCCTTGAAGAATATTGAGAAAAGGAAATGAAACTAGGAGATATATTATTTAATGAGAAAGACCAAACCTCTTACCAAGAGATTTTCAAAGAAATTGCTCAAAAAGATTTCACTCAAGCTCTCAGTGAGTGCATGCTCTTCCAATGAACAAAGGACTCAATTTATAGATGCTTTATGGTTGAAATGAACGGTTGAGTGATCCTTGACGTGGCTGAATTCTAACTGTACATCCAAGGCTAAGGTAACAATTTTTCATTTACCAACCCCACACAAAAACTGATCCACAGTGATTAAAAACAAATTAAAAACTGGATCAATGTTGAATTTTTTAACATCTTGATACTTTAAAAGTTTAACTTCTTGAGCAATAGTCCTACATTGATCTCGTTAAATATCTTATATAAAAAATATATGGGCACACACACACGTACATATTTTGAGCTAATTACCTAAAAATTTAAGTTTGGGGCTGGATATTTTAAATGACACTGCTTCCCTCGTTCCAGGGAAGAAAGGAGGCATTCTTACTTTTTGCAAATCACAGATTGACACATATGCGAAAATAATTATCAAAAACCCAGAAAGAAAAACCTTTACACACATGTCAAACTGTGATTAGCAGGATAATCGTCAAAGAAGAAGGCAAGTATTTTCCTATTTTAAAATGGTATAATAGCCATTAAGTTTTGGGTTAGGTCATCTCTTAACAAGAATTATCCAAAATAATCCTGGCTGGATCACTCAAACGAGGGAATTACTTGTGCACAAATTGCTTGACATGAATGGTTTTGGAGCCTATGGTTTTCAAATTTTTTCCATTCAAAAATGCTCCCGTTGATATATTTGCCTTTGTTTGAAATTATTTTCTTAGCGCCACATTCCAAATATACAGTGCAACACTTGGTGATCTACATTTCATTTCTAATATGGAAAAGCTCAATTTAACAAGGATATTACTCGATTTGAATCATAATTAGTAAGATATCTAAGGCTGTATATAAAGAAGTACAGCAATAGGAAAAAAATTTCCTAGTTAGATTCGGATAAAAAGAAAAAGGAAAGTTGCTGTAATTGATTAAGAAACAAAAAAAGAAACTCGTGCCAACATACGAAAGGCTACAGCATCAGCGGATTCTGAAGTTATTCTTGTTTGTTTGGTCTTATCACGCTCTTGAATTTTCTCTATCTTGTTTCTTTTTCTTTGTTTGTTTGGTCTTATCAATTTTCTAAAGAAACCCAAAAAAAAAATATTCATGAAGAAGTAGGAAAATCTTGAAGAAAACTTATAAATATGTGGCTAATTGAAGAGAGAATTTACCACCACAAGGCGCAATGGCAAACAACATCACTACTTATGGTTTCTCTTTTGCTCTCATCATTTGCATGTCAGCTTTCTCGCTAATTCCACAGACCACCTCAGCATCATCCCCATTCCAATTCCCTCCAACCCAATCCACAATCCTCCCTGAACCGTCAAGCTTCTTCTCTCCAAACCTCCTCTCAACCCCTCTCCCCACTAATTCTTTTTTCCAGAACTTTGCTCTCAACAATGGCGATAAACCCGAATACTTCCACCCGTACAGCATCAACTCCTCCTCCTCCTCTCTATCTCTCTCCTACCCATCTCTCTCCTCCACCTCTGCTTTCATCTCCCAAACCTTTGCCCCTGACCTCACCATCTATGCCTCCCAAACCAGCACCAACATAGATGCAGCAAATAGCAGCCCCCGTGTAATCTCTGGCTTCACTGATCTTAGTGTCACAATGGACTTTCCCTCGTCCAACCTCCGCTTCTTCCTCGCTCGAGGAAGCCCCTATGTCACCTGCAATGTGTCTAGCCCCACTGCGGTTTCTGTCTCAACCATTCACGCAATCCTCAAATCCTATTCGAGCAACTCAAACACCAAGTTCATCGTCCAACTTAACAACAATCAAACATGGGTTCTATATACCTCATCCCCAAGTAATTTGACTAGAAGCAGCCCATCAACCTTAACTTTTGATGGCTATTCTGGGACTATTCGGATTGCATTGGTGCCGGGTTCTGATCCAAAATACGAGTCAATCCTTGACCGGTTTAGTTATGCTTACCCTGTTTCTGGTGAAGCTGTGTTCACAAAGTCATTCACTTTGGAATATAAATGGGAAAAGTATGGACAGGGAGATTTGCTTATGCTAGCTCATCCTCTCCATCTTCAGATTCTGTCTAACGCTACTGTTTTGGATGATTTTAAGTACAAAAGCATTGATGGTGATCTGGTTGGTGTTGTTGGTGATTCGTGGGAGTTGAGATCGCATAATTTTTCAGTCACTTGGCACTCAATCGAAGGTGTCAAACGAGGTTCGTACCCTGAAATTGTTTCTGCACTTCGTCAAGATGTGGAGGTTCTCAGTTTGACTCCAATAACAACTGCATCGTCATATTTTTATGGGAAATTGGTTGCCAGAGCAGCAAGGTTGGCTTTGATTGCTGAAGAGGTGGATTGCCTTGATGTGGTTCCAGCAATTAAGAAATACTTGATGGATGCAATTGAGCCATGGTTGGATGGTACTTTTAGTGGGAATGGTTTTCTGTATGATCCTAAATGGGGTGGACTTGTCACCAAACAAGGATCAACTGATCGGGGTGCAGATTTCGGGTTTGGAGTTTATAATGATCACCATTACCATCTAGGATATTTTGTGTATGGTATTTCAGTGCTTGTAAAGATTGATCCAGCATGGGGGATCAAGTACAAGGCTCAAGCTTACTCTCTTGCAGCTGATTTCATCAACTTGGGCAACCAATCGAATTCAAACTATCCAAAGTTGAGATGCTTTGATATGTACACACTACACTCTTGGGCTGGAGGACTGACTGAATTTGGAGATGGAAGGAACCAAGAGAGCACAAGTGAGGCAGTGAATGCTTACTATTCAGCTGCATTAATGGGCTTAGCCTATGGAGACACCAATCTTTTTGACAGTGGATCAATGCTTACAGCTTTGGAAATTCAAGCAGCTCAAATGTGGTGGCATGTAAGAGAAGGAGATACACTTTATGAGGAAGCGTTCACAAAGGAAAATAGAATTGTGGGAGTTTTATGGGCAAACAAGAGAGACAGTGGACTTTGGTTTGCTCCTCCAGAGGCAAAAGAAATGAGGCTTGGAATTCAATTGCTGCCCATATCCCCAGTCACTGAGATCTTGTTCTCTGGTGATGGCTTTGCTAAGGAAATTGTGGAATGGGCATTGCCATCTCTGAGTAGAGAAGGAGTTGTGGAAGGATGGAAGGGTTTTGTCTATGCCTTGCAAGGGATTTATGATAAGGATGGTGCTTTGGAGAAGATTAAGAGCTTGAAGGGTTTTGATGATGGAAACTCTCTCACTAATCTCCTATGGTGGATTCATAGTAGGAACTCAGGTTCACAGTAGGATCTTTGATTAGTCTTTAGGTTGTGTTGTTTTCCTTCATTTTTTTTGTAGTTGGTAGCATGCAAATTAACAAATTCTTATGTATGTGACAAAATTTAATCAAATACAACTATACTCCGATTTGTGTTTTCCATTCCTCAATTTCAGTTTTGAAATTCATGCAGCTAAAGTTTGGTGGCATGTGAAAGAGGAAGGTAAACTTTATGAGGGAGATTTCACGAGGAATAATAGAGTTGTGGGAGTTTTATGGGCTAACAAGAGGGACAGTGGACTTTGGTTTGCTCCTCCAGACTGGAGAGAGTGTAGGCTTGGAATTCAGGTCCTGCCCATATTGCCAATCACTGAGGTCTTGTTCCCTGATGTTGGCTATGTCAAACAACTTGTGAAATGGACATCACTTGCTCTACATACTGAGAAATGGAAAGGGTTTGCTTATGCCTTGGAAGGGATTTACAACAAAGAAAATGCATTGAAGAAGATCAGGAAGTTGAAGGGTTTTGATGATGGGAATTCTCTCACTAATCTTTTATGGTGGATTCACAGTAGAGGTAAGGGAAATGAGAGGGCTGTGGACTTAGAATGGGGGCTTAGACAGAGTTATGTTTTGTTGGTTAATCCTTTGTATGCCATTTTGGATGACTTCTGTTTTTTAGTTCAGCTTCTTTGTCTAAGCTATATTCTGTTCACTTTTATTTGCTTTTCTAAGTGAATTGCGTGCTGTTTGCTGGTTGAGCTTCTTTCGGAATGCGCCATACGTTGTTGGCTTCTATTTGTTCTTCCAAGTGAATTGTGTGTTTCTTTGCTGGTTTCTCTCTGTCATTGTTCTTGTGCTTCTCTGAAATGTGACATTCAAGATGCATTTCCAGGTTATTTATAAACAACGTCTACCACTCACTTACCCAAAAACATTAACATCTATATAGCTTGGCAATTCCTTTTCATGCCAAGAAAGATGCTTAGTTTTCTGTTCACAGAAGAGACATGTGCTCACAAGGAAGCATTATCTTCAAGTAAAAAAAACCAGTACCAGCAGTGTGTTTTTCACAGCATGAACAGAATTGAACGAAAATGCCATTGTAAAGAAAAATAATAATGTTTCATATGCAAAAAATGAGGTCCATGATTGATTCATTTTTCTCATTTTTGTTTCTTTAATCAAGTCATCAATCACACATCTAGAATCTAATTGTGTGTTCTTGACCTTATCTTTCATTTTCAGGCCAAATAAGTCATGAGCCCAGATGAATAAAGATAAGAAAAATTCACATTGTTCTTGTTCTTTTGGGCATTTCTTTTGCTTGGCTCTCAAGCATTCTGAAAACCCACCTTAGTATTTTTATCCCTTCCTTCAAATTCAAGTACTTTTTTGGATATCTTGCAATCCTCTTAAACCCAGAAATTGGGTTTTGTGGGGTTCCAAATTTCTAAGGTAAATACGGAACTTCTTCTTCGTCTTCTTCCTCCTCCTCCTCCTAGTTTGGTAACTAACAGCTAAAATCCTCCCACCATATCCTCCTACTTTCCCTCTTGGCTCCACCCATTTCCCACCAACTCATCAAAAATCAATATTTCTATTTTATTTATTTATTTATTTATTATTATTATTTCAGAGTCGTTCATTCCGCCTTCTGTTGCATTAATTCGACTCGTTTTCACACCAAATCCAATGTTGAAAAAAATTAAAAGAAAAGTCAAAATCTTAATCACCAAGAGTTTCAAAAAATCTCGCAAGCCCTATAAACCACCTCCATCTTCACCTTCATTTCCATCGCCACCATCTCCTGAAGAATCCGACACCATGCCACCGCCACCACAGCCAGCCCTCAAGCCACCAACCGCCACCCCTTTCCTCTTCCCTCAAACCCAATCCACAGTCCTCCCTGACCCTTCCCATTTCTTCTCCCCCAATCTCCTCACAACCCCTCTTCCCACCAACTCTTTCTTCCAAAACTTTGCCCTCAAAAATGGCGACCAACCTGAGTATTTTCACCCCTACCAAATCAAATCCTCCTCCTCCTCTCTCACCATCTCTTACCCATCTCGCTTCTTCAACTCTGCTTTTCTGTACCAAATTTTCATAGCTGATCTCACCATCTCTGCCTCACAAAACTCCAATTCCCAAGAGACGCATAAAATCTCTTCATTCAATGATCTCAGTGTCACTCTGGACTTTCCCTCCTCCAATCTCCGCTTCTTTCTCGTCCGGGGAAGCCCCTTTGTCACCTGCTCTGTTTCTAGCCGCACTGAGCTTTCAATCTCCACCATTCATGCAGTTCTCTCTTGTTCTTCCAATAGCTCACGCACCAAATACACCATCAAGCTCAACAACAATCAAACATGGCTTATCTACACATCATCCCCAATTGATTTGACTAGCAGCAGCCTGTCATTGATCACTTCTGGTGGGTTTTCTGGGATTATTCGGATTGCCATATTGCCGGATTCTGATCCACAATACGAGGCAACCCTCGACCAGTTCAGCTCGTGTTACCCAGTTTCGGGTGAAGCTGTGTTCACGAAGCCATTTTCTTTGGAATATAAATGGGAAAAGAAAGGATGGGGTGATTTGCTTATGCTGGCTCATCCTCTCCATCTTCAGCTGCTTTCTGGTGACGATTCTGATGTTACTATTTTGGAGGATTTTAAGTTCAAAAGCATTGATGGTGATCTTGTTGGTGTTGTTGGTGATTCATGGGTTTTGAAACCAGACCCTGTTTCAGTCACTTGGCATTCAACCAGAGGTATTAAAGAAGATTCATATGCTGAAATTATTTCTGCACTTCGGAAAGATGTTGAAGCTCTGAATTCAACCCCAATAACAACTACATCTTCTTATTTTTATGGAAAATTGATTGCCCGAGCGGCAAGGTTAGCTTTGATTGCTGAGGAGGTGGCTTATCTTGATGTGATTCCGGCAATTAGGAAATATTTGAAGGATACAATTGAGCCATGGCTGGATGGAAGTTTCAGTGGAAATGGTTTCTTGTATGATCGCAAATGGGGTGGAATTGTCACTAAACAAGGAGCAACTGATTCTGGTGCAGATTTTGGTTTTGGAATTTATAATGATCACCACTATCATCTGGGGTACTTTCTTTATGCCATTTCGGTGCTTGCAAAGATTGACCCTGCATGGGGGAGGAAGTACAGGCCTCAAGCTTATTCGCTTGCAGCCGATTTTCTGAGCATTGGTAGGCGATCAAATTCACATTATCCTCGTCTGAGGTGCTTTGATTTGTACAAATTACACTCGTGGGCAGGCGGGCTAACTGAATTTGCAGACGGGCGGAATCAAGAGAGCACAAGTGAGGCAGTGAATGCTTATTATTCAGCTGCATTGATGGGGTTAGCCTATGGAGACACTCATCTTGTGGCCACAGGATCAATGCTTGCAGCATTGGAAATTCAGGCGGCTCAAACGTGGTGGCACGTAAGAGAGGGAGATAGCATGTATGGGGTGGTTGGAGTTCTGTGGGCTACCAAGAGGGACAGTGGTCTTTGGTTTGCTCCTCCAGAGTGGAGAGAATGCAGGCTTGGAATTCAGTTGCTACCACTATTGCCAATCAGTGAGGTCTTGTTCTCTGATGTTGGCTTTGTTAGGGATCTTGTGAAGTGGACCTTACCAGCTCTGAGTAGGGAGGGAGTTGGAGAAGGATGGAAAGGGTTTGTTTATTCCTTGGAAGGGATTTACGACAAAGAAGGTGCTTTACAGAAGATAAGGAACTTGAACGGTTACGATGATGGTAACTCACTTACAAATTTGTTGTGGTGGATTCACAGCAGAGGCGAGGAAGGAAATGAATTTGAGGCTGGAGGGAACGTATGCTGGTTTAGGCACTATCACTGAGTTTGGTTGTGTTATGATTGTGATTGTGATTTTATTCTTTGTTGCAGACAGTGAGCAGTTCTAAATACCTTGTGATTTACTATCGGGTTTTCATTGGCTTTCATTTGTTCTTCCAACTGATTGTGAGCTTTATATGTATTTCTTTCCTGTCGATGATGAAATATGTCTCGTTTTAGATGGCTTTTATGAAATAAGTCTACCACTATGCTACCTTTCCATGGCAAGAAATATGTGCTTCACATAACAAAACTAATATGGCATGCTTAACAATTTGATTAAAGGGGAGATAGGTGCCATAAAGCAGCCAAATAAATTGTACAAGTCAAAACATCCACAACCATAGGAGTTTCTTCACAACATGAATAGAACTGAACACAAATGCCATTAGAAGTGCACTGAACCTGAATAAGGTCTGGGATGTCAAATTGCTATATCAGCCCTAACTAGTTACGTACTTGATCACAAAGTTGAGCAGTATGGTGAAACAGATGCCTGACAAGAATCCAGACCAAAATTTGTTTGGCTTTTTGGAACTATTACCTTTCATGTTGTCCAAAAATCCGCTAATTTCATTCATTTGTTGTTCGATTTGGCGTATAAAAGCAGTCACTGCATCTCTGCCAGGATATTCATCACGAACTTCACTATCTGGTAGGTCATCTTCCCAATCTTGGTATCGACACATTTTGATTGCTGTTGGTGGTTCCTACATAATATAGTATTTTTTGTTATAAAACAGGGGTAAGAGGAAGAGGTATTCATATTCTAAAATAGTATATGGTGCAAACTGGATCTCTTCCTACTTTAGCTCACTAATCTAAATACCAATGTTTGGAAACTATAGACTGTATCATCGACAATACAGATTGCAAGGGCTTAACATTTGCTTCCCTGCCTTCCCCCCTCCTCGCCATCCACTGGACAATCCATTAGAAAGGAAAAAAATAAAGCATGGGCAAATTCATCTCCTCCTTCAAATGATGTAAAGATTGTGTGTCATAGTATGAATGCAGTGAGAGAACAGAGAAACGAAACTTATGAATTCAACATTTAGCGTTTAAAAATCTTTCCAAAAACGAAAAAATGGACATATAATTCTTGAAGCCAGAGTTGTAGTTGAGTTGATAGACAAAGTTTCCACATAAACTCATATACAAAGACATAGTACAAAACAGAATTTGGATAATTTCAGGATGGTGAGACATGGATTTCTATTTACAATTCAAATAGCAACCACTACTAGATTCAAATTTCGCTATACATACTTTGCTGGACTTCATCACTTCATATTGGGGTTCATTTTCTTTGCGGCATTTTATCAGTAACCAAGCAAACAAAACGCGGCAAAACACAAATTCAGCATTCAACCAAAGAAAATAGGAACAGTATATCAAATTCGAAAGAAGATTACGAAAAATGAGGTCGCAATTAGTAAATTTTCAGTGTGGGAAGACCGAGGATGAAGAAGCGCGTACCTCTGAACCGGAACAGAGAGAGTACGCATTCGAAGTGCACGCTTTTATGCACGCGGTTTCTGACTAGGGGAGTGCTTTCTGTTTGTTTTTCGGGTCAGGATCCGGATTTTATTCAATGGGATGGCCCAAACGACAATTGGGTTACAAAATGGTAGGGAGCCTTTTGGAGAAAGAGGAAGCATTATTAAATATTATTAAGCCCATTTATTCATAGCCCCATAAGATTTTTCCTCTTTATTTAAAAAATATATATACAAAGCATGGGTGAAAAATAAATAGATAAACAAACTCGTTTTTATAAATTAAAAAAAAATTCATATTGCTAGAGTTCTATTTGGGTAACTTATTAGAAAGGGTCTCATTTTCTTTCAAACTTAGAGATCTCATCTTAAAATATTATTGTTTTCAAATCGTAAAGCAATATAAGCTTAAGAAGCTACCACCGTCATCTTCACTCACAACCCGGACCGCACCATATCGCATTTATTAGTGACAACTATGTTAGTCATAATATATATACATCAATTTTTACTTTCATCTCGCCACTTTACTATATTAATTATTGTCATAAGAATCACAATCATTAAGTGTCATCGCTGTTTATATTACATATATCACATCATCCCTTTTTCTCAAAACTCAAAATTGTGTCATTCTTAATACTCAAAGAAAAACTTGCTAAAAGACAGGCAAAAGCTACATTGAGTTGTACACCAACATATATAAAAATCAAAGAGTGGAAGGTGCTACATTTCAATTTCAGTTAGCTTGTCACCATGAGAAGAATGCATGCCATCTTCCATCATTAGGTCAACCAACCAACCTCCTCCCTCATCAAAAGCCTTGGAGTTGAAGATTTCAAGATTATGAGCATGGTTTTTACATTAAACCACCTTATAAAACAACCCAAAGACAAAGTCCCCTCCTCTCCTCCACCTCAAACAAATTAAACAAGTTAAAAGGCTATGTGTTTTAAGAATTGTTTATTGCCGTTTCATCAACATGCGCACATTGGGACAACATGGCAGTTGGGAGACTGTGTTGGCAGTGAGAATGAGATCTCACAATTTATTTGATAAATCACCTCTTCTATTATACCCTTAAGCGCTGACTATTGGATTACGCGGCCTCATTCTTTTGACTCTTCTTTTATTTATCCCTTTTTTAATGAGAAAAAAAGGTTTTTTTATTCACCTCCATTGATGCAAAATTACTGCAGACACCCATTATTTTTATTTTTCAAAATCCAGAAAAAGCCATAAGGTTATAGCTTGAAAAGTTTTTTTTTTGTTTTTTCCTTTTCAAAATATAATTGGGTTATTAAAAAGTGACTAATTGGATAAGACAATAAAAATGAACCCTCACATTTATAGATTGCTTGGTACAGCTAAAGAGTTTAGCTTTCCTCAAAGAATTCACTAGTGTAGTGATTTGGAGTAATTACTTTTGTAAGTAAGGTCCTCAGTTTGAGTCCTAACATGCGTATAGTGTGTCTGAATTTAATATTATCATCCCTCTCAATAGGAAAGGCAAAAGGAGTTTAACTTTGCATTTTATCTTCTTTCTATTGGGTGGATTATACTTTTCTAATTTATACCATTCATAAAGAAAAAAAATTATAAAACAAATAAAACTCAATTAGAAGGAAAAAAAACACTAGTAACATTACATTGAAAAAGACAAATAAAACAGGAAGTAAACAGCTAAGAAAGGTGTCCCTTCTGGCAAGCTCAAGCATAAAATTTTGATCATGCGCTACGGTAGGAGTAATTTTACAATGATTGTTTTTGGCTGCCACTTCCGCTCTGCATGTGGAGTCACCAGTGAGGAGGCACTCTTCCGAAGTCGCCCCCACGTTCACTAGCGTGTTTTGTGGGCTACACCTTTTTAGAGTCTTCAGCATTTTCCACAAAAATTGCTTTCTCCGGAAAACACTGGTGGCATTGGAAGATTCCATCCTGTAAGAACCCAACTCTCCCAAACAGCAAACCCCATTTCCGTTTCCGAGAGGGAGAGGTATGAATTGCTCCAGTTTTTTAGCTTCTTGGTTTTCTCTATGCGCAGTTTGGTGATCTGGGCTGCTGCATTTGCCCAATAAAGTTATCAGCTTTTACTTCTTGTAGTAAATCTGGGTTTTAAAGTTTGAAGCTTGCGCATGGTGATCTGATATTTCCTCAATTTTTGGGTTTTTGGGTGTTAATGTTGTTCTTTCAAGGGTTTTGTGAACTGGGTTGTGCTTATTTTTTGTGAATTTTGGGTTCATCTGAACTTTCCTGAGTTTTGGGGACCAGTAAAGGAGTTAGGAGGCATTGGTTTTGCCTGGTCCTTTTGAATTGGGGGTTTCTGGCATTTTCAGTTTTCTGAGAATCGGTTGTTTATAGTTAGTTGTTGCTGTGGGGAAGACATTTGGCGATTGTATTTTGTTATGTAGTGTTAGCTGATGTTTGATTTTCAGTGAGAGTGACTTTTCCTGTCACTGATTTTGGCTAGTTTGGTAATGGAATTGATATAATAAAGCAAAAAAAAAAGTAGAGAATTTAGCATTCATTTCATACAAAGATGTCTTCAACAACATCACCTTCTCCAAATTCTTCCCCTTCTGCGGTCCCACCAACTTCATCCGGTACCTCACCACCCCCACCTGCTTCCCCTGCCCCATCAAATTCGTCAACTACTACAACCACTGCAACCCCTTCTGACGCTTCATCCCCTCCTCCCCAGTCTCCTCCTCCAGCAACACCAGCTGTTCCCCCTCCAAAATCATCACCACCACCATCAACACCGCCACCAACTTCACCACCGCCTTCTCCTCCTCAGGTTCCACCCCCATCCCCTCCTCGGTCTCCACCCCCATCATCTCCAACTGTTCCACCCCCATCGCCTCCGGCGGCATCACCTCCACCATCACCACCCGCATCATCACCACCTTCGCCACCAGCTTCTCCTCCTCCTGCTGCATCTGCACCCCCACCAAATGCGTCCCCACCGCCTCCATCAGGAGGTTCCCCTCCTCCCCAATCTTCCCCACCACCTCCAGCAGAAGCCTCACCTCCACCTACATCCACCTCAGATTCTCCACCCCCGCCAGCTGATGTACCACCACCTTCGGCCAATTCTTCACCACCACCACCACGGGGAAAAGCACCAGAAAAATCCCCTCCATCCCCCACTGGTACACCTCCTCCATCTGGTTCTAAATCTGCTCCTCCACCAGTTGATAACTCCCCCTCTGAACCCACTTTGCAATCACCACCTCCTTCAGTCCCTTCATCTTCTTCACCTCCTCTTAGTTCTCCAGCTCCACCTAGTAATTCATCAAGTCCAACTCCCTTACCACAGAAGCCAACTGCAAAGTCAACTACTAATGCCAATGCAACGGCAAATACCACATCTAGAAATACAAGCGGGTTAAACACGGGAGGAGCTGTGGCAATTGGAATTGCAGTTGGATTTCTGGTGCTCAGTCTTGTTGTTATGGCGGTTTGGTTTGCAAAGAAGCACAAGAAAAGAACTGGATCAAATCTTCGTTACACCATGCCTTCCCCCTTCGCTTCATCCCAGAATTCAGGTAACACAGTGAACATGCACAACAATAATTATTTCATTTTTTTGTTGGGTTGTTGACACTTTTAAGTATTCAAATTTGCTTCGCGGACAAGGAATTGTAGCAGCTGTTCCAAGAGAATTGGAAGAATTATAAATGTTTAATTAACCGTAAAATGCTAATTATTTGCCTTTTAATATTTTCCCAGTTGTGATTTCATTTAAAATGGACATCACATTTGAACATCCAGGAATACAAGGACTATAAGGTTTGATAGGTTATTGGTTGAGGACAAGAAGCATCTGACACTAGTAAATAGGAACAACATTAGAACAAAAGGAAAATTACTGTAATCATAAATAGATATCTTAATCACTACTAATCACATGCTAGAATATAAAAGCTTATTACAATAAAGCCTATTACAATAAAGCCTATTTAGATAGGTAATCCCAAAATAATAAAGTACCTAAATTATCCTAATGTTATAGAAAAACTGAATGTAATAGGGAACCTTAAAAATCAGTCCCTAAATTACTATAAGTAGAGCCAAATAGATAATTACCTCTCTAAATTATAGTATTAGTAGAGGAAACTAAATGGAAAACTCGATTTCTTTGCTCTGGCTAAAATATTGTATAAATCTTATTAAAGTCAAGCTTCTGAATTAACTAACAAGCTTTAGATGAATGCAAATGAGGTCATTTAGTTCAAACTAATGGATCTTTTTTCTGCTCTCCAGATTCAGTATTTCTGAAGCCGCATTCTCCAGCTCCGCTTGTAGGAAATGGTTCTGGTAGTGATTTCATGTATGCACAATCAGATCCTGGTGGAGTAAACAATTCAAGATCATGGTTTACATATGAAGAACTACTCCAAGCCACAAATGGTTTTTCGACAAAGAATCTTTTGGGCGAAGGTGGATTTGGTTGTGTATACAAAGGTGTTCTGGAAGATGAAAGGGAAGTTGCTGTAAAACAGCTAAAAATTGGTGGTGGACAAGGGGAACGTGAGTTTAAAGCTGAAGTTGAAATTATTAGTCGTGTACACCATCGCCATTTGGTTTCCCTGGTTGGTTACTGTATATCTGAGCATCAAAGATTGCTTGTCTATGACTTCGTTCCAAATGATACCCTACATTACCATCTTCATGGTGAGCTTTCTGATTTTAAAGGAAGACAAATTTTTAGGCTTGGGAATTCACTGCGTGTAGTTCTCATTTCTACATGCAGTGATTGTGAAGCATAAATTATCTTGCAACATTTGGAGCATTAGTAAATTCGAAGCATAATTCTCGTCTGCATGTAGGTGTCTTGTGAAAATTTGTACCTCTTCTAACTTTCCTCTATTGAAAACTGCAGGTGAGGGCAGGCCGGTTCTGGATTGGGCAACCAGAGTCAAGGTTGCTGCTGGTGCAGCTCGTGGAATAGCTTACTTACATGAAGATTGTTTGTTTTTTTTTCTTTTTTTTTTTTTTTTTTTTTTTTTTTTTTTTTTCTGGATGTTTTCCTCATTTTCAATAGGTGTGGGGGGGGGGGGGATTCAACATTATTTACTTCTTTTCTAGTAGTTTGGTTTGTATACAGACACACAATGAGAAATGTAAACTGTTATATTATTTGTTAATTCAATGAACAGTACCCTTTCCTTTGTCATAGTTTCCATCTAAGTACAAATAGTAATTTATCCTATGCGAAACAGCATTAGTCAATTGAGAAAGAATTATTTGTTTACAGAATTGACATGTCCAAAACAAACAAGCTTCATTTCTGGAATTTAATCGTGGTCTGTGCTTTTATTTCCAATATGGTAACCCAAAAGAAAAATGATATAAATGAAATGACTATTATACATTAGAAAGGTTGGCTGTTTTTAAAGTTGTGCAAAATTTGTTACTTCAGTGTTGTATTTAACGTCATGCCTTCTAGCATCTAATTCTCTCTCTCTCTCTTCTCTTAATATTTTGTTTTAATGTGTTTATTAGGTCATCCCCGCATTATTCACAGAGATATTAAGTCATCAAACATCCTTTTGGATAGCAACTTTGAAGCTCAGGTATTGTACAGCCTTAATTTTCAAGAAAAAAAGAAAAATGCTTCTATCTGGTTATAGTGATTGCTTATAGTGGCGCTCACATAGATGCATTTCCATTTTTAAATAAGAGCCTTTTCGGAGTCTGATATTTATATATTCATGGAATGACTACAAAGTCCTCTTACAATAACTGGCAGCCAGACCACGTATTTGCTGTCTGTTATTGTTAATCATTTGACAGCAATTAATCTTCTAAAGATTAATTTTCTCTCACTAACAGGTTGCAGATTTTGGGCTTGCAAAGCTATCATTGGATTCAAATACGCATGTAACCACAAGAGTAATGGGAACATTTGGGTAGATACCTTCACTTCTTTGGATCAGGATCCTTCCCATTTCTTCAATCTTTCTATTCATGCTATCATTTGCCTTTATATGTTCTTCTGCTGAATGAAATTGTGTGATTCTCCAGATACATGGCTCCAGAATATGCAACAAGTGGAAAGTTGACGGACAAGTCTGATGTTTACTCTTATGGTGTTGTGCTATTGGAGCTAATTACAGGCCGCAAACCCGTGGATTCTTCTCAGCCGTTGGGTGATGAGAGCCTAGTTGAATGGGTAAATTCATAAACATCGTTGTTATCTCCTTGTAGGTGGTGGAAGTTATTCTTTTTCAAATGTGTGTTTATGCAAATCATTGTGGGACTATTCTGTTCTCAGTAATGCATATGATTATGCTAATTTAGATTACTGATTTTCCATTGGCATGTTTTAAGTGGGTTTTTACCTGTATTATGCCAACTTTGTATGACCAGAATTGTGTGGTTGTCTACAATGCCTAGATTATAACAGCTAAACTTTTCCTCCAGGCTCGGCCTTTGCTTTCTCAAGCACTTGAGAATGAAGACTTTGAAGAGTTGGCAGATTCAAGGCTGGAAAAGAATTATGTTGAGAATGAAATGTTTCGAATGATTGAGGCGGCTTCAGCTTGTGTGCGTCATTCAGCTGCGAAAAGGCCACGGATGAGACAGGTATTTACAAAATATGCTATGACCCTTTCCAACATTTTGTTTGTACTTCTGTGAACTAATACACTTTCTCCACTTGCTAGGTGGTAAGGGCTTTTGACTCCTTAGATGAATTATCAGATCTCAGTAACGGAATGAAACCTGGACAAAGTGAAATTTTTGATTCCGCACAACAATCTGCACAAATTAGAATGTTTCAGAGAATGGCATTTGGTAGTCAAGACAACAGTACAAGTTTTTTTAATCACACTCATAGTAGCTGGAAAAGTAGAGACTCTAGAGAGCACGGGGACAAAACCGGGAGTAGCTGGACAAGTGGAGACTCTAGAGAGCATAGGGACCAAACTCAGAGTAGCTGGAGCAGAGACCAGAGAGACCAAAGTACTGTAATATCCATTGATAGATCTCGGTTATGGAACAACTGAGACAAGTTAAGGGTGCAGGCCATTAATTTCACTTCACTTTTGGGACCCTTTATTGTGCTATTGGAACCAGGCTATGTTGCTCAAATCTTGTAAATCTTACCCAAATCATCATTTTCCATAATTTTTGTATTCTCTGCTAACATGATTTTGTTGTCAGGATGCACATTTCTGTATTCTTTTGTAATCTAGATTCATTGATACAATATTGTATGTATCTGTATTTGTTGTTTTCATATATATAATATATAGTTCATGTTTATGAATTATCCTTCTCTTCAAATGCCATCATCACTGAGGCTCTATTGACTCTTAAAAACTCAAAATGTTTATTACTACTGTAGGGGGCACCTAATAGTAGCCCAGTTGCTGCGGTAGCCCACTGCTATTTAAAACTTCAAATATATTTTAATCCTCTAGGCCAATGGGTTTAGCTGAGTGAAAAAGGGTCTTGACTTGTATTACCTTAAAAAAAAATCCTCTAATGCACTTGCAGTTTATCTTTGTTTTGTCATTAAAGCCCTGGCTTATGCTTATGGGTTGTAATTAAGTGCCAGTTTGACATTGCTTATTTGGGGTGATAAGTGATTTTTTAAAAATTTTGAGAAGCACAACCTGTTTGATAAATTGTGAGAAAATCACTTATTGTTAAAAATTGATGTGAGAGAAAGCTATAAGGGAAAGCAGCTAATGAGGTGCTTTCATTTTCTGATTATGCATAAATCAGTTTCGAAGAGGCACTGGGTTTAATAATTATGCGGCAATTATTTTCTGATTATGTGTAAAATCAATACCAACAACACTTTTAACAAAAATTTTACCAAACGCCAAATTGCTTTATCTCACAGCTGATTTCTCTCACAGCAAATCTGATAGAGATTATTTTCACAGCACAGCAATGTCAAACTGGCCCTAAAGCATGTAGTGAATTATTGTTCTGGTCTGTAAGAAACCTGGATAGGCATTGCCGTAGATGACATAGTCCCAAGTCAATCACAGATGGATAAAAAAAAATTATTAAGTTGGTTAACTGTTTTAATTTCAAATATAAAAATTTCTGATGTACTAACAACTAAAAGTTGCATGTGACCAATAGGATGTCACATTGTCACCGCCTCGACTGGCTGACTCTCTAGTTTGAATACCACTTACCACCCTCGTGCCTTTCATCTAATGTTCTTCAACTACCTTCTGCATTTCAGGCCCCTCACGAAAGACAAGAACAAAAAAGAAAAAGTATAAATCAATTATGAGCAGCCAGCCTTTCTTGTTTTAAATACTCTGCATGAGAGTTTAGAGAGAGAATGAGAAAGATGGCAACAGAAGAATTGGCAGTTCTAAAACCTCAAGTGCGTTGTTTAAGGGAGGAGGAGCAGAAGGTTTGTGTGAACAATGCATTCAGCTGCGGTTCGGATGCAAGAGAGAGGAAGCTGGTTTGTGTGACCAGTGGGAATTCTAACTTGGGTTCTCACATAGTTAAGGCTCTATTGGCACGTGGTTACTTGGTCCGAGTCACAATTCAAAACCAAGGTACCTGGCTGTAGTTTTTCTTGGTAAACCTTCTGTGCATGTCTGCCTCTTAATTTCAACAAGCATGATCATAAAACTTGCAGGTTCTCTTGGATTTTGGTGATCAAAATTGTTCTCACCTGTCTTTTTTCTTATTTTCTATCATGGGTTGTTGCATTTTTAGACAAAACAACAATAAATCGGGCCGGCCTTTGAGTCTAAATTGCTTTGAGGCACACAAATATGCAGTCCAATTGTACTATTTTCTGTTTTTCATATATTGGTTAGTATGCTTAATTGTCCTATGATGAGCAGTGGATTATGAAGACATGAAGAAGCTAATGAGAGATGAAGAGATAAACCAACTCGAGGGCGTTGTTGTGGCGAACATGGGTAGTCTGGACAGTCTCTGTGAGGCTTTTAGAGGTTGTCATGCAATTTTTCATACCTCCTCCTTCATTGATCCGCACGGTATCTCCGGTTATTCGGTAAGTTTTGCCATACGCTTCCATTGTACGCACTGATAGAGAGTGCGTTTTGGTTTTCTTCTGAAGCTGATAGAGAGTGCAATTCAGGAACAAATGGCATTTCTTGAAGCTGAAGCGGCAAGGAATGTTATTGAAGCTTGTGGCAGGGCAGCATATGCAAAGAGATGTATCTTCACTTCCTCTCTTCTTGCTGCCATTTGGACTGGTGACAATGAAAACAAGATCATTGATGAGTTTAGCTGGACCAATGAGGAATTCTGCAGAGAAAACAAGGTATAAAAATAGGTACTTAAAAATCTTTACAGGACTTAGAGTCGTTGAATTTTTGCTGATATTTGAAAATTAATCACACCAAACAAATTATGGACGTCTCTGAAAAATTCCTCCTCTTATTGTGATCATGAACAGCTTTGGCTAGCCTTAGGAAAGACCACTGCAGAGATGACTTGTTGGAGGAAGTCCAAGGAAATGAAAGTGAATCTTGTTACAGTCTGCCCCGGCCTTCTCATGGATACATCTTTTCCAAATGCTCACAACTCTGTACCGTATCTTAAAGGCAGATACTAAATACATCTCATTCTACCATATACATCTTAAACACATGAAATATTCTCTCATAAGACAGTATGGCATTTTAATATGAACAACGGACGGTCCATTTAAATTGACATTTTAACAAACAACTTAACATGTCAAATTGTGTGATAAGATAACAGTTTAAGTTAAAAAATGCTTAACCTGCATTTTGTTTTGCCTATGTAGGTGGCAAGGTCATGCTCGAACACGGTCACCTAGCCGTTGAGGATGCAAAGAAGGCAGCAGAGGCACATGTGTACGTTTATGAAGCCATGGACTATGGAGCCTGTGGGAGATACCTGTGCTACGGGAAGGTTGTACGAAAAATGAGCGAAGCTATTGAACTAGAAAATGGATTGAAGATTCATGGTTTGTTATCAGGAGGAAGACATGAGGCCTTAGATGAAGAAATACATAGTATGCTTAGTAATGCAAAGCTTGTCCGATTGATTCGAGGTTCTCAAAAGTTATCTTGCAAGTAGTGTAAACCGTGGCTGCATCATATAGGATATTTTATTTTGACAAAGTTCCAAGGAAGAGAGAGAGAGAGAGAGAGCAGACAAACGCTTCATGACAGGCTTTGCGGCAAGTTGAGCAAGTTCACAAATCGAAGTAGCTAGGGAGATTGTGAATGGCCAGACAAATTAAGCTGAAACAAAATTCTTGCTCCTTGGTCCTTGCCATAGATAGAAATGTAACCCTATCGAATATTTGAACTTTTAATGAATTTTTCTTACCATTGAGCCTACTGAAATTGTGGAGGACCCTTGTTGCCGCCTAACCAAAAGATTAGCTATCTTATTTTTGTTGCAAATACTTGGAATAGTCTATTGCACGATTCCCCAACAAAGGGGGTAAAACTCCCAAACAACATCGTTCCTAAACAAAGCATTGTTCTTAAATAGCACTACTAGTGTAACAAATCGACAATGACAACAAAATATTGATATTTTATTTATGTTATAGACTAAATGCTATTGGTCAGTATCGACAACATTTCAAGATGATATCGATATAATAAGACTCTTTGCTATATTGATATGCTATTTAAGAGCATTTTCCATAGTGTTCTTAAAACAGAAACAGGGAAATTTGGAAGGAAAAAAATTGGGTGCTGGGTGTGGAAAGCAAATATGCAGAGAGCTGTTTCACTTCTGTTTTCAGTGGGTTCTAAATGTTATTGGACCTAATAAAACTACATTGAACCCTTACCTCAGTCCAAGCCCAATGCACCTAATAACATTAAAAAATGTCTCCAGAACGTCGTTTCTCTCGGGTCACCCAAAAGGCGAAAACAGAGCAACCCATAGAAAACGACTAAAGGAATTGGAGAGTGTGGAGAGAGATAGACTTTGGGTTCTTCTGTTGTGCAGTAGCAGCAAGAAAGTAGAACGACCTACTGTGTGTGTGAAAGAAAGGAAGCAATCAATCAATCAATCAAGCCATCAAGAAATGGGGGAAGAGAGAGAGGACCCACAGAAGCTGAAGAGAATGGCAGCGGCTGCCTACGACTACGAGAACGACTCAAGATGGCCCGACTACTGGTCCAACATCCTCATCCCTCCTCACATGGCCTCTCGCAGCGATGTCGTCGACCATTTCAAGCGCAAGTTCTACCAGCGCTACATCGTCCGTACTCTCATACCAACTCTTTCTTCTTGTTTTCTTCACAATTTCTGCACCCAGTACTAATTGATTGCTAATTAGCATTTGTTTCTTGGGAATTTGGACTATGGACACTTGAATCTGAAATGGGTTTTTCTGTTTTGTGTATTTGGGGTCACTTTTCCAATTGGGTATTTTGGGTTTTGTTCTGGTTTCTTTGTTTGTTGATAATTTTGGGTATGAATTTTACTTTCTTTGCTACTGCGATCTTCTGTGAATTGCTTCATTTTCCTTTATGGGAATTTGAAAGGAACAGTTTCTGGTTTCGCTTGCCTATTATGTCTTTTGCATCTCGCTCACTGTCACTTGACTAGATGCACCTCAGAAGAATAGAAATTTCATTTAGATTCAATTGATTTTGTCATTCGGGCTTTGATTTTGGAGAGCCTACTTGGGAGCACACTTATTTTTAAGTTGTTCATTCAGCTCAGTTAATTGAGCAATTGAGTTCACATGTAATGGTTAAAACAATAATTTCATCTTAGGCTGACCTGGTTTTGGTTTCCATAAGTTGTCTGTTTTCCCGATTTTATGTTAATTGTTTAAGGACATTTTCTGTATGATTAATTCCATTGATATCCCAGCAACATAATTTGCTGGGGGATAGATATTTCATTCAATGTTTGCTTGTTAAATTTTCTCACAACTTTTCAAAAAAGAATTTTTACCACATGAGTGCACCTATAAAGTCATTTGGTTGAAGAGTTATGCTATTGGGATTGCGATATGAGAATGGCTTTGTTGGTTGATGTCTTTGGGATTGTAATTGGTAGGCGTTGCATGGCTTTTGGAAGTAGATGAAAATACAAAATATCAGATTTTGATTTATGTACACACTAAGTATAGCGTTTTCCTAATTCTTTGCATCTTGATTTCTTGAATAGGATCCTGATCTTATGGTAGACTCCATGTCAACTAGCAGTTCTTCTCAGCCAAAGAGACCATCTGCATCGTCCCGACCCACAAATGACCAACCTCAGTCACGTAGTGCTGGTTGGAATACTTTCATTTTCTGTACAAAAAATTCAAAACAGAAGCAAATTGGCCTAAATTGGCATTTTCCCTTAAAAGAAATCAAGTTTATCTGTTTATTTATTTACAAAAAAAACGTTTTAATTGCTTTCAGTAGCCTGAAATTTGCTGATTAAAGTGAATTGAACTTGAATTGGTGCTTGTAGGATCAACTGCCAGAACTTCAGGTACATCAGCAACAAGTCCTCCAACTTCTCTGCGTTGGGATCGACAAACCATTCAGTTTTCTGTAAACGCTTGGGTATGGTCAAATCTACTCATGCTTTGATATCCACATATACGTACATAGAATCAACTTTGTTTTTATTTTCTTTACTTCTTGTTGAACTTTTCCCTTGCTAGGGTGTATAATGTTTATAAATCAGCCTGATTTTCAAGAAATGCTGTATTACTTCGTATAGTTTTTCTATGTTATTGGCTTTCTCCTTTAATCTTGTTCGCTTGAAACCCGGCACTGTGTTGACAGTCACATACATCAACAAACAGTTTTCTGTAGGTTAGAGTTTTTATTAACTGCTGGAGTCAGAGAGGGTGGGGAATGCAACAGTATCCCCTTCCCAAGATGTCCTGAAACTTTTTTCAAATCTGAACTGCTGTAATTTCAAACAAGAATATCTGCATGGTCAAGGTTCTTTCTTTGCAAATCTGATATGCATGGTCCACTAGAATACATTTATGCACTCCTCAAACAAGAACAAAAGTAAATGATAATTCTTGAGATCGAAGTATGAAAACTATGCCTGCTTCTTTTGAATCTGAAGTTTTCTCTGATTCAGAAAAAAGTTTTCAGTCATGTATACTTTAGGCACTTGATTCTGTGTTAGTGGGCTTGATAAATCATCAATTTTTTTTTTGCTTAAAGTTAGTGTATCATACATAACCCTTAACCACTCTTGCTATGTTCTACTTACATTTAAGATTTTTCTGTTGTTATTTGTCCAATGTCTACCTCTTTCTTCCCTGTAGGTGTTTCTAGTGGCTGTGCTTGCAATTTTTCCATTGGTGCCTAAACACCTTTCAAATAGGGCATATCGGCTTTCCTTTATGGGCACGGCATGTTCCTCTCTGTATTCCTTGTACTCGCAACATGGGGTAAATCTACTTTTTCAGATTCACTCACTCACTTTGTGATCTTATTCCATTAACTTGTATACGCTGTCCATGTTCCTATTTCATTAACACACCCTTACTATTTCAGAAACCGAGGGCTTGGAACTTGCAGGCTTTGCAAGTTTACTTTCAGTCAATAATCACAACTAAGGATTTTATCTACTTGATTTACTGCCTTACCTTTGTGACATCACATCTTTGCCTCAAATGTGAGCATTCCTTAATCCTCAAGTTCTCTTGTCATTTTGTTGTTATTACTAGTATAATGATGTGATCTCCATTGCAGTTGCACTGATTCCCATTCTCTGTCGGGCTCTTGAACATGTTGCCAAGTTCCTTAGGCGCAATTTTAGTCAATCCTCGTTGTACAGGTAGAAGAGTTAATTCTTAACAACGTTGCGTGATATTTTGCATATGTTAGATACCCTCTCCCACAGAAATAGTGATATTTCATTATCATCCTCTGTTATTTGAATTCAATTTTATGATGTTGTGAATTGGTAATTCTGAGTGCTGAGCATGAGGATTGTTTCTTGTTGTGCTTTTCTACTTGTATTCTTTACTGAGCAATATTTTCTTTTGTCATGGTGAACAGGAAGTACTTGGAAGAGCTTTGTGTTTGGGTGGAGTCAAATACGACTACCCTCAACATACTATCTTCACATGCTGAGATTGGACTTGGCTTCCTTCTGATTATATCATTGTTTTCGTGAGTTGATTGGAACCATTTTGTGTGCTGCTTTTTTAGTCACAGATACATTCTATTCTTTTCATTTATAACATTTCTTAATTTCTGAATGTATATTTGTAGGTGGCAGCGCAACATTATACAGGCATTCATGTACTGGCAGGTGCAGTTCCTTTCTCTTTGTTCCTGAAGCGTAATTGTTTCAATTATGTTGAATACCACCCACCCATACACACCACTCATGCACAAATGCATACAAGCGTGCATGTTAGACATGCATTGAGTTGATACCACTAGTTAGAAATGGTTTGTCTTATTGACTAGATTAGAGATTGAATATCGTTTTCTGCAAACTGTAGCCCCAGTTGATAAGTACTTTGTTCAATTTTGGTTCATGCTCTTGTTGCTACACTTGATGGTAGAGTCAAGAACTGTATTCACTGATTTTTATGTATTTATTTATTTCCAATATCTGAACCCTATAGCAGAGTCTAATGAGTTACATTCCCTCCTTGGAACACTTTTTTCAGCTGTTGAAGCTCATGTATCATGCCCCGGTGACTTCTGACTACCATCTGAGTGTGTGGACAAAAATTGGAAGGACAGTTCATCCCCTCATCCACCGCTATGCCCCATTCTTGGAAACTCCTCTTTCTGCTGTCCATAGATGGTGGTTAAGGTAGAGAGGCTCAGAGAGGAGGAAGACGATGAGATTTAAAGGGAAGGAGGACGTCAATGGGAATTATCTTGAATTCATATAATCTAAAGATAAACTGACGTCAGATATACTGAATTTACCAAACTGTCATTTTGATGCTAGATGGATGAAAAAGTATATCTCCTACTGAGGTAGTGTTGAATCTATAGTGCTACTACGAATTATTTCTCTTAAAAGCAAATTTTATCCAAATCCAACTATTTTTAATTCTCAGGTTCTCCAAATTTGCTCCTCATGGTTCCAAAATGGCAATTGGACAGTATTTTTTGCCGAGTGAACGTTCTTATGCTGCCCTAATCATACTTGAGAAGTGTTCACCATGTGACTTGTCTATGCATTATATAAAAGAATTCTTTAGATTAAGGCAATTGTTATTGGTATTTTAAAAAAGTCATTACGCACTTCTTTATAAAAAATAAATAAAAAGAAACTGCATTTTAACTATTTCGCGATGAATTTTTGGAATGTGAATAATAGCCTAAATCAAAATCATTTTTATCGGATCTCCAATTTTGCAATAATGTCCAATGCTTTCTTAGTAGATCTATATATTATCAGAATCTGGACTATAAATTCATGCACAAGAGTTCAAATAATCAAATGTCCAGATTCTTCTTGTCAAATAAATAAAGAACATATTTCTCATTATAAAGTTAGAAATAAATCCAGCTGTTTATTTGTCGGGAATGAAATCATTAACGGTGGGGATCGGATAATTTTATTTCTATACGATTCTAGGAAATGCTTGAACAGCTTCCAGCGCGTCTTTTTATTTCTATTTTTTATTCTTATTTATTTATTTATTTATTTATTTATTTTTGCGTCTGAGAGCTTTCAAACGGGTCGAGTCTCTACCACCAGCTTCAGCTTCAAACATCAACGGTTTAACGGTAAATAGTAAAGCACCGCCCAACCCAATCCACGCAAAATTTAGCAACCGAATCACCAAAAGCCTAAAACCAATCTCAGATCCATCCCTTTTGCCAAATTTCTGAGACATTGCTCGGATTGGAGCTCCCAGCTATGGCGTCGGAAACTGATTGTCTTCTTCGACACGCTTCGTCCTCCGCAGTAGAGGACGTGGCACAAGATATGGACGCGAAGCCCTTACTTTCTAGGTTTTTGAGCTATCCTATTGCCAATAACAATACGAATCCCCAGAGGCGTCGCAGGCTCTCTGCGCAGCTCGCCTCCGCGCCTCGGCCTCTTCGGCAACAGTCTTTTGGCCGCGACATCGGCCATGCTGCTAAAGAGACCTACTTGATCACTAGCCTCAGCTTCACGCTCCTTCAATACCTCGGGTAACTCTTCTCCTTCTTCTTCTTCAGCTCCTAGCTCGATAATTGGATGTATTTAGCTCTGTTTGATTGCCGAGAAACTCGATGGAAACAGAAAGAAAATAGAAACGTGGAACAAAAACGAAAGTCTAGGAAATTCATTTTATATTGAATAATATTGAAGGTTATGTATTTATATAATAATGTGCTTCATTACTTTTCTGTGACTCCTTAAAGCTTTAATTTAACCTGAAATTTCACTTCATTCTTTTTTTGCTGCTCAACTTTGAAAATTTGTGTTATTTCTAATCATTTATTTTCATTCAGGGTAGGTTACCGGTGGATGACAAGATTACTTGCTCTTGGATGTTACGCCATGTTACTTATGCCCGGGTTTCTTCAAGGTGCGTGTTATGGTAACTTGTTCCTACACTCACTGTCAAAATACGATCAAAATAAAAATAAAAAACTTTGTGACTGTGTAATGGCGGAAGGCTCATGGGTATCACCATTGAGGCTAAATTGGCTGTTTGCTAAAAATCCTCAGCCAGTCTTGGAAGATATTATTTAATGTTCATACTGATCAAATCATAATGTCTGCTGATCGAATTATAAGAAAATCTGGAGTTATCTTTGTGTAAAATAAAAAAGCATCTGCATTTAAGATTAGCTTCACTGTCATGATTTGTGTGGTTGGTGCTAATCGAAGAAAGAATGTTCCATCTAGACAGGATTGTGCACCATCTAAATCATCTTTTGGAAAAGGCTCCAAGTTTAATTAGTGTTGATGTTCCACTTCAATATTCCCATCATTATGATAATTAGTATAGGCATGTCAGTAGAATCCCCACTGCTGTGCTAAGACATTCTTTGACATAATCAACTTCCTAAACACAGCTTTGTTGTTTGCCATGTGATGAGAGTTTTGTTTACTTTGTTTATTATTTTATTGTAGTGAATAGTAACTTGAGCTGTTCAATGGAGCATAACTTGATTGTTTATTTTTGTCCAGTTGCATTGTGTTATTTCTTTTCAAGCCAGGTCCGGCGTAGTATTGTGTATGGAGATCAACCAAGAAATAGGTAGGTGAATTTTGTTAAAGGTTTCGATTTTGACAAGTTCTGTGAATTCATTTCTTTAAAATTTTATCATGTATTATTTACAGGTTGGATCTCTATTTACCTGCAAATACCGATGGAAAAAAGCCAGTAGTGGTATTTGTAACTGGTGGAGCCTGGATTATTGGGTGAGTGATTTTAAATGGATGAGGGAATTGCTTAAAGACAGCTGGAAGCTGTTAGTTCAGCAATTCTTATAAATTTCTTTCGTGAATTGTTACAACGGTCTAGAGATGATATTCTCTGCTTCTTCTTTTTCTTGGGGTGTATTATGCGAAGTGTTATTAGGTTAAGTTTCTGGTTATATGACATTTAAGTTTCTATAATTTCATACTGATTTAGGTATAAAGCGTGGGGATCTCTTTTAGGTCTGCAGTTGGCTGAAAGAGACATCATAGTGGCATGCGTTGATTACAGGTAATTGCTTTTAGTTCAAGAAGTGGAAGTTGTAATGCATGATTAGATTAACTTTTATATGGTGCTTTAAATGAAGTTTTGGAAAATATTAGGCACTGATCGACTTGTAGACACCATGTTCACGTTGTGTCGATTATTAGAGGGATGCATTAGTACACTAAACTATTCGTTTTTGTTCTATTCTGTTAAAAAATTGTAGTAACAATACCGATAAAACTGCATAGGCATAAAATATACACTTCTTCGACCAAAAAAATAGACCACTTCTGTTGATTCATGTCCAAAAAAGTTGATCAAGCATGGATAATTTATGCCAGTTTTTCAGTTTAACCATATAAGGATTGCTCCCTGAAACTTGAGTATATGCCATTCTAAAAGTTATAAAGAGCCTCTTGTTTTGTTATGCTTGTTGTCTATGCATTGAAGATTTGTATTTTGTGTATGTCACCCAAACGAACAGTTTTCACATTCAGTCTGTCCTGTCCTCTACAAGTTATGTTGATATGACTCATATGATGCATGCAGAAATTTTCCCCAGGGTACCATCAGTGATATGGTGAAAGATGCTTCTGAGGGTATCTCATATATCTGCAACAATATAGCAGATTATGGAGGTGACCCTAACAGGTGAAAGTCTAACAATTTTGTTCTTCCCTTCCCCATCTTGAAACTGATTGATTTCTTTTTCTTACTTTGATCCTTCTGTGATTTTTTTGAGTAGAATCTATCTAATGGGACAATCTGCTGGTGCACATATTTCTTCCTGTGCTCTTTTGGAGCAAGCAATCAAAGAATCTAAGAAAGAAGAGAGCATTTCTTGGAGCGTCTCCCAGATAAAGGCTTATTTTGGTTTATCTGGCGGGTAAAGTTTTATTTGTCGCATTATCATGAATCTACTGAACTTCACTGAATTTGAAGAAAAAAATTTATGAATTGGTTGCACCATTTGCAAAATTGGGGCTTCACAAAAAGTTCTAAATGTGTCTAAAAATGGGCAAGACAAAATCAGACTTCTAGAAACATAAATTTTTTGAAGCATGGTATATGATAGTGGAAAGAAATCTTTCCATCAGATACTTCACCGTAAACACTACACTGCTGCATTACTTACATGGCTCATTGTAGCATCAAGCTGTATTAGAGACTGATGACCAGTCATTGCTTTGGTACTATGTTGATGGATCTACTCATTGAAGGTTATGGATGGATCAATACATTGAACCTTTTTTTTAATTCTCTTCACAGGTATAATTTGATTAATTTAGTTGATCATTTCGACAATCGTGGACTATATCGTTCCATTTTTTTAAGGTACTTACCATAAGACATTTTGCTGGCGCTACTATCAATTATATTATGTTTTCTTTCTTGTTTGTTACTTCATGATGCTTTGTTGTGATGTGTCATGCAGCATTATGGAAGGTGAAGAATCCTTGCATCAATTTTCTCCTGAACTTAAAGTAAAGGACCCAAGCAATAGGAATGCTGTTTCTCTCTTGCCTCCTATTACTCTTTTCCATGGAACTGCAGATTATTCGATACCATCAGATGCCAGGTTAGAATGCCCCTGATATAATAAATACATTCATATGGGATTTGATGCATCCTGTGGATATGTTATATGAATAATACCCTTAATTTAACGCTATGCTCATATTCTTCTGGAGCAATAAAAGAAACTAATATGTAGTAGATGTCTAATTTGAATACTTGGCTTATTATGCCTCCTGTAAATTGAATTCCAAAAATGTTTTCTTAAATTAGAATAGATATAATGCCTGTCATCCATGGCTTGTGCTCTTCCTTTTTGTACTATCCGTACAGTACCGATTAAGACCTTGAAAGAAACATTTTGCCTTTAGTGGAAACCTTCAATTCGATCTGTCTTGATACAGACATCTGAATACCACTTGAATCAAAATATATTATGGTTTGATATCTTCAGAAACTAATGTGTCTTTATGTGCAGTAAAATTTTTGTAGACGCGCTTCAAAAGGCAGGCGCTCAAGCCGAGTTAATACTATACAGTGGAAAGACTCATACAGATTTGTTTCTTCAAGTAAGTTATACTTCGAAGTTGAACCTTTTATTGTCACTATTACAAACTTCCGACTCAATTTACTACTCATATTTTGGTGCACGTACACTAGTTTATAGTTTAGACTCTTGGATAGCAATCTGAAATAGGATATCAGGAATTCAATTATATATGGAGCTGCACTTTGCAGGATCCTCTAAGAGGTGGTAAAGATGAATTGTTTGACCTACTAGTTGCTGTGATACATGCTGGTGATAAAGAAGCTCTTGAGAAAGATGCCATGGCACCCCCAAGAAAACGCTTGGTTCCAGAGATCTTGTTGAAGTTGGCACGCAACATCAGTCCCTTCTAGGTCACACTCTGGTCATTATTTATCATAAAAGCCCATGAAAAAGTGGTTGATTCATCCAGCTCGCGGAGATCTAAATTGTTCGAAAGAGATTATGAGATATTCAATTTGATGAGGTTGCTGCATCGTAATCCCAGAGTTGAATATTGCAGTTGAAGATCAATAGCCTCAGATTTATCTAGAGATGTCCCCCCTTGTAATCCAATTATTTTAGATGATTGGAAGAATTTGCTTTTGTTGTCCATGAATGTAGTCTTAATTCTTAAACACCTTCAAATATTAAATATTTTATAATAGTCAAAGTTTGATTTAGGTATTTCTTTTTTTCATATTAAACAGTTTCTTTCTTTTTTCTTTCCAAAAGGCTTGAGGTGCAAATAAGAAAGAACAACAAATTTAAGGAGTGTGAGCTTCACTTAAACAAATATTCTAGACTCTAGTAGAGTAAGATAACTAGGCATCAAATCAAACCACCATCCATTTCACTGCATCCTCAAAGCTCACTTTACATTGTTTTCCGCTATTCCTTTCTGACAGTAATACAACCACCTATTGACTTAGGGCAAAATAGAAAGTCACCATCACTATTTATAAAATGATGGTAAGTCTTATAAAATTTGCATATACGAACCTGTTCTACACAAATGTGTTAAATAAGAGTATCAATTTCTAACATTTTACCCTAAACTACCAATGAATTTGGACTCTCCATTTCTCAGCCACAGTATGAAGTCTCAAGCAATCTTGTGTTCAAACTCAGAAGAATATTTTTCCAGGGTAAAAGAAAGCCGAACGGCATTGATCAATGACCTAAATATTTGGAGATTTTATCAGCAGGTGGTGGAACTGGAACCTTTCTAACTGGTGTGGGAGGGATTGCAGAAGCCTCTTCGGCGGCATAATGCTTGCGTAATCTGTCCTGAAGGGCCCGTACTCGATCCTCAGTCTTGCGAAGCTTTCTCCATCTGTAAGCAGTCCAGAGGGCAAGACCACCATATACAACAATATAGGAACCCCACACATAAGGGTAGGTCTCTGCGTGCTCTTTGATTTGTCGATACTTTTCTACCACGGCTCCTCCCAAACCAGCAGCAGCTTGAGTACTTGTGGTTTGCTGCTTTTCTTCTCCTTGTTCCTCAGTTGCCATCCCTCAATTTAGCTATTGAAACCACTGCAATACGAAGGAAAGTAGAACAAAAGTTGCAGAAAGATTTAAATATATATAAAATCATAATACAAAGTTACACAATCAGAAGAATGATCTGAGTACGTTAAATCACATCCAAATTTCTTAATAGCAACTAAAAACCCCAAGTCCAAAACCATAATACAAGATACATTGATACACACAAAATTACCAAATTGAATGCTTTAGCATTAAACATCACACAATCAGATCATGGTAAGCAATCAAAATATAACTATGGCTTTCGCCATTTAGGCCACAAGCATAAATGACAATTCCCGTACTGCAAATCGAAACATTTCAAGATATTATCAGATTGCGGCACAACACACAGCCGGATTGAACAACCCACCAATTAGCTTTGGCAATCGGAAAATCAAATTTCTAGACATACCCAGATAAGAAAATTCAATGAAAAGGAAGTAGACATTAAAAAATTGAAATCAAAAGTTAGAAATGGGAGCTTACCTATGGTGGGAAACGCTGAGAATCTTCAGAGATGGCGAAGAAGAGGAGGAAGCCTGACCTGACCGAAGTAAAGGAAGGGTTTAAGATCCCCAAACCCAAGCAAAAAAATATGGGCTTGGATCAAACGACAAAAAATATGGCCCAGCTAGCATGTCAAAAGTGGGCCTGTGGCCAGCAAAACGGCATGACCCGGATCGTCGTATGACTGGTCGCCCTTTTCAAGTCTACATGTACCAGGCAGCCCTCCGGTTACTGGGTTTGGTTTCCCCACGTCCAGAGCGGTTAAATAACCGTTACTTTTCAAATGACGAACTATCTCCAAACCAGCAGAGCCCAATAAAACTGTATTTTTCTCTCACATTACCACACAAACACACTGCTCTTTGCTGCAATGGCAGTGCTTCAATCTTTTGTCTTCTTGTTCCTAATGGTTTCTTTGGCTTCTACCCATTCTCAGTCTACGCAATTCCAGAACTACCCAGGTAATGAAATGCTGTCAATCTGTTTGGGTTAGAGGAATATGTTGCTCTAAAGGCTAGGCCTTTGAAAGTGATTGTGGTTGTCATTGTTTTCTCTGTTGCAGCTAAAGAGCCAACAAGAAGAAATTCTCGTAGACTTTCGAGGCCTCTGATTGGACATGATGGGAAGGTTTATACTTGCTCTGAGAAAGATTTGCTTGCATTTGAAAGTAATGGGTCCATTGCTTGGACCATGCATTTGAATTATACATGCAATTCTGATATGCCTCCTGTTCATGGTGGTAGAAGAAAGGTAAGTGCTTTTCTTAATATGTCATGTCTAATATGATCTGATATCTGGTCCAAGTTTTTCTTTTTCTTGGTTTCTTTTTTCCAATCTGCTACAAAGAAAAGTTTTAAATTTATGCAAATCTTTGCAGATATATCTGGTTGCAGATAACAGGGTGATTAAGATCAACTTGTTAAACAATGGAACTTCTGAACCAGCTGCAGAAGTTTTACTTAGTGCAGAACCAACTAAAGAAGGACAAGGTGGGATTGTTGGGCTGGCAGTTAGCACAATGAGTTCATCTGTATTTGTAAATATTAAAAATCGGGGACTCTTTGCATACATGACACGTGGACAGTTGCTCTGGAGTGCTGGACCTGTGATTGATCTATTTGGCTATCGTCAAGGTTGTAGGAAGAACAGTGCAGATTGTTTTTTTAATTCAGTCCCTGTGATTGATGAATGTGAGGCTAGTATCTATGTAAGGTCTGCTCATCCTTGCTTTCTTTCCCCATTTTTCTTTCAGAAATACAATTTAGGGGCATATTACAATGTGATCAGTTTCTCCCTCAGTATACTATACACAAGTTTGAAGAATGTTTATATAATTCAGGAAAGTAATTTCATTCGGAATTTTTTCGTCAAATCAACAATTTATAGTGTCATAACAATGTGCAGATCTCAAATACTGGAGGAGAATTGTACTCATTATCAATCCGCCATCCACACTTCAAGTGGATCCAGGATTTAAGTTCTTATGACAAAGTTTTCACTATAACTCCTGGAAACAATGGTAGATTGTATGTTACTGTTCCAGTTAAAGCTCTTTTGTTGGCACTAGATGTTTCTTCAGGAAATGTTTTGTGGGAGGGAAGTATTGGGCCATTAAGTACCGCAGATTACGCACCAGTTGTTGATTCTAATGGTAAACTCCATGTTTCTTTATGAACTTTTGCCCAAATTCTGTTTATAACTCATGGTAAATTGATTAGCTTTCTCAGCCACTTCATCTGCTATAATAGGTTGGATATCTATTGGTTCGTTAGATGGATTCCTATACTCATTTTCACCAACTGGTGTTCTCAAAAAATTCTCAAGAACAGCTGTAACAGATTCTGTGATCCAAGTCAGTCCTACCCTTGACTGCACTGGCTTTGCAATTTATATTTCTCAGACAGAGATGGAGGGGAAGATCAGCCGCACAGTAGGCGAATATACTTATGTGTCTGCTATGAAACCCAAAAGTGTTCTTCTTACCTTGTATGTTCCAGCAACTGGGTCCATCTACTGGTCTGAAAGCTATCCTGGTAACTCAATTTATGGGGTGTTTTCTTCCTTTTTCACACCATTTTTATTGCTTAGCACACCCTAATTCTTCGGTCGGTTGTACCAGGCCAATTCTCATCTTTTATGTCTCAGAGTGATCTTTGCCATTTTATACTAGACGAGAGGATTCTTCTTGCATTTGTGGCAGCTTCAAGTGAGATTCTAATAGTAAAGCACATATACTTCTCAACAATAGTTCATCAGTCATACAATATTTCGGTGTGTAGAAATATTTATTGCCACTGTAGTCTAATTGAGAAACATGAGAAAGAAGAGTGTCTTATCATTCTTTTACCATAGAGACATATTAGATGTGCACACCAATCCAAAACTCCTTTGAGGTTGACAACCCCCCTATAATGTATTTAGATGATATTATTATGTATATCTTCTGTGGAGCTAGCAGCATTTGGACTCACATATTGATATGTCTTCGTTGAATGAATGCAGAGACTGGAAACCCACTGGCATGCCGTTCTACACGTAAGAACTAACTCCACAATTGACTTGGCACTCATTTATCTCACAGTGATTATAATTCTCTACTTATACTCAGGTCAGAAGCTGATGTCTAGCTGCTCCCAAGTAAGGCCGAAGCTTGTCAGCATCTACACTGGTAAGTAGCAACACTATGCAAATGCCATAATTGTAAATCTTCACTTGAAAGTTTTGAGTTGCCAGTGCTTTCTTGTTTTTGTTCCCATCAGGTAATGAAAGGGCAATACTCTGGTTCCTGCTTTTTGAATCTGCAATCATGGTAGTACTAGCTGGACTTGTGCGATTTTGTTGTATATTTTGGAGTAAAAAGAAGCTTAAAGGTGAAAACCTTGGAAGTTTTCTTGAAAAGAGAGTAAGCTTTAAATCCTTATCATATGCTTCCTTAAAGTGTAAGTTTTCCATTAAAGAAAGGGATAGAGGTGAGGCAGATCAAAGATGCTTAAACTTAGACTAGATTAGTATTTATCAGTTACAGTTCTTGCACTAGAATTCTTGTAAAGCCATGTTCCCCTCACTTTCTCAAATATGCTTGCGGCTCTTTTTATCCTTAATCCCAGCGTTCTCTTCGACTCAAAAAGAAGGCATTTGATAGAACCATTACAGAACTTGAGCAAAAAGCTGCAGTTGAAGCAATGGCCAATGAAGAGGTGCTTGAGAAATTGGGCAATCTGCTACAAAAAAGGGAAGGCATAGAGAGAAAGCTATCAACAACTTATAGCTTGGGCAGAGATGGAGGCAGCTCAAGGTCAAAAACTCTTCTTCCATTATACGACAGAAAAACCAGAAGCTATTATCTTCAAGGTGGAAAGAAAGAGAGTGTTGCTGTCTTCCACACATTAAGTGACACATCAACTTCGATAGAAAGCAGCAGTGGAGGAGGAGAGGCTGGCTGGACTTCTTGTGAAGACAAAGGGAAGGCACCATTGGAAGAAGAAGAGAGCTCAAGTGATGGTGGGTTCTTTACAAGAGAATACAAGAAAAGCCCATCAGAGCCAGCTTCAAGCTCAAGAGGATTGGTGAATCCATTGCTTGGGGAAAAAGAATGGACAGGCAAGAAGTTGCATTATGAGGATGAAGTGGATTCAGAGCCAAAGATAATGATTGGTAGCAGGAGCTTATCATTAAAAAGAAGAAGGGCTTTATCTTCAACTAATTAGAAAATAGATCACATAATTACACATACCACATACACAGATGACTTGCAAATTACAAGGCTGCAGTGGTTGTTTATCTTTTTCTAGTACAAGAGGCACAGTGTGGCTTTTGTCTTTCACATTGCAAGCCTCTAGTGCAAATTACAAGCCTCTTATTTTATATTGGTAGCACCAATTTTTATGTAAATGGCAAGTTTTTTTTGTCTTTGTCAGACAAGTTCGCATATTATATGTGAAAACAACAAACACGGATACATACAATACTGTATCAATGAATCTAGATTAAAAAAGAATACAGAAATGTGCATCCTGACAACGAAATCATGTTTTGTCCAGCTACTCCCGGTTTTGTCCCCGTGCTCTCTAGAGTCTCTACTTTTCCAGCTACTCCGAGTGTGATTAAAAAAACTTGTACTGTAGTCTTGACTACCAAATGCCATTCTCTGAAACATTCTAATTTGTGCAGATTGTTGTGCGGAATAGAAAATTTCACTTTGTCCAGGTTTCATTCCGTTACTGAGATCTGATAATTCATCTAAGAAGTCAAAAGCCCTTACCACCTAGCAAGTGGAGAAAGTGTATTATTCTCAGCAGTAGAAACAAAATGTTGGAAAGGGTCATACCATATTTTATAAATACCTGTCTCATCCATGGCCTTTTCGCAGCTGAATGACGCACACAAGCTGAAGCCGCCTCAATCATTCGAAACATTTCATTCTCAACATAATTCTTTTCCAGCCTTGTATCTGCCAACCCTTCAAAGTCTTCATTCTCAAGTGCTTGAGAAAGCAAAGGCAGAGCCTGGAGGAAAAGTTTAGCTGTTAAAATCTAGGCATTGTAGACAAACCATACAATTCTGGTCATACAAAGTTAGCATAATACAGGTAAAAATTTGGTTGTCTTCAGTTGTGACATGGTCTTTGAATTTCTGTTCTCCATAATTCAACATTGCCAGCTATATAAGGGGTTAGAGAGCCCGAATAACAGTGGATGAGCCGTAACGTTCAGTGCTGTGTAACATATAAATCGTTAACAAGGTTGGGCTGGAGTAATCGTTGTTGCATATTAATGTTTTGATATAATCTTAAGCCAACAAAAACTACGAAGTACCTATATGTTTCTATAGATATTGGTAATGTGGTTAGTTCTCCATTTGTCAACTTCTCTGCTTATTTGTTTAATATTACAGAACTAGTAAACATAAGCTTGAAGAACTATTACAGCAGTGTTCAGAGTGGCACGCTCAGCATGTTCCTTCATCTCACGTAAGACTCCTCATTTACACCAGGGATGGGTTTTTCTATAAAGGATCTTTATGACCTAGGTATATTCAGTTTGTATTAAAAAGTTCCAAGGATGAACCTAGCCCTCAAACAGAATATTAAAAAGTTCCTATAAAGGATCGTTAGCTCTTCTGTTTTGCAGGTTCTGAAGGACGACTTGGTTGGTCACGCTGACCTAGTCCAAAAGAATTGTCCAACCTTGATCTCAAAGAGATCATTTTCTGTTGAACCAAATTTAGGCATAAACAATATTGTACATATCAAAGAAGAATTTTACTAATATGAATCGTATGGATAACATAGCATGTCAAAATATCTATTAAGAAAACATTTTCAACTATAATTATGTTGTGAAGTAATTTTATTTGTTATAAAATAATTGTGACACGAGGCCTTGAAATTTGCCTTAAGATCGGATAACAATTTTTTCTCAAAAAAATTCATCTGATTGGATAGCAAATTTTATTTATTAAGGGCAAACTATTTTGTGTGTCGCTTTGAGATTGGTTTAGTGGGAAAGCAACCCGTTAATCTCTTATCTAAATTCTAAAGAAGGTAAGAAAAGAACAAAAAAAATAAAGAAAAAAAGGTCAATGATTTCTCTACACTAGAAATAGCAAAACAAATAGCTGCGGCGGCTAGCCCGAGTTGTACCGTACGCCGCAGCGCATTCAATCATTCTCTCTCTCTCTCTCTCTCTCTTCTCTCTCGGAATCCGAGGTATCTCCTGGAGTTCGATTCAAGCTGCTCTGCATTCTAACAAAACCCTAATCTCACTCAACTCAAGGTAATTGCACTCTTCAAATCCCTAATTTCGGGTCCCTTTCTATATATTTTCTCTTCTCCGTTTGGCTGCCGAGAAACCTTGGAATTAGCTTTGAGGCTTTAGTTCTATTACGTGTTTGTTTTCCCGGCAACTAAACAGAGCTTGAATCCATTGACAATCATATGCTTACCTTCCTCTTTCCTTTTGTTTTAAATGGTATTTTCTTTTATTGTTGTTGTAAAGATTTGTGATAATTGATTGTGATGTCTGTTTCAAGGTTGAATATTTGAGTTGAGGTAGTGTGGTGTCTGGATAATTGATTCTACTACCAGATTGTGGTATATTAAGTCTTGGTCTAATTAATTTTAATATTGGTGGTTTAATGATGGTGTTCCTGACTCTTCAAGCTTTATTTTTATCTCATAGTCTTGTATATCTGTACCTGAATACCAAATTTAAGGCATTTTTGTCTACATACAAATATATAACGGTATACATGTGTTTGTGCGCTTTAATGTACTTTAGTAGTAGTATTTGAGTTTTATATCATACTTGGTTTTCTTGTGTCCTGATGATTGTTCATGTAATGCAGAGTAGTTTCCGTGTAGTCTGTTACAAAAGAAGTTGCTTCTTGATTGAATATGGAATCTGAGGATTTTATCGGTCTCCCTCCTTCTGGAGATTCTCTTTGCGGGAATGTGAATGATGAACCTAACAATTCTATTTTCGACTCTAAAGAGGTTGATTCTCAACCCACTAATTCGGAGGATAGAGAAGATAAACCGAAAAGTGAGAATCTGGGGAATGACAGTGATGTTCAAAATGAAGTTAGCCATTGCATACCAGAAGAAAACCTTGAAAATGATTTGGTCGGTAGCGGTTCAGATATGGAAATTGAGGACATAAGCAACCTCCCTGCTTTTAACAGTTCTGGTTCTGCAAATGAAGAAATCAAAATAAAGGGTAACAAGGAGGGAGACGCTCATTGCCTACAGCAAGCAAATCATAACAATGATTTATTTGACGAATCATCGTTGCTAAGTGTTGCACAGTCTGAAACTGTTACAGTTGCACAGGAGTCAAATATCTTCTGCTCAAAGGTGCACAAGAATGGTTGCCTTCCTATCCAAGATGCAAGTCCTGTTGGAACCCATAAAACGGGTGGCACTAGTATCCTTCTTCCACGTTTGTCATCTTATTGTTTTCATCTTGCACATATTCCAGCTCTTTCCAACTGAGAAACTGGAAAATACATGCAAATAGGTTTACCTCTTAACCTTATGATGCATGTTAATTTTTAGGATGCTCAAAATTTGGTTATCTTCGGTTGTGACATGATCTTTGAATTTATGTTCTCCATAATTCAACATTGCCAGCTATATCAGGTGTTAAGAGAGCCCGAATAACAGTTGATGAGTGGCAACCTTCAGTGCGTGTAACATATAAATCGTTAACAAGGTTGGGCTGGAGTAATCATTGTTGCATAATGTTTTGATATAATCTTAAGCCAACAAATACTACAAAGTACATATATGTTTATATAGATATTTGTAATGTGGTTAGTTCTCCATTTGTCAACTTCTCAGCTTATTTGTTTAATATTACAGAGCTAGTAAACATAAGCTTGAAGAACTATTACAGCAGTGGTCAGAGTGGCATGCTCAACATGTTCCTTCATCTCAAGTAAGACTCCTCATTTATACTAGGGATGGGTTTTCCTATAAAGGATCTTTATGACCTGGGTATATTCAGTTTGAGTTGTATTAAAAAGTTCCAAGGATCAGAAGTCATCCTTGTTTCAAATTATTAGACTTGACAATATCTTATGTTCATATAGTTTCCTTCAACAGAAAAACAAAACCAATTCTTATGCTCATATTAGTAAGATGTATTGATAAATCATTGTTTTTAACAAAAAACAATATCAATGTAGGCAAGAAACTAATACAAACTATAAAAAGAAAAGGGAAACAAAAAAAATCCTCTAATGAGAATGAATATAAATGTCCAGATTTTAGCTGGCTCAACATCTTGAATATTTTATTTTGTGACATCATTTTCAATGGGATAGATTATCCAATGTGTTAAGTTGTAAACAAAGCGCTTAAGTTCCATTTTCTTTGCCTCTGAAGACTTAAGTCAAAACATGGGATGGGTTTGTGCTTTGGAAGTACTTTTAAACATTCAACTCTGAGAGGTGGTTTGTGAAGTGGACTAAGCTTTGGAGAATGATTTCTCTGGTTATATTTCTGGTCATATGGAATGAAAACAAGAGTATTTTGGAGAGTGGGAGGTCTTCAATTGGCTGTTACCTGTTTTGATTTGTTGACTCAATTATAATGCTGTGTTTTTATGTAATATATTTTGTCTATCGTTTGGCTGTATTGGGTGTATGAATACTACTTGAATTTCTTAATCATTCAGGATCCTATTGAAGTGGTGGAATCAGGTGAAGACACGTTCTTTCCAGCTCTCCATGTTGGCACGGAGAAGACGTCTGCAGTGGTGAGGGTCCCGTTATTGTATCTATGCTTTATATACATCCTGTGTGCTTGATTTTTGGTGTTTTTCCAATTACTTACCAAAAGCTTGGAGGCAAGGGGGTGTTTACCCTACTTGGTTGCTAAACTTATGCAACCACTACTTGTGGCAGCATCTCCTGGTTTAACTTTCCTCACCTCCCTTTTGGAGATAGGACATGCCCGAAATCCCACATTTTTTTTGTACACTTGTACTACAACGATGATTGAATAATGTTGCCAAGATATGTTTAATGATTTCTTCAGTTTGTTAATTTTTCTGTTTGTCACAAAAACAGGAAAAAAGGAATGTTGTTTGTGATATTTTTTTTCTTAGTACTATGCCATTAGTTCTTCTGAAGTATTCTTTCATGTGCAGTCTTTTTGGATGGACAACCAAACAAGGAATGCAGAGAGCAAGGAATCCACTCCTTTGGATAGCAATTATGTGCCTCTATATGATCGTGGTTATGCCTTAGGCTTGACTTTGGCTGGTGGCTCAAGTAATTTGGAGGGGTAAACACTTTTCCCCCCTATATTATGTGATCTCAAGTACAATAGGAATTTAGACCAAAAAAAAAAAGTAAAATAGGAATGTAGCAATGTCAACAAAGCTGACTGATAATAAAATGCCTGCTCGATGAGACATTGTATTGGCATGTCTACTTAAAATATGCGCTGATAGAAATCAAGGATCTATGGTTCAGGAGAAGGCAGAATGACTACTACCTTCGCACTAGAAGGATTCTAGTCATCACCCTAGGACTCAATTGACACAATCCTACACTGCAGCATATGCTGCTGAAAAGAATTCTATAAATTCTTTCTTCTCTTCTCTTGCCTTTAAGTACTTACAAATATGCATAACTGAAGATGCCTCCCTCTTAGACTAGCATTATAGGTTTCAATTACCATGAGAACCTTTCAGCTCCCCAACAAATTTTTGATACACGTAATATTCCTTGAAGACGGTGATGGATTGATTATATGATCTCTTCTTCGATCTTTTCCTCTCACAAAACCTAGACATGATCTCTTCTTTCAAGTGCACTTATTGCAAATAGCAAACTTGGTTTTGTTAATTACAAATATGGTTGTGCTCTTGCTAAGTTTCATTCAGCTCTAATAATACATTAGCATTGTGCCATTGGTTTTTTCTTGTGTGATGGCAGTATTACTTTATTTAGCTGTTGAAAGTTTTGTATTGGGTTCCTTATTTACCATGTTTTGATTTAATCTTCTCATAGACATATTTATGTCCTTGATCTTTTGGATGGTAGTAACAACCAGACCAAAAAAAAACATGATAATGAATAGCAAGAGTAAAGGGTGAGTGGGCTTCTTGAATCAGGTGTCTAAGTAGAGGCCTTCATTAAATCCTTAATCTCGTCATTGCATGACATATAGGCTGCTTCATATGGTAATCTTGTTGGTGAAATATTTGATTCCATTTTATGGCTGTCTTGAGCATCACTTCTATTTTCAAGTAAAATTTGTGTTTGTTAGAATGCCTTACAGATCTTTTTCATTCTTATTTAATGTTGTAGAGGCTTGGAGATTATAGATGATGCAAGCCGTTGTTTCAATTGCGGTTCTTACAATCATTCGTTGAAGGATTGCCCTAAGCCTCGTAACCATGTTGCTGTCAGTAATGCCCGCAAACAGCTCAAGTTCAAACGAAATCAGAATGCTAATTCTCGCAATTCAACACGATATTATCAGAATTCTCCAGCTGGAAAATATGATGGTTTAAGGCCTGGTGCTCTCGATGCTGAGACAAGGAAGCTTTTGGGTATTGGGGTAAATGATAACTCTGTGTTTAGTATAGAAGACTTGTTAATTTGTAGTGGTGCTTCTTATAATTGCAAGGCAAATATTGATAATTGATTATTAAGCTCCTATGCCTGTTTTTATTAGTTTAAAAGGTAATGTTTGACGTGTTCGTATGACTTGAATTTGGATATACCATACTGTGTGTTGCACTTTTAAGAAGCTAACAGCTTACAAGAGAATATGTGGCTGTGGATAAAAGTAGTCTTATTGGAATGCAAGATTTGTCGATAAGGGTTATACTATTACATTTCTATTAAATACAGTAAGTTTAGTTGAGTTCAAATTGCTTCGCAAATATATTAAGTTTCACATTGCTGAAGCTGTATAACTACTGTCATCCTCATTTCTTTGGTTAAGATTACAACCTTCTTAGCAACCAAACATGCTATGGCTTTTTTAATTTATTATATCAAGTTAACATGTGAAGATGAATTTGATGAATCTACCAAGGTTAATGTTAGAGTTTGGTTCTTTTTTTTTCTTTTGGTCCGATAGAGTTTGGTTTCCTGTCTAGAAGTTTTTGTTTTGTCAAAAAGAAAGTTCTATTTAAATTTGTTTCAGTTATATATGCATCTATTTATTTATTTATCTATTGGGTTTTGTGCAGGAGCTTGATCCACCTCCTTGGCTTAACAGAATGCGAGAAATTGGTTACCCACCAGGATATCTAGGTATTTGATTATATTTTACTGAATTTAGTCACTTAAAACAACCAGTTAGGAATACTTATCATAGTCCACAAGCAGTATGGGTGTGAATTTCCTGGAGAGACCCAGTGTTTGAGATTCATTGCTAAGTTTATGGAGAGTATTGTGCTAATCTCCTGACCCTTGACCATCCTGTTTTCTGGAAATTATCAAACTTAGGGTTTTAGTTTCAACAAGCTACTTGCTAGTCATAGTCTTAGTTTATTGGACTTGTCCCCTTTTTTGTTTTCCATTTAAATTCTTTTTTCTAGCCTTGACGCTTTATCTTAACATTTTTAGATCCAGATGACGAGGATCAGCCATCAGGGATTATAATTTATGCTGATGAGGAAATTAAGGGAGAACAGGAGGATGGGGAAATTATTGAAACCGATGATTATCCTGAACCACAGAGGAAAATGACAGTCGAATTTCCAGGATTGAATGGACCAATCCCAGAAAATGCTGATGAGAGACTTTGGGCAACTGGACCTTCGTTTTCTGATCACTCTAGGAACCGCTCATACAGCAGATCGAACCATTATTCAGAACCCGTCAGCAGAGGGCATCACCGTGAGCAAAGGTGGTCCAGGGATTATAGAGATGACGGGCCTCCTGGCGTTGAACCAGGTTCTGGCCCATCTAGTTACCCCCCAAGATATGGCAGTTACGATTATGGTTACAACTTACCAAGAAGCCCTACCTTTGGAAGGTCCCAATCAGACAGAGGTAGAAGAATCCCTTTGTCCAATGAAGGTTCTTTTGCATACTCAAATCCTCGTCATTCGCCCAAGGATTATGACTCGGCCAATTTCGAAAATTGGAATGATGAAAGCAGGAGTGACTACGACCTTGATAGTTCAACTAGGGATAGGCTAGACAGGCATCGCCATCACCGTAGGAGGTAATGAAAATGACATGTAACTAGTAAAGATGCTAGTTGTGATGGATGTAGAGATGATTTAATTTCCCCAAGGAGGGATTTGTACAAATAACTAGATAGAGCTTGATGAGTTTAGATGGCTCTTTAATCAGCTGTTGTTGTATGCTACTCTAATTCTATGTACTGCTTCCATTCTTTCCTTGTTTCTGTTGCTTTGGCTTCGTTTAAGAAGTTATGAGATGTTGGGCTGATTTCATGCCTTTTGTTTCTTGAAGAAATCTTCTGTTTATTTGTTAACTAGAATTTTCCTGCATAAGTGGTAGAAATACCATTCTAATTTAAGCATCGCAAAACTCATAGAAAGGCGAGATTTGATTTGATCTGATCTGTTTAATTTCATACTGGGGGATAGAGGAATCAAACTTAAGATATCGGATGCATGGTTAAATGCTTTTAACTAATTGAGATGCCCTTGCTATAAAGGTGAGAATTGATGCCAACAACTTTCAAAAAAACTAAAAAGATGGTGGTGGGTTCGGGTTTATAATTGTTGAGAATTGGTCGTCTTGTAAGGTGAATTGCGGGCAAAGAGAAGGAAAATAGTTGAATTTCATTGCTTTGTTTATGAATTTTAGTCATTCAATAATATGACTCTTGTTTGCTGAAATAAATTATGTCTAGAACTAGAATTGGTTTACATATAAATGAATAAGATATTCTCAAATTATTATATACAAAATTTGAAATTTTTTATGTTGTGGGTGTAAATAACAATTACACTTCACAACATATCTTATTAAAATATTATGGTGGAGTCATATTGAAGTAGGTAGTTAAATTTAGGTGTCCACTAATTTTTACATACATATGTGCCTTAAGAAACTTTTGAAATAATAATTTATTTATTTTTGAATGGAAGTGATAGTCTAAATTACAAGGGGTTTCTCACACACACTGCTAAGTGTCATGTGAGGTTTGAACATGAGATTATTGATTTGCAAGCCTAAGTCTTTCTTCATTGGGCCAAATCCGGTTGGCGAAACAACATTATTTTGGAAAGAATATCAATGCTAAGATATTATTTCAGCCTATGAGATAAAAATAGGTACATTTCCATCCAGCCCTAACTAATTGGGCTTTTTGTTTTGTATTTTGTTGGGTTTTGTAACTAATGACCAAAAAAGAGAGATAAAAAAATGGGCCTATTTTTCTATTTAATATTCGAAACTTGGGGCTCAAGTTTAACAAGTTCTATTTCTATTTTCTGAAAAGATTAAATATAAATTTCAGATAAACTTCCAGGTTGTGAAAATATATGGAAGGGTGGTTTCGTAATATACCCACCCGTCTCCTCCTGTGGTAAAGAAAGTCACCTTAGTTTAAAAGTCGTAGCTATTCCTATTCCTATTAGACTCTGGCTTTGCTTTGTACTTCCAAACTTCACAGTACTTATAAAATCATTAAAAAAGCTTCGTGGCCCACCACCCATGGTAATGTCGAGGAGGCAAACTTCAACTTCAAACAGCCAATAAAGAAAAGCAAAGAAAACAGGTTTCTTTCCTTAAACCCTTATTTCCAATTTTAGGGTTTTTCGCTCTCCCCCTTTTCTTTCTGGTTCTGCTGTTTTTAGGGTTTATGAATTCGGCGACGTTTATTCTGAATTCTTGTATCTGCCTCTCGGACAATTCGGTTGCGTAATCTGACAATTTGACCGATTTAACGGTCCCTTAGTGAAGTAATTTGAGCGACAAATTACTGAATTTTGGATTGGGGTTTGGGGGAATTGGTTTTATTAGGTCTCACCTCAGCAAGGTAAAGATTCCTAATTTGTTAGAATGCTTTGGACTTTGATGGGTTTTCAAGGATATCGTTCGTTTTGTGATGATTGTGTTTGCAACTTTGGGATTTGAGCGGATTAATTTTATAAGTTTTCAGAAGAATAAAAATTTGTTGGACGTTGATGGTTTCACGAGGAAGTAATTAGTGTTATAACAATTACTTGCACGCAAATACTGACGAGGATAATTTCGAATAAGCAGAGCAATAATGATCTAGGACGTGAGAAATATTGGTGCAGTAAATCACGCACTAGCTGGTTGCCAAACTGTAATATGGAAAATTGCAGTGAACTATTATTGAGGAACAGACAGTGTTAGTTTGTCGATGTAATGATCTAAGCAATTAGATTCTGCCAAAAGTTGCGGTGAAACTTAAATAATTGCACAGTGTTCATGCACACTCAAACATTATGTTAGTTTTAGATAATCAAGCTCCTTAAGTTATTTTTATGAATTCTGTGTATTTAGCTATTTTAATTACACTTTTCACAACTCTTATGATTGATTCTTCCTTACCTTTCGTACTCAACTCTTGGTAATTTACAGTTTCAGCATGAATGAAGTCTCATAAAATCAGCAAGATGGATGTACAGAGATACAATTCAGACCAAACCTTTGGCCATATATCTAACTACCCGGTGCTGAATTCAAGTCCGTTTTTGCTGGGAGGGGATGGTTTACGTCGTCGGTCAATAAAATGCCAACTAGGCTACTTGAGTGATTGGCGCAAAGGTCCTAGAGTTAGCAGCGTTCGTAATTTGGTTAGGCAAAAAATGTAAGTCTCGTAAGTTTTCATTTTGAATGTAAGTGGATATATTAGACTAAACTTGTGTAATCTTAATCACTACTAGTATATTTGTTCTGACTTTTGGAATTCTTCTGCAGTTCTGACATCTTCTTTCTAAGTACCAATTATGTGTTGGGAGAGCTAGCATCTGATTTTGTGGGTGTCCTGGAAAACCAGCTATTTATGGAGGCTACTTCAGAGGTCTGCTATTCTATATTACATTGAATATTTATTTAGAGAAGTTTGTTTGTTTATTTAACTAGATTTTGTTCCTGTTCCTGTTACATTGAATCTTGTAGGATATAATTCTGCTATATCTTCTCTAGTTGAAAATTTATGAATGCACATGTTAAATATCCTGAACTTTTAACTTTTGGATATATTCTAGGAGGAGTATGTGAATGAGGAGACACTGTCTCATCGGCTGCAAATTTTACTCCAGCATAAACTATATGATGCAAACTCCAATGAACAAGTAGGTTTGCCTTTGTGTTCGCCAATGCCAACTTCAGGGCTGCCTCACAGTTGTTGCGATTCAGGTGCTGCAGAAACACCGTCTAACTGCTTAAGTGGTACTAGTAAATATGACTCCATTGGTCATAATGCTTTCATAGCTAACAATGCTGATCACGTTAACCTCATAAAAGGTGGGCCATTTTAACTTTCCAAAACAAACTCATTTAACAATTGGTTAGTTTAGACATATTTATCTAATGGAGTAATGAATTTTCTGTTGTAGGGTCACCTTTTAATGGTTATAAGCAGGGATATGCCAATAGATTCATTGCTTCCAATGAATTGGATATGTCTTTTTCGTCAGGCCTAATGCAGGTTGCTTCTGAGATTTTTCTTCCTCTTGAGGACGCCTCAGCATCAATCACTGCATATTCCAATGCCAATGAGTTCTCTGTTATTGGAGGTTTTAATGATGGGACATTCGCTCCTCAAGGGAATCTGAATTACAGTTCTGATATATTGTTTGATTGTCATGTTCAACAGCAACATCTTGACCATGGTATGCTTTTGCACGCATTATGTTTAACCTCTTCCAGTTTATGAAGTCATGAATCGTACTTGAGTTTTAGTTGCATGATTGACAAAATGTGTTATTTTGTAACTTCTGTTTGTTTTAAGTCCTCAGATCATGTATAGTTTCTTGGTGTTAGACTACTTTATAGTTTCTGCCGTGCCTGATGAGAAAATTATTGATACCAGATTTAGCTAGAGGCTACAATGTAGTATCTGATTTTTATTTATTTATTTATTTAGTTATTTATTTATTTTTAATTTAAAAAAAAACTAAGAAATATGGCATACTTCTTTCTGATTTTGGATGGCTTGACTCAGATGTCTTAGTTTACTCACTGGACTGTGGTAGAAGTGGCATTCTTGTACTCATATTATGTAACCACATAGTTGGATCCAAGTTCTCCCATCCTATGTTTGATCAACTTGATTGATGAATTGTATGTTCATTGATTCAATATGTGCTTTTGAAGCAGGTATCTGTTCACCAATCTGCATAGAGTCATGTAGAGTTATTTTTGAAACTATGTTAGAGGATCTAGATTTCTATAAATAAATATATTATAATGGAAAACATACTTACGCATAACAAGTCCATCCACTCAAACATATGGTCTCGTTTTCTATTGGGTTCTTTCTTGGTCTCATTTCTGTATACTGTTTTCCTGTTCTGACAAGTACTTTTTCTTGTGAAATTGAATCCTAAAGGTCGTTTGGGGAATGCTCAATCCATGGTTTTTCCATCTACAGTGGGAGAATTTTCAGCGGTTTCCTCTTCTAACTTGCTGATCCCCCAACATATTCCAATAGAAGTTCCTGAAGTTTCTAATATTCTTCCTGGCAGAATCTTCAGCAAAGAGATCTCAACTCTTGAGGATATAGTGCAATCTTGTTCCCTGATAATGAAGTCTCAGCATAACCAAAACCGACCCCATCCTTCATATTTGCAGCCTCGGGTTCCTCCAGAACAGTCACATGCTGCTCAACAGTGTGCTTCAGATGGTCCTAGTTCAGGAAACATTAAAGATATTCTTCCTTCGTCGAAAAGGTTGAAGATGGAGAACAAAAATGGAAGTGTTCATCTTTTGGCCGCTTCAGTTGTTCAACATTGTGCTCCTGAAGGACTTTCATATCTGCAGCACCAATCTGAATCTCCTCTATCTATTAATTCTGAGGATACAGTGCAATCTTGTTCCCGGATGATAAAGTCTCAACATAACCAAAAACGACCCCTTTGTCCATATTTGCAGCCACAGGTTCCTCCAGAACAGTCACATGGTGCTCAAGAGTACGCTTCAGATGGACCCAGTTCAGGAAATATTGAAGATATTCCGCCTTCGTCAAAAAGGTTGAAGATGGAGAATAAAAATGAGAGTTCTCATCTTTTGGCTCCTTCAATTGTTCAACATTGTGCTCATGAAAGACTTCCATATCTGCAGCACCAATCTGAATCTCCTCTATCTATTAATTCTGAGGATATAGTGCAATCTTGTTCCCAGATGATAAAGTCTCAACATAACCAAAAACGACCCCTTCATCCATATTTGCAGCCTCAGGTTCCTCCAGGACAGTCAAATGGTGCTCAAGAGTACGCTTCAGATGAACCCAGTTCAGGAAATATTGAAGATATGTCACCTTCGTCAAAAAGGTTGAAGATGGAGAATATAAATGAGAATTCTCATCTATTGGCTCCTTCAGTTGTCCAGCCTTGTGCTCCTAAAGGACTTTCATATCTGCAGCAACAGTCAAAATCTCCGGTATCTATTAATTCTGAAGTAACGCATGTGGAAATAGAACCAGCTAAAAATTCTATACAAGATTCCACGGGGATCAGTGATGTTAGAAAATGTGAATCTGATAATATCAATAAACTGGATTCCGAAAGTGTGCCTCTTCCTTCTGTAGGAGTATTTATTTGTCATCAGATGGAGCAATTAGACCCTACTAGCACTAGTGAAATTATAGACAATGTGAAAAAAGTTCCCGGAGGAATGGGGTCCAAGAGTTTATCTTTGCTCTCAGAAGAGCTTAGTGTTGAATTTAAAGAGGGGGAAGAAAGGACTGAGTTCAACCAAACAGAGCCAATACCAGACTCTGATCTTAAGGAAGTGATAAAGCCACAGAATCCAGAGACAAAGGGTGCCCTTTTAACTGAAATTTTCACAGAAGAGCAAATCAAGGAACATTTATCAAGTCTTGGGCAGAGCATTGATCAGGTAGTAATTTTTCCATTCACCGTTATTGCTTTTTTTAAGTTTCTCCAAGAGTTTCAACTAATTTATATTGGTCTAGGTTTCCATTGATTGAACATGAACAATACTATTCTTATGCCTTTATTTTAAAACAGAGTATCGTGACGGAAGAAAGAGAAAACAGTGAGAAAGTGTGTCAGTTGTGTGCGTCGGGTAAGCTTTTTTTTGCCCCCACACCAATCTATTGCTCATTCTGTGGTGCCCGTATCAAGCGCAGTGTAAACTATTACTGCACACTAGATGAGCATGATACACAATATTGTGTTTGTACGTTGTGCTATAAGGAGTCTCGAGGTGGAAATATCTCATCTCGTGGTATTCACATTTCAAAGGCAAAACTCAGTAAAAAGAAGAATGATGAAGAAACCGAAGAATCTGTAAGTTTAAGTCATTTGGTCTTTTTATTTCTGAAATCTTGAAATTAGTGACTCAATTCCTGAGGCTTTTTATGTACTTGCAGTGGGTTCAATGTGATAAATGCAATGGCTGGCAACATCAGATATGTGCTCTCTTTAATGATAAAAGTGCTTTGGAAGGCAAAGCTGAATGCATATGTCTCAAATGCTTGTCAAAAGAGACAGAATGTGGAGAGCTCAAGAACTTATCAAATAATGCTGTTTTCAGTGCAAAAGATCTACCAACTACCATGCTTAGCGACCACATAGAACAAAGACTCTTTAGGCGCCTCAAGCAAGAGAGAGAAGAGAGAGCAAAGGTCGAAGGAAAAGAATTTTTTGAGGTAAGAATAAAACTCTGTTTAGGATGCACTTTCAGTTTATCTAATTTATTTTGCATTTTAAGAGAATTTTTTATGTTTTGAGAGTTGGACAAAAATATTGTGACCACTAAGATCCGTCTTGAGGTCAATGCCTAGCGGTTATGTCCTAATCAATTCAATCATGGGCCTAGCGGTTATAAAGTTTCTTGTTTGAAGCTGCTTGTCTTCATACAGAGATGGTTCATAATCTACAGTCCTTTGAAGCTTCTTGTTTGTTATGTTTCTTTCAATGAGATGTTAGGTTCCAGGAACAAAGGATTTTGTTGTCTCAGTGGTTTATTATGTTGAAAATGTAGAAAAAGGACATTCGAATCTAATAAGACACTCAATATAAATTAAATTCGCATCTGAAATTCCTGTTTATATATTCACAGGGAATGTGTTTATGATATACAATCCCTTCTATCTGCTAACTTCTTTTGTTTGATTTGATGGGTTGTTAGGTTCCAGGAGTCGAAGATCTTGTTGTCAGAGTGGTTTTATCTGTTCAAAAAACACTAAAAGTGAAGCAAAAGTTTTTGGATCTCTTTCATGACGAGAATTACCCTGCTGAATTCCCATACATATCAAAGGTGGGAAAATTTTAACCAATCCGTAGATTTCTTTGTTGATTTATTATAGACTTTCCTCCTGTCTCACTCTGAATCTCTTCTATTTTAGTGTCACTGCTTGTTTAGTATAGTTAACCTAATACCATTTTTATTTTTTTTGCATTCAGGTTATTCTTTTGTTTCAGAAGATTGAAGGGGTAGATGTATGCCTTTTTGGAATGTATGTGCAAGAGTTCGGCTCAGAATGTAGTCATCCGAATAAGCGTTGTGTTTATATATCATATCTGGATTCTATTAAGTACTTCAGGCCAGAGACAAAAACTGTGAATGGAGAAGCTCTTCGTACATTTGTTTATCATGAATTATTGGTAGTTACTTCTTTTCCCTATCATTATTTAAGCCTATGTTACTGGTACAGCTAATTGACAAATGGTAACTCAAATTTTCTTTTTACTAATTTTTGTCTTCAGATAGCTTACCTTGAGTTTTGCAAGAAAAGAGGTTTTATTACCTCCTATATATGGGCATGCCCTCCTGTGAAGGGAGAAGATTATATTTTATACTGCCATCCAGAAATGCAGAAAACACCCAAGCCTGATAAGCTGCGGCAATGGTCTCTCTCTCTCTCTCTCTCTCTCCCTCTCTCTCTCTCTCTCTCTCTCTCTCTCTCTCTCTCTCTCTCTCTCTCTCTCTCTGTGCACACAATTCCCCTATCTTGTGTGTTTGTCTCTCTGTGTATGTGTGCATTCATTTCTGCATATGTGCCTTCACTGATTTTAACTAGTTCACTTGTGCAGGTATCAGTCAATGATAAAAAAAGCAGCAAATGAAAAAATTGTGGTCAGTTTCACTAATTTATATGATCGCTTTTTTATCCCTACTGGGGAATGCAACTCCAAGGTAACAGCAGCTCGTTTGCCGTATTTTGATGGTGACTATTGGTCTGCCACTGCTGAGGATGTGATCAGGAACATTGAAAAAGAAAGGATGACAGACTCAAAGAAGAAAGCAAAGAAAACAATAACGAAGAGAACTTTAAAAGCCATGGGACATACCAGTCCTTCTGATGGCTCTACCAAAGATATTCTACTGATGCAGAAAGTAAATATTCTTAACCTTTCCCTTTCTAATTCTTCCTACTAAATTGGTGGCTTAAAAGCAACCTTCTAATATTCTAATTCTTCACTTTGCATACTATAGATGAAGCAAACTTGGTGGCTTAATAAGTAAATATACAAAGCGACAAGTGTGCGAATTCTAATAGATAAGGTTACAAATAAAGCAGATAACTAATGCTTGATTCATATACTCGCCTTCAACTTTTAGTTTTTACTTCCCTAGGATTTAATGAGGGCAATAAGTTATCCAAATGCTGAGGCATGCCTAGGTAATATGTCCATTCCTTAATTGCAATATCACTAGTGAAGCAAGTGTAGTGGCCACCTTAATTTTTAATAATGATATAAATGAATAGGTCTTGGGCAGGAAGAAACATCTGCACCAGCATTGTCAATTTCATTAATACTATTAATATTTACCCTATTTCCCCCTGTTAGACATCTACTTACTCTCCAGTTTGTTTTTGGTGTCTCTTCCTTTTTAGCTGGGGCAGACCATTTTACCAAATAAGGAGGACTTCATAATTGTTGACATGCAGTATGTTTGCTCCCACTGCCATGAAGCAATCTTATCTGGGGGACGCTGGTCTTGCAGTCAGTGCAAAAATTTTCACCTCTGTGAAAGGTACCAAATTTCTCTCAGGTCTTTCCTGCTCTTCAAATTTTTTATCCCTCCTTTAATCAGAATAGTTATGGTGCCTGGAGGTTCTGAGGTCCCTCTTGTAGTCTTATGTTATTGATATCTTATTCCCAACAATGTGCAGTACATTGAGAATTGAAAGTGATGGAGATGTGTCTGTATGTGGTTTGAGTAAATACTACATCATAGGTTGAACAAGTAATTCAAATAATAATAAATAAATAAATAAGAAATGGTTACAGTAACTGAGTTTGTTGAACAAGGGAGCACAAGTTATCCCTGAAGCTTTATAATACTTGTATAGTACTTCAGTGTTCTACTAGCTTTATAGGTTGAACTGATTGACTATCTTTTTTTCTTTTTTTTTGTCTCTCAATAATTGAATCTTCTCTTCGCCTGTGAATTATGTGCGGCACATTGTTTGTCTTTCTTGCCAAGAATCTATTGTCCAGAAGTATGGTATTTCTGGGTTTAAGAACTTGATTGAAGTGGAAATTTTTTTAATTTAAATTTGTATTTATTGTTACTTTAATTTGTATGCTGTAGATGCCATGAAGCTGAGCGCAAAATTTCTGGGAGGGACATGCACATATCAGTCAACATGGAACAACATGTGCTTTCTCAGGTGAATCCCAAACCTTATAGGCCCGTATGGTAATTTTGCCCTCCTAGTAAAAATCTAAACCAGTCAATTAGTGTTCTAATAATATGTGGCAAATGTCAGATACTACAAACCAGCCTAGCAACAATTCTTCAAATAATTACTCTCCTTGAAGTTAGAGTAGCATATCTTTGCTCATTTCTTTGACTTTTGCCCTTTTTCAGGTTTTGGTGGAGAATGTGCTTTCTGATACTAAGGACGAAGATGTTATTTCAAACAGTCGTTTACTTGAGAACAGGCATACTTTCTTGAGCTTGTGTGAGAAAAATCACTATCAGTTTGACACACTTCGCCGGGCGAAGTATTCCTCAATAATGATTCTGCATCATCTCCAAAATGGTACTGTGCTGACTGCTGGGAACACATGCAGTATTTGCCATAAGGATGCTGTGGTTGCTCAGAGCTGGGTATGTGAGATCTGCCCAGAGTTTGGTGTTTGTGCAGCATGCTATCAAGAGAAAGGAAGTTCTTGTCACAGTCATAAGTTGACTCAAAGTTCTACCACAGTTAGCTGTAGGACAGAGAGTCGAGACTCGCCACAAAAACCATTGATGGTAAGCTATATTTTTAAATACCCATACTATCCTCCTCGCATGTTGTGTGTGTCCATATCTCTATTAGCAACAATGATTTTCATCTCTTTCCATAATAATAATATTACTAGCGATAAGGATTAACAATAATTCATGTGGCTTAGTAGTTACAAATAAAAGTTTGCAGTTTGAATACGTGTGTAGGTGCATGTGTTTTTGTGATGCTCAGTGTAGTGTATATATGTGGTGCAGATAAGGGAACTGCTGGATGTTTTACATCACGCACGTAAATGTTGCTCAACCAAGATTCAGCCTTGCTCTTACCCAAACTGCCTCAAAATAAAAAAGCTACTCTGTCATGCAACAAAGTGCACTATTCGGACTACTGGAGGTTGTCAATACTGTAAGAAGGCATGGTACGTGATAAATCTGCATTCGAGAAACTGTAGAGAATCAAATTGTGGCATACGACGGTGCATGTGAGTTACATTCTCTGCACTTAGCCACCACCCCCTCCGTCTCCGCAAAGAGGATAGAAAAAAGAGGTTCTACTGCTTCCTAGGTATTTCCTTTTATTCTTATTACCTGCATCACAATAATTGTTCTAATGTTCACTCATTTATCGGTTGATTTGGTGTTGATTTTGAAGGGATGAGATCTGAAGAAGCATGCAGAACTACGGTTGCAGAATTAGTCGGATAGTGAACAGCGAAGGTTGCTACCAATTGATAGTCTCAAGTGTACAGATAGGACGGGATTGTCAACACCAGCAGCCTGGTGTATAGAAAGTTGAGAAGCAGAATAATTTCTGGTTTAGTTTAGCAGGGCTCAAAGATTTTGTCAAATAAAAACAAGTAAATCTCAGTCTGTTACCAACCGCATGTATACAAACTTAGTACCTTCAAAAGGGTTGTGATTTGAGGGCCTGATTTTCCAAGTTGGTCATGAGCTACACCCAGAAAAAGCTGGTATGGATCCAAAACCAGATAGGCCTAGAAAAAGTTTGCTTTTAATATTTATAGTCTAGTTTTGATGCCTTGACCTCATTCTTTAGCCCTTACATACGGTCACCTTTCCTGAAGATTGTAGTTTTCTTGGACATCAGTACATGAATACAGGTTTAGAATTAGGTAAATCAGAATTTCTAGTTTGAGGCAATCCAATTGATGTATAAACTCATTCTTTAACATTCTGATATGATCTTCCAATGATTCAACCATTACTGTATTTTCTGCATGTAAAACCATTGTTGTTTATTGTTATTATTGTGGAAAGTAAACAGGAAGGAAAATAAACTGTGTATTATAGAAGCATAATGAAGTGTTATGTACCAGAAAGAAGAAAGCCTAATTTCATCCGACATCTTGTCTCTGTGTAGTTCTCTAATTTTCAATACACCACCTTGCCCTTGGCCAAAATTTGTGTTGATCAAGGAAACAAAGAAAAACTGTATTAGACAGAAATGCAACATCCTCTCGGAACATTTATATTATGAAATTCCTTTATTTCGTTCAATATTCGGTGAATTAGCTTAAGCAAAACAAAACCAAAAACCTCTATCTCTAATCACATGGATTGCCTAAAAAATTTGCTTTCTTCACAGGTCTTGTCTGAAGCATGTTATCCAGCTAGCTACTGTTGCAACTACTGATGGCATACATACACTATTAGAAAATTTTTAGGACAAACACTAACGCACCTTCAGATTAAAACAGTTCAAAATGGTTGAGAGTGCACCTTATATTAAGTATTAATATATAAAAATTATTAATTCACATTGGAAACATCCATACTTAAATGCAGTCATTGTATTTTAATTTCTATTTTGTTCAAAAAGAAAATCCTTTTAATTTCACATTTCTTCATCACTTCACTTGTCGTGGACAAGTATACTTTATGAATAATGCTACGGGCACCAACTTGTTTACCAACTTTTGGATACCAACACATGTGGCACATGACATGGCAACCCATGTCATTTGCCATCTCATCTATTTTAATTACATAATTTATTATATAAATAAAAGAATTTCTCACCAAAAATAAAAATAGTTAAATATAAAAAATAATTAAATTCTTTTATTTATATAATAATTATGTAATTAAAATAGATGAGGTGGCAGATGACATGGGTTGCCATGTCATGTGCCACATGTGTTGGTATTCAAAAGTTGGTAAACAAGTTGGTGCCCGTAGCGTTACTGATACTTTATTGCCCGGCTCATAATTCCCACCCCTTATTTTTTCACCATAAAATACTCAATTCAGAAGCTCAAGCTAATGGTGGCCATGGCTATGAGTAATCGTCATAAACTCCAAAGCTCATACTTTGGATGACCATGAATTTGAAGATTGCTATGGGTACACACAAGCGTACTGTTGGGTGGCCATGCATCTGGGTACTCAGATCGATGAGAGTGAACAAAACCAAGCTTTTGAATTTCTCCATCATACCATCATCACTGTAACTCAGAGAGAGAGAGAGAGAGAGAGAGAGAGAGAGAGAGAGAGAGATGAGGTAGTTAAAACAATCAGCCCAGAACGAAAGAGAGACAAACTTTGATACAAACAATGTGGAAATGGCGGAGCTCAGTCCAGCGATAAAATATGCACTGGCTACTGCTGCTGCTACATAAGAATATCTAGCATTGTCGTACAAAAATAAGAAACAGCCCAATATTGTCCTGAATCCTAAAAAAAATAAGAAAAAGGAAAGTGAGGGTAAACAAAAACCCTATCCCTCCGCCTCAAATACTTCCATAGTTCTAACTACACTTAAATCGATAATGCACAATACTACTACACATTAGAGAGCTAACAGCACAGCTAAAGAAGTTGATGCAGTCAAGTTCCAACTGAAGCCACCCCTACTGTAAACAAGTCTTTGTTATTATGTTGTGAAGAAGGTCCATAGCTTCTTTCCTATTGAGGCTTCTCCAGGATGTTCAGACTCTTCACCGTCGTCATCTTCTTCAATGGGAGTACCATTCTGGGATTCACTCCTGTACTCGTCTCCATCAACATACTCTTGACCCCCTTCTGTTGAACCATTCACCTCTTCACTAACTGCCGTATTCTCTTCCAGATTTTTTATTGCATCTGCATCACCATCTTGAGTATCTCCAAGAGTCCCACACTGAGCACAAAGTAAAAAAGAGAAATCACATCAGAAAAATATTTTGAAGAACCAGCTTTTGACTTCTTGAAAGATATAAAAACATGTGCTGTGAGGACAGGGCAGCTCTTAACATGTTTTCTTAGACATCATTCACTCCTAAAGATCAATACTGGCAGACCAACTTCTCAGTAACATATTGAACTTGTGTAGTAGAAATTGATTCTAATCCATAAAACAAATAGAAAGGCCTCATTCACACCCCTACATCCTATCTAGTGAAATTTTAATGGGCTAGTGAAGATGCCTACACTCACCCGCACGAAGTGTGTGCTTCCACCATTCTTGCTACCAACTCCTATTGAAGTAGCAGGAGCAGCTTTAGAGTAGTGCTCAGTAGCTCTAGCATTATCGACCTCTTCCTCGTTATCTTTGACAAGGTCACGCGATGCACTTGCAGCAGCAACTGTAACTCCACTGATCACATAACGTGTAAACTTACAAGTTAGTTTCATGGAATGACCACCATAGAATGGCAACAGGATCACAAATTTTATCCCTTTCATGATGCTAAAAAATAACTTTTACATCCATGATCTGATACAGTGCTCTAGAAATAATTCTTAATAGTGGTAGCTTTATTCCCACCTAAAACAAATGATATTTCAATTCAAGAAACTGCAATGCATTCCAATGTTTTTACATGGTACTCAAGATATAACAATTTAAATACTTACGTTTTGGGTCGCCGTAGATTGTATCGACTTTCCCCTGGAGCTTGCTCAGCTGGAAGAACTTTTTCTCGCCTCTTCTTGCGCTGGGCACCCATGACACTGTCAGAACGTCCTTCACTATCATCCCCACCACTCACAGCGATTTGAGATGTCTGAGCACGGCCACGCTTCCGTCCATTTCTAGCTGATCTTTTATCAGCAAGACTAGAACCACCATGGCTTTCAGTATGCATATCAACAGAATCCTCGGCAGTCCCATTTGCATACTCACTGTCATTTGTTTCAAAAGCCTCCCCAAGTATAGCCTTAGCATCTTTAACAACTGCTTTCACAGAGCGAGTTCTCTTAACTGCAGGCCTGCCTCTCCTGCCTCCTCTCCTACTTGGCTTTTGGTAACCACCCTTCAAATCAGAAGGCTGAGAATCTTCTGGAAGATCAGGTGCCTCACTATTCATGTTGCTATGTTCATCGGGTGAAGGATATTGAACAGCTTCAACCTCTCTGATTCTGTTGTCGGATTGAACCCTCTGGACATCAAAAGAATCACTTGCAACTCCAAAAGATAGTTCAGCCTCATTTTCAATGCCACATCCTCTTTTGGATGCCTCTACATTTTGCTCACCAGAGAATGGTGCTTCATTTGCCAAATTTTGAGGAGAGCCAAACTCAATCTTTTTCCCTGGTGAGAGATTAAATATCTTTGAGGTGCATTTACGGAGCCAAGACATGGTACCACCAGAAACTGGAGATCTCAAATCAATACCAAGAGATATCTCATTATTTTGCCTCTGAGCCAGATTTTCATTAAAACCTCCCTTCAAATAGTCATCACCCAGTCTTGGTGGGGGAATAACCTCTGCATTTTCAATTTCAGCTAAAGGTCGTAGATTAGAAAGCACAAACTCAGAGATCATTTCACCACAGTTTGTGCAACTCTTGAATTTCTCAATAAACGAAATAAAGGATTCTCTCTCCTTAATAAATTGATCCCGTTGGTCTCTCAGTTTCTGGCTAAGGTCAAGAAGTTCATCAATGTCTTTTCTTATTTCAATGTGTTGCCTTTCAAGATGCTCCTTATTTGCATCAGCTTCTTGTCTTTCTTTTTCCATTTTAAGTCTTTCAACTTTAATTTCTTCCATTTCTCTTCTAGCTACCTCTCTCAAGTAATTAACATTGTCTAGTTCTCTTTCTCTTTCTTCTGCAAAAGACTTCTCTCTTTCACGCAAGGGTTTCTCCATCTCCTCCAACCGATTCTGCATATCAGTTTCAAGTTCTCTTTTCCGTGTTTCCAATTCATGAAGCATTTGGCTTCTCTCACTTTGAGCTTTCTCAGCTAATACTGACTTCTCATGCTCCATATGGGCTTCAAATGATTCCTTGGCCAATTTGAGATCATCTTGCTCCCTTTGTATGTGGTCCTGAGCCACCACCTTTTCACTTTTCAACCTTTCTTCTTCAATGTGTTTCCATTTTTCTACTTCTTCCTTCTGTTCATTTACATTCTTCAGCTCTTTCTCAATCTCAGCTCTTTTGTCATCCAGCTCTTCCCACTCTCTCTCAAAAAGCTCCTTTTGCTGCTTCAAGTCTTCAGCTTCCTTCAGAAGCAGTTCTTTCTGTTGCATGTACTTGTCAATTTCCTGTTTTAACTCTGACTGCAGCCGGTGATACTCTGACCTCTCCTCTTCACTTACTATCAGTCGATCCTTCTCCTCACTAATCTTCTGTAGCTGTTCTTCATTATTAGCCCTAATCTTCTCAACTTCAGCCAAATGCCTAACCAAATCCTCTTTATCAGCAATTAGTTGTTTCTTCTCGCTTTCCAAGTCCTTCTCCTCAGATTTAATGGACTTCTCCTTTTCCTTCAAGGATTTCATTTTTGATTCAAAGTCCTTCTCTTTTTCCCTGACCTTTTCCCCTTTCTTTTCCAATGCCTGCTCCCGTTTTGCAAATTTCTCCTCCATGTGATTGATTTCAGATTCCTTCTTCTCCACATCAACCAGCCTGTTTCTCAATTCATCATCCAAGGATTTTCTCTTTTGATCAATTTCTAACTCAAATTCGCATTTCTTTGCATCCAAAATGGCGTTGTGTTCATCAATAATCTTCTGGAGCTCAACCTGTGGGTCCCATGAAAAAGAAAAGAGTCAGGAGCATGACAATGATAATAGAATGATGAATTCACTCTGGATACCAAGCCTTCTATAACAAAATAAGGAGATCAGATCCACAAAGAGGGAAACAAACAGGAAATAGACTTTAAACAGATTGAATAAAACAAAGAGTGTAAAAAAGAAAAGAAAAGAAAGTTCTTGAATACCAAATACACTGACACAGCTACTTTTGTGACCAAATTAAACCTACATCAGGTATAGACTTGTACGCGACAAGTCATACCCCTAACAAGTTTCCAGATGTTAGTTGTAAGTTAACTTAAGGCCATACAGCATCATTGCATAAGGTTCAAATTGCTTTCAATGTGTCTCTCTATCAACAGTGATATAGGCCTCACCCTTTCTCTAGCATTGAGCTTTTCTTCCAATGCAAGTAACTCCTTCTCCTTCATCTCTAGGTTTATTCTCATAGTATCATATTCCTGCACATAAAAGAAACTCACTTAAACAAATGAATTATGAGAAATCCAAAAACAGCTCACCATAAAACACTACTCGCCTTTTCTTTCAAAGTCAGATTTGCTAGCCTGCTGCTTATATCATCTTCTTTCCTTTTCAATGTCTCATTAGTTGCATCGATCTTCTTCTGAGCATCTTCCAGGTCCTTCTCTTTCTGCTTAAAAATCCTATCGTTCTCATTTGCCCTCTCTTCTCTTTGGTTGAGAATTCTTTGACCCTTTGCTAGCCTCTCTTCTCCCTCTTGCAGTTTCCTTTCCCATTCTAGCAAGTCCTCCCTCCGCTTAGACAAAGAATTCTCATGTGCTTCCTGTCTGAGAAAAGTCAAACCAGCTACATTAAAACAAGAAACAACTTTCATATTTAAGATGTATAGATTGCAAACAAGTTGATTCCACCCTCCCACCAACCCCTCCCGAAAAGGGAAGAAAAGAGGATGCATTGACAAAGCAAACATATTAGACAACAACAAAAGGAAAATATCAAGGGGCTTCATCATACTCTGAATTGAAGGATAACCGATCTCTTCGAAGTGCACTTTCTCGAGCCTCCAAGTCTTTTGATTTCCTCTCAAACTCTGAACTTTTCCGGCTCACCTCAGCTAGCTTGGCATCGGCAGCACGCGACTTTGCCTCTAGCTCCAATGATTTCTCTTCTATACTAGCAACCAAAGCATTTGCCTCGGCCAACTTTGAATCAGCAGTAAACTTAATTTCTGCATTTTCTGAACGAATCTCATGCAAAGCTTTCTCTAGCTGCATAAGAAATGTACCACATATTAGCAAATTCAACCACAATCAGCTTTCAAGTTAATAACATAGATTGCCAACAAACCAAAAGCTTTAAAATTTATCACATTCAAAAAATAAAGAATTAAAAGGCTGGTTTTCATCTAACTAAAGAAAATTGTTTAAACGCATATATTTAAAGCCCCATGGAGTGACTAAACTAGAACACAAAAAGGAAACTCATATATACATATACAAGAACATTTAAACTACAAAAGAAAATTACAAATAAGGCTTTATTGATAACATCCACTTTATTTGGTTGTACAATTCTTTAGGAATTTCTACTTTGCCAGATCATAGTCAGACAAAGGCAAAGTAGAAATTCCAAGAATTGTACACGAACAAATAAAGTGGATGTTATACAAGGCTTTCCACAAATTGAGAGCTGGCCGTTAAATAGTCTGGGGAGAGAGAGAGAGAGAGAGAGAGAGAGAGAGAGAGAGAGAGAGTTAAATCTTACATCATGCACACACTGCTTCTCAACCCCCAAGGCCTTCCTCAAATTCTCCTCTCGCTTTTCGATCTCAGATATTGCAATCAAATGAGCTGCTTGTTCTCTTCTGACAGCATCTTTTGCTTCTGTTAATGACTGCCTGAGTTCTTCATGCCTAGAAGTCCACTCCTTTTTCTCAATCAAGAGCAGCCCCATATTGTATTGGTATTCAAAAAGCTGGACACAGCAGCAGTTAGTCAATCAAAAATAATTTTTAACAAAAACGCCTATCTAAAACAGGAATATGGACTAGAAGCTTGCAAATTGTGCCAATCCAAATAATTTATTGTTAAGTCTACACTTAGAGAGTGGAAAATGGGCTAAAGCACTTTACAACTACAAACTCTATATCTACATCACTCAGATATCACAAGGCAACCAAAAAGAAAGAGGATTTATGAACAAGTACACTACTGCCACAATGATAAAAGTAATACACAGGTTTTCCTTAACCTACTCCCAATGTTTTCCCCAATATAGTATACATTCAATTTTTAAAACAAATCAAGATTATTCCATTACGATTTAATCAGATAGTACCAAACCTTGACTCAAATTTTAACAAACTCCTTTTCTTACTCTTTTAAGCTTAGCATCTACCGACACCAAAATCATCTTAAAACCTATTGGTATTTACGGAAATACTAATAATACAAACTACACAACCGTTGAGACTTAGGAGGTGGTGTTAAATGTTTAATGCTAACGACACAGCAGCACTTCTGAGATGTTAGTTTTAATACTAGTTTTGCAAAACCCTATTGAAGTTGACTTGGGAATTTCTCCTGCAGATGATGGATAAAGGACTAAAATTTTAGGTTGCCATCAAATTATAGAGATGAAATCAAAATGCATAATCAAAAGGATATTTATGTTATTGATTCTATGCAAGACAATTCTCCTAAATCACAAATGCCCATGCCACGAAAAAGAATAAATTCGAATACTTTCTCACTGCCCGATTCTATGCACAAGTTGAACGCCTTCCCCATAAAAACCAAAAAAAAAAAAAAAAAAAAAAAAAAAAAAAAAAAAGAAAAAAACAAAAAATAATATCACAACATATTAGAAACTATGAACATCACCAAAATTCAAAATAAAACTCCACCAACCTCATTTTCGAGCTCTGAAACCCTCTGAGCCAACTCTTCGCGGTCGGTGGCCCCCTCGCCAGACTCCACCTGCATATTCCCACCATTCTCGAGCACTGAACCCGAAGCCGGCGTCCTGGGTTCAAACAAGGAGAGACCTTTCGCCTTCGCAACGACAGCATCCCCAGAGTTGAAGTTCGGAGCCCCGGATTTCATGTTCGAGCCCGACCCAGTTCCGGTCTTCTCAGCCCCAGTTTTGGGTGTGAGAGACCAACCCGACCACCGCTGCGGCGTAAACATCAAAAAACTCTCCACAACAATAATCCCAGAACGACAGATCGTAACTTCAACTTCATAAGCACATGCACGCCAAAGCCAAGTGAGCGATTCGACAAACCCCTAAAATTCAGAAACTGAACCAACTTTCCTCCAGAGGAAAACGCTAATTAAAGCAACGAAAGAGCGTTCAGGAGTGAAAACCCTACCCTGGAACCGATCGGAATTCCGAAATTCCGGCGAATTGAAGTTCGGAATTCGGACGAAAAACAAGAACTTCTACTCAGTAGCCAGTGTCTCTCTATCTGCTTTCAGTCTTTTAGCAGAAACCCTAGTCCGGACGTGAACGGAATTCCCAAATTCCGACGAATAGGAGATTTCAAGTCCGGTAACCTCTTCAAGCACACAGAGACACACTCTCTCTCTCTCTCTCTACAGCCACCTTTGTGTGCTTTGCGAGGAGCACTCACGTTCCTTCTTTTTTTATTTATGGGCCCGCCAGGAATTTCATCTCTTAAAATTATCATTTTACCCTTCGTTTTCCTATGGTTCAATGCGCCACCGCTAGGGTAGTTTCGGAATTTAAACTGGCAGCCTTTATAGAATAAAACGTGGGTGCTCGGTTGTGTTATTGGTTATGACGAATTTGCCCATGGTTGGTAGTGTCCGTTAGGGTGGGTGAAACGGATAAATTGGTAGAGAGGCAGGGGTATTTTGATAAAGTAGGCATGTTCTTATGTTTCCGAGAATATACCATGTACCGAGATGCCACGGTGTTAGAGAGCTGTTAAGTTGGGAAGAAGGGGATTGGGTCTTGAAGATAAGCATTGCTTTGTCGCATGTGGCTTTTGGTCATCATCACGACTCACTCTCTATAAAAGTAAAATAAAAAAGTTTCAAAATAGTATGTTATCCATTCTGAGTCTGGATCTTCTTTGTTTTTTTTTTTCTTTTTCTTTTAAAGATCAAAGATGTCCAACAACTCATACTTAGGCTAATGTAGGATATTGCGTCCTAATTGAGAGCTTACATGCCAAAATTAAAGTTTTCATGTGGAATTTAAAGCATGCATGTACTGAATGGAAGCCTTCAAATATGAAATTGAATCCTTTAGGTCTAATATCAATGTTTGTACTGTAATTGGCCAAGTAACCAACTCAATTGGATCAATCATGTGTCACGTATTTAGAAGCGATTGCACTAGCCAATGGAGTGTTGTCGTGTGTTGCCACCAAAATCAATCTCAATAAGTCTCATATCGAAGTATTGTAAAAATAGAGACTCTCCCTCATTTTAAAAAGGAGATTACTCTCCCGCTTTGGATCTCTCTAAATACTCACTCTTTCGGATCATGGATTTTATTTATCGAAAGGAAGTGATTTTCATTAACCAGAAGCCTTGGTTACAATAAAGCATGGATAAGAGATTCATTGGACTTGCCACAAAAACAAATACCTTTTGGGATTACTTTCCTACTCACAAAATTGACGCAAGTGGGGAGGATATCATGCGAGGCACGCCACAAGAAATGCTTAATTTTATTTGGAATATGGAGGCTCCAAATCAATTTCCAATACAATGCCATATTTGAGCGACATTGGAACCACCAACACCACTACTAAGATTACTGGTTTTCTTCTGCACAGCAACTTGATAACCAGATCGAATAGAATATTTTCCGTTCTTAGTAAAGAACCAAATCTGCTGATATGTACGTGGATTGCAACTTAAAGGGATGCTTTGAATTAACTCCACCTCCTCTAAAAAAACAAACATGACCGTAAAAGAGTAACATTCCAGGCAGAAAGGAGAGGAAATAAAATCACAAACCTTAAAATTCGCTGGCAAAGAAGGAGGTGAATATAGTTTAAAAGTGGATGGTCTGGGTATCCATTTATCATTGTAAACATCAATCATCTTACCATCACCCAGACGCCAATAAAAGCCAGCATCTAATAAATCTCTTCCCCACAAAAATAGAACTATCTAAACAAAAGAAGGAGCTGAACCAAGAGTAGCATGCATGAATCTGAGTTAGGGAAGTAACGCGCCTTAAGCATATGAAAAACAATGGAATCTTGGGTTTGGAGCATCCGTCAAGCCTGTTTACAAACCATAGCTTGATTGCAGCATTCAAAATCCTTCTACTTAAGCCAACACTTGTATCATGTGATCACAACTATTACATTAATGTGAACACCTCTAATTATGTGCATGTAACCTATTCGGGTGCACCACATATATTTGTGCTTGTTTACTCCTTTTTTGTCATCCATCCTAACGTGCTGAAGAAATTAACATGTCGAAGGCCCTCACCTTCCATCTAATCTTGTCGAAGGACCCTAGCAACCAAAAACGTGGAGGATAGAGAAATTGATTGCATGAAGGTAAAAGGGAGAATGGATTGGAGGGATTCTGGGAGCTATCAACATGGAGGAGGTCCGATGCCCAACTCGTAGGCAGAAGAAGAAAGGTGAGACAAAGTTGGAGTCATTTTTAGGCCAAGTTTGGTGTTTTATAGGATGTATTGAATTGGATAACTCATTAGAGTCATGGCTTTTTGAAGGAAAAATGGAGAAAATCTTTCAAGTTTTGTCCAAGTTAAATGTAGAAGGTGGGTTAAGCATTGTTTTTCAGTATGTAGAAGGTGGATAACTTACCATCTTATGGTATCGTGCCACTGAATAAGCATTGTTTTTCAGTATGTATACTGTGGCATGAACCTCAAAACTGGTGGTGTTGCACCCGAAGTGTCTATAAGGCTATATAGAGCTAATCTACATAGTTTGTGCTTATTGCTCCTCCAGGGTCATCATAATAAAATGATTTGAATAGTGAATTTGAGTAACTCTTGTGCTTCAAAACCATTAGTTTCTACCTTGTAGAGGTTGTTGGATGGGAAGTTTCCTTAATCACCTTTCAACTGGATAGGCAGACAAAATCAAATCCTTAATTATTCTAAATCCTTTTGTATTTGGGTTTGAAAGTTTGCCATAATTCTCATATTATTTTGCTATTATGTTACTTTAATTGTTATCTTTTATTGCTGATTTTTTAAGCAAATTGATTCCCAAGCTAAATGACAATGAAATACGAAAAAACAACCTAGGGGAGAAATATAGTCCAAATGTGATTCTATTTATATTTAAAAATATATATTTATGTTAACTATTGAATTTCTTAGTGGAGATATTCTTTTATCTTGTCTCTTCATTAATTTTGACTATGGCCGAAGCTCAATGTGCAATAGCCAACTACTATTAAGGGCTAGTTCGGGATTGCTGCCATTTTTGAAAAAAGTTGCTTCTGGTGTGCTTTAAAATTAATTAGCTGTAAAGTAAAATAGCTACATGTTTGATAAACAATATTTTTAAAGTGCAGTTAGTACAAAAAGTATTGTCAAAACCGTTTGGTAAATTTTAATATAAAAATATTGTAACTGTGAATAATGACTAAATTAATTAGTTTTCATCACTGTTTCTGGTTTTATGCCGTCAGATATGTATAATACTTTAATTACTAAAATTAAATTAAATTGAATAATGCTGTGTTTTCCAAATCTTAGGTTATACATATTTGACATATATTGTTTGGGATTGCTTCAGAAATGATTAAAAGCATTTTTAGACAAATATAAACACTTCTTAGCAAACAAACTTAAAAGTGTTTATAGGAAGGTTCATTTGGGAGTGATTCTGGATAGGTCAAAAAACACTTCTATGGAGAACCACTTCTCTATATAATCACTTTAAGTGGTTTTATGGAGAAATACATGAGAGGTGCTTCTGCCCAGAAACACTTAAAATCACTTAAAGTGATTATGGAGAAGCACATGGGGGGCGTTTCTCAACAGAAGTAATTCTAACCTATGGCTCATTTGAGAATGATTCTAGATGTATCAAAATCACTTTTATAGAGAATCACTTGAAGTGGTTTAAATGATTGTATAAAGCAAGCATGTGTAAGGTACTTCTCCCCATAAGTAATTTTGACTCCCAAACAAACCCTAAGAAGTGTTTTCCACAAGTCACTTCCAAGTACTTCTAAATTTTTTTGACAAAAAAACAAAAAAGAAGTTTTAAATTTTTAATACAAATTTGGATGTAGTTGTAATAACTAAAGATTAAAAGAAAGGGTGATTTTATTAGCACCCCAAAATTTGCTCTTTGCACTCCACATTCTCTTTACACCCCACTGAATTTTAGTAAAATTTAAAATTGCTCACAATACCCCCCCCCCCCCCCCCCCCCCCCCCCCCCCCCCTAGCCTCATAAACCTCAGTTCTTAACTTACCTTGTTTCAGTGGGAGTCCACCGAATTTGTTTTTGTTGTACAGTAGCTATCCACTGAAGGTGTTTCTGTTTTTTCAGTGGTAGTCTACCGAATTTATTTCCGTTTTTCAGTAGTAGTCTACTGAATTCGTTTCTTGTCTCAGTGAATTCGTTTCTTGTTTCAGTGATCATCTACCGAATTCGTTACTGAGTTTGTACTTAATATTATTTTTTTATATGAAGAAGACTCATAGAGGTAAAATTATAAATTTGTTATAACTTCCACTTTTTCAATTTTGTACTTTTTACTAACGCATTGAATTCAAATTCATTACAGGAGCATGACGAGCGTATATTGTCTTTTACTAGGCTGCTCGTGGCATTAGGGGAAACAGTTGCATTATGTACAAGACCTTCCCAAGTTTATCAAGCAGTTGAGACCTTGCAGCAGATTTTAGAGGGTACAAACATACAATCTACCATGACATATCAATGTCGTCATGGTTAACTAACTTGCTAGCATGTGTCTAGTAGAGCTCATGAAGCTTTTGTTGTTTTGATTAGTTATTGCATGTTTGTATTAGAACTCATGGAACTTTGGAACTTTAGAACTCATTCAGACCCTTATGAAGTTTGTCCCACCAAAAAAAGGAATATAAGAAAATAAATAGAATTATTATATTTATAATCTCAATTCAGTAGTGGGTGCATTTTCGTCAGTCATTAGGATGACCATATCTGTAGTAGCTACATTCTCCACTCCCGGAAGTTGTTGAAACGCATTCACAAATGCTTGGCACCTCGAGTACAAATGTGTTACATTGCATATGTCACTTTGTTCATGCCATATTCTAGAAAATGGTGGAATAGGATGATCTAGAGACAAATGAACCGACAAAACAAGAATTCATTGATATACGCATAGCATATAAAATTAAACTATGTAGTGTAAACAAATAAATTCAAACATGGACATAGTGATCATCATCAACAAAACCAATGAAAATCTCATGTAGCTTGGTTTCCCTTGATTGAACTGAGAAAGGAAGAAATGTAACGCATTGACACTTGCTTAGAAGAATTAAAACCACATTATAACATGTGGCGATAATATGCCCTTATCATGCATGGTCATCCAACAAATGGTGCAAAAATCCATTACATATTCTGTTCTAACATTGTTTCTTTCAGTAGGGGCGCCATCTTGTTTTTGTTCTTTCAATGGGAGTAAGGTCAAAATAGATTGCATTAAATTTGTAGTCGATAATAAGTTACTGAAAAAATAAATATATTTTGGTTTGTTGCCACTGAATTGTAGGTAAAAATTCGGTAATATACCACCAAACACCGTTCCATGTTAAGGTGGATCTCCACCGCATATTAAGTTAACGGCTTGTTAAATACAACCGAAATAAGTGCAATGTTTCGGTGGCATCCCACCTAATTTACCCATTGCGTTCGGTTCTAGTGTGCTGAACACAACCAGTGACCATCATGAAATCCTAAACTTCAAAAACGCCAAAATATGAAAAATCGGTTTTAGTGCAAAATACGATTTAGGCTAAAAATGATGGCTCATAAATCAATATATACTTCATAATAAAATCCCATAAAATCAAGTTTTCTTATTTGATGTGTAAGGAATAAAAGCCGCCAACAATTATCTTGAGAAAATGGTTATTCCGAAAAATCATTTTTCATACTTAGTCAAATTTTTACATAAAACAATTTTTCATATATGATATGAATGCATGAGGGGACCTAAGGTCAATCTAGGTAAAAAGCCTTAGATGTTCAATCCACAAAGAGCTCTTAGCCTTTCAAAATTGCACCTTCGTTAAAAAATTTCGGGGTCCGCTAATAGGTACAAGACATATATCCTGTTAAATTACCCACACACTAGATCTTGTTCTTTAATGTAACCAACGACAATAGACTAAACTAGCAAATATTATAAAACTTAGAAACACACAAGAATTATACTGGTTCGGCAGAACTTTTGCCTACGTCCAGTTGTAATTTATCTAGGTACCGCTCCTTTGATTAATAATAGAGATTACAAAACTTTTGCAACCCAAGGATGATTGAATTCCTATTCCTAAGTGGATTAGGAAATTACACTTATCCAAATCCTAATAGACTTCTAGAAATCCAAACCTAAATTGAATAAGGAAAACTGAAATTCTTTCCTAATCCCTCTAGGACAAGAATTGGTATACCTCTAATTTTCCTAAAACAATCATAAACCAAGTAGGACATATTTGACAAGCCAAAATCCTAACAATCTTCACCTTGGTGAGTCAAACCAAGTCTTGATCGTTGCAACCCAGAGTATCTTTGAACCTCCTTGAAGCAACTCTGGAAATCTTCAAGAGTCTTCACCTTGGCAATCTTCTTCTTGCCTCATTGCACCTCAAGTGAGGAGGTGCTCCACTTTAATCAATCAACGAGATTGATCAAGTTCAAGCAATGCTTGAACTTCTTGGCCGACACTATCTTTGTAAGGAAATCTGCGGCATTATCATCCGTATGAATCTTTTCAATCCAAATCTCCTTAAACTCTACCCAATTTCTGATTCTATGATATCTTGCTTCAATGTGCTTTGATCTTCCAGAAAAAACTTGATTCTTTGCCAAGTGAATGACACTTTGACTATCACACTTCAGCTTCACACAATCTTGGGTGATTCCCATTTGACTTACCAAGCCATTAAGCCAAATTGCTTCCTTTCCAACTTTGGCCAATGCAATATACTCTACCTCTGTAGTCGGCAAAGCTGTAATTGGTTGTAGTAGTGCCCTCTAATTGATCGGTCCTCCTGCACATGTAAACACATAACCAGAAGTTGACATTCTCTTATCCAAGTCCCCTGCATAATCAGCATCCACATATCCCAACACCCTTGCATTTTCTTTTGCTTCTCAAACATAATCCTTTGTCGCTAAGAACCCTTCAAATAAAGCAAAATCCACTTAACTGCATCCCAATGTTGCTTTCCTGGATTTGCCATGTATCTGGAAACGACACTGATTGCTTGAGCTATGTCGGGACGTGTGCATACCATTGCATACATAAGGCAGCCCACGACATTAGTATAAGGCACCTTCTCCATTACTTGCTGCTCTTCCTTGGACTTAGGACACTGTTACCACTTAACTTGAAGTAAGCTGCCAAAGGAGTAAAAACTAGCTTTGCTTCTTGCATGTTGAACTTCTCAAGAACCTTTTGAATATACTTGGCTTGTGATATCCAGATCCTTCCAGCAGTCCTATCTCTCTGAATTTCCATGCCAAGGATCTTTTGTGCTGCACCTAGATCCTTCATGTCGAACTCCTCGCTTAACATCTTCTTCAAGTCTTGAATTCTAGACTTGTCTTGACAAGCGATTAACATGTCATTCACATATAGCAATAGCAATATGATTATCCCATCTTGGAATACATGATAGTACATGCAACAGTCATATAAACATCTTCTAAAATTGATTTTCAGCATGAAATAATCAAACCTCTTGTACCATTGTCTTGGAGACTGTTTCAGGCCATACAGGGACTTCCTTAGCTGACATACTAGGTTTTCTTTCCCATATTCAACAAACCTTTCTGGTTGAACCATGAAAATTGTCTCCTCTAGATCCCCATGAAGAAACACTGTCTTCACATCCATCTGCTCAATCTCCATGTCATGCTGAGTTGCCATTGCTAAAAGCAATATGATAGAAGTATGCTTCACTACGGGTGAAAAGATCTCATCATAATCCACAATTTCCTTTTGTGAGTACCCTTTAGCCACGAGCCTTGCTTTGAATCTCATGACTCCTTGTTCATGTAATCCTTCCTTTTTCCTAAATACGTACTTGCATCCAACTAGCTTTCTGTCTTTGGGCTTAGGAACCAATTCCCAAACAGAGTTCTTGTAAAGAGACTCCATTTCTTATGTCATAACAGTTATCCAACTATCTCGCTCATCACTTGCTATAGCTTCTCAATAAGTAGTTGGATCTCCTTGACTAATGTTGAGAGCATAATTAACTTCGTTTTGGTTAAACCCAAACCTATCAGGTTCCTTCTTGTTCCAATTAGGTTTGTCCAGTGCTATGCATCTCTGGAATGTAGGTGGATTGTTGGTTGGAATTTGAACCCTTTGGGATGTCTGGTAGATTAGAGTGCCTTCAATCTGCCCTATTTCTTGCTCCACTTGATTCCTAACTGGTGAACGATGTTGATGCTCTTCTTCTTCCTCAAAACCATCAGATTCGGCATCTTGCTCAATTTGCTCCACCTGAGCTTCTTTTTCATCTGAATTGATTAACAAAATCTTTGTTGCTTTAATTTCAACATTGTCTTTCTTCTCCCTACTGCTCTCGACTTTATTCAGAGGCATGGTTGTCTCATCAAAGACAACATCTCGGTTGACAACCTTTTTCCTGTTGTTAATATCCCAAAGCTTGAAACCCTTCACTCCTTTCTCAAAACCTAAGAATATGCAATGTGTAGACTTTGTTTGAGCTTGGACCTTTCATCACTTGGAATATGTGCGTAAGCACTACAGCCGAATACCCTGAGCTTGGAATAGTCCATTGGCTTCTTAGACCATACCTCTTCTACACTTTTAAAACCTAGAACTGTAGATAGTGATTTGTTAATCAAATAACTTGCATGATTAACAGCCGCTGCCCAAAAACTATCAGGCAATCCTGCATGAAATCGCATGCTCCTCTCTCTCTCTCTCTCTCTCTCTCTCTCCATGAGAGTTTGGTTCATCCTCTCAGAAACTCCATTTTGTTGGGGATTCTTCTTTACTGTGAAGTGTCTTATGATGCCTTCTTGCCTGCAGTAATCGGTGAACTCATTACTTGTATATTCACCTCTATTGTCACTTCTCAGGTACTTGATCTTTCTTCCAGTTTGATTCTCGGTTTTTGTTTTCCATTCCATGAACTTTGCAAAAACCTCGGATTTCTGCTTCATGAAATAAACCCAAACCTTCCTAGAAAGATCATCCATGAAAGTAACAAAATACCTGGCTCTACCATTTGATTTGGTTGGTGCAGGGCCCCAAACATTTGAGTAAATATAGCTAAGTTGCTCCTTGCTTCGATTATCTGCACTGCTACTTGTGAATGATACCTTCCTTTGCTTTCCAAGAACACAATATTCACAAAAGTCCAGTTTGCAAGATGACACGCCTCCAACAGGCCTTGCTTGTGTAATTCTTGCAACCCTTTCTGGCTTATGTGCCCGAGCCTATGATGCCAGAGTTCAGTCTTGTCTTATATATCTTGATTTACAAAACCAGCTGCTCCCCCGACTATGGTGGTCCTAATTAACTTATACAGATTATTGGGTTGTAGGTCACTTTGCATTACCACCAGTGATCCTTTGGCTACCCTGAGTCTTCCCTTTTAGACTTGTACCCATAGCCAGCCCTCATCTAAAGTACCCAAGGAAATCAAATTCTTTTAGTCTAGGGACATATCTAACGTTCCCCAAAACTCGTATCATCTCATCAAACATTCTGATTAGAACAATACCGATTCCTTTTACAGGACATGAAGAATCGTCCCCCATTAAAACTTCCCCGCTGCTGACTTCTTTGTAAGTATCGAACCATTCTCTTACTGCACACATATGAAAAGTGCATCCGGTATCCAAAATCCAATTTGTGAAAGCCTTGGAGCCTGATGTTACTGAAAGAAACTCCCCGTCACTCTCATGCTCAGTGACTGCACTAGCTGAACCTGAGCTTCCTTCCCTCTTGGCTTTCTTCTCTTTCCAAATCTTGCAGTTCCTCTTCCAATGATCGGTTGAACCGCATTCGAAGCAACCTTCCTTCTTTTCCTTTTTCTTCTTGGATTTTGACCTACCTATGTTGCCTATTTTCTCTTCCTTTGTCTTTTCCAGCCCCTTCTCCTTGCCTTTTGCATAAAGGCCTTGAGAGCTTTTAGTTATATCATCTAGTTTAGCATATGACTGAAGAGCTTGAATTACGTCTTCAAGCTTCAGGGACTCTTTTCCAAACATTAGAGTTGTTTGAAAGTGCTTGAAAGACGAAGGTAGAGACCTTAGTAAGATGATAGCCATATCATCATCTTTGTAAGTTTCTTCGACCTATTGAAGATTAGTTATGCGATTCTGGAACCTGCATACGTGATCTTCAATATCACCTCTTTCTTCCAGTCGAAGTCCGAATAGTTCATCCTTTAGAAAAAGTTTATTGGACACGGTTTTGCCCATATAAACATTCTCCAACTTTTCGCATGCTTCTTGGGCAATCATCTTTTCGGTGATGTGTGACCGAACTGATCTTGTGAGATGGATCTCGATGGAACTCTTGGCTTTCTTGAGAACCTTAGTCCATGTTGTGTTTGTCATGCTTGCTGGCTTCTCACCGCTGAGTGCATCATCCAAATCTTGCTGTATCAGTACGTTCTTCATCATCCTTTGCCAGTCCGTGAAGTCATCCTTGCCGTCAAAGGGCTTTAACGCATGTCCTAGATCCGCATTCATCTTTCCTTTAGACATCGTAGAACCCCTTAACCTGGCTCTGATACTAATTGTTAAATTATCCGCACACTAGATCTTGTTCTTTAATGTAACCAACGACAATAGACTAAACTAGCAAATATTAGAAAACTTAGAAACACACAAGAATTATACTGGTTCGCAGAACTTTTGCCTACGTCCAGTTGTGATTTCTCTAGGTAGAGAAATCACCGCTCCTTTGATTAATAATAGAGGTTACAGAACTTTTGCAACCCTAGAACTAATCTCAAAACTCTCGGCTGTCTCTGGCTGTTTTTCCCTACTGTAAAATAAGCCATGCGCACCCTATTTATAGATATAGAGTTGGCTTACATGTCCCAAGGCTAATTGAATTCCTATACCTAAGTGGATTAGGAAATTACACTTATCCAAATCCTAATAGACTTCTAGAAATCCAAAACCTAAATTGAATAAGGAAAACTAAAATTCTTTCCTAATCCCTCTAGGACAAGAATTGATATACCTCTAATTTTCCTAAAACAATCCTAAACCAACTAGGACATATTTGACGAGCCAAAATCCTAACATATCCCCCATAAGGGTCTAGACAAAGAGCAGACGTAAGCTCATGACAATTTGTTTTGCTGTAATCTCTCTATTGGAGTGTGCTCTTTTCTTTTATATTTCATTTTAAAATTTTTTGTTGTAGAGAATAGTAAGAAGCTTGAGTTAAACATGATTTGGTGCTTAACAATACTTTTGAGTTTTTTATTTTAAATTTTTTTTTATTAATAAATTGGTCACACATTTTTCTAGATGCAAAGTTGCATAGTTTTCAACTTGAATTGGCAAAACTTGCGATACAAGAAGCAGAGCTTAAAGTGTTGTGGATAAGGCATCTTATTTTACATGTGACACGTGACCTAATAGAATTTGGTTGTAAATCTTCAAATGTATTATAGTTGTCACTGAATTAAGTCTAATAATGTGATTGCTAAAAGGCCTTGTAGCCAATGTATTAATACACTGAAGTGGAACATGCATCACTGTAGGAAGATGCAGGACAAAGTTCTTTCCCCCTCATATTGGTTGCGCCTATATATGGTTTAACTTCTATATCTGTCCAGTTGCAGGAATTAACAAATAATGCAGCAGAGTATGCTCGGTTATGGATAGAGCAGCATGTCAAGGTAAAATGCTCAGGAATGACATCAATTGAATGAACTCGGAATTTACCTTCCTTTTTGTTTTTCTAATGGGTTATCTCCATAAGTTAAATCTCTTAGTCTTCTATAATAGGTATTTGGATGACCGTTAAGAATATCCTGAATCAGATTTTCCATTATTTTGGGTGAATATTACTGCATGACTAAGATTGTATTTCAATAATGGTTGGAAATGAAAGAATAGTTTTATTAGGTTAAACCTTTTGTTCCACTAAAATGTTTGTCATATTCAGATTTCATCTTTAGGAAGCTTCTGCTTGGAACATTTGAGGAGGATCTTTATCTCCAGATCATCATATCTAATTTACTTGTGACAATTTGTCTTTATTCAAGCCATTAAAATTTTCAGTCTATATGTAATGCCAGTGTACATAAGAATGGTTTCTTCCCCTATTCTTGTGTTCAATATACCTATGTGCCCTTTCGATGTATGATAGTATCTCTTTACAGATCGAAGACGACTTGAGATGCTATTTCTCATCTAACACCTTGTTTGAAATCTCATTTAGAATAGTTTGTATATATATATATATATATATATATCAATGCCATATGGTGACCTTTGATACCTTCAATTTATTTAAAAACTCTTTTCTTCGTTGTCTCATTAGATTGCTTTGTATCCAATTTTTCATTTGCAGAGAATACAACGCGAATTGATATATCTCATAGGAAAAGAGCAGGGTTGTCAAGTGCAATGAGAAAAATGCTTTCATTGGGTTTAGTTCATAATTACGATGGATACATTTTAGAAAGTAAATTCTTACACAAGCAATTTTATACCATGAAAGTCAAGATTCTTTTATCTCCAAAATGTTGGTGGATCCCTATTTTTTGTTGTTGTATTCATTGGTTTAACCCGTATTATTTCTTATAAATAAAATTCATTTTTTATTCAAGCCTAATGGGATAGTTGCTGGAAATCATTAGAATGGGAGGTATTGGAAAGAATTTAAATTCTCATTCCCCAACATCACTGGTATAAATAAAATAATTGAAGAAATAACTATATCCTAATTAGCAAAAGTGGTATTTTAGCCCTAAACCCTAAAATAACATGACAAAATTGTATATTTTCGGCTATACTATTTAAATATATTACTTTAATAGTACAGCCATGCGGCTTCACTCTTTGAATACATCCGAATATTTTAAAGGTATAGCCAATTGGCAATACTCTTTAAATTCATTCAAAACGAACTCGACGCTTGCACTCGCAGTCACACAGCCATTTCGCTTACAAACTTCACAGAGCCTCTCTCTCTCTCTCTCTCTCTCACTTGGTTATTCACATGGAGTTACCACCAGCTATGGACAAGAAAATGGAAGGCGGCTGAAGATAAAGCAAGGGCTACACTGTTTGGATATTATGGTACATAATTGAGATTTCATTTGGATTTATAGGTTTTGCTTTCTGCTATATCCAAGGGGGGAAAAGACAAACACTATACTGAACATTTTGCAGGTCTTAATTTTGCTGTGTATACATTTCCTCCTATTGCTTTGGCTATTATAGGATCATTCTTCTTGAATTTGAAGCCAAGGGAGTCAATAAGAAGGTAGTGCATGTTATTATGTCATTGGGTTATGATCACTCAAGATGCCAGTTTAACTTCTGCTTGTGTGCTTTAATTTTGATAGCGGAAAAGGTTGGAAATTGACTGCTGGCTTCTCAAATCCATTGGTAGTGAACACCTTTCTGGGTGTTTTGTCCACTCTAGAAATACTAGCAGTCTTCCTCTTTATCCTGTTCTTAGCTTGGAATTTTTATGCACGCATCTCAAATGATTTCAAGAACTTGAAGCCTGCTAAATCACTAATGCTGAATTCGTGAGTTCTAAATCCGAAAGTTTTCTATTTCGAACTTTTAGAAACAAGAACTTCATCATGATTGACGCTTAAACTGTATCTCAGATGGCAACTCAAGTACCTAAAGGTGGAAACTCGGTTTGGTTTGCTAGCAGAAGTCTGCCTGGCTTTTCTTCTTTTCCCTATATTAAGAGGTCTGGCCTTATTTCGGTTGCTTGGCATCCAGTTTGAAGCTTCTGTAAGACACTATTTATGGCTTGGGACTGCTATGATATTTTTTGCCACTTTCCATGGTGCAAGCACTTTGTTCATTTGGGGGGTCAGCCACTTTATCCAGGAGGAGGTAAATCCTAGTCCTTTTTCATTTGGATCATTTCAATCATTTGGTTTTCTGTTCGGTGTTAACTCTGCTGTATTATTTTGGTATTGGCATTATTTAGTTTTGCTGATCTTTTTGGTGCAATTCATTCAATCACAGCTATGGGAATGGCAGAAAACCGGGCGGATATACCTTGCCGGGGAGATCTGTCTGGTCACAGGGTTAGTGATTTGGATCACATAATTTCCTCAAATAAGGAGAAAACAGTTTGAAATATTTTACTACACACACCGTCTCTACATGGTTTTTCTGGTATTCTTCTTGTTTCATGCTGGAGACCGTCACTTCTACATGGTTTTCCTTTTCCCTGGAATTTTTCTGTTTGGCCTTGACAAGCTCCTTCTGATCATACAATCTAGACGCGAAACATGCATTCTTTCAGCACGAATCTTCCCCTCCAAAGCTATAGAGCTTATTCTACCAAAAGATCCAGGTAATTTTTCTAGACCTTGTTTACTAACCCGAAGTTTTCTAAAATTGGAGAAATCATATGAAACATCACATTCCACTAATTGCAGGGCCCAAGTATACACCAACAAGCATTATATTTGTGAAGGTACCAAGTATATCCAAATATGAGTGGCACTCATTTAGCATTACTTCCAGCTCTAGGGTTGATGACAACACAATATCTATAATGATCAAATCCGAAGGATCGTGGACAAGTTCTCTCTCCCATATGATCCAAACTAGGCAAGAGTCGGATGGCGATCAGAAGAAGTACATACCTATTGCAGTAGAAGGCCCTTATGGACCTGTCTCTATGGACTTCTTAAGGTGCATAAAAAATTAACTTTTCATTATAGAATATATATTGTTAAACTGCTCAGTGATGATCAATTAGCATCTCAAAATCTGGTGAACTTGAATTTGAAATCTTGTGCAGATATGATAGTCTACTTGTTGTTTCTGGTGGAATTGGAATAACCCCAGTTCTGAGCATCATACAGGAACTTTCTTCGTCCCAAAACCGCGGCATAAACAAATTCCTACCAAGAATGCAGCTTATATATGTTGTGAAGAAGTCCCAAGACATTTGTCTGTTGAACTCAATCTCACCTCTAATATTTGGCCAGCCAGCAGAAAAATGCCTTCTGAAAGTTAAAGTCTTTGTGACCCAAGAAGAGCAGTCTGATGCAACAGTAAGAGAACTAGTAAACGAGTTTTCTCAAGTGCAAACAGTGAACTTTGGCACAAAGTTCTTGAATTTTTCAATTAGTGAACTCGAAAACTCACTTTGGATGGCTGCCATAGCTGGAATTTCCTCTATCCTGTTTCTCATCTTTCTCATTATGTTCAACCACATTTTTGTTCCCTCCGAGAAAAATCTCACCAAGGAGAAGACTCCATCTTGGGTTGCAGATCTTCTTATCATATCTTCCTTCATTCTGGCATTAATTTGCAGCATCTTTGTCGCCCTTGTTATAAGATGGAGAAGGCTAAAGAAACAGATTCCTCCTACCCTCCAAAAACAAAGCAAAGCTTTAGAAAAAAGGGTCAGCACAAGCAAGTGATGCTTTGAAAATGGTACTTAGGTGACGAGGGGTAAACTTAATCACACAAACAAGACACAACAACACAGCAAGCTTCACACACTTTAATCCTTGACCAAATACACATATGACTAGTCAACTACTAGTCAAGAAACAATCACAACCAATAGAATACACAGAGCATGCCACAATGTACCTGCAATCCTAGAAGATTACTAGTGACAACCTAGGCACTCAGAAGGACCCGTCAATCTAGGCATCCCCTGTGCTAGCAACAACTATGGTAAAAGTGTGTGAAATCATCATTATCATGTAAACATCAAACAGCAGATACAGATGACTAGTCAACCACCAAGAACACAAACCCAGAAAAATTACAGATATGCAAAACAGATTTTGTTCACCCAGAAACCCACCATTGGGAAAAACTGGGAGTCATCAACCGACCAGGCAATCCACTAAGTAGAAAAAGATTCTTACAAAGGAAACACAACCAAGCTCAAGAAGCACCCAGGTCTATTTAGGAATATGAGCAATACCTCCTTTGTGCAATCTTCTTCTCCAACTTAGCAAAGCTTGAAGCTCAGTCCTTCATGGCAATGGCAGCTCCTTCTCCAGCTCGTTCATCCCATGGCACTAGCTTGCAAGCTCCAACACAAACCGAAACCAATTTGGATTCAAAGGAGAAAGACCAATTTCTTCAAGAAACCATACTCTTGAAGAAATCAATCTTGAATCTGACCTAGATATAAATGATAGAATGATTTAAATAGCTAGATGCAGATTTGTGTTTCAAATGCAGTTTTTCAAAAAGAAATCAATTGGAAAAACTCATAGATGAAATAAGATGGTTCTCTCGTGGAAAAAGAAGCGAAAGATGGCAAGCCAAACTTTCCAAAACTTCCACACGAAAGAGACGACAGCCAAATGAGAAATATCGTGGGCTATACAGACCAACAAATTCGTTAGGTCAGCAAACCCACTTGGCAGCAGAGAGAGAGAAAGAAGAATAGGACAAAACAGTTTGTTATCCAGCTGGAGGCAAGGATGACTAGTCATATGAGAAACGGTTGACTAGTCATCTTTTTATGAAGACTGTTTTATGTAATGATATGCAATGCTCAATACCTTTGTCAACTTGCTTGAGCCACCATAGAGCAGAGATTAGAGAAGAGCACCAATAAAAGTTTTCCCTAATCTAGACTTGAGCTTGATAAATTACATTACACATCCTATTACAAAGTTGTCAAGGGAAGCCAAAAGAAAATAGTAAAAACCATACATTAACAATCTCCCCCTTTTTGGCTTTCCTTGACAACACACTCTCTAAGAACACTCAACCCAAAACCGAGACTAAGGAGATGATGTAGTGAAGGTACCTGCAAGAACAACCAATCTTCCCAGCACAAAAACAAGCATATTATCACAGAAATTTTAAAAAACAATATGCAATGTGGGGTTGAGAGTGTTCTCCCCCTTGTTGATAAGGAAAGTGCAAAAAGGCAGAGAGAGATAGAAACATCAGATAAAAGGGATTAACCACAAAGTGATAGGCATATAGGAACAAGGATAACAGCACATGTTCATAGATGGATGACTAGTCAACCAACAATAGTTTAAAAACAGTACAGACCATAGAGTTATGACTAGTCAAATACCAGTTGTTCAAAATAGGACAGAACAACTTCCCCTATCACAATGCATAGACTACCCACAATGTGTTTACAAAAACAATCCCTCCTAGCAAAATGCACAGACTACTCACAATGAGATTACAAAAACACCTCCCCTTTTCAAAATGCACAACCTATCTAGACGTAATCTTCCTATCTAGGACACAGCCAAGAGCAACACCAAGCTAAAAGATCAAAGAACCACCAGAATCCACAGAGTCATCCGAGTCCTCATCAGTGGCAGGAGCAGGCTGAGGATCTGCAGCAGCAGCAGCAGCAGGAGGTGCCGGAGTCGAAGTGGATGGAATGAGGCTCAAAAGATGTTGAATATACTCCTCCTTGGCAGCCAACTGAGCTTTGAGAGAGGCATTCTCAGAGGAAGACGACACAGAAGTGAGAAAGGTCCTGGAAACTCTCTGGCTAAAGGTAGCAGAGGCCTTGCCATAAGGAGCAATGGGGGGATGCCACTGATCGGAATCAAGAAATGCCACCCCCATTTTTCTCACAAAGGCGCTGAATCAGACAGGGGAACACAAGAGTCCCCTTGTGCTTGGTACCATGACCAATGGTTTTCCCAAGAATGGAATTATATAGGATATCACCAAGGGGAATTTTATCATGATTCACCATGGATATCATGAGTTGGCAGGCAGCAAGAGTGGGATTAGAATTGTTCCCAGTGGGGAGAACATTATGACGGATAAAATCCCACAAAAATTTATAAAAAGGGGACAGGTAAGACTTGATAGGCAGACCTTTAGAGGTCAAAGGCAAAGATTGATCAGTGTATGCCATGGATTTAAACAGATCAACAGAGTATTCAGCAGAAGCAAGAGCAAATTTTGCAAAATCAAAACCAGGGCATGATCGAAAACCTAAGACCCGATTGATAACAGATGGTTTTCAGAGTAATGGGTACTGACCTAACCAAAATCTGATACTTTTGAATCCTTAGGGTCAGCAGAAAAGTTAGAGTAAAATTCTTGAACAACAGGAATGTTAAACTTACTAGAGAGAGAATTTAGGGCTTGAAGGTGGTAGTGCTCCAAAAATCTGATTTGCAGACTCTTGAGCCGCCAAGGGGAACAACATCAAACTGGTAATACCTCTCAGGAATGAATTTCTCTTTGAGACAACCTCATTAAAGAAGGAGGCAGCCTCATTAGACACAAAAGGAGAAGAATCTCCAACAGGAACAGAGGAAGAAGAACGGGTTCGAGGAACCCTAGGAATTGACGGATTGAAATCCACCCTGTCAGTGGATTTTGATTTGGAGCGACGGTGGTAAGTGTGGAGAGGCTTGGAGGAAGACATGGTCAGCAGCGGGAAGAAATTTGGAAGAGAAAACAAATGGAAGAAGGGGCGAAGAGACCAGAACAGAGTGAGCGGGGAGAGAAAAAATCTGAAATGGAAGACTGACGAGAACAGAGAGAGAGAGATAAGAGGCAAGCGAAACTGACGAAGAAGGGGAATAAAAGACCTAAAAAGGAAAAAAGGCGCAAACGACACGACCTAAAAAAAAGAACCGCTCAGAACCAAAAATGGAAAAAAAATAACCGCCAAAACGAAAAATGAAAAAGAACGCATTGGTTAGGAAACAAAGCAGATGACTAGTCAACCACAAGCAAGATGACTAGTCAACCCAGGCACTATTGGCACAGGCAGAGCCGGATGACTAGTCAATCACAAATATGATGACTAGTCAACCACAATATGATGACCAGTCAACTAAGGCAATATGAGAAAGAACAGCAAGGCAAACCACCCAGATGACTAGGCAACCATAAGCATAGATGACTAGGCAACTAAACCAGCATTATGACAAACACCAAATAATATCGACCCTGTGAAAGACATGATTTTGGTTCTTTTTTTTTATTTGATTATTTTTAAATTATAAGCATGAACCAGCACATATATCAAGTGACCAAGGTGGCATTAGCACAATAGTCTAACCAAGTCTTCAACACATGAAGAAAAGAGAATGAAAAAGAGGAGTAGTTTAAAACCATATGCAGTGTACATAGACAATCAACTCTGAGAGACACGCAATGAGATGCAATTCATGCTCAGAGACAAGGCATATTTAGGAAAGAAGGAGGTTTAGAGCCAAGGGACACAAGAGATGATATCTAATCTCTCTTGGAGAGACACGTATACACTGCATTCTTAAGACATGATCATAGTATGGGCTCACAGCAAAAATCAGCACTCTCTATTGACAAAATATTTGATGATTGATTTTGTGGTACTTGCACATCCCGAACATAAGTGCTTTGAATGGCCCAATTTTACGGCTCTTTGCTCTAGATTCTTCAATCAAACCACCTTATACCTTCCTAGAGCCGTGACTACATTGGTCACACTTCCCTTTTTTTTTTTTTGTTTTTTTTTTTTTTTAAATTTGAAATAGATTGGCTAAGAGAGTGAGACCAGCTAAGAGAGAATAACAAGAACAGTCCAAAATGAAGCCGAGATACATGGCTCACCAAGAGGACAAGATAGCAAGATTTTGGTCTCAACTAACAGCTCAAAAACAAGAAAAAGGGATTATGCACAAGTCAAACAAAGCACAAAAACATTCAGCATGCACACCAGCAGAGATGAGTGATATGAACAGTGACATATTGGACTAGGCAACTTACAAGCAAGATGACTAGTCAACTGTTTGGAAGTGTGCTGAAGACAAGGAGCAGACTAGCTAATCAATCAATGGAACAAAGGCCAATGGATTGCCTCAGTGTACCATGTTTCTGAAAGTCCAAGGCCTTGGTGAGTATATCTGCTAGCTGTTTTTCAGAGGGAACAAATTCCAAAGATAAAATTTTGTCTTCCACAAGATCTCTAATAAAATGGGGCCGAATGTCGATATGCTTAGTCCTAGAGTGTTGAACAGGATTTTTTGAAATATCTATGGCACTCATGTTGTCACAATAGATTAGAAAACATGATTGAGCAAGACCATAGTCTTCCAACATTTGTCGCATCCAAAGGAGTTGAGTACAACAACTCCCAGCGGCAACATACTCTGCTTCAGCAGTGGATAAGGAGACAGAATTCTGTTTTTTGCTATGCCAAGCAACAAGATTGTTGCCTACATAGAAAACCCCCCGGAAGTGCTTTTCCTATCATCACTACAACCTGCCCAATCGGCATCACTATACCCAACAAGATTGACACAAGTGTCATAGGTATACCACAACCCAAACTCACTAGTCCCACTCACATATTTTATAATTCTCTTAACAGCAAACAAGTGAGACTCTTTTGGGTCACTTTGAAACCGAGCACATACACCAACACTAAAAGAAATGTCAGGTCTACTAGCAGTCAAGTAGAGAAGACTTCCTATCATGCTTCTATAGAGAGTTTGATCCACACTTTTGCCATGCAAGTCTCTATGAATCTTAGCACTAGTGCTCATTGGAGTTCTTGCAGATTTGGCTCCTTCCAACCCAAATTTTGTCACAAGATTTTTTGCATATTTAGATTGGGATACAAAGATCCCATCATGGCTCTGTTTAATTTGGAGACCTAAGAAATAATTAAGCTCACCGACAAGACTCATTTCAAATTCACTAGTCATGACATGAATAAAATCTTGAACATGCAAATCAGAGGTAGAACCAACCACAATATCATCAACATACACTTGAGCAATCAAGACATCCTTTTTAAACCTTTTCACAAACAATGTTTTATCAACGGACCCTCGAACATACCCATTTCCTAGAAGATGAGAGGATAACCTCTCATACCATGCTCTAGGAGCTTGTTTCAAACCATAGAGAGCCTTTTTTAACCGAAACACATCATTTGGATGATGTGGATCTTCAAAACCCTTTGGCTGCTCAACATAGACCTCTTCATTTAGGACACCATTCAAGAAGGCAGTTTTGACATCCATTTGATAAAGTTTAAATTTCAAATGACAAGCAATGGCAAGAAGCAATCTAACTGATTCTAAACGTGCAACAGGGGCAAAAGTTTCATCAAAGTCAATGCCTTCCATTTGAGTGTATCCTTGAGCAACCAATCTAGCCTTATTTCTCACCACATTACCTTGTTCATCGGTTTTATTCTTGAAAATCCACTTAGTGCCTATGACATTTGTGTGGACTGGTCTTGGAACAAGGTACCAAACATCATTTCTCACAAATTGATTTAATTCTTCCTGCATTGCAAGAAACCATTCACCATGGTGCAAGGCTTCTTTTACATTTCTAGGCTCTTCCTTGGAAACATAACACACATGGCTAATTTCTTGAGCAAGTTGTTTCCTAGTTCTCACTCCCTGATTAAGAGGGCCAATAATGACACTCGCAGATGGAATGAGAGAACTATGATCAGTATGAGAGCTGTTGGCCTGGACAGAGGAGATGGAACTAGAAGTTGAAGGGGTTGACAGGTCAACCGGGACAGAATTTTCAAAAGTTGACAGGTCAACCACAAGATCCAGACCTGGAGATTCTTGCACAAGTGGAGGAGGAGGAAAAAGACCATCCTCATCTAATGCCATCTCTATAGAGGCAGCAAAATCATCAATAGTGACATTTATGGATTCAATGATGGTTCTGGACCTACAATTGTACACTCTATAGGCTCGGCTAGAAGTGGAATACCCTAGAAAGATTCCCTTATCACACTTAGAATCAAACTTAGCAAGATGCTCCCTATCTCTCAAAATATAGCATGTGCTACCAAAGACCTTAAAATATGACACATTAGGCTTCTTTCCTTTCCAAATCTCATAGGGAGTTTGTTTGGTACTAGACCTCACAAATACCCTGTTTGAGATGTAACAAGCTGTATTGACAGCTTTAGCCCAAAAGTGTTTAGCAAGATTTTTGCTATTTAGCATCACCCTTGCCATCTCTACAAGCACTCTATTCTTTCTCTCCACAACACCATTTTGCTGAGGTGTAATAGGTGCAGAGAACTCATGTTTAATTCCCATCTCTTCGCAAAATTTCAGAAACTGAGAATTCTCGAATTCAGAGCCATGGTCTGTTCTAATTCTAACAAGAGGCAGATGACTGGTCATCTTCTCTTTTTGCAAAAGATGACAAACAGACTTAAACCTTTGAAAAGTTTCAGATTTCTCACGTAGAAATGAGACCCAAGTAAACCTAGAGAAATCATCAACCATGACAAGAATATATTTCTTTCCACCAAGGGACACGGTTTGAATAGGACCAACAAGGTCCATGTGAACAAGTTCTAGAATTATATTTGTTTGAATGTGTTTGACCTTTTTGTGTGACACTCTGACTTGTTTGCCTAATTGACATCCTTCACAAACATGCTCATCAGATTTTTCCAGCTTTGGTAAGCCACTTACTAGCTCTCTCTTGGGCAATTTATGTAAGTCTCTAAAATTAACATGTCCAAGCCTTTGATGCCACAAAATACTAGTTTCATTTACAACCTTGTTGCAAACTATTTCTTTTGCATCGTTGACACCATCAATGCAGAAGCAATTGTCCCTAGACCTTGCCACGCTCACAATCTCATTTCCACAACAATCTCATTTCCACCTTTTCCAATGATTTTGCAGCCATGCTTGGAGAATCTGACTTCTACTATTCCATCATCACACAGCTGACTCACACTAATGAGATTGGATGTGAGACCCTCAACAAATCTAACATTCTTAAGCTTGGGCAGACCAGGGATACAAACAGTACCTTTTCCAACAACTTGAGATCTATGACCTCCACCAAAAGTCACAGTGCCTCCATCAAAGGGGCTGAGAGATGAGAAAACATTTTTATCTCCAGACATATGTTTGGAACAACCACTATCAAAATACCAAGAGTTGATATTTGAAGCAGCAAAAGCATTTAGCACAACAAGAGATTTGGTATGACCTCTTGCAATCCAAGTAGACTTAGGCACAATAGGAGAACTCATTTTGAGGGAGACAAGTTTGGCTATCTTAGTGACCTCATTCAGTAAATGATCAACTTGATCTTGCAAAGATCTGGGATTCCTTTTAGATTTTGGAGACAATTTTCTGGTCTTATCTTTGCTATACATATGACAGACTGGTCGAATATGACCAGTCAACCCACACCTGTGACAAGTTGGAACAAACTTAGGTTTCTTGACAACCGGCTGAACATCAAGAGGAATCGTGACTGGATTTTCTGATTTGACAAACTTAGTGGTAGAACTAGACAAACTAGAACCAAAGTGATTAAATCCAAGACCACCTTTGTCCCCATGAAGTTTTCCCATATTCAACATTTTGTCAATTTTTGATGCACCAATGGTCATAGATATAATCTTCCTATTTGCTTCATTCAATTCACCTAGGAGCTGTTTGTTTGAGTTCTGGAAACCAATGTTACTTTCCTTGAGCACATTAACTTGGTTCTCGAGGTTACTCCTAATTGACACAAGAGCATCAATTTCTTTTTCTAGAGACTCAAATTTGTCACTCACTCCTTTTTGGTTTCTTTTAAGATGAGAATTTCATGTTGAAGATCTTGTTTATTTGCCTCAAGTTTGAGGCTCTCTTCTTTCAAGGACAAGGTCTCTTTAAACAAACAATCATATTTCTTCCTAATGACTCGTATGACAGGTCATCTGACTCAGAATCAGATTCATCAGACATGGGCTGTACAGAGGCAACAAAGGCAACATGTTGGTCATCATCATCAGAGGAAGATGAATCATCTTGAGAGCCTTCACTTTCACTCTCACTCCAGCTCACTTTCATGGCCTTGTCCTTTCCTTTGGAGTATTTTTTCTGATTGTTTGCACAGTCAGCAGCATAGTGTCCAATGCCTCCACATGTGAAGCACTTGACAGATTTTCTAAAATCTTTCGTGAAAGGTTTGACATCCTTATTCCTCTCATTAAACCGATCAGTTGATGGTCTAAAATTTTTCTCACTACCGGAGCTGCCCTCTCTAGCAAACTTTCCCTTATCCTTAAGAATTCTCCTAAATTTTTTGACAAACAAGGTCATCTCATCCTCAAAACCTGAGGATTTATCACCACCTTTCAGAGAGGAAACATGCACTCCTTGAAGTGCAACATTTTTTGATTTTTTGGAGTCATTTTCTTCCATATTCAATTCCATCTCATAGGTTTTCAATTTTCCTACAAGCTTGCCAAGCTTGATTTCATTTAAATTTTGGACCTCCATGATTGCAGTTTTCTTTGCTCTAAACCTAGATGGTAGAACACGAAGAATTTTCTGAACAACAAGAAGCTCTTCAATGGGTTGACCTAGACTCATGGCTTCATTTGTGATCATCTCAACTCTTCCATAGAACTCAGAAATAGACTCAGTTTCGGACATCCTAAGTTCTTTAAATTGTGCAAGCACCATCTGAAGTTTTAGGGTTCTAACTTGGTCATCCCCTTCATGAACCACCCTTAGTTTATCCCAAGCTTGTTTAGCATTAGGGATGTGTTGTATATGTGCAAATTGTGTGCTAGACAAAGCTGTAACTAAGGCATTTCTGGCCTTCTTGTTCGAATATGCAGCAAACACCTCAGATTCAGTCCATTCTGACCTAGGCTTGGGCACAACCTCACCCTCAACAGTCTTAACCGGAGCAACCCACTCTTTTGTGAGATACCCACTTGCATACTCATCAAGAGCATCAAGGAATATCTCAAATTTTTCTCTCCATGCAGCATAGTTATTGCCGTCAAAATAGGGAGGGGAGTTGCAAGATCCAGCAACTCGATCCCTTTCCATAGTAAGCACACCTAAACACCAAAACAAATCCTAGGATCTCTCTATTTTTGTTAAGAGCTGACGCTCTGATACCAATTGAAAATGGTACTTAGGTGACGAGGGGTAAACTTAATCACACAAACAAGACACAACAACACAGCAAGCTTCACACACTTTAATCCTTGACCAAATACACATATGACTAGTCAACTACTAGTCAAGAAACAATCACAACCAATAGAATACACAGAGCATGCCACAATGTACCTGCAATCCTAGAAGATTACTAGTGACAACCTAGGCACTCAGAAGGACCCGTCAATCTAGGCATCCCCTGTGCTAGCAACAACTATGGTGAAAGCGTGTGAAATCATCATTATCATGTAAACATCAAACAGCAGATACAGATGACTAGTCAACCACCAAGAACACAAATCCAGAAAAATTACAGATATGCAAAACAGATTTTGTTCACCCAGAAACCCACCATTGGGAAAAACTGGGAGTCATCAACCGACCAGGCAATCCATTAAGTAGAAAAAGATTCTTACAAAGGAAACACAACCAAGCTCAAGAAGCACCCAGGTCTATTTAGGAATATGAGCAATACCTCCTTTGTGCAATCTTCTTCTCCAACTTAGCAAAGCTTGAAGCTCAGTCCTTCATGGCAATGGCAGCTCCTTCTCCAGCTCGTTCATCCTATGGCACTAGCTTGCAAGCTCCAACACAAACCGAAACCAATTTGGATTCAAAGGAGAAAGACCAATTTCTTCAAGAAACCATACTCTTGAAGAAATCAATCTTGAATCTGACCTAGATATAAATGATAGAATGATTTAAATAGCTAGATGCAGATTTGTGTTTCAAATGCAGTTTTTCAAAAAGAAATCAATTGGAAAACCTCATAGATGAAATAAGATGGTTCTCTCGTGGAAGAAGAAGCGAAAGATGGCAAGCCAAACTTTCCAAAACTTCCACACTAAAGAGACGACAGCCAAATGAGAAATATTGTGGGCTATACAGACCAACAAATTCGTTAGGTCAGCAAACCCACTTGGCAGCAGAGAGAGAGAAAGAAGAATAGGACAAAACAGTTTGTTATCCAGCTGGAGGCAAGGATGACTAGTCATATGAGAAACGGTTGACTAGTCATCTTTTTATGAAGACTGTTTTATGTAATGATATGCAATGCTCAATACCTTTGTCAACTTGCTTGAGCCACCATAGAGCAGAGATTAGAGAAGAGCACCAATAAAAGTTTTCCCTAATCTAGACTTGAGCTTGATAAATTACATTACACATCCTATTACAAAGTTGTCAAGGGAAGCCAAAAGAAAATAGTAAAAACCATACATTAACAATCTCCCCCTTTTTGGCTTTCCTTGACAACACACTCTCTAAGAACACTCAACCCAAAACCGAGACTAAGGAGATGATGTAGTGAAGGTACCTGCAAGAACAACCAATCTTCCCAGCACAAAAACAAGCATATTATCACAGAAATTGTTAAAAAACAATATGCAATGTGGGGTTGAGAGTGTTCTCCCCCTTGTTGATAAGGAAAGTGCAAAAAGGCAGAGAGATAGAAACATCAGATAAAAGGGATTAACCACAAAGTGATAGGCATATAGGAACAAGGATAACAGCACATGTTCATAGATGGATGACTAGTCAACCAACAATAGTTTAAAAACAGTACAGACCATAGAGTTATGACTAGTCAAATACCAGTTGTTCAAAATAGGACAGAACAACTCCCCCTATCACAATGCATAGACTACCCACAATGTGTTTACAAAAACAATCCCTCCTAGCAAAATGCACAGACTACTCACAATGAGATTACAAAACACCTCCCCTTTTCAAAATGCACAACCTATCTAGACGTAATCTTCCTATCTAGGACACAGCCAAGAGCAACACCAAGCTAAAAGATCAAAGAACCACCAGAATCCACAGAGTCATCCGAGTCCTCATCAGTGGCAGGAGCAGGCTGAGGATCTGCAGCAGCAGCAGCAGCAGGAGGTGCCGGAGTCGAAGTGGATGGAATGAGGCTCAAAAGATGTTGAATATACTCCTCCTTGGCAGCCAACTGAGCTTTGAGAGAGGCATTCTCAGAGGAAGACGACACAGAAGTGAGAAATGTCCTGGAAACTCTCTGGCTAAAGGTAGCAGAGGCCTTGCCATAAGGAGCAATGGGGGGATGCCACTGATCGGAATCAAGAAATGCCACCCCATTTTTCTCACAAAGGCGCTGAATCAGACAGGGGAACACAAGAGTCCCCTTGTGCTTGGTACCATGACCAATGGTTTTCCCAAGAATGGAATTATATAGGATATCACCAAGGGGAATTTTATCATGATTCACCATGGATATCATGAGTTGGCAGGCAGCAAGAGTGGGATTAGAATTGTTCCCAGTGGGGAGAACATTATGACGGATAAAATCCCACAAAAATTTATAAAAAGGGGACAGGTAAGACTTGATAGGCAGACCTTTAGAGGTCAAAGGCAAAGATTGATCAGTGTATGCCATGGATTTAAACAGATCAACAGAGTATTCAGCAGAAGCAAGAGCAAATTTTGCAAAATCAAAACCAGGGCATGATCGAAAACCTAAGACTCGATTGATAACAGATGGTTTCAGAGTAATGGGTACTGACCTAACCAAAATCTGATACTTTTGAATCCTTAGGGTCAGCAGAAAAGTTAGAGTAAAATTCTTGAACAACAGGAATGTTAAACTTACTAGAGAGAGAATTTAGGGCTTGAAGGTGGTAGTGCTCCAAAATCTGATTTGCAGACTCTTGAGCCGCCAAGGGAACAGCATCAAACTGGTAATACCTCTCAGGAATGAATTTTCTCTTTGAGACAACCTCATTAAAGAAGGAGGCAGCCTCATTAGACACAAAAGGAGAAGAATCTCTAACAGGAACAGAGGAAGAAGAACGGGTTCGAGGAACCCTAGGAATTGACGGATTGAAATCCACCCTGTCAGTGGATTTTGATTTGGAGCGACGGTGGTAAGTGTGGAGAGGCTTGGAGGAAGACATGGTCAGCAGCGGGAAGAAATTTGGAAGAGAAAACAAATGGAAGAAGGGGCGAAGAGACCAGAACAGAGTGAGCGGGAGAGAAAAAATCTGAAATGGAAGACTGACGAGAACAGAGAGAGAGAGATAAGAGGCAAGCGAAACTGACGAAGAAGGGAAAATAAAAGACCTAAAAAGGAAAAAAGGCGCAAACGACACGACCTAAAAAAAAAGAACCGCTCAGAACCAAAAATGGAAAAAAAATAACCGCCAAAACGAAAAATGAAAAAGAACGCATTGGTTAGGAAACAAAGCAGATGACTAGTCAACCACAAGCAAGATGACTAGTCAACCCAGGCAATATTGGCACAGGCAGAGCCGGATGACTAGTCAATCACAAATATGATGACTAGTCAACCACAATATGATGACCAGTCAACTAAGGCAATATGAGAAAGAACAGCAAGGCAAACCACCCAGATGACTAGGCAACCATAAGCATAGATGACTAGGCAACTAAACCAGCATTATGACAAACACCAAATAATATCGACCCTGTGAAAGACATGATTTTGGTTCTTTTTTTTTATTTGATTATTTTTAAATTATAAGCATGAACCAGCACATATATCAAGTGACCAAGGTGGCATTAGCACAATAGTCTAACCAAGTCTTCAACACATGAAGAAAAGAGAATGAAAAAGAGGAGTAGTTTAAAACATATGCAGTGTACATAGACAATCAACTCTGAGAGACACGCAATGAGATGCAATTCATGCTCAGAGACAAGGCATATTTAGGAAAGAAGGAGGTTTAGAGCCAAGGGACACAAGAGATGATATCTAATCTCTCTTGGAGAGACACGTATACACTGCATTCTTAAGACATGATCATAGTATGGGCTCACAGCAAAAAATCAGCACTCTCTATTGACAAAATATTTGATGATTGATTTTGTGGTACTTGCACATCCCGAACATAAGTGCTTTGAATGGCCCAATTTTACGGCTCTTTGCTCTAGATTCTTCAATCAAACCACCTTATACCTTCCTAGAGCCGTGACTACATTGGTCACACTTCCTTTTTTTTTTTTGTTTTTTTTTTTTTTAAATTTGAAATAGATTGGCTAAGAGAGTGAGACCAGCTAAGAGAGAATAACAAGAACAGTCCAAAATGAAGCCGAGATACATGGCTCACCAAGAGGACAAGATAGCAAGATTTTGGTCTCAACTAACAGCTCAAAAACAAGAAAAAGGGATTATGCACAAGTCAAACAAAGCACAAAAACATTCAGCATGCACACCAGCAGAGATGAGTGATATGAACAGTGACATATTGGACTAGGCAACTTACAAGCAAGATGACTAGTCAACTGTTTGGAAGTGTGCTGAAGACAAGGAGCAGACTAGCTAATCAATCAATGGAACAAAGGCCAATGGATTGCCTCAGTGTACCATGTTTCTGAAAGTCCAAGGCCTTGGTGAGTATATCTGCTAGCTGTTTTTCAGAGGGAACAAATTCCAAAGATAAAATTTTGTCTTCCACAAGATCTCTAATAAAATGGGGCCGAATGTCGATATGCTTAGTCCTAGAGTGTTGAACAGGATTTTTTGAAATATCTATGGCACTCATGTTGTCACAATAGATTAGAAAACATGATTGAGCAAGACCATAGTCTTCCAACATTTGTCGCATCCAAAGGAGTTGAGTACAACAACTCCCAGCGGCAACATACTCTGCTTCAGCAGTGGATAAGGAGACAGAATTCTGTTTTTTGCTATGCCAAGCAACAAGATTGTTGCCTACATAGAAAACCCCCCCGGAAGTGCTTTTCCTATCATCACTACAACCTGCCCAATCGGCATCACTATACCCAACAAGATTGACACAAGTGTCATAGGTATACCACAACCCAAACTCACTAGTCCCACTCACATATTTTATAATTCTCTTAACAGCAAACAAGTGAGACTCTTTTGGGTCACTTTGAAACCGAGCACATACACCAACACTAAAAGAAATGTCAGGTCTACTAGCAGTCAAGTAGAGAAGACTTCCTATCATGCTTCTATAGAGAGTTTGATCCACACTTTTGCCATGCAAGTCTCTATGAATCTTAGCACTAGTGCTCATTGGAGTTCTTGCAGATTTGGCTCCTTCCAAACCCAAATTTTGTCACAAGATTTTTTGCATATTTAGATTGGGATACAAAGATCCCATCATGGCTCTGTTTAATTTGGAGACCTAAGAAATAATTAAGCTCACCGACAAGACTCATTTCAAATTCACTAGTCATGACATGAATAAAATCTTGAACATGCAAATCAGAGGTAGAACCAACCACAATATCATCAACATACACTTGAGCAATCAAGACATCCTTTTTAAACCTTTTCACAAACAATGTTTTATCAACGGACCCTCGAACATACCCATTTCCTAGAAGATGAGAGGATAACCTCTCATACCATGCTCTAGGAGCTTGTTTCAAACCATAGAGAGCCTTTTTTAAACGAAACACATCATTTGGATGATGTGGATCTTCAAAACCCTTTGGCTGCTCAACATAGACCTCTTCATTTAGGACACCATTCAAGAAGGCAGTTTTGACATCCATTTGATAAAGTTTAAATTTCAAATGACAAGCAATGGCAAGAAGCAATCTAACTGATTCTAAACGTGCAACAGGGGCAAAAGTTTCATCAAAGTCAATGCCTTCCATTTGAGTGTATCCTTGAGCAACCAATCTAGCCTTATTTCTCACCACATTACCTTGTTCATCGGTTTTATTCTTGAAAATCCACTTAGTGCCTATGACATTTGTGTGGACTGGTCTTGGAACAAGGTACCAAACATCATTTCTCACAAATTGATTTAATTCTTCCTGCATTGCAAGAAACCATTCACCATGGTGCAAGGCTTCTTTCACATTTCTAGGCTCTTCCTTGGAAACATAACACACATGGCTAATTTCTTGAGCAAGTTGTTTCCTAGTTCTCACTCCTTGATTAAGAGGGCCAATAATGACACTCGCAGATGGAGTGAGAGAACTATGATCAGTATGAGAGCTGTCAGCCTGGACAGAGGAGATGGAACTAGAAGTTGAAGGGGTTGACAGGTCAACCGGGACAGAATTTTCAAAAGTTGACAGGTCAACCACAAGATCCAGACCTGGAGATTCTTGCACAAGTGGAGGAGGAGGAAAAAGACCATCCTCATCTAATGCCATCTCTATAGAGGCAGCAAAATCATCAATAGTGACATTTATGGATTCAATGATGGTTCTGGACCTACAATTGTACACTCTATAGGCTCGGCTAGAAGTGGAATACCCTAGAAAGATTCCCTTATCACACTTAGAATCAAACTTAGCAAGATGCTCCCTATCTCTCAAAATATAGCATGTGCTACCAAAGACCTTAAAATATGACACATTAGGCTTCTTTCCTTTCCAAATCTCATAGGGAGTTTGTTTGGTACCAGACCTCACAAATACCCTGTTTGAGATGTAACAAGCTGTATTGACAGCTTCAGCCCAAAAGTGTTTAGCAAGATTTTTGCTATTTAGCATCACCCTTGCCATCTCTACAAGCACTCTATTCTTTCTCTCCACAACACCATTTTGCTGAGGTGTAATAGGTGCAGAGAACTCATGTTTAATTCCCATCTCTTCGCAAAATTTCAGAAACTGAGAATTCTCAAATTCAGAGCCATGGTCTGTTCTAATTCTAACAAGAGGCAGATGACTGGTCATCTTCTCTTTTTGCAAAAGATGACAAACAGACTTAAACCTTTGAAAAGTTTCAGATTTCTCACGTAGAAATGAGACCCAAGTAAACCTAGAGAAATCATCAACCATGACAAGAATATATTTCTTTCCACCAAGGGACACGGTTTGAATAGGACCAACAAGGTCCATGTGAACAAGTTCTAGAATTACATTTGTTTGAATGTGTTTGACCTTTTTGTGTGACACTCTGACTTGTTTGCCTAATTGACATCCTTCACAAACATGCTCATCAGATTTTTCCAGCTTTGGTAAGCCACTTACTAGCTCTCTCTTGGGACAATTTATGCAAGTCTCTAAAATTAACATGTCCAAGCCTTTGATGCCACAAAATACTTGTTTCATTTACAACCTTGTTGCAAACTATTTCTTTTGCATCGTTGACACCATCAATGCAGAAGCAATTGTCCCTAGACCTTGCCACGCTCACAATCTCATTTCCACCTTTTCCAATGATTTTGCAGCCATGCTTGGAGAATCTGACTTCTACTATTCCATCATCACACAGCTGACTCACACTAATGAGATTGGATGTGAGACCCTCAACAAATCTAACATTCTTAAGCTCGGGCAGACCAGGGATACAAACAGTACCTTTTCCAACAACTTGAGATCTATGACCTCCACCAAAAGTCACAGTGCCTCCATCAAAGGGGCTGAGAGATGAGAAAACATTTTTATCTCCAGACATATGTTTGGAACAACCACTATCAAAATACCAAGAGTTGATATTTGAAGCAGCAAAAGCATTTAGCACAACAAGAGATTTGGTATGACCTCTTGCAATCCAAGTAGACTTAGGCACAATAGGAGAACTCATTTTGAGGGAGACAAGTTTGGCTATCTTAGTGACCTCATTCAGCAAATGATCAACTTGATCTTGCAAAGATCTGGGATTCCTTTTAGATTTTGGAGACAATTTTCTGGTCTTATCTTTGCTATACATATGACAGACTGGTCGAATATGACCAGTCAACCCACACCTGTGACAAGTTGGAACAAACTTAGGTTTCTTGACAACCTGCTGAACATCAAGAGGAATCGTGACTGGATTTTCTGATTTGACAAACTTAGTGGTAGAACTAGACAAACTAGAACCAAAGTGATTAAATCCAAGACCACCTTTGTCCCCATGAAGTTTTCCCATATTCAACATTTTGTCAATTTTTGATGCACCAATGGTCATAGATATAATCTTCCTATTTGCTTCATTCAATTCACCTAGGAGCTGTTTGTTTGAGTTCTGGAAACCAATGTTACTTTCCTTGAGCACATTAACTTGGTTCTCGAGGTTACTCCTAATTGACACAAGAGCATCAATTTCTTTTTCTAGAGACTCAAATTTGTCACTCAACTCCTTTTTGGTTTCTTTTAAGATGAGAATTTCATGTTGAAGATCTTGTTTATTTGCCTCAAGTTTGAGGCTCTCTTCTTTCAAGGACAAGGTCTCTTTAAACAAACAATCATATTTTCTTCCTAATGACTCGTATGACAGGTCATCTGACTCAGAATCAGATTCATCAGACATGGGCTGTACAGAGGCAACAAAGGCAACATGTTGGTCATCATCATCAGAGGAAGATGAATCATCTTGAGAGCCTTCACTTTCACTCTCACTCCAGCTCACTTTCATGGCCTTGTCCTTTCCTTTGGAGTATTTTTTCTGATTGTTTGCACAGTCAGCAGCATAGTGTCCAATGCCTCCACATGTGAAGCACTTGACAGATTTTCTAAAATCTTTCGTGAAAGGTTTGACATCCTTATTCCTCTCATTAAACCGATCAGTTGATGGTCTAAAATTTTTCTCACTACCAGAGCTGCCCTCTCTAGCAAACTTTCCCTTATCCTTAAGAATTCTCCTAAATTTTTTGACAAACAAGGCCATCTCATCCTCAAAACCTGAGGATTTATCACCACCTTTCAGAGAGGAAACATGCACTCCTTGAAGTGCAACATTTTTTGATTTTTTGGAGTCATTTTCTTCCATATTCAATTCCATCTCATAGGTTTTCAATTTTCCTACAAGCTTGCCAAGCTTAATTTCATTTAAATTTTGGACCTCCATGATTGCGGTTTTCTTTGCTCTAAACCTAGATGGTAGAACACGAAGAATTTTCTGAACAACAAGAAGCTCTTCAATGGGTTGACCTAGACTCATGGCTTCATTTGTGATCATCTCAACTCTTCCATAGAACTCAGAAATAGACTCAGATTCAGACATCCTAAGTTCTTCAAATTGTGCAAGCACCATCTGAAGTTTTAGGGTTCTAACTTGGTCATCCCCTTCATGAACCACCCTTAGTTTATCCCAAGCTTGTTTAGCATTAGGGATGTGTTGTATATGTGCAAATTGTGTGCTAGACAAAGCTGTAACTAAGGCATTTCTGGCCTTCTTGTTCGAATATGCAGCAAACACCTCAGCTTCAGTCCATTCTGACCTAGGCTTGGGACACAAGCTCACCCTCAACAGTCTTGACCGGAGCAACCCACTCTTTTGTGAGATACCCACTTGCATACTCATCAAGAGCATCAAGGAATATCTCAAATTTTTCTCTCCATGCAGCATAGTTATTGCCGTCAAAATAGGGAGGGGAGTTGCAAGATCCAGCAACTCGATCCCTTTCCATAGTGAGCACACCTAAACACCAAAACAAATCCTAGGATCTCTCTATTTTTGTTAAGAGCTGACGCTCTGATACCAATTGAAAATGGTACTTTTTTTTTTTTTTTTTTTTTTTTTTTTTTTTTTTTTTTTTTTTTTTTTTTTTTTTTTTTTTTTTTTTTTTTTTTTTTTTTTTTTTTTTTTTTTTTTTTTTTTTTTTTTTTTTTTTTTTTTTTTTTTTTTTTTTTTTTTTTTTTTTTTTTTTTTTTTTTTTTTTTTTTTTTTTTTTTTTTTTTTTTTTTTTTTTTTTTTTTTTTTTTTTTTTTTTTTTTTTTTTTTTTTTTTTTTTTTTTTTTTTTTTTTTTTTTTTTTTTTTTTTTTTTTTTTTTTTTTTTTTTTTTTTTTTTTTTTTTTTTTTTTTTTTTTTTTTTTTTTTTTTTTTTTTTTTTTTTTTTTTTTTTTTTTTTTTTTTTTTTTTTTTTTTTTTTTTTTTTTTTTTTTTTTTGTTGCTCTTGAGGAACATGAAATCCATTTTGGAGGCAGGCCTAACTTTGAAGGTACTTGGATTCTTTTTTTATCCATGAAATCTTTTCCAAGTTCCAAACCTTGAAAAATTCCTTGTTCTGGGTCTGGCATACAAGACGAGGATATGTTTCTAACATTTGTTGAATTGAGCGGATATCTTTGCAAAGTTTCCAGATGAGACAGGTGGATCTGATATTGGAGTGTTGGTCTATGGACCTGAGACTATGAAAGAATCAGTGGCATTAATTTGCCAGAAAAAATGCGGAGCTAAGAAGCAGAATAAAAAGTGAAGATAATAACAGTTAGATTTCCATCCAAAATAGTATAGTGATCAATCAACTCTAGATATTTGTTATTTTAATCAACAGGTTTGTGTCTATCTAGATTGATCAGTTCTTGTAATTGCTTCTTAGGCTTCCAAGATATTGAATTTGAGCAATGTACATATATATATATATATATAAATGTCTCTTTGTAGTATAATTATGAACTTTAATGTTTGGAACTTTGCTTTTTCTCAGTTGCTCTTCCACTGCAGATAGTTTACTTTTATGGTGTGGAATAATGGGGAGCACTCACCCAAATTGGGAAAATGTGGAATAATGTCTATCTAGATTAAAATTCAAGTTGTCAAAGAGCAATCAAATAATTATATCATAATCATGTTGGTTAATGGTTACAGGAAGATCCATGAGGAGCTAAATTTTTCATGTAAAAAAAAAGAACAGATAAAGGAGGAGCCAAGTCTAATTCAATTTGTTTTTTTTTTTTTTTTTTTTTTTTTTTTTTTTTTTTTTTGCTAAAAGAGGATAATTCATTCATACACAGAACAGTTTACAGAGAACTAAAGAACAATACAGCCCCAAATCCAGGAGGGTCCAAGCCTAACTAAAGATTACATAGCAAGCACAAAGGCCATACATTAGTGAGCAAAAAAAACACAAACATTTTACAAACATTTGGAGTGGTTGGACCATGAATATCTTTGTTTTAGTATTTTTTACAAACACAATGCCATATGACCTCTGATACCTTCAATTTATTTAAAAACTCTTTTCTTCGTTGTCTCGTTAGACTGCTTTGTATCCAATTTTTCATTTGCAGAGAATACAACGCGAATTGATATATCTCATAGCAAAAGAGCAGGGTTGTCAAGTGCAATGAGAAAATTGCTTTCATTGGGTTTAGTTCATAATTACGATGGATACATTTTAGAAAGCAAATTCTTACACAAGCAATTTTATACCATGAAAGTCAAGATTCTTTTATGTCCAAAATGTTGGTGGATCCCTATTTTTTGTTGTTGTATTTATGGGTTTAACCCATATTATTTCTTATAAATAAAATTCATTTTTTATTCAAGACTAATGGGATAGTTGTTGGAAATCATTAGAATGGGAGGTATTGGAAAGAATTTAAATTCTCATTCCCCAACATCACGGGTATAAATAAAATAATTGAAGAAATAACTATATCCTAATTAGCAAAAGTGGTATTTTAGCCCTAAACCCTAAAATAACATGACAAAATTGTATATTTTCGGCCATACTATTTAAATATATTACTTTAATAGTACAGCCATGCGGCTTCACTCTTTGAATACATCCGAATATTTTAAAGGTATTTTTTTTTTTTTTTTTTTTTTTTTTTTTTTTTTTTTTTTTTTTTTTTTTTTTTTTTTTTTTTTTTTTTTTTTTTTTTTTTTTTTTTTTTTTTTTTTTTTTTTTTTTTTTTTTTTTTTTTTTTTTTTTTTTTTTTTTTTTTTTTTTTTTTTTTTTTTTTTTTTTTTTTTTTTTTTTTTTTTTTTTTTTTTTTTTTTTTTTTTTTTTTTTTTTTTTTTTTTTTTTTTTTTTTTTTTTTTTTTTTTTTTTTTTTTTTTTTTTTTTTTTTTTTTTTTTTTTTTTTTTTTTTTTTTTTTTTTTTTTTTTTTTTTTTTTTTTTTTTTTTTTTTTTTTTTTTTTTTTTTTTTTTTTTTTTTTTTTTTTTTTTTTTTTTTTTTTTTTTTTTTTTTTTTTTAATCCCTGTTTCTCATCTTTTCTCATTATGTTGAGCCTTTAGATAATGAATCAATTAGACATGGTATGTGTTTACGTTCTAGCTTTGTTCCTCTGTATGCGCTTAGGGTTGAGATAAAAGTTATGTCTTGTTTATGTGTTGCACGTGTCTGAGAAGTGATGTAATGACGTTGCTTATCTTTCAAGTGCCCCGTGTCATGTTTCCTAAATATATTCGAATATTTAAAAAGTATAGCAGCACGTCTATAATAATATAATTACTAATTGAAGTAATTAAAAAAGGATAAGATATTACTTAATATATATATATATATATATATATAAAGAGCAAAAGGCAGAGAATTGTGAAACATTCAAAACACTATAAAATGCCCTTGGTTAATTCAAACATTAAGAATTGAAATTATTAATTAAATGAGTATAACATGGTAAATTCATATTTTTATATTAAAAAATTAAAATTAAAAACAAAATAAAAATCAAATAATAGATCCAACTTTTATGGAACATAACAGCCCATATTATCTTTTCTTAATTCTAAAAATAAAATAAAAAAGAGAAAAGAAAATCAATTGGCACATGCTGACTATTATATATATTAAATTAAAGAAGTTGGGCAAAAAATAAAAGTAAAGAAACTAATTTTATATTTCAAAAATAAATAAATAAAGAGCAAGAAGACCAGTCGCGACAACATTTCGTCGGCACAGGTCTATGCCGGCAACTATTTGCCGGATTAGACCACTCCCGAAGAAAGTTTCCTATGCCGAAGAAATGTCATTGGGAGAGGTCTAATCCAGCAGAATTGGGCCGAGATAGACCTGTGTCGACGAAAGTTCATCGGGAGAGGTTTTTTTAAATAATAAGTATAAGCTTAGTATCTTTAGGTCAATAAATTTTTATTTTTGTAATTCAATAAAATCTTAGCCTTATTTAATTACTTTCATTAGTAATTATGTTTTAATCATTATTTATTTTGTGAATAATTAGTATTAAATGTTTTAATTAACTTCATAAATATATTACTTAATAAATAGTAATTGGTTTTTTAATTTTTTTCTTTAATAAAATACTTAAATACTAATGATTCACTAAGTAAATAATAACTAAAACATAACTACAAAATAATGTAATTAAAAAAGAGAAATTCGGATTATGATATTTCAAGGGTATAGCCGTGCGGCTATACGTTTAAAATATTATGTTTATAGAGCTTTACCAAAACAAATTTATGTACGGGGTGCTAAATTGAATCAATAAATGTGTGATCATGAAAATACTCTAGTAATTCGCTGACTCACTTGAGAAGTTATTTTATTGCTTGTGTACATATCCACATAACATGTTGATGTGATTTATCAAATTTTTCTCAAATTATTACAATTCGTGCACAATAGTTATGAAATCCAAATTTTACACAAAAAGAAGGAAGAATAATAGAAAATATCATAGCCAAAGGTGGTTCATATGGTAGATCCAAAGATTCCTATGAAGATGAATCCGTTCTCTTAGAAAGGTTAGAACGGTGGTTCATATTTTTCAAAAAATAGTATAGCCGACCAGCTATACTTTCCAAATTTATTTTAGAAATAGTACTTCCAAGCGGCTATACTCGGTTTTTTTTCTAACTTTATTTTAAAATTAGTATAGCATGGCGGCTATAACTGTTTTTCCCCTATTATTTTTTAAAAAAATAGTATAGTCGGGAGGCTTTACCCGGTATTTTCTTAACAAAAGTAATTCTAGCCTATGGCTCGTTTGAGAATGATTCTAGACGTATCAAAAATCACTTTTATAGAGAATCACTTTAAGTGGTTTAAATGATTTTATAAAGCAAGCACGTGTAAAGTACTTCTCCCCATAAGTAATTATGATTCCCAAACGAACCCTAAGAAGTGTTTTCCACAAGTCACTTCCAAGTACTTTTAAATTTTTTGACAAAAAAACAAAAAAAGAAATTTAAATTTTAAATAAAAATTTGGATGTAGTTGTAATAACTAAAGATTAAAAGAAAGGCTGATTTTATTAGCACCCCCAAATTTGCTCTTTGCACTCCATATTCTCTTTACACTCCACTGAATTTTAGTAAAATTTAAAATTACTCACTATACCCCCTTTTTTTTTCTTCATAGATTACCCTCAAAAACCTCAGTTCTTAACTTACCTTGTTTCAGTGGGAGTCCACAGAATTTGTTTGTGTTTTACAGTAGCTATCCACCGAATGTGTTTCTGTTTTTCAATGGTAGTCTACCGAATTTGTTTCCGTTTTTCAGTGGTAGTCTACTGAATTCGTTTCTTGTTTCAGTGAATTCATTTCTTATTTCAGTGATCATCTACTGAATTCGTTATTGAGTTTGTACTTAATATTGTTTTTTTATATATGAAGAGGACTCATAAAGGTAAAATTATAAATTGTTATAACTTCCACTTTTTCAATTTTGTACTTTTTACTAACGCATTGAATTCAAATTCATTACAAGAGCATGATGAGAGTATGTTGTTCTTTACTAGGCCGCTCGCGGCATTAGGGGAAACAGTTGCATTGTGTACAAGACCTTCCCAAGTTTATCAAGCAGTTGAGACTTTGAAGCAGATTTTAGAGAGTACAAACATACGGTCTACATGACATATCAATGTCGTCATGGATAACTAACTTGCTAGCATGCATCTAGTAGAACTCATGAAACTTTTGTTGTTTTGATTAGTTATTACATGTTGTATTAGAACTCATGGAACTTTGGAACTTTGGAACTTTAGAACTTTAGAACTCATTCAGACACTTATGAAGTTTGTCCCACCGAAAAAAGGAATATAAGAAAATAAATAGAATTATTATATTTATAATCTCAATTCAGTAGTGGGTGCATTTTCGTCAGTCATTAGGATGGCCGTATCTGTAGTAGCTACATTCTCCACTCCCGGAAGTTGTTGAAACTCATTCACAAACGCTTGGTACCTTGAGTACAAATGTGTTACATTGCATATGTCACTTTGTTCATGCCATATTCCACAAACTGGTGGAATAGGATGATCTAGAGACAAATGAACCTACAAAACAAGAATTCATTAATATACGCATAGCATATAAAATTAAACTATGTAGCGTAAACAAATAAATTCAAACATGGACATAGTGATCATCATCAACAAAACCAATTCCAATCTCATGTAGCTTGGTTTCTCTTGATTGAACTGAGAAGTGAAGAAATGTAACGCATTGTTCCACTGAAATGTCTGTCATATTCAGATTTCATCTTTAGGAAGCTTCTGCTTGGAACATTTGGGGAGGATCTTTATCTCCAGATCATCATTCTCTTCTTGAATTTGAAGCCAAGGGAGTCAATAAGAAGGTAGTGCATGTTATTATGTCATTGGGTTATGATCACTCAAGATGCCAGTTTAAACTTCTGCTTGTGTGCTTTAATTTTGATAGCGGAAAAGGTTGGAAATTGACTGCTGGCTTCTCAAATCCATTGGTAGTGAACACCTTTCTGGGTGTTTTGTCCACTCTAGAAATACTAGCAGTCTTCCTCTTTATCCTGTTCTTAGCTTGGAATTTTTATGCACGCATCTCAAATGATTTCAAGAACTTGAAGCCTGCTAAATCACTAATGCTGAATTCGTGAGTTCTAAATCCGAAAGTTTTCTATTTCGAACTTTTAGAAACAAGAACTTCATCATGATTGACGCTTAAACTGTATCTCAGATGGCAACTCAAGTACCTAAAGGTGGAAACTCGGTTTGGTTTGCTAGCAGAAGTCTGCCTGGCTTTTCTTCTTTTCCCTATATTAAGAGGTCTGGCCTTATTTCGGTTGCTTGGCATCCAGTTTGAAGCTTCTGTAAGACACCATATATGGCTTGGGACTGCAATGATATTTTTTGCCACTTTCCATCGTGCAAGCACTTTGTTCATTTGGGGGGTCAGCCATTTTATCCAGGAGGAGGTAAATCCTAGTCCTTTTTCATTTGGATCTTTTCAATCATTTGGTTTTCTGCTCGGTGTTAACTCTGCTGTATTATTTTGGTATTGGCATTATTTAGTTTTGCTGATCTTTTTGGTGCAATTCATTCAGTCACAGATATGGGAATGGCAGAAAACCGGGCGGATATACCTTGCAGGGGAGATCTGTCTGGTCACAGGGTTAGTGATTTGGATCACATCATTTCCTCAAATACGGAGAAAACAGTTTGAAATATTTTACTACACACACCATCTCTACATGGTTTTTCTGGTATTCTTCTTGTTTCATGCTGGAGACTGTCACTTCTACATGGTTTCCCTGGAAATTTTCTGTTTGGCCTTGACAAGCTCCTTCTGATCATACAATCTAGACCCGAAACATGCATTCTTTCAGCACGAATCTTCCCCTCCAAATCTATAGAGCTTATTCTACCAAAAGATCCAGGTAATTTTTCTAGACCTTGTTTACTAACCAGAAGTTTTCTAAAATTGTTGAAATCATATGAAACATTACATTCCACTAATTGCAGGGCCCAAGTATACACCAACAAGCATTATATTTGTGAAGGTACCAAGTATTTCCAAATATGAGTGGCACTCATTTAGCATTACTTCCAGCTCTAGAAGGCCCTTATGGATCTGTCTCTATGGACTTCCTAAGGTGCATAAAAAATTAACTTTTCATTATAGAATATATATTGTTTAACTGCTCAGTGATGATCAATTAGCATCTCAAAATCTGGTGAACATGAATCCGAAATCTTGTGCAGATATGATAGTCTACTTCTTGTTTCTGGAGGAATTGGAATAACCCCAGTTCTGAGCATCATACAGGAACTTGCTTCGTCCCAAAACAGCGGCACATAAACATATTCCTACCAAGAATGCAGCTTATATATGTTGTGAAGAAGTCCCAAGACATTTGTCCGCTGAACTCAATCTCAGCTCTAATATTTGGCCAGCTAGCAGAAAAATGCCTTCTGAAAGTTAAAGTCTTTGTGACCCAAGAAGAGCAGTCTGATGCAACAGTAAGAGAACTAGTAAACGAGTTTTCTCAAGTGCAAACAGTGAACTTTGGCACAAAGTTCTTGAATTTTTCAATCAGTGAACTCGAACACTCACTTCGGATGGCTACCATAGCTGGAATTTCGTCTATCCTGTTTCTCATCTTTCTCATTATGTTCAACCCCATTTTTGTTCCCTCCCAGAAAAATCCCACCAAGGAGAAGACTCCATCTTGGGTTGCAGATCTTCTTATCATATCTTCCTTCATTCTGGCATTAATTTGCAGCATCTTTGTAGCCCTTGTTATAAGATGGAGAAGGCTAAAGAAACAGATTCCTCCTACCCTCCAAAAACAAAGCAAAGCTTTAGAAAAAGGATCAACACAAGCAAGTGATGCTCTTGAGGAACATGAAATCCATTTTGGAGGCAGGCCTAACTTTGAAGGTACTTGGATTCTTTTTTTATCCATGAAATCTTTTCCATGTTCCAAACCTTTAAAAATTCCTTGTTCTGGCATACAAGACTAGGATATGTTTCTAACATTTGTTGAATTGAGCGGATATCTTTGCAAAGTTTCCAGATGAGACAGGTGGATCTGATATTGAAGTGTTGGTCTATGGACCTGAGACTATGAAAGAATCAGTGGGGCATCAATTTGCCAGAAAAAATGTGGAGCTAAGAAGCAGAAACCCAATTTCAGCTTCCACTCCCTCAATCTCACACCAGAAACCATAATAAAAAGTGAAGATAATAACAGTTAGATTTCCATTTAAAATAGTATAGTGATCAATCAACTCTAGATATTTGGTATTTTAATCAACAGGTTTGTGTCTGTCGAGATTGATCAGTTCTTGTAATTGCTTCTTAGGCTTCCAAGATATTGTATTTGAGCAATGTACAAATATATATATATATATATATAAATGTCTCTTTGTAGTATAAATATGAACTTTAATGATTGGAACTTTGCTTTTTTTCAGTTGCTCTTCCACTGCAGATAGTTTACTTTTTATGGTGTGGAATAATGGGGTGCACTCGCCCAATTTGGGAAAATGTGGAATAATGTCTATCTAGATTAAAATTCAAGTTGTCAAAGCAATCAAATAATTATATCATAATCATGTTGGTTAATGGTTACAGGAAGATCCATGAGGAGCCAAATTTCAATTTTTTTTTTTTTTTTTTTTTTTTTTTTTTTTTTTAACAAAGAAATAAATTCGCTCTTTGTGCCCCACATTTTCTTTATATCCCGCTGAATCTTAGTAAAATTTAAAATTACTCACTACACCCCATTTTTCTTCCTAAATTATCCTCATGGACCTCATTTCTTAACTTACCTTGTTTCAATGGGAGTCCACCGAATTTGTTTATGTTTTACAGTGGTTGTCCACCGAATGTGTTTCGTTTTTCAGTGGTAGTTCACTAAATCTGTTTCAGTTTCTCAGTGGTAGTACACCGAATTTGTTTCCGTTTTTCAGTGGTAATCTACTGAATTCGTTTCTTGTTTCAATGATCATCTATCGAATTCGTTTTGAGTTGTACTTAATATTGTTTTTTAGATATGAAGAGGACTCAGAGGTAAATTATAAATTGTTATGACTTCCACTTTTTCAATTTTGTCCTTTTTACTAAGGCATTGAATTCAAATTCATTACAAGAGCATGACGAGCGTATGTTGTCCTTTACTAGGCCTCTCGTGGCATTAGGGGAAACAGTTGCATTGTGTACAAGACCTTCCTAAGTTTATCAAGCAATTGAGACCTTGCAGCAGATTTTAGAGGGTACAAACATACGGTCTACCATGACATATCAACGTCGTCATGGCTAACTGACTTGCTAGCATGCCTCTGTTAGAACTCATATAACTTTTGTTGTTTTGATTAGTTATTGCATGTTTGTATTAGAACTCAGGGAACTTTGGAACTTTAGAACTCATTCAAATCCTTATGAAGTTTATCCCACCCAAAAAAGAAATATAAGAAAATAAATAGAATTATTATATTTATAATCTCAATTCTGTAGTGGGTGCATTTTCGTTAGTCATTAGGATGACTGTATCTGTAGTAGCTACATTCTTCACTCCCTAAAGTTGTTGAAACACATCCACATGCTCTAGGCGGGTCCTTTCTTTTTTTTTCCTGACTTTAGCTAAATTATGAACTCGCTTCAATTTCTGATTGCCGCTATACGAAAATTGGCTTTTGATTATGTGTTTTGCATCCTGAAAAGAGAAAGTTGTGGTCAAAAAGTTATTACTAGAGGGAGCAATAGAGATTTTACCGTGTAAAAGTAGTACGTAATTGTTAGGAATCTGCTTCGGCCTAAGTTGGATGAGTAGTTGGAAATCCTGACAGAATCAGACTTAGGGATTATACAGACACTGAAACATATAGTCAGGCTTTGCCTGTTGTCATAGACTATAAAGCCGCAATTCACTTTGGAAGGTTGACAATTTTCACTTTGTTGTCTGCATAAGTGCCTTTATCGGCGTCGTTTTTGGCAACGTTGAAATTGGACTAGTCTTAGCGGTACGTATCATTATTGTGTGTGACGGTAACACCTGAACTAACAACTTAAAACTACGCATTAGAACTAATATTTCTTTTTTCTTCTGTGTAGGTTGCAATATCTGTGATCAGGGTACTCTTGTTTGTGGCAAGGCCAAATTCCATGGTTTACCGAAATGTTGAGCAGTGTCCCAATGCAAAAAATATTGTTCCTGGAATTCTCATACTTGAGATTGATGCTCCCATTTAATTTGCAAATACCAACTACTTAAGAGAAAGGTACTAATTAATTAAACCTGAGTAAGAACTAAAGATTTGGGGCTTAAGATAGATAATAGGGACTAAGGTTTTGTTGAGTTGTTCTTGAGGTGGTTGTACTATCTTTTTGTTTTCTAGTCATGTTTATGTTCTAGTGATTCAGAACTAAAGATTTGGGGCTTAATATAGATAAGTGGCTTATCTATGGGACTGGGAAAGAGACATCCCACTTTGTTTGTGAATGTTTGAATCAGACATTTGATTTTTATGATGATTGCACAAATTTTCATCTACAAATTGATTGAATAACTAGTGTAGTGCTTCAAGTTACCAGTCTTCTAACCAAGGTGCTTTCTGATGGTGCCACCATACTCATTAAACATAGAGACCTCCGTGTGTCATCCTTTTGATTCTAATAATTTCCAAGTGTTAAGTTGGTTAACTGGCCTAGCGTTTGAGCCATAAATTACTGAAAGTCTCATGATGAAAGAATTGATTGCTTTTAGAAAATGGTTGAAGAGGAGACAGAAAAAGTTAAAAGGATTTGCAAAGGACTCCACTGTTCCTTTTAGAGAAAGACTAAAGATCTTGGTTGGGGTGGTAACTCCTGAGGATATCGGTCGGAGTTCTGCCGAGAAGAAGCTTGTACATGTATATAATGACAAACCAGTTCTTTCATGCCCCCAGCACATATTTTACAGGGTAAACATTGAACATTTATGTTGCTGAGTGTTAAGAAGATTTCACATAAAAACCATGTTTGACTTTATCAAGCTCTCTCACATGCCGGGTCCTAACTACTTTGAGATTGATCTGGACATTCATCGCTTCGACTACATATCAAGGAAGGGTCTCGAATTGTTTTATGAACGTTTTAGAAAACGGAATAGCCGAGCGGCGATACTCTCTTCAAAAATATTTTATTTATGCAGTATAGCCAGGCGGCTATACTCTCTTTTAAAATATTCTGTTTATGTCTTATAGCCGGACGGCTATACTTTTAAATGTTCTGTTTATAGAGTATAGCCGAGCGACTGGACTTTTAAAATATTCTATTTTACGAGTATATCCAAGCGGCTATACTCTTTAAATATAACAACAAAAATCTGGATTTCTCTATAGCAAATATGAGCCTTGAGATAATGAATCAATTAGACATGATATGTGTTTACGTTCTAGCTTTGTTCCTCTGTGTGCGCTTAGGGTTGAGATAAATTTATGCCTTGTTTATGTGTTGCACAAGTATGAGAAGTGATATAATGACGTTGCTTATTTTCAAGTGCCCCGTGTCATATTTCCTAAATATATTCGAATATTTAAAAAGTATAGCGGCACGTCTATATTCGAATAATAGTATAATTACTAATTGAAGTAATTAAAAAAGGCTAAGATATTACTTAATCTATATATATATATATAAAGCAAAAGGCAGATAATTGTGAAACATTCAAAATACTAGAAAATGTCCTTGGTTAATTCAAACATTAAGAATTGAAATTATTAATTAAATGAGGATAATATGGTCAATTCACTTTTTTATATTAAAAAATTAAAATTAAAAACAAAACAAAATAATAGATCCAACTTTTATGGAACATAACCGCCCATATTATCCTTTTTTTTAATTCTAAAAATAAAATAAAAAGAGAAAAGAAAACCAATTAGCGCATGCTGGCTAGTATATATATTAAATTAAAGAAGTTGGGCAAAAATAAAAGTAAAGAAACTAATTTTATATTTTAAAAATAAATACATAAAGAGTTCCAATCGCGACGGCATTTCGTCGGCACAAGTCTATGCCGGAAATTATTTGCCGAATTAGACCTCTCCTGAGGAAAGTTTCCTATGCCGACAAAATGTCGTCGGGAGAGGTCTAATCCAGCAGAATTGGGCCGAGATAGACCTATGTCGACGAAAGTTCATCGAGAGAGATTTTTTAAAATAATAAGTATAAGCTTAGTATCTTTAGGTCAGTAAATTTTTATTTTCAATTTTCAATTTAGTAATTCAATAAAATCTTAGCCTTATTTAATTACTTTCATCTATATATATAAAGCAAAAGGTAGAGAATGGTGAAACATTCAAAATATCTTAAAATGCCCTTGGTTAATCTAAACATTAAAAATTAAAATTATTAATTAAATGAGGATAATATGGTAAATTCACACTTTTTCATCTTAAAAAAATTAAAATTAAAAGAAAAATCAGATAATGAATCATATTTTTATGGAACACAACTACCCATTATCTTATTTAATTCTAAAATAAATTAAAATTAAAAAAAAAGGCATCTCACAAGCGCGGAAGCACGTGCAGAGAGGCTAGTTAGTAATTATGTTTTAATCATCATTTATTTTGTGAATAATTAGTATTAAATGTTTTAATTAAATTCATAAATATATTACTTAATAAATAGTAATTGGTTTTTTATTTTTTTTCTTTAATAAAATACTTAAATATTAATGATTCACTAAGTAAATAATAACTTAAAACATAACTACTAAATAATGTAATTAAAAAAGAGAAATTCAGATTATGATATTTCAAGGGTATAGCCGTGTGGCTATACGTTTAAAATATTATGTTTATAGAGCTTTACCAAAACAAATTTATGTCCAGGGTGCTAAATTGAATCAATAAATGAGTGATCATGAAAATACTCTAGTAATTCGCTAACTCACTTGAGAAGTTATTTTATTGCTTGTGTACATATCCACATGACATGTTGATGTGATTTATCAAAATTTTCTCAAATTATTACAATTCATGCACAATAGTTATAAAATACAAATTTTACACAAAAAGAAGGAAGAATAAGAGAAAATATCGTAGCCAAAGGTGGTTCATATGGTAGATCCAAAGATTCCTATGAAGATTAATCCGTTCTCTTAGAAAGGTTAGAACAGTGGTTCATATTTTTCGAAAATTAGTATAGCCGACCGGCTATACTCGGTTTTTACCAAATTTATTTTAGAAATAGTACTTCCAAGCGGCTATACTCGGTTTTTTTTTTCTAATTTTATTTAAAAATTAGTATAGCGTGGTGGCTATACATGTTTTTCCATTATTTTTTTTTATAAAAATAGTATAGTTGGGAGGCTTTACCCGGTATTTTCTTAACATAAGTAATTCTAGCCTATGGCTTGTTTGAGAATGATTCTAGATGTATCAAAAATCACTTTTATAGAGAATCACTTTAAGTGGTTTAAATGATTTTATAAAGCAAGCACATGTAAGGTACTTCTCCCCATAAGTAATTCTGACTCCCAAACGAACCCTAAGAAGTGTTTTCCACAAGTCACTTCCAAGTACTTTTAAATTTTTTTGACAAAAAACAAAAAAGAAGTTTTAAATTTTTAATAAAAATTTGGATGTAGTTGTAATAACTAAAGATTAAAAGAAAGGGTGATTTTATTAGCACCCCCAAATTTGCTCTTTGCACTCCACATTCTCTTTACACCCTACTGAATTTTAGTAAAATTTAAAATTACTCACTATACCCCATTTATTTTTCTAGATTACCGTCATAAACCTCAGTTCTTAACTTACCTAGTTTCAGTGGGAGTCCATCGAATTTGTTTCTGTTTTACAGTAGCTATCCACCAAATGTGTTTCTATTATACCATGAAATTCAAGATTCTTTTATCCCCAAAATGTTGGTGGATCCCTATTTTTTGTTGTTGTATTTATGGGTTTAACCCGTATTATTTTTTATAAATAAAATCCATTTTTTATTCTTGCCTAATGGGCTAGTAGCTGGAAATCATTAGAATGGGAGGTATTGGAAAGGATTTTTTTTTGGTCTGAGTATTGGAAAGGATTTAAATTCTCATTCTCCAACATTACTAGTATAAATAAAATATTTGAAGAAATAACTCTATCCTAATTTGCAAAAGTGGTATTTTAGCCCTAAACCCTAAAATAACATGACAAAATTGTATATTTTCGGCTATACTATTTTAATATATTACTTTAATGGTACAGCCATGCGGCTCCACTCTTTGAAAACATCCGAATATTTTAAAGGTATAACCAATTGGCTATACTCTTCAAATTCATTCCAAAAGAACTCGACGCTTGCACTCGCAGTCACACAGCCATTTCGCTTACAAACTTCACAGAGCCTCTCTCTCTCTCTCTCTCTCTCTCTCTCTCAACTCAAGCTTCGATTTTTTTTCTTTCGTTTCGGCTGCTGCGTTGATTGGATTGGATTGGATTGGATTGGACTCTCTCTATGAAAACCATCAAATGTCATTCAGCTATTGAAATCTCCACTAAGATAACAACTCTGATGTTATAAGGGAGCTAGGCGGCCTGGGCGAATCTAGGCAGCGCCTAGGCGGCTCTAGGCGGCCTGGGGTGATCTAGGCGGCGCCTAGGCGGGCTAGGCGGTTCTAGGTGGCCTGGGCGGGTCTAGGCGGCCTGGGCAGCCATCAAATGTCATTCAGCTGTTGAAATCTCCACTAAGATAACAACTCTGGTGCTATAAGGGAGCTAGGCGGCCTGGGGAGATCTAGGCGGGCTGGGCGGTTCTAGGAAGCCTAGGCGGGTCTAGGCGGCCTGGGCAGGTATTCTTGCATGAATCCTCTGCAAATGGTCGTGCGGGTATTCTTCTTAGTAGTTACAATTCTGACTTCTTAGTGGTAGTACTTGCGTAGAATAAAAGATGAGCTAGGCGGCCTGGGCGGATCTAGGCGGCTCTAGGCGGCCTGGGGTGATCTAGGCGGCGCCTAGGCGGCCTGGGCAGGTATTCTTGCATGCATCCTCTGCAAATGGTCGTGCAGGTAGTACTTGCGTAGAATAAAAGACGAGTGCTTGTGCGAATTGGGCATTCTGCCTTGTTTATATTATTACATTCTACATCCAGCATATGGGTTGATTAGCTAGAGATATATATATATATATATATTTTTTTTTGTCTGTAAGGACAATATGCAGCACTTGCACTTAACTGGTACGCTAATTGTTTCTGAAAAAGGCGCAGCTTTGATTTATCTAATTATTTATTTTTAACAATTACTCTTTGACTCGGATGATTTGTTCCTTAAGAAAGTAGAGTTTTCAGGGTTTATGGTTTGATGGGGATTCTTCCTTGCTGACACGATAAGCAAAAGAGGAATATTCAGCGTGCCGCAACTATTGTATCTCCCCAAGGCAACTTTGCAGACCATGATTGGAAATTTTCCTGCTTCAAAATTGTATCAGGTACGGACTTCTAAGATAGTTGACGCATGGCTGACTAACCCATTGGTCAAGATTTAACATGACTGGACAACTTTTTGATTGGGCGGGGTAGGTTATTGAAATACAAGTCAGTTATTGGCTTTCAGGCATGTTAACTGATTTCAGTAGCTTTGCATCTAGAATGTTTTGTTCTTCTAGGATCTGCACCCTTTTCCACGGATCGAAGTGAAATTAAAACTTCAGCGGAAAGTCTCGCTCTTTAGACATCACACTGGTGAACAACAATTTCAGGCAAGAAAGTGGAACACCTCAACATGGGAATTATATGCTCTCATAAGAGAGTATCTTTCTCTCATCACTTGGTTATTCACATGGAGTTACCACCAGCTATGGACAAGAAAATGGAAGGCGGCTGAAGATAAAGCAAGGGCTACACTGTTTGGATATTATGGTACATAATTGAGATTTCATTTGGATTTATAGGTTTTGCTTTCTGCTATATCCAAGGGGGGAAAAGACAAACACTATACTGAATATTTTGCAGGTCTTAATTTTGCTGTGTATACATTTCCTCCTATTGCTTTGGCTATTATAGGATCATTCTTCTTGAATTTGAAGCCAAGGGAGTCAATAAGAAGGTAGTGCATGTTATTATGTCATTGGGTTATGATCACTCAAGATGCCAGTTTAACTTCTGCTTGTGTGCTTTAATTTTGATAGCGGAAAAGGTTGGAAATTGACTGCTGGCTTCTCAAATCCATTGGTAGTGAACACCTTTCTGGGTGTTTTGTCCACTCTAGAAATACTAGCAGTCTTCCTCTTTATCCTGTTCTTAGCTTGGAATTTTTATGCACGCATCTCAAATGATTTCAAGAACTTGAAGCCTGCTAAATCACTAATGCTGAATTCGTGAGTTCTAAATCCGAAAGTTTTCTATTTCGAACTTTTAGAAACAAGAACTTCATCATGATTGACGCTTAAACTGTATCTCAGATGGCAACTCAAGTACCTAAAGGTGGAAACTCGGTTTGGTTTGCTAGCAGAAGTCTGCCTGGCTTTTCTTCTTTTCCCTATATTAAGAGGTCTGGCCTTATTTCGGTTGCTTGGCATCCAGTTTGAAGCTTCTGTAAGACACTATTTATGGCTTGGGACTGCTATGATATTTTTTGCCACTTTCCATGGTGCAAGCACTTTGTTCATTTGGGGGGTCAGCCACTTTATCCAGGAGGAGGTAAATCCTAGTCCTTTTTCATTTGGATCATTTCAATCATTTGGTTTTCTGTTCGGTGTTAACTCTGCTGTATTATTTTGGTATTGGCATTATTTAGTTTTGCTGATCTTTTTGGTGCAATTCATTCAATCACAGCTATGGGAATGGCAGAAAACCGGGCGGATATACCTTGCCGGGGAGATCTGTCTGGTCACAGGGTTAGTGATTTGGATCACATAATTTCCTCAAATAAGGAGAAAACAGTTTGAAATATTTTACTACACACACCGTCTCTACATGGTTTTTCTGGTATTCTTCTTGTTTCATGCTGGAGACCGTCACTTCTACATGGTTTTCCTTTTCCCTGGAATTTTTCTGTTTGGCCTTGACAAGCTCCTTCTGATCATACAATCTAGACGCGAAACATGCATTCTTTCAGCACGAATCTTCCCCTCCAAAGCTATAGAGCTTATTCTACCAAAAGATCCAGGTAATTTTTCTAGACCTTGTTTACTAACCCGAAGTTTTCTAAAATTGGAGAAATCATATGAAACATCACATTCCACTAATTGCAGGGCCCAAGTATACACCAACAAGCATTATATTTGTGAAGGTACCAAGTATATCCAAATATGAGTGGCACTCATTTAGCATTACTTCCAGCTCTAGGGTTGATGACAACACAATATCTATAATGATCAAATCCGAAGGATCGTGGACAAGTTCTCTCTCCCATATGATCCAAACTAGGCAAGAGTCGGATGGCGATCGGACGAAGTACATACCTATTGCAGTAGAAGGCCCTTATGGAACTGTCTCTATGGACTTCCTAAGGTGCATAAAAAATTAACTTTTCATTATAGAATATATATTGTTAAACTGCTCCGTGATGATCAATTAGCATCTCAAAATCTGGTGAACTTGAATTTGAAATCTTGTGCAGATATGATAGTCTACTTGTTGTTTCTGGTGGAATTGGAATAACCCCAGTTCTGAGCATCATACAGGAACTTTCTTCGTCCCAAAACCGCGGCATAAACAAATTCCTACCAAGAATGCAGCTTATATATGTTGTGAAGAAGTCCCAAGACATTTGTCTGTTGAACTCAATCTCACCTCTAATATTTGGCCAGCCAGCAGAAAAATGCCTTCTGAAAGTTAAAGTCTTTGTGACCCAAGAAGAGCAGTCTGATGCAACAGTAAGAACTAGTAAACGAGTTTTCTCAAGTGCAAACAGTGAACTTTGGCACAAAGTTCTTGAATTTTTCAATTAGTGACCTCGAAAACTCACTTTGGATGGCTGCCATAGCTGGAATTTCCTCTATCCTGTTTCTCATCTTTCTCATTATGTTCAACCACATTTTTGTTCCCTCCCAGAAAAATCTCACCAAGGAGAAGACTCCATCTTGGGTTGCAGATCTTCTTATCATATCTTCATTCTGGCATTAATTTGCAGCATCTTTGTCGCCCTTGTTATAAGATGGAGAAGGCTAAAGAAACAGATTCCTCCTACCCTCCAAAAACAAAGCAAAGCTTTAGAAAAAAGGGTCAGCACAAGCAAGTGATGCTCTTGAGGAACATGAAATCCATTTTGGAGGCAGGCCTAACTTTGAAGGTACTTGGATTCTTTTTTTATCCATGAAATCTTTTCCAAGTTCCAAACCTTGAAAAATTCCTTGTTCTGGGTCTGGCATACAAGACGAGGATATGTTTCTAACATTTGTTGAATTGAGCGGATATCTTTGCAAAGTTTCCAGATGAGACAGGTGGATCTGATATTGGAGTGTTGGTCTATGGACCTGAGACTATGAAAGAATCAGTGGCATTAATTTGCCAGAAAAAATGCGGAGCTAAGAAGCAGAATAAAAAGTGAAGATAATAACAGTTAGATTTCCATCCAAAATAGTATAGTGATCAATCAACTCTAGATATTTGTTAATTTAATCAAGGTTTGTGTCTATCTAGATTGATCAGTTCTTGTAATTGCTTCTTAGGCGTCCAAGATATTGAATTTGAGCAATGTACATATATATATATATATATATATATATATATATAAATGTCTCTTTGTAGTATAATTATGAACTTTAATGTTTGGAACTTTGCTTTTTCTCAGTTGCTCTTCCACTGCAGATAGTTTACTTTTATGGTGTGGAATAATGGGGAGCACTCACCCAAATTGGGAAAATGTGGAATAATGTCTATCTAGATTAAAATTCAAGTTGTCAAAAAGCAATCAAATAATTATATCATAATCATGTTGGTTAATGGTTACAGGAAGATCCATGAGGAGCTAAATTTTTCATGTAAAAAAAAAGAACAGATAAAGGAGGAGCCAAGTCTAATTCATTTATTTTTTTTTTTTTTTTTTTTTTTTTTTTTTTTTTTGCTAAAAGAGGAAAATTCATTCATACACAGAACAGTTTACAGAGAACTAAAGAACAATACAGCCCCAAATCCAGGAGGGTCCAAGCCTAACTAAAGATTACATAGCAAGCACAAAGGCCATACATTAGTGAGCAAAAAAAACACAAACATTTTACAAACATTTGGAGTGGTTGGACCATGAATATCTTTGTTTTAGTATTTTTTACAAACACAATGCCATATGACCTCTGATACCTTCAATTTATTTAAAAACTCTTTTCTTCGTTGTCTCGTTAGACTGCTTTGTATCCAATTTTTCATTTGCAGAGAATACAACGCGAATTGATATATCTCATAGCAAAAGAGCAGGGTTGTCAAGTGCAATGAGAAAATTGCTTTCATTGGGTTTAGTTCATAATTACGATGGATACATTTTAGAAAGCAAATTCTTACACAAGCAATTTTATACCATGAAAGTCAAGATTCTTTTATGTCCAAAATGTTGGTGGATCCCTATTTTTTGTTGTTGTATTTATGGGTTTAACCCATATTATTTCTTATAAATAAAATTCATTTTTTATTCAAGACTAATGGGATAGTTGTTGGAAATCATTAGAATGGGAGGTATTGGAAAGAATTTAAATTCTCATTCCCCAACATCACGGGTATAAATAAAATAATTGAAGAAATAACTATATCCTAATTAGCAAAAGTGGTATTTTAGCCCTAAACCCTAAAATAACATGACAAAATTGTATATTTTCGGCTATACTATTTAAATATATTACTTTAATAGTACAGCCATGCGGCTTCACTCTTTGAATACATCCGAATATTTTAAAGGTATAGCCAATTGGCAATACTCTTTAAATTCATTCAAAACGAACTCGACGCTTGCAATCGCAGTCACACAGCCATTTCGTTTACAAACTTCACAGAGCCTCTCTCTCCCTCTCAACTCAAGCTTCGATTTTTTTTCTTTCGTTTCGGCTGCTGCGTTGATTGGATTGGATTGGACTCTCTCTATGAAAACCATCAAATGTCATTCAGCTATTGAAATCTCCACTAAGATAACAACTCTGATGTTATAAGGGAGCTAGGCGGCCTGGGCGGATCTAGGCAGCGCCTAGGCGGCCTGGGGTGTTCTAGGCGGCGCCTAGGCGGGCTGGGCGGTTCTAGGTGGCCTGGGCGGGTCTAGGCGGCCTGGGCAGCCATCAAATGTCATTCAGCTATTGAAAACTCCACTAAGATAACAACTCTGGTGCTATAAGGGAGCTAGGCGGCGCCTAGGCGGCCTGGGGTGATCTAGGCGGGCTGGGCGGTCCTAGGCGGCCTGGGCGGGTCTAGGCGGCCTGGGCAGGTATTCTTGCATGCATCCTCTGCAAATGGTCGTGCGGGTATTCTTCTTAGTAGTTACAATTCTGACTTCTTAGTGGTAGTACTTGCGTAGAATAAAAGACGAGCTAGGCGGCCTGGGCGGATCTAGGCGGCTCTAGAAGGCGCCTAGGCGGCCTGGGCGGTTCTAGGCGGTTCTAGGCGGCCTGGGCAGGTATTCTTGCATGCATCCTCTGCAAATGGTCGTGCAGGTAGTACTTGCGTAGGGCGCACTTGCACTTAAATGGTACGCTAATTGTTTCTGAAAAAGACGCAGCTTTGATTTATCTAATTATTTATTTTTAACAATTACTCTTTGACCCGGATGATTTGTTCCTTAAGAAAGTAGAGTTTTCACCTCCTAGCCTCTTCTCATATCTTTTGGGTTCTTTTCAGGGTTTCTGGTTTGATGGGGATTCTTCCTTATGGATGATGCGATGCATGAATGTTGAACTTGCTGACTCGATAAGCAAAAGAGGAATATTCAGCGTGCAGCAACTATTGTATCTCCCCAAGGCAACTTTGCAGACCATGATTGGAAATTTTCCTGCTTCAAAATTGTATCAGGTACGGACTTCTAAGATGGCTGACTAACCCACTTGTCAAGATTTAACATGACTGGACAACTTTTTGATTGGGCTGGGTAGGTTATTGAAATACAAGTCAATTTATGGCTTGGGACTGCAATGATATTTTTTGCCACTTTCCATGGTGCAAGCACTTTGTTCATTTGGGGGTTCAGCCACTTTATCCAGGAGGAGGTAAATCCTAGTCCTTTTTCATTTGGATCATTTCTATCATTTGGTTTTCTGTTCGGTGTTAACTCTGCCGTATTATTTTGGTATTGGCATTATTTAGTTTTGCTGATCTTTTTGGTGCAATTCATTCAATCACAGCTATGGGAATGGCAGAAAACCGGGCGGATATACCTTGCCGGGGAGATCTGTCTGGTCACAGGGTTAGTGATTTGGATCACATCACTTCCTCAAATAAGGAGAAAACAGTTTGAAATATTTTACTACACACACCATCTCTACATGGTTTTTCTGGTATTCTTCTTGTTTCATGCTGGAGACCGTCACTTCTACATGGTTTTCCTTTTCCCTGGAATTTTTCTGTTTGGCCTTGACAAGCTTCTGATCATACAATCTAGACGCGAAACATGCATTCTTTCAGCACGAATCTTCCCCTCCAAAGCTATAGAGCTTATTCTACCAAAAGATCCAGGTAATTTTTCTAGACCTTGTTTACTAACCCGAAGTTTTCTAAAATTGGAGAAATCATATGAAACATCACATTCCACTAATTGCAGGGCCCAAGTATACACCAACAAGCATTATATTTGTGAAGGTACCAAGTATATCCAAATATGAGTGGCACTCATTTAGCATTACTTCCAGCTCTAGGGTTGATGACAACACAATATCTATAATGATCAAATCCGAAGGATCGTGGACAAGTTCTCTCTCCCATATGATCCAAACTAGGCAAGAGTCGGATGGCGATCGAAGAAGTACATACCTATTGCAGTAGAAGGCCCTTATGGACCTGTCTCTATGGACTTCTTAAGTTGCATAAAAAATTAACTTTTCATTATAGAATATATATTGTTAAACTGCTCAGTGATGATCAATTAGCATTTGTTGAATTGAGGCAGGCCTGGCTCGCTTCACTGAATCACTTCCCATCAAAGTCTTCAAGTTCATGGCCAAAAAAGAGGTGGGCAATAGCCCGTTTGAGCTCTCATGGCGTCTCCCAAGAAATGAAAAAAAAAGCAAGTAAGATAGGAAACTAAAGAAAAACTTAAGCTTGGTTCCAGTCGAGCCTAAAGCCGCAGACTCTGGCTGGTGGGATAGTTTCTTCAACCCAAGGTTTTTCTTTTCACTAAGCTCAGTCTCCAATTACTCTGCTTCCAACTTTTTAGTGGAATGCATTGAGATTACTTGTAGTTTTAACTAAATTATCTTTATATTTTCCTTATTTTCGAAAATCTATGACCCACAGAAATCTAGAACAGGTGGTGGATTTTGTTCTGTAATGTTAAATTCGGTAATGATGTTCATAATTAGAGCTCAAAACCTATAAACTGTGCTTTTGTTCAATTAGGCTGTTGGAAAAATCAACCTAGGCGCTAGGCGGGTCTAGGCGGGTCCTTTGTTTTTTTTTTTCCTGACTTTAGCTAAATTATGAACTCGCTTCAATTTCTGATTGCCGCTATACGAAAATTGGCTTTTGATTTTATGTGTTTTGCATCCTGAAAAGAGAAAGTTGTGGTCGAAAAGTTATTACTAGAGGGAGCAATAGAGATTTTACCCTGTAAAAGTAGTACGTAATTGTTAGGAATCTGGTTCGGCCTAAGTTGGATGAGTGGTTGGAAATCCTGACTGAATCAGACTTAGGGAATATACAGACACTGAAACATATAGTCGGGCTTTGCCTGTTGTCATAGACTATAAAGCCGCAATTCACTTTTGGAAGGTTGACAAGTTTCACTTTGTTGTCTGCATAAGCGCCTTTATCGGCGTCGTTTTTGGCAACGTTGAAATTGGACTAGTCTTAGCGGTACGTATCATTATTGTGTGTGACGGTAACACCTGAACTAACAACTTAAAACTACGCATTAGAACTAATATTTCTTTTTTCTTCTGTGTAGGTTGCAATATCTGTGATCAGGGTACTCTTGTTTGTGGCAAGGCCAAATTCCATGGTTTACCGAAATGTTGAGCAGTGTCCCAATGAAAACAATATTGTTCCTGGAATTCTCATACTTGAGATTGATGCTCCCATTTACTTTGCAAATACCAACTACGTAAGAGAAAGGTACTAATTAATTAAACCTGAGTAAGAACTAAAGATTTGGGGCTTAAGATAGATAATAGGGACTAAGGTTTTGTTGAGTTGTTCTTGAGGTGGTTGTACTATCTTTTTGTTTTCTGGTCATGTTTATGTTCTAGTGATTCAGAACTAAAGATTTGGGGCTTAATATAGATAAGTGGCTTATCTATGGGACTGGGAAAGAGACATCCCACTTTGTTTGTGAATGTTTGAATCAGACATTTGATTTTTATGATGATTTCACAAATTTTCATCTACAAATTGATTGAATAACTAGTGTAGTGCTTCAAGTTACCAGTCTCTTCTAACCAAGGTGCTTTCTGATGGTGCCACCATACTCATTAAACATAGAGACCTCCGTGTGTCATCCTTTTGATTCTAATAATTTCCAAGTGTTAAGTTGGTTAACTGGCCTAGCGTTTGAGCCATAAATTACTGAAAGTCTCATGATGAAAGAATTGATTGCTTTTAGAAAATGGTTGAAGAGGAGACAGAAAAAGTTAAAAGGATTTGCAAAGGACTCCACTGTTCCTTTTAGAGAAAGACTAAAGATCTTGGCTGGGGTGGTAACTCCTGAGGATATCGGTCGGAGTTCTGCTGAGAAGAAGCTTGTACATGTATATAATGACAAACCAGTTCTTTCATGCCCTCAACGCATTTTTTACAAGGTAAACATTGAACATTTATGTTGCTGAGTGTTAAGAAGATGACACATAAAAACCATGTTTGACTTTATCAAGCTCTCCCACATGCAGGGTCCTAACTACTTTGAGATTGATCTGGACATTCATCGCTTCGACTACATATCAAGGAAGGGTCTCGAATTGTTTTATGAACGTTTTAGAAAACAGAATAGCCAAGCGGCGATATTCTCTTCAAAATATTTTATTTAAGCCGTATGGCCAGGCGGCTATACTCTCTTTGAAAATATTATGTCTATGGCTTATAGCCGAACGGCTATACTTTTAAATGTTCTGTTTATAGAGTATAGCCGAGCGGCTGGACTTTAAAAATATTCTATTTTACGGGTATATCCGAGCGGCTATGCTCTTTTAATATAACAACAAAATTTGGATTTCTCTATAGCAAAGATGAGCCTTTAGATAATGAATCAATTAGACATGGTATGTGTTTACGTTCTAGCTTTGTTCCTCTGTATGCGCTTAGGGTTGAGATAAAAGTTATGTCTTGTTTATGTGTTGCACGTGTCTGAGAAGTGATGTAATGACGTTGCTTATCTTTCAAGTGCCCCGTGTCATGTTTCCTAAATATATTCGAATATTTAAAAAGTATAGCAGCACGTCTATAATAATATAATTACTAATTGAAGTAATTAAAAAGGATAAGATATTACTTAATATATATATATATATATATAAAGAGCAAAAGGCAGAGAATTGTGAAACATTCAAAACACTATAAAATGCCCTTGGTTAATTCAAACATTAAGAATTGAAATTATTAATTAAATGAGTATAACATGGTAAATTCATATTTTTATATTAAAAAATTAAAATTAAAAACAAAATAAAAATCAAATAATAGATCCAACTTTTATGGAACATAACAGCCCATATTATCTTTTCTTAATTCTAAAAATAAAATAAAAAAGAGAAAAGAAAATCAATTGGCACATGCTGACTATTATATATATTAAATTAAAGAAGTTGGGCAAAAAATAAAAGTAAAGAAACTAATTTTATATTTCAAAAATAAATAAATAAAGAGCAAGAAGACCAGTCGCGACAACATTTCGTCGGCACAGGTCTATGCCGGCAACTATTTGCCGGATTAGACCACTCCCGAGGAAAGTTTCCTATGCCGAAGAAATGTCATTGGGAGAGGTCTAATCCAACAGAATTGGGCCGAGATAGACCTGTGTCGACGAAAGTTCATCGGGAGAGGTTTTTTTAAATAATAAGTATAAGCTTAGTATCTTTAGGTCAATAAATTTTTATTTTTGTAATTCAATAAAATCTTAGCCTTATTTAATTACTTTCATTAGTAATTATGTTTTAATCATTATTTATTTTGTGAATAATTTGTATTAAATGTTTTAATTAACTTCATAAATATATTACTTAATAAATAGTAATTGGTTTTTTAATTTTTTTCTTTAATAAAATACTTAAATACTAATGATTCACTAAGTAAATAATAACTAAAACATAACTACAAAATAATGTAATTAAAAAAGAGAAATTCGGATTATGATATTTCAAGGGTATAGCCGTGCGGCTATACGTTTAAAATATTATGTTTATAGAGCTTTACCAAAACAAATTTATGTACGGGGTGCTAAAGTGAATCAATAAATGTGTGATCATGAAAATACTCTAGTAATTCGCTGACTCACTTGAGAAGTTATTTTATTGCTTGTGTACATATCCACATAACATGTTGATGTGATATATCAAATTTTTCTCAAATTATTACAATTCGTGCACAATAGTTATGAAATCCAAATTTTACACAAAAAGAAGGAAGAATAATAGAAAATATCATAGCCAAAGGTGGTTCATATGGTAGATCCAAAGATTCCTATGAAGATGAATCCGTTCTCTTAGAAAGGTTAGAACGGTGGTTCATATTTTTCAAAAAATAGTATAGCCGACCAGCTATACTTTCCAAATTTATTTTAGAAATAGTACTTCCAAGCGGCTATACTCGGTTTTTTTTCTAACTTTATTTTAAAATTAGTATAGCATGGCGGCTATAACTGTTTTTCCCCTATTATTTTTAAAAAAAATAGTATAGTCGGGAGGCTTTACCCGGTATTTTCTTAACAAAAGTAATTCTAGCCTATGGCTCGTTTGAGAATGATTCTAGACGTATCAAAAATCACTTTTATAGAGAATCACTTTAAGTGGTTTAAATGATTTTATAAAGCAAGCACGTGTAAAGTACTTCTCCCCATAAGTAATTATGATTCCCAAACGAACCCTAAGAAGTGTTTTCCACAAGTCACTTCCAAGTACTTTTAAATTTTTTTGACAAAAAAACAAAAAAAGAAATTTAAATTTTAAATAAAAATTTGGATGTAGTTGTAATAACTAAAGATTAAAAGAAAGGCTGATTTTATTAGCACCCCCAAATTTGCTCTTTGCACTCCATATTCTCTTTACACTCCACTGAATTTTAGTAAAATTTAAAATTACTCACTATACCCCCTTTTTTTTCTTCATAGATTACCCTCAAAAACCTCAGTTCTTAACTTACCTTGTTTCAGTGGGAGTCCACAGAATTTGTTTGTGTTTTACAGTAGCTATCCACCGAATGTGTTTCTGTTTTTCAATGGTAGTCTACCGAATTTGTTTCCGTTTTTCAGTGGTAGTCTACTGAATTCGTTTCTTGTTTCAGTGAATTCATTTCTTATTTCAGTGATCATCTACTGAATTCGTTATTGAGTTTGTACTTAATATTGTTTTTTTATATATGAAGAGGACTCATAAAGGTAAAATTATAAATTTGTTATAACTTCCACTTTTTCAATTTTGTACTTTTTACTAACGCATTGAATTCAAATTCATTACAAGAGCATGATGAGAGTATGTTGTTCTTTACTAGGCCGCTCGCGGCATTAGGGGAAACAGTTGCATTGTGTACAAGACCTTCCCAAGTTTATCAAGCAGTTGAGACTTTGAAGCAGATTTTAGAGAGTACAAACATACGGTCTACATGACATATCAATGTCGTCATGGATAACTAACTTGCTAGCATGCATCTAGTAGAACATGAAACTTTTGTTGTTTTGATTAGTTATTACATGTTGTATTAGAACTCATGGAACTTTGGAACTTTGGAACTTTAGAACTTAGAACTCATTCAGACACTTATGAAGTTTGTCCCACCGAAAAAAGGAATATAAGAAAATAAATAGAATTATTATATTTATAATCTCAATTCAGTAGTGGGTGCATTTTCGTCAGTCATTAGGATGGCCGTATCTGTAGTAGCTACATTCTCCACTCCCGGAAGTTGTTGAAACTCATTCACAAACGCTTGGTACCTTGAGTACAAATGTGTTACATTGCATATGTCACTTTGTTCATGCCATATTCCACAAACTGGTGGAATAGGATGATCTAGAGACAAATGAACCTACAAAACAAGAATTCATTAATATACGCATAGCATATAAAATTAAACTATGTAGCGTAAACAAATAAATTCAAACATGGACATAGTGATCATCATCAACAAAACCAATTCCAATCTCATGTAGCTTGGTTTCTCTTGATTGAACTGAGAAGTGAAGAAATGTAACGCATTGTTCCACTGAAATGTCTGTCATATTCAGATTTCATCTTTAGGAAGCTTCTGCTTGGAACATTTGGGGAGGATCTTTATCTCCAGATCATCATATCTAATTTACTTGTGACAATTTGTCTTTCTTCAAGCCATTAAAATTTTCAGTCTATATGTAATGCCAATGTACATAAGAATGGTTTCTTCCCCTATTCTTGTGTTCAATATACCCATGTGCCCTTTTGATGTATGATAGTATCTCTTTACAAATCGAAGACGACTTGAGATGTTATTTCTCATCTAACACCTTGTTTGAAATCTCATTTAGAATAGTTCGTATATATATATATATATATATACATATATATATCAATGCAATATGACAACCCCTGATACCTACAATTTATTTCAAAACTCTTTTCTTCGTTGTCTTATTAGACTGTTTTGTATCCAATTTTTCATTTGCAGAGAGTACAACACGAACGGATATATATCATAGCAAAAGGGCAGGGTTGTCAAGTGCAGTGAGAAAAAGGCTGTCATTGGATTTAGTTCATAATTACGATTCAATTTTCTTTGAATAGAACGAAAACTTAGAATATTGGGATTGATGTACATGTATATTATTTAACATTTCAATGATATATCCACAGGTCAATCAAAAGGTTTTTGTATCAGCCTAGACCAGGATATATCATTCCATGTTGTAGAATAGAGAAGCCGACTTCAGGATCTTGGTCTGAGATTCCACCCTCAACTTTTAAATTCCGTGGCGAGAACTATTTCAAGTATGACTTTGGTTTTTTCTTTTGTCAAAACCAACCTTAACTGAATTTAGATATTTGCAACTAATTACTCTGTTCTGCCTTGCTAAAGTCAACTGCTCCGAACTACAGTCCATATACTCCAATAGGTGTTGATGTGTTTGTATGCCCCAAAAAGATACTTCACATTGCCCAGCATCCTGAGCTTCCCAAAGTGAAAGCAAATGGGAAAGTGTTCATTGTAAACATACAGGTATTTTTTCAGAATTGATTTATCTTGTTATGTTTTGTTTGATATTGCTCTGCGCCTTGTTGCAGTTGCCGACTTATCCTGCTGCAATGTTTCTTAGTGATATTGATGGAGAGGGGATGGGTCTTGTAATGTATTTCAAAGTTTCTGAGAATTTTGATAAAGACATCTCTCCTCAATTCCAGGACAGCGTCATGGTAACTTCATTTTGTATGCAACTTCATCCATTTGGATAGGCATGTACTTTATTCTGATGTACTTTCCCTGATGGAAATGTGATCTTATGTTCTATTGGAACACTCAAGTCTGTTGATATATTTGAATGATGCTTTTAGAAAATGGTTGACGATGAGACAGAAAAAGTTAAAATGATTGGCAAAGGACTCCACTGTACCTTTTAGAGAAAGACTAAAGATCTTGGCTGTTGTGGTAAATCCTAAGGATCTCGGTCGGAGTTCTGCTGAGAAGAAGCTTGTACATGCATATAATGACAAACCAGTTCTTTCACGCCCCCCAGCACAATTTTTACAAGGTAAACATTGAACATTTATGTTGCTGAGTGTTAAGATGATGAAACGTAAAAACCATGTTGTTTGCCTTTATCAAGCTCTCTAACGTGCACGGTCCTAACTACTTTGAGATTGATATGGACATTCATCGCTTCAGCTACATATCAAGGAAGGGTCTCGAATTGCTTCAGCTACATATGAAGGAAGGGTATACTTTTAAAAATCTTGTTTAAAATATTCTGTTTATGGAGTATAGAGGCACGGCGATACTCTCTTTTAAAATATTCTATTTATGAAGTATAGCCGGGCGGCTATACGTTTAAATATTCTATTTATAGAGTATCGCCGAGCGGCTATACTGTTAAAATATTCTTTCTATGAAGTATAGCCGCGCGGCTATACCCTCTTTTAAAATATTCTGTTTATGGCTTATCGCCAAGCAGCTATACTTTTAAATATTAAAGCTTGCACCTGCAGTCATGGCCATTTCGCAGACGACTACATTTCTGTGGGCTATACTTTTTCTCAAATTCAAGCGATAAACACCTTTAAGAATGATAGTTTATAAATGTACAATATTCTAGTGAATCGGACTCGAACTCGTCACTACGAACGTCTAGGGCACAGAGCAAGCCCGTTCCAGGTTTCGAGCAGTGTTCGAAAAATCGGCTGAGGCGCTAGGCCGGAGGACTACGACGCCAGAGAGTTAAGAGGCGCCTAGGGGGCCTGGGTGGATCTAGGCGGCCTAGGCGGCCTGGGCTGATCTAGGCGGCCCCTAGGCTGCTTGGGTTGATCTAGGCGGCCTCGGCAAGTCGTGTCTATTTTTTCCAAATGAAGACAGACGAAGCTTGCACTCACAGAGGAATGTGGTGCGTGAGTGATATGAAGAGACAGAGAAACGAACACGAAGCTTGCACTCCAGTCTAATCTTCAAAATTCAAATACTCAGTCTTGAGCCTCTCTCTCAACTCAAGCTTAGATTTTATTTTTTCTTCAGTTTCGGCTGCTGCATTGATTCGATTTTTTGGGTGCTTTTCTGTTATTGAAGTTCGCAACGTCAGATGAACATCCAAGGCAGTTTCTTGGTATGCCAGAAGAAGCCCAGCAGATGGTTCTTTAACCTGAGGAACACCTTGTAGTTTGGCATTGGATTACACTATGCCGGTCTGAATGACAAAGATAGATCTCTGGTTGAGGAGCTTTTTGCAAACAACAAGATTCAGGCATTTCTGTTTTACCTCAGTAAGCATGAGTTTTTCCTGAAAAACACATTAGGAAAAGAGAATATAAAAAGATCATTTTCTTACTTTATATACTGATTAGGCATATGTATTAAATTATAGGTATTGGTTTGTACCAGCACATTGGCATGGGGTGTAAACCTTCCAGGTCATCATCTGGTCATCATTAAGGTGAGGCAAAATTTGTGCGGTATCTTTTTCATTTGGTTCCTATATATACAAAGGTTTCTAGCAGGAGTATATTGCAGCAGCTGTTCTTCAGGACAAATTTACGTAAGTGTTGATTCTCTTGCAGGGAACAGAATATTATGATGGGAAAACAAAGAGATATGTTGATTTTCCAATATCAATCACAGATATATTGCAAATGATGGTTTTGGTCACACTTATCTTTTTTTTGCTGTAAGAGTTCAGAACGCCTATCATTTGCATTGCTGCTGTGACAGGAGCAGCACAATGATCCTCTTGTACTTAAATATGGTGAAGACACAAGTTAAAAGCCTTTGGTTTTGATTAGTGTCCTTAGTATTTGATTTATTGAGCCTGTACAAGATAGTTTTCTACAGATGTTTAATCCAGCTTACTATGGCTTGGACAATACTGAACCTGAAGCTCTCAGCTCTTACTTGTCTAGGTAATACCATGCTCAATTCTCATGGGTTTTTTTTTCTTTTATCAGGATATGCTCTCTCTTTCGGTGGCATTGCTTTGATTACTTATTGATTATTTTGGCAGGTTAGTGCAATACACATTTGAGGATCTGGAAGACAGTGGATGCATCAAGATGAATGAAGACAATGTAGAGCCAACGATGCTGGGTTCAATAGCATCCCAGTATTATCTTAGCTACATGACTATATCAATGTTTGGTTCAAGCATAGGATCATATGCATCGCTTGAAGTAAGAAATGGTTCTTGAAGGTTTTTATTCAGCATTGTAATTTCTCGCTTTTACTTTTTATGCCGTTATGCTTAAGAAGGTTCTGTACTATAGGTCGTCTTGCATATCCTATCTGCTGCTTCTGAATATAATGCAGTTCCTGTGCGGCATAACGAGGTAATAATAAGTCTATTGTTGGCTCTTACTTGGGTACTTGTTTTTTGTGTTTTGTTTTTTGTTTTGGATTCATAATGAGGCACACACTTGAGTAACTAGATCTATTAACCGTGGATTCTGAAAATGGAGACAATTAATACTTGACCTATAACAACTAGCTTGTGAGCGAAGTGGTATCAGTCAGTCCTATTTATTAAGAAGGGGCATATAAAACATGGGGGCGGATCCGTGGCACCACAAATTTGACACAAGTTTTGACACAATTTTATAGCCTTTAGATGCAAGCACTTTCAAAGGCTAAGATTAAATGTGATTTTATTATTTATTATTTTATTTTGATAACATAACAAATAAAATAAAATATTAAACTCACCACTTTTCAAGGTAGCATAAATGTAGGCTAAAATCTCTCCATCTCCTCCAATCTAATTTATTCTCACGTTTTGAGTTTGAACTTTTTTTTATTTAATTGTTTTTCCTTTATCTGGAAACAAAGTTCTCATCTCAGTTGATCTCCAAACACACAAGGATCTATTTCAGATTTTTCCACTCCAACACTTCATGCAATTTTCGCGAAATATTATGGAGATTGTTTGAAAATCTTAATTGTTAATTGTGCTAAGAAGCTATGGATACTTTTTGCTGCAGTTAGATGCTAAACTGTTTGAGAATGAACTTGAACTTCTCATGGTAAAAGACATTAAGAAATCCACAAATGTAAGAGGAAAAAGAAATTCGAATTGAAAGTAATCCAAGGATTTAGAGACTCAAAGCTCAAGAAAATAACAAAAGAACCAACATACAAGACTGCAAGATAAACCTCTCCAAATTTTGCTGCAAGATAGAAAGAGACAGTAGTTGAACCAAACCCCAAACGAATAAAAAAAAAGATCAGAAAAAAAAATTTCATACTCAGAGAATTAGATCATACCATTTATTTATTTATTATATTGATTGAAATCTTAGGGGGAAAAAATTAATGGCTAACATGTGAAATATGGGAGGGAGAAGAGCTACTTCTTGTTTAGTGCTGGTAGTGATAGAGAAACTGTCAAGTGCAGAAGGAAGATTTGGAAGAAGAAGAAAAAACAGAAGTGAAGGCATGAAGAAGAAGATGACGTGAGAGAATATGTTAATGCTTTTAGGAAGTTGGGAAAACATAAATGAAGAGAGATAAAATATTATAGTAAGTTAATTAAAATTAATTTAAACAAATAATTATTTAAAGAAAAAGAATTAATTTGTTTAATCTTAACCATTCATTGTAGCCTAATCTAATGGTTAAAAAATTGTGTCAAAACTTGTGTCAAATTTACGGTGCCACGGATCCGCCCCATATATTATATATATATATATATATATATATATATTTAAATGATATGACTAGTATTTGCATGTTAAAATTGATCGAAAAACAATGGCAACTTCAATCAAATCAGTGCGCATGCATGTGTGATAATTTTACGTTCAATATGTAAGTGATAGAGCAAAAAGCCAATAACTTACCGGTAAGTTATAGCGTGAAAAGCCAATATTTAACCATCATGTAAGTGATGGAGTGAAAAGCCTATAACTTACCGGTAAGTTATGGCGTGAAAAGCCAATATTTAATCGTCAGGTAAATGATTGAGCGAAAAGCCTATAACTTACCGGTAAGTTATTGCGTGAAAAAGCCGATATTTAATCGACATGTAAATGATGCAGTGAAAAGACTACAACTTTTTTTTTCCCTTGTTCTTTCAGTTTATTTTTCAAAAACAGTGCCTTATAAATAGAGTTTTTTTTCCCGAGGAAATTAATGTTTTAGAATTTGTAAAGTTTCTTTTCTGGGTGACTGATTTAAATCAAATACGAAAATAAAAACAACGACTGTTTTTTGTTATACCGTCGTTTTTTCTTGTCGTCTTAAGTAAGACTAAGACGACGTAATGTATTTGTTAACCGACGTGGATTATTTTTTTAAACGTCGTTATGTGTAATATAACCAACGTGGATTTGGTTTTTTAATTATAAATAGGGTTTTTTTTCCACGGTTGCTTTCAGTTTTAGTTTTCGATTAGGGTTTCAACTTCTTCTTGCCCCTTTCTCTGTCTCACCTCATCTCTTAGGAGGCAATTGTTTGAATGTTGGTTTGTGTGTATGTTGGTTTGTGTGATTCACAAACATACACACATCACCAATTTTCAAAAAATTGTCTCTCTGATTGCAAATCTGTGGCTGCCGTCGTGAAGTTTTAGGAGGCAATTGTTTGGATGTTGATGTGTGTGTGCGTTTGTGTAGATACACAAACGCACACACATCATCCACTTCCAAAAATTGTCTCTCTGATTGCAAATCTGAGGCTGCCGTCGTCAAATTTCAGAAGCAATTTTTTGGATGTTAATGTGTATGTGCGTTTGTATCTCAAAGACACAAATACACATACATCATTAACCTCTAAAATATTGTCTTTCTGGTAAGATTATGATGAGCAACAGAGTTCCATCTTGTAAGATTTCCTAACCCTTGTGATCTCAGAAAAATCTGATTATGCCGGCGGTTTTCTATATAAACCGTCGTGGTTATTTCAATTCTTGTCATTAAGTAGATCTACCGACGTAGGATAACAAAATCCAAGAAATAAATTGTTAAAAAAAATTCTTATTCAGACGACAGTTTAAATATAATGTATGACGTATAAAGTTGATAAATACGACGTTAAATTGTATAATATGTCGTTAAATTAAAACCCCAACTTGGTAAGATTCAAAGATATCGTCGTAGAAATACGAGAAAGACGTCGTTATATTTATCTTGGCCATAGTTGTACATTAATTTAATACGGCGGTATTTTGTATTTTACCGCCGTGGATTTATTTGTAATTATACGACGCCTTATACGAAAACTTGGTCGTGTTAATTTCTGGGTAAAAACGGCGGCTTTTTTTGAAATCATCGTCTTTACTTTCTACGTCGGTCGGTTCATAACTTCCGCCGTCATTTGTTGGCTATGATTTTACCCCTTGGAAATCCAATTTCAATAAGACGTCGGTTTTTTAATTAGGTACGTCGTGTTTTAGGAACAGCCATTTGAATCTCCATTTTTTAGTTGTCTAAGGTGTTATTATACGGCGGTTTTATAAAACCATCGTCTTTTAAAAAACTACGACGGTTTTCACTTAGACCGTCGTTTTTTTCTAGTCGTCTTTGTCACTTTTTGTAGTAGTGCAAATTCTTAACTATCACAAATACACAATAGAATTGGTGAAAAGAAATGTGAAGTCAAAATTATTAAAATTGAAGAATATAATTTGGAAATTAAAAGATAAAAAACTAGAAATTAATTTTATGATGGTTTTCATCATTAACAGAATTTAACAAGACATCAATAAATAATGAAGGCTAAAATACGTATAAGTACCCAATCTTTGGAGGTCGTTACAAAATCAAGTACCTAATCTTTTAAAATTTTCAAGTGCATACATGTACTCTTGGAAAACCTACAAATAAATCACGTCATTAGTCAAACTATTAATAGCTCCATTAAATGATGATGTGGTAACAGTGTGTCCCTTTTTTTTGCTGATGTAGATCCTAGGTAAACTAAAAAATTGAAGAAAAAAAAACATGTTTAATTTTTAAATTAGTTAGAAAACTCAAAAATTAAGAAAAATCAACTTTAACACCCAAAAAATCACCTCCATCGACACCCAACTCCACTTTCTTCATCCATCATCGATCCCAACTGCACCTTCTTCTTCCATCATCACCGCTCATGACCTCATCTCCAAGCCCACCCATTAATCCCGACATCATCCTCATCCCAAATCCATCATCAATCCTACCCCCACCTCGAAACTCAGCTGCACCGCCCAACCTCCCCCATCCCTAGAACCATCTAACCCCTTCATCCTCCAGTGAATCCACTGTCACCTTCATATCACCCAAAAAATCACCCCCATGCCTCACGCACGCCTCACTTTTTTTCTGGCGGGGAGGAAAGGAAGAGATGGGAAGAAAGAGAAAAAGACAAGGAGAGAGAAAGAGACAGGGAGAGAGTGGATTCGCAGGGGTTAGTGGGATGGTTCGAGGGTCGGTTGGGTTGATGACTGGTGTGGGGAGGTTTGGGATTATGGGGCGTGGAGGAGGTTTCAATGGGGTTGGGTATAGTTGGGTTTGTATTTTCTTTTTGGGTTAATGACATTTTAATACCCTATGGTTACACCCATAATACATGTTAGTCTCTATCTTTTCAATTTTTACAATTACATACCCCGATCTTTTAAATTTGTTATAATGTGGTTCCACCGTTGGGGGTTCCGTCAGATCTCTCTGTTAGTTTCCTATGTGGCATTATGGTTTTTTTTAAAATTTTAAAATTTTAAAATGATTAAAATATTTAAAAAAAATTAAAAATACATCTCTCTCTCTCTCTCTCCTCTCTCTCTCTCTCTCTCTCTCTCTCTCTCTCTCTCTCTCTCCCCTCTCCTTAGATTTCTTTTCCCCTATCCTGTTCTTTCCCCCACTCAGATTTCTTCTCCCCTTACCCAGATTTCTTCCCCTACACTGATTTCTTTCCCCCATCTGGATTTCTTCTCCCTCCTCCTGATTTCTTCCCCTACCCAAATTTCTTTTCCTACCCAGATTTCTTCTCTGTTTTAAGAAATCAATGACAGTTTTATAATTTAAAAGAAGTTAAAAGCCTTTTGTTATCAATAACGCTACGGGCACCAACTTGTTTACCAACTTTTGGATACCAACACATGTGGCACATGACATGGCAACCCATGTCATCTGCCACCTCATCTATTTTAGTTACATAATTTATTATATAAATAAAAGAATTTCTCATCGAAAACAAAAATAGTTAAATATAAAAATAATTAAATTCTTTTATTTATATAATAAATTATGTAACTAAAATAGATGAGGTGGAAGATGACATGGGTTGCCATGTCATGTGCCACATGTGTTGGTATCCAAAATTTGGTAAACAAGTTGGTGCCCGTAGCGTTATTGGTTTGTTATATTGTAAATAGGCTTTGGGTGTGTTTCTAAAGTCCATTTCATATATGGTTTTTTTATTTTTACGATTTTGATATAAATTTATAATTTATAATCTATACATATAAAGTAAAAGGCAGAGAATGGTCAAACATTCAAAATACCAGAAAATGCCCTTAGTTAATCCAAATATTAAGAATTAAAATTATTAATTAAATGAGGATAATATGGTAAATTTACATTTTTTCATATTAAAAAATTAAAATTAAAAGAATAACCAAATAATGAATTCTATTTTTATGAAATACAACTATCTATTATCTTTTTTAATTCTAAAATAAATTTAGAATTTATTTAAAAAAAAGCCTCTCGCAGGCGCGGAAGCGCATGCGGAGAGGCTATACTAAATAATTTATTAAAAAAAGCATATGCATTTGCATAGGGCCCGATTACTCCTCTAGGCGTTAGGCCCTTGCCTGCCGCCCCCTTATTGCATAGTGATTTTTTGAACATCGGAATTAACATGTTGGTAAATCGAGGTGCACAAGCACTTCAATTTACAACCCTGCAATTTTAATTGACTCCAATTCCCTTCTATTTGTGTTCATAATTAACTAAAAATTAGTTGCATTGCATGGTGTTTAGATTTAACTTTTCTAGTATAATTTTTCCCAAGGCTATAAACAAAGAAGCAATTTCGTCAGTTCTCAATTGATTGTGCAGTGGCTATATGTCTCCGAAGTATGCTATGGGCGGGATGTTTTCTGAAAAATTTGATGGCTATAGCTTCGGGGTCTTGCAATTGGAGATTATTAGTGGCAAAAAGAATACCAGCTTCTATTCTAGTGACCAACATATAGGCTTCCTAGCTTATGTAAACTCACACTCTAAATCTTAATGCAAAATCGTATCTTTCATACTGCTTAAACAACCTATATGAAGATAAATGCAGCATAGTTTAACAATTATGTCCAACATACAGGAAATTTTGTCAGGCATGGCACTCATGGAATGAAGGCAGGGGTTTGGAGTTGGTTGATGAAGCATTGGCAGATTCATATTCACCTTCAGAATCTCTTGAAACCCAAAGGCATTGCATATGCATGGGTCAAAAGCACTTGGAATTGCATGCAATTATATTAGATTTTTGCCTCAGTTTAGGTGCACATCGATGGTGATGATGATGGCGATGTCAGTGGTGATGGTGGTTTGTGAGTGATAGTGGGGGTGGTAGTGGTGGTGGCGGTAAGGGTGGCAATGTCGGTTGGGGTGATGGTGGGGCTGATAGTGGGGGTGGTAGTGGTGGTGGCGGTAAGGGTTAGGGTGGTGACAATAGCAGTGATATTGATGGTGTTAGCAGTGGTGGTGGTGACGATGGGGGTGATGGTGAGGCTGGTAGTGGGGTGGCAGTGGGTGGTGGTGCAGGTGGTGGTGGTGCTGGGGTGGCAGTGATGGCAGTGGTGGTGGCGGCGATGACGATGACTGTGGTGGTGGTGGTTGTGGCAGCAGCAATGGTGATGTTCCTCTGTCTAGGTTTAATCTCAAAATTATAGGGGCATGAATATATGGAGGAGAGCGCATGTCCTGCAAACATTTGATGAAGGAGCAAAATCATTACATTGCCAAGGAGTGCGCATGTCCTGCAACAATGTAGGAGGCTTGTGACTCAAATTGGCGTGGATTTGGCACGTGTGGCATTTCTTAACAAAATCATGTGCATCCCTTTTCATAGTAGGCCAATAATATCCAAAACTCAACAGCTGCCGGTGGAGCCTTTTCACTCCTTGATGTCCTCCGCATTCTCCAGCGTGTATCTCTTGCATGACTTGATGTGACTCCGTCTTTCCTAAGCATCGTAGAGGTTCCCCATTAAATCCCTTCAGATAAAGAGTCGATCCATCCACAAAATATCTCTTTACCGTCTTCTTAAGCTTATAGGCGAGCTTGGAATTGCTTGGCAGAGTTCCTTCAAAAAAAAATGCCAAATACAGGGCCCTCCAATCTTCTGTGAGTGAAATGGTGAAAGATTCCTCGGTAGTAGGTATTGTAAAACATTTGGGACAACTAGCCTGAACTTCAGCCGCTTGTTTCCTCATTTCTAGCCAAAAATAACATTTACGCTGCAGGCGCCGATACAAGCTGATTACTGGTTCCAAACTGCAAGTAGCATCGTGCACTTCTTGCAGCCGCCTTCTCGCTTCAATTATTCTTATGCATCGAGTCAAAACGCCTCCTGGAAGACGCCTGTAGAGTTCCCTAAAGATAATCACGTAAGTGTTGTTCCCCAAAGATATTACTTAATTACATATAATAAATTGAAGAAAAACAATGGCAAAGATATATATATGGGGGCGGATCAGTGGCACCATATTTTTGACACAAGTTTTGACATAATTTTTGGGCCATTAGATTACTCCACTTTTAATGGTTGAGATTAAATATGACATCGCAAAATAATATTTTTCTCTTTAATTAATATTTATACATTGGGATTAAAATCCTGATACCATATTAATTAAGAATTCATTCTCTCTCTTCTCATTAATTATCTTTAATTAATTAATTAATTCTCTCTCTTTCTTCTACAGAGAATTGACGCCTCTCTCTCTCTCTCTCTCTCTCTCTCTCTCTCTCTCTCTCTCTCTCTCTCTCTCTCTCTCTCTCTCTCTCTCTCTCTCTCTCTCAAACCAGCTTCTTAATTAATATTTGCATTGTGGTTTCATATCATTTTCATTTTCCTCCCAAATTTCTTCCTTTCACTTTTTATTTTAATGTCTAAGAGGTGGAAGAACTAACTGTCATCAGAGAATTTATTCAATGAAATACTTCATTGATCAAAGCTATAGACAAACCTTACTAGAGTTTCATATCATTTTCATTTGCCGATTCAATCAAAGGAAAGAGAGAGAGGCGTGAGAAGTGGGATTGTGGTTTGGGTATTTAGTTTTTGGTGAGATTGTTTATTTATTAGACCCTAATAAATATTTGAGATTAAAGAGGAAGGAGAGATTACGTCTTCCAGCAAAAAGGTTGGAGAGAGAAAAATTTCCTTTTATTTTTATGAGAGAGAAAATAAAATTAATGATTGTCTATTTAAAAAAATTAAAACTACTTGCCATATAATATTTAATCTCAACCATTGAAAGTGGAGTAATCTAATGGCCCAAAAATTGTGTCAAAACTTATGTCAAAAACGTAGTGCCACGGATCCGCCCCCATAAAACATATAATATATAATATTCATATTATATTATATATCGCAGTAATATGGAATCATTCTTCCTCCATACAAATTTGCTAACAAGAATATGTTTTTTCTTTATCTTGATTTCGAACTGTAATATCATCTTTGATAATAGGAGAATTATAATGAAGCATTGTCTAAGATTAAACGTGAAAGTGCCAAAATCTTTATACGGGTAATAAATTTGGAAAAGTGAAAAATCAAAAATGCACAATAGATACTCGAGTAATGGCCTAATAATAACGGATAAGGCTCTTGGGCTATTGAGAAATTTAATTATGACACCCAAACGATTTCACAAAAGACTTAATAAATATAAATTAATTATTTTGTGGACTTTTTCTTTAATGTTTTATATTAAATAATAATTAAAATATAAGTACTAATTAAAGTAATTCAAAAAGGCTAAGACATTGCTCAATTACACATATTTAATTAAAGAGGTAGGCCAAAAACAAAAGTAAAGAAACTAATTCTTGTATATAAAAAATTCCCAGATTATATTTTCTCTTTAAATAGTATAGCCGCACGGCTATACGATTTATATATTAAAAAAAGGTCGCGCCAGGGCATAGGTGCCACGTGTCAAAACAAAAAAAATGGGGCAAAAGAATATAGCCGGACGGCTATACTATTTCGGAAAGAAAATTCAGCAAGAATCTAGTATAGCCGCGAGCGGCTATACTCTTTCTACACCCGCCCAAAGCTATGCGCCACGTGGCAAGTGGTTCAGCCGGCGGCTGTACTATTTTCAATTAAAAATTTTTAAAACGGGTGTAGCCGCACGGCTATACTATTTTAAAAAAAAACAAAAAGGGAAAAACTGAGATTTTTTTAAATACATATTATTTTTATTCAATAATATGTTAGAATTATGTGTATAATAAGTGAAATTTTTGTAAAAAAATAAGTGTATTAACCGTGAGAAATACGTGGGTACATGTATAATACAATATTAAATGTAAAAGTGACATAATATTTATACGGGTAATAACTTTGGAAAAGTGAAAAATCAAAAATGGACAATAGATACTCGAATAATAGCCTAATAATAACGGACAGGGCTCTTGGGCTATGGAGAAATTTAATTAAGACACCCAAACGATTTCACAAAAGACTTAATAAATATAAATTAATTATTTTGTGGACTTTCTCTTTAATGTTTTATATTAAATAATAATTAAAATAGAAGTACTAATTAAAGTAATTCAGAAAGGCTAAGACATTGCTCAATTACATATGTTTAATTAAAGAAGTAGGCCAAAAAAAAAGTAAAGAAATAATTCTTTTATAAAAAAATTCCAGATTAAATTTTCTTTTTAAATCGTATAGCCGCCCGGCTACACTATTTGTATATTTAAAAAAGGACGTGCCCAGGGCATAAGTGCCACGGGGCAAAACAAAAAAATTGGGAAAAGAGTATAGCCGACCGGCTATACGATTTCTTAAAGAAAATTCAGAAGGAATCTAGTATAGCCGGGCTATACTCTTTCTACACCTGCCCAGATCCTTTGTGCCACGTGTCATTAAAATTTTTGAAAAAACGGGTATAGCCGCACGGCTAGACTATTTTAAAAAAACAAATAAGGGAAAACTGGGGATTTTTTTAAATACATATTTTTTTTATTCAATAATATGTTAGAATTAAGTGTATAATACATGAAATTTTTGTAAAAAATAAGTGCATTAACCATGTGAAATACGTGCGTTCGTGTATAATACAATATTAAACGTGAAAGTGCCAAAATCTTTATACAGGTAATAACTTTGGAAAAGTGAAAAATCAAAAATGGACAATAGATACTCGAGTAATGGCCTAATAATAACGGATAGGGCTCTTGGACTATAGAGAAATTTAATTAAGACACCCAAACAATTTCACAAAAGACTTAATAAATATAAATTAATTATTTTGTGGACTTTTTCTTTAATTTTTTATATTAAATAATAATTAAAATTAAAGTACTAATTAAAGTATCAATAAGGCTAAGACATTGCTCAATTACATATATTTAATTAAAGAAGTAGGCCAAAAAACAAAAGTAAAGAAACTAATTCTTTTATATTTAAAATTTTAAATAAATAAAAAAAGCTAAGACATTGGGTAGGGAGGGGATGGGATGGTGAGAATTGGGTCTGGAGTATTTTAGGAATACGGGCTGGGGATGGGTGCCCAATGTGACAGAGAGATAGGGATTGGGCTTGGGAGAAATTGGAGAAGGAAGCCGTGGGTTGCGGCAATGGAGGAAGTGGGGGGTTGTGGAGGAAGGGGAGAATTGTTGAGGAGACGGAGGGTTGTGGATGAATTTCTGAATTTACCCTCACTTCTGACAAAAAATTTAACAAAGTTTGACGGAAGGACTAATGGTGCAACACAACACTTAATTGAGTGACCTCTGTAACTATTTTTGGAGTTGAGTGACCAAAATGTAACTATGAGTATAGTTGAGGGACCATTGCTCCAAATAAGCCATTACTTTTTGTATTTTTATTACTTATTGAGATTACTTGAAATTGTTAATTTTTGTTAATGAATAACGCCTTACTCAAGCGAGGTCCAAAACCAATTTATAACATAGAGACGTGGTCTTAAGACATTTCACAAAGAGTAACATTACACGTACAACATTTACAAATAATATTATTTCAACTGAAATCCACTTACATCACTTGAATCCCACCTTTATAAATTATAGACACATATCGTGGTACTAATCGTTTTATAGTTTGAACAAATTAAAGTTGCATAAATTTCAAGGACGGAACTTGCAAGCGACTTTTAAGTCTTCAGTGGGTTTGTCATGGGCAAGTCCACTGTCCACCCATGCAGAGTAGCCCCCCTCCATGTTCGTCACATGCTGGAAACCCTGCAATTAATTTTCCAATTTTGATAAATTTTCCCCTTCAAATTATAATTTTATGAAAAAATAATAAAAACCAGGAAAATGAAATTCATTATATAATTAACTGATAAACAAAGGCAGGCCAGTACCAGAAAAACTTACTTCATTGAGAATATCAACACAAGCTTTAAGTGATCTGCCTCCACTGTGGCATCGATCCCTTAATTTCAAGATCAACCTGACATCCAGATAACGGTGACCTACGCTGAGGAGACCTTTTGCGGTGTAGACGTCGACGCTGGCAACATCTTCAGGCCTACAAATTAATAAACATAACTATTAAAATATATTTTATAATTAATCTGATCACTTGCACTGAAGCAAAAACCTTCAAGAATCAAAAAACTGCTTGAAGATTTTTAAAATGAAACCATCTTACCTTTTCGTGCAGCCATTGTTCGTATCTGCAGATTTGACTTCAACTTCGTTTGCTGAACCTAAAGAAATTTTAGTAGAAGCAGAACAACTTCACCATTGTTAGAAACTTAGAACTGCCTGCCATGTCTAGATATATAAAGGTATAATACACATTTGACCTTATGTTCTCTTCAATTATTTTTCTCTGTAGATAAATTTAATTAATTTTAGAACAAATAAATTAATAGAGTTGACATTACTCCAATTAAATTAATTAATTCTTCATAGATAATTTTTTTTAGTACACAAGTGCTTCCTTGAACATGCAATACATTGGCCACCTTACATTGCTTAACTTCCTGCCCAAGCATTTATAAATAATAATAAAAAGAACCATTGACTTTAAACTGATATATACCAAAACGTATATTGATGTGAACTTATGTGTCACAATGTTTCATTTATACATGATGGAATTCTTCTTTAAATTTTATTTTATATAACTAAGATGCTAATACTCCTTTTTATTTTTATTTATATTTATGTATCTCTTTCTTTTTTCACCTCTTATGATTATTATATGATAAGAGGGGTTGGCTTTGAGTTTTTGACTTTTGATGTCGTACGTGCTTATGCAAAGCACTCAGGCAAGCATATCATATGCAGGCATCTACTTGCCTCCATCACTTAATTCAGCTCCACCTTCACCATAAATTTATAATCTGTATATAAACAAAACCCCAACTAGTATTCTACTTCTCTTCCTTCATCCTTCTTCCTTAATGCCAGGAGGAACCAAATGCTTTTCGAGCTTCCATGCTCCCAATGTCACCCTTTTCAGGAAGGTACGTACTACGAAACGAACCCCTAATTTGATTTTTCTCTTTTGAAATCAAATAAAGCACATACTTGGCTAGTTAAGCTATATATTAGCACTAATTAATCACTAATCGCTAGCAACTCTTACAGCTGGGGCGGAGTTTGTAGGGACCTTCATCTTGGTGTTTTCAGCAGCGGCAGGACCTATTGTGAATGAGAAGTACCATGGTGTAGAGACACTGCTAGGCAATGCGGCATGTTCAGGCCTAGCAGTGATGGTCGTCATTCTGTCCACGGGCCACATCTCCGGAGCACACTTAAACCCATCGGTCACCTCACCCTTACCTTCGCAACGTTTCGACACTTCCCATGGTCCCAAGTTCCCCTCTACATAATAGTGCAGGTTTCGGCATCAATTCTGCAAGTTTTGCTCTCAAGGGTGTCTTCCATCCCTTCATGTCTGGTGGAGTTACGGTTCCTTCAGTGAGCCATGGCCAAGCTTTTGCACTCGAGTTCATCGTCACTTTAATTCTTATGTTTACTATAACTGCCGTTGCCACTGATACCCGTGCGGTATATATGTCATTCAGTGCTCACTAAGTGCTAGTTGGGTCACAAGATTAGGGTTTGATAATGCATGTGTCTCTATATACAGGTAGGGGAGATGGCAGGTGTAGCAATTGGTGCTACAGTATTGCTCGACATTCTTGTGGCAGGGTTTTGTTTTTGTTTTCTTGTTTCTTTTTCTGCTGCTGAAAATAGCATGCGTAGAAAATTAAATGAAAATTATTTAATCTTATAGTTTATCTAAATAATATTATATTTACATAGCAGGCCAACAACTGGGGGTTCAATGAATCCTATCCGGACTTTGGGTCCGGCTATTGCTGCAGGAAATTATAAGGGATTGTGGATCTATTTGGTTGCACCCACATTTGGCGCCTTAGCTGGAGCTGCTGCCTACACAACTGTGAAGCTCCCAGACAATAAACCTCCAAACCAGGTTAGGATTTCTACTTGTTAGATTGTAGGGTGATTGCTTTGATACCACTTGTCAGAATTTAGGAGGTGTGAGTGATGTTGCTCTGATACCGTTGTTGGTTTATGTGTTGAAGGAGTTTAGAACAATAGGACAATAGTTGAATAAAGTGATTTTATTACATTGGAGGAGAATAGTACATAGGTGTAAGCTAATTGGCCACCACACTTGATTCGGATTAGTTTGGGCTATTTGGCCCTAGCTTGAGTTCTTGTCTTCAAGCTTCTTCCATAGGTTGGGTAGCTAGTTCCCTCGTGGATTGGGAGTTGTAGTGGTTAACTCCCACCACCTTTAGTTGATTGGCTAGATAGCTAGCTAGTAGGGGAGGCCCTGAGCATAGGTGGGCAAGGCGGTCGCTTAGGCCATCTCCAACCTTAGAGGACTCAAACCCAAAATTTCACCCTCTAAAATACAACTACTCATGCATTTTGAGGACTCAAACTGTTTTTTCCTCCAACCTTGCAAACTAATAATTTGAGTCTACTACTTTATTAAATTGTTAAAGAACAATATAATCCTACTACTTGTTGTTGTGGTTAATGTTTTTTTAGTTAATTTTTGCATATTACTCCGTGATTTATTTTTTTGAACATTTTGACATAAATTTTTTGAAATTTCACAAACATAATTTTATTAACAAATTGATGGCTATTTATATAGAGTTTAGGATATGTTTTGAGGTTGCATCTAACTTAGAACAATATATTTACTTATTTTTACCTTTGGATTTAAATTTCAGCTATTGGATTATTATTTTTCTCATTGATCTAGCCAAAATTTAATATCAGCCGTTGATTTCTAGCCTTTAGGTTTGGAAAAAAAAAATTATTGAAAGAAGCCCATTTGAAATGCAGCCATGAAGTGCAATTTTTAAGTTGCCTAGACTTTGACATGTGGCCAACAACTTGGGGTAGTGGGCAACAGCCCATCATTTGCTTCAAATGAGGTCCCACGTGGCTCTTGTTTGCTACGAATTGGGCCCCACAAAAATTCTGCCTGGACTGGAATCTGGGGCGAAATTCCGCCCCATTTTTTAGTCAACTCAAATTTCACCCCCCCAAAAAATACATGGGTTGGAGAAGGTTTTGGGCTAAAAATCCCAAATTTTGGGTGATGGTCTTAGGGCCTCCAAATTGGAAGGACCCCCAATTTTTATAAATGGTACTATATTAATATTATATTAAGCCCAAGTACTACTTTTAAAAAAAGCCCAATTATTTACTCTAAAACTAAAAATGGAAACTTATTAATGTCCAATTATTTTTTTAAAGTTAACCATTTTAATAAGTTAACCTAGTTGAATAGGTTAACCTAGTAGCATATAACTTAGCAAAAACCAAAAAAAAACGTAGCAGCATATAGGAAAAAAAAAAAAAAAAAAAGAAAAATTATCTCTGAACTGCAAGAGGAAATGATCTTCGAGGAAGAACAAGAAGGTAAAAACTCACAAGATTATTGCTTCTATTTTCTATTGAAAAAGACATGGTAGAAAAACTTGATTATGCAAAGTTAATTGATACTACTTTGGCATCGAAAAATTAAAGACGGGTGATGTTTTGATGCATTTTATAAAGTTGTTATGTGAATTACTTTTTTTTTTTAGGTTACAATTTTGACCTTGAGTTCATATAATTTTTTTTACTTATAAAAAAAAATTGCATAAACATAAATAGAGAGTAGAATGCCACATTTTAATAGTTCCCCTAGGTCCTCCAAAACCTTAGGACCACCACTGCTAGCTAGTTTAGGTTGCTAGCTCACTAGCTTAGATTTGGGTAGCTTGTTTGCTCCCGCATAGATTGGGAGTTCTATTAGTTTACTCCACATTTCATTGTAGCTAGCTTGTTTCCACCGACTTGGGAAGATTAACCCCAGCCACATATGTGTGGCTTTCTCTACAATAATCTTCTTTCTTCCCATTGGTTTTGCCGACATAGGTAAGCTTTCTCCAATAGTTTAGGCTGATCATCTCAAAGCATTCTAGATTTCTCCACACATTTCTTTAGCACAAATGTGCATTATTTTCTACACCACTGCTGCCAATATAGCCCAAACTATCAATCATGTTCAAGTTATTTGATCTCCACTTTCATTTGATCATATGTGTTGGTGTGTAACAGGTTCCCCACGCCTTTAATCGTGACGATATTTCAAACTAAGGCTCGATCGGGCTTTAATTATATATGTAGACAATCATAAGATGAGCAGACTTAGTTTCATGGACTATTTGATGATTCTTATTACAGGTCGCACCAGAGGAGCTTGTTGATCCTAAACTCTGAACAGTTGATGAGCCTCTATTTAGTTTTGTATGGTATCAAAGGTAGTTTATATTAACGGATGGACGGAACTGCTACAAGGACTACAGTGGGCTGTAGCCCAGTGAGGGTTTTTTTGGGGGGTGGGGGGGGTGGGGGGGAAATAAACCTATATATTTGCCTTCTTTTAAATATAACCCAATATTTATTAACCTTTAAAAGTCAAAAAAATCTAAATCTTAATTAATTTAGTTGCAGGGCAACAATAAAAATAAGTACACTTTCAATTATGTTGTTAAACATGATTTCATTTTGATAATATGTGGTTTTTTGGTTGAATTTAATATGTATGTGTTTTAAGTTAAAGCTTATTAGAAATTGCAAGGGTTTGTAGCTCAAATAGTTAAGACCATCTATCCTTGTCCAAGGTTTGATTTTCCCCCTTATCACTTGTATCCCAAAAGAAATTTAAATTTTGAAAATTAGTCAATTGAGGTTTATATATGATTCAATGTATAGAATTTTTTTTCTTTCTTTTCTAAAAAGACTATAGAAATTGTAACTACATAAAAATGATAATTAGATTTTTAACTAAAAAATGTAGCTAGCCCACCTGTCGAAAATTCTTGGTTCCGCCAGAGAGCTCTCTATGTTATAAAAGAACAACAGAAGTTAAACAGAATTCGGAATATTAATATATTCTCAATATTGTATTTGTCAGAATCTACCTAATGAAATTCAGAGAAATGACTTTTGAAATATATATATATATAAATGAAAGGGGTGACCTACCTAAAAAAAACCCCACTATGGACAACCTGATGATAAATTTATTTATTGTAAGAGTTAATCCTGAATTGTAATATCCTTGCCTTAAAAAAGAGATTCATGTGCTAAACTGTCATCTACACCTGCCATAAGTATTGCTGTCAAGTAGATGCTCTCGACGACGGTGCAGGAGAAGCTAGGAACTGTACGGTCGTTTCCTTCCTGCTATGACTATCGTGCATACCCAAAAGCTGCTGCTGTTATTTCGGAATTACAAGTTGATCAACATGTGTTGCCCACTCATCATCTGTTCCTGGCTTCCACGTCACCAGAAACCATGACAATTCTTAGAGGTCCTGCAAAAATTAGATATTATAGAATTCATCAATAAACAAGTACGAATTAGGATTGAATTGATGATACACTCGATACGTTTAGTATGTTGGAAGTTATTTCCTGTTTAATACCCATATCTAGATTTGGTCTCCCAGTTAAATAAAAGATACGGGATCTTAATCAGGTTAGTAATTAATCCAATTAGGATATTACCGGTGGCCTACGATAAATTGTTTTATGTGCTAGGGTTTTGTGGATCAATGGTTCCTTGATGGTGAAGTAACTTACCGTATTTGAGCCTATATAAATACAAGGTCCCTTCTTGTAGCTTCACATAACAAAAAGCACAAACAAGACGATTACTCCATCTAGTCTATTATGTAAAGGAGGCGCAACAAGAAGAAGATCCTTGATTTTTGAGAAGACCGGCGACATTACGGTTGTTCGTTGTCATGGCTTCACGAGGTAAGTAATTAGTGTTTTGTTTGTACAAACCATTATTAAGGTTAACTAATGATACAACCACATTTACAAAGGTTATAACTAACGATGTCGTCCTTCAGTTGTGTTTAATGAAACGCGGTGTTTCACCAAAGTTGTTTTCTAAAAGCCAGACTCTGCCGCTTTGGTGAAACAAAATTGCCCTCCCTTGCCCAATCTACCCTTTTAAAACCAAACCTTTACCTACGGTGAAAAACCAAAAAACAAAAAAAACAAAAACCTTACTTACAGCCCAACCAGGTAGAACTGAAATGTTGCTGGCTTGACCAATTTTATTAAAACCAAATCGTTACCCACTGTCGCCTATACACATGCATAATTCTACAAACCTTCCCCAGCTTATTCCTTCTTTATCAAGCCAATCTACATAAAAAACAGTTTCAACATTGATTATTTTTATTATAAATAATTCAATACTTGGAAGGCTTAGCGCCTAGCTTTGTGAGACATGAAACGCCTCACCTCAATGCCTTGCCTTTTTAAACCTTGATATAAACAACCCAACTGGTATTTCTACTTCTCTTCCTTCATTCTTCTTCCTTAATGTCAGGAGGAACCAAAAGCTTGTCGAGCTGCCATGCTCCCATTGTCACTCTTCTCCAGAAGGTACATATCTCTATACACACCAAATTAGTTTTTTCTCTAATTAATTATTGCTAATTAATCACTAATAGCAAGCATCGTTTACAGCTCGGAGCGGAGTTTGTGGGGACCTTCATCTTGGTGTTTTCAGCAACAGCGGGACCTATTGTGAACCAGAAGTACCACAATGCAGAGACACTGCTAGGCAATGCGGCATGTTCAGGCCTAGCAGTGATGGCCGTGATTTTGTCCACGGGCCACATCTCCGGAGCACACTTAAACCCATCGGTCACCATTGCCTTCGCAGCGTTTCGACACTTCCCGTGGTCCCAAGTTCCCCTCTACATAACAGCGCAGGTTTCGGCGTCCATTTCTGCAAGTTTTGCTCTCAAGGGTGTCTTCCATCCCTTCATGTCTGGTGGAGTTACGGTTCCTTCGGTGAACCATGGCCAAGCTTTTGCACTCGAGTTCATCGTCACTTTCATTCTCATGTTTACTATCATTGGCGTTGCCACTGATACCCGTGCGGTAAATATGTGTGTGTGTGTATATGTATATTCCTAATTTTCTTAATTCAGTGTTCACAAGATTAGGGTTTGATGCATGTGTCTCTATACAGGTAGGGGAGATGGCAGGTGTGGCAATTGGTGCTACAGTTTTGGTCAACATCCTTGTGGCAGGGTGAGCAGCCTTTATTCTTGTTTTCTTCTCTTTTTTTTTCTTTTTTTTTCTGCTGCAGAAATAGCATGCATAGAAAATAAAATTTACATTATTTAAACTCAGTTTTATGTAAATAAAATTATATATTTATATGGCAGGCCAACAACTGGGGGTTCAATGAATCCTATCCGGACTTTGGGTCCGGCTGTTGCCGCTGGAAACTACAGGGGATTGTGGATCTACTTGGTTGCACCCACACTTGGTGCCTTAGCCGGAGCTGCTGCCTACACAACTGTAAAGCTCCCAGACAATATACCTTCAAACCAGGTTAGGGGGGCTTCCCACTACTGCCTATTAGTCCAAACCAGTCTATTGATTCATGACTCCTCTAATCGTGAAGATAATTCAAACTAAGACTCGATCGTGCTTTATAAATTCATATCATTATCATAGGATTAGCAGCTAGACTTAGTTTCACTGACTATTTGATGATTAAGGTTTATGGTAATTTTCTTACAGGTCGCGGACGAGCTTGTCGATCCTAATCCCTGAACAGCCGCTGAGTCTATATTTAGTTTTGCATGGTATCAAATGTAGGTTATAGTAATTGAAGAACGGAGAGCTCTACCCTTGTTTTTTTTGTCGAGGGAGAGCTCTCTATGTTATCAAAAACAACAAAAACAAAAAGAGAGCTCGGAAGGGCCCCTTCGTTTACATTTTTAAGAGCCCATTTTCGTTTTTCGTTTCCATTTTTCACTAGATACGCATTCAGCAACTAATTAAATGTTTTTTTTAATTGAAAAAAATTGGTTTATTAATAACTCTAACATAAAATTTAATTTAAATTATTTTCACATTATTTACCAGACACATTTTCACTGTTTTTGTTCTCATAAATTGTTTTCCAGTTGACGTAATGGAAGCATTCTCAAACCTTGAAAATACAAATTCATTTTCTCATTTTCATTTTATGAAAATGTTTTATGAAAACAGTTTCAGAAAACATTACCAAACGGGTATATTCACAATTTTATCTTCGTCGGATTCTACCTAATGAATTGCAGAGAAATGATTGGAAAAAAAAAATATTCAAAATGAAAGGGGTGTGAGTAATAACAGTGCACCTAACTCATTATGGACAACCTGCTGATAAAATTATTTATTTTAAGAGCTAATCCTGAATTGTAATATCCCTTACCTTAAAAAAGAGAGATTCATGACAGACCAGGATCAACCTAAACATCTACACCTGCCATAAGCATTGCTGTAAATGGATGCTCTCGACAGTGCAGGAAAAGCTAGGAACTGTACAGTCATTTCCTGCTATGACTATTCTGCATATCCAAAAGCTACTGCTGTTAATTCGGAACTACAAGTTGATCATGTATTTGCCCACTCATCATATGTACCTGTCTTCACCAGAACCCAGGAAAATTCTGAGGTCCTGCAAAAATTAGATTATAGAATTCATCAATAAGCAAGTATGAAATCTAAGCTAATTACTATTGAACTGATGATACAGTTATTCCTATGTTCAACATGCAATTATAAAGTTATCATTGTAATTCAAAAGGGGGGAGAGAGAGAGAGAGAGGCAAAAGGTTGTTATCTTATCTTGAGTTCTTGATGATATAGCGATATAGCACACATCAAAATTTTACCATACTAGATGCAGAGAGCAAAATGAATGCACTCAATAGAATTGCATGTTTTACTTCATTGCAGCATGCCAGACGACTCAAATTATTAAGACTCACACAAGGTTGGCTCCAGTCAATACGCGTAAAGTTCCCAAGTGCATTTCTCATTCTGTTTCTCTGTCCTCTTCACTAGCAACACTAACAGGTGGATAATCATCAGCAGCTTCGGCTTGCTCTTCATCAGCAGCTTCGGCTTGCTCTTCACCAGCAGCTTCGGTTGGCTCTTCACCAGCAGCTTCGGTTGGCTCCTCATCATCAGCAGCTTCGGCTGGCTCTTCATCAGCGACTTCGGCTGGCTCTTCATCAACGTGGTCATCTTCAGAATCCACATACACTTGGGAACTCACCACCTGACCTTTCAAGTCTTTATGCTTCAGGTTGCCTGTTAGAGCAGCAATGAATGATAAATAAGAAACATCAACTTAGATAATGATACAACCTGAATGATTAACATGTGATGAGATCTAAGCATAAACACGCCACATAGAAAGGGAAATTTGAAGGTTTAAGGTTTAAGTAAGACATCAACTGAGGAATAATCAAATTCAAGTTAGTTGGTAATTCATTCTCTATATCCTCTTCTTATTCATTCTCTGTCAGCACAAATAATACAGAATTCAGGGAATATTCAGAAAATAAATCAAGATTTAATTTGGATGGAGATTAAAACAATGCATTTAGCGTGGGAAGAAATTGAATACTAGCGATGATGATGTGATACATTAACATTATCTAGGATATTTCTGACCTGCACAAATAATGATGCTACAGGTTACTAGAATACTATAACATAGTTCAATGTTGAAGGGCATGTTCAGGTACCCTCGGACAAGAAAACAACAATCCATACATACCCATCCAGAAGGAAGAACCATTTGATGTTGTATGGAGAAGAGCTTTCACACAGAATAAAAAGCGTTCCATAGATCTCTTTGTAGCAGGAATTTTTCTGGTTATACTTGTTTGTCTCAAGCCCTTCCACAATAAATAAATAAATAAAAAGTTATCATATGATAATGACACTCAAAGGGTGAAGATGATTTAGTCCAAAAAGTACAAAGCTAAATATAAATTGAAATTTAAGACTTACCTTTGCTTCAGAACATAGGGCCTGTATTGTTCTTGTGGCCTTTTGAAGCTCTAAAACCTAATTCATTACACAAGGATAAGATTTGCTTCTTGATAAATTGAGGATAAAACTCGACTCCAATCTTTAGGATGAATGTATTTGCTTCAACAAATCTTACCAAGTGGATTATATGCTCATTGTGAACTTGAAAGTGGGACTCTAAGAAGTCAAAAACTGGAAAACATTATGACATCAGTGCCTCAGACATTTGCCATTTAGATAATAATTTTGACTATCACAAATATACCTTTCAGGAAGGAATCAACAAACTTCCCTCCATAACCAACAGCCATGGCATGCAGAGTCACCTGAACCACGATATTGACATGTCAACAGTATCTTGGGCAGATGGCATTTGAACATTATAAAGACAGCCCTAAAACAAAATGAGAAAATTCATAACAAAAAAGAAATTTAGTTGAGAGAACTCCACAGAGTACTGTTTATTTACCTTGGCACGAGTTTTACAAAGGGTAACTAATG